TTCCCGAGACGTAAATGGCGTTAGCGGCTTACGACATTCAAGCCGATCATCAAAGAGCGTCCCAGGAGTGATATCACTGTGAGGCATGATCAAGCAAATGTAACATGGTTCATGATACGGTCCATGTACTTTCTCTGTCCGCAGACCGCACACGGATGTCACACACGGTTGTTCCGAAGAGGGTTTCAAAACGGCATTTTGCTTGACCTGAGCCTTTAAACTTGTCAGCAGCGTTTTTTTGTTTGCTTTGGTGTCAATATCTGTGGATTTCCCGGTATTACATGATCTGATGGTGCAAGCTACATTAGCCCAATGGTGGTGTGGCCATGAATTAAGACTGAACACCCATCATGCGCCGTAAACGGACCAATCATGTTTCTAATTCTGATGATAAATGGTGGCTCTATATGAAGCCTAGGCTTCTACGAGTTCGAGGTCTCGGTTGCATTTAAAGTTCCAGACAGTCAAATCTTGAAATTGCTTTCTGTGAGGAATCAAACGCTACATCGCAATTCAGAGGTAGGAATTTACAAGGTTGTCATGAAAGACATCATAGCATAGCTGCAAATTCCATTCACGTCAATGAGGGTGAAGATTTCACACAAGTCACTCAATGAGATCTGCACACTTTGAGCCAACTTCCTATGACTTGGGGTGGCTGGCTGGTGAGCTACTACAAATGATTTTTGGATCTCCTAGACAGCTCTCAATCTAGAATGAGTACTGTTCATTGCGATCCATGACATTTCTCACTATCCACTGGTGAGCTCTAGTGGGTCGACAATGTAGCCATTCTTGAAGTAGACTGTTTCAACAATTTATCGTCTCCAAAGAAAAGAAAAGCATGAAGAAGACCAAATTATGGTGATAATTTACCAAGATCTTCATCATAAATCGCTTCTCGAGCGCACTATTCTACATAAGTGAGCTGACATCCACGAATCCGAAAATTCACAGCACTGATATAGACCGATTTCTGAGAACTACTCTCAATAAATAATTCATTCAAAAAGGCTCTCCATATGGACTACTTCATTGCCTGAAGAACTTCCAACCTCTTGAGCGCACGTGATCTCACTCAGTGTGAGAAACATCAAAATGCTCGTTTTCCATATTCCATCTACCGTTAGAACCTCCACAAAAGACAAATATGGGTGCTGCTCAGGCGTACGAGTTTCCCCCAATCCGTATGTGATCACGCTACTTCACTTTCCAGTATTTACTAACCTCAGCCTCCCAGAAGGAGTTGGACGACCACGATGTTCCTTTCTTGAACAGAGACAAATGTGCTGCCAAGTGGATCGAGTACAACAAGTGTCTCAATAAGGGCACCTCTTTTTGCAGCGCCACCAAGGATGCTTTTTACGAGTGTCAGTACGTTGCGTTGCAGCAGAGACTTGAAAAGCATTAGATAGCATGAATACAGACCACCGATAAGATGACACAGACGAGGCTTACGAATCAGGGGAATGATCGGGAGCATTGAACAGGGAGTTGTTGAACTGAAATAAAGAATTATGGGACTTTCAGGAGAGTAAAACAAATGGTTGATGGAGATAAATGGAGAACCTAGATTATCCACCTGTGCGCTTTACCCATCCAACCCATGCTCACACAACAACATGAGTTATACCTTTGACAACAGCTGAAATGTGGAAATGCCCTCAAGAACGATCCCACCGTCCCCGTTTCATCAGCCTCTCTACTTGTAGAAATCCGTATGAAACCTCTGCTTTCTTGATAGTGGCCTGCACACAGGCCTCACCCATCAACATTTTCAAACACACTGAACCCCATTGGACGAGAACACCCATTACCTATTCTACCAAAAATGGCTGTCACACAATACCCTCCTCTCCGTATGTGTTACTTTCAACCGCCTTATAAGCAATTTACTAATAACAGTTTCCGAGGATGACTTGCAAAAGTACAAAGTGCCTTTGAAGTGGAGAGACAGATGTGCCGCCTACTTTGCCCTCTACCAGACGTGTCTCTTTAGACAAAGTGCCAACGGCTCCGTGGACTGTCACCACGACAAGCACGTTTGGGAAGAATGTGAAATTTTGGACTTGAACAGAAGAAAGGCGGAATTGAAGGAAGTCAAGGAGAAGTTGAAGGCCGAGAACAACGCCTAAAAGTGCCTTCGAGGCGGCATCTATGTAATTGCATCAGCTGTGTACAAATAGACAGTTTAAAGGAAGAAAAGTTATTGGCGTGTTGGGTTGTGTGAGTTTTACCGATGTTATTTGGTTGAGATACAAAGTACGTCAATTTACTCGTCAGATACGGATATCGGGAGCTCGAAATGTTTCATTGCCAACGTAGATCAATCAGACGAATGCCTGGAAAAAAATGTCTTGTCATTGGTCCCTTTGAGACCTTTCTGTGGACCTCTTGAAGTGAATACCATGGCCTGATCGCCTTGAAGTCTATGTAAAGAAGTTCATCGACAACGACATGGTCAACGCATTGACTTGAAGCCACTGTTCATCAGTATTCCATGACAGATGCTGAATCGGATTGACTCATCTCATCACCTGGAGCTACAGAGTTTACAAGGTTCGGAAGAACATAACTTCAAAACGATGATTTTCAAAATGGAATCCGTAACCATAGAAGAGCATTCCGTCTATTGCCCTAACGTTGGCCTCTGGTGAACTCTAAAAGAGAAAGAAGCTAAGGAAATTTCGGCCAAAAGCGCCTTGTGTCTGCTCAAACAGACACAGCACGGAGCTCCTGGCCATATATTTTACCTCCGCTGTCCACACTATGATATCAATGGCGGAAAGTGATACCAAGCTCTAGCATATTTCGGAGAAGAATAAATTACTATCAATGAGGAAAAACTCTGCACAATCGCAGCTTATATAGCGATGGGCCTGCGGTCACGTGGAGGATTTGGAAGGACCATCTAAATGGAAGGGAAAGTGACCATGGTATCAAGAAATTGTTCAGATTTATCATATTGTCTCTGAATTTATTGAAATTGTTATTGTTAAAGTGGTGCTCGTCGTGTTGTTGCCCGAGGCACGCCAGCAGACTATATATACTTATATGATGGATATCGTGTGATCTCTTTTTTATCAAGAAGGACCATTGATTGAGTGCAATTCGTTTCACCGATTTGAGGATTTGAAAGATGACTTCAGAATGTATCAAGTGTTTGGGTGTCTCTATATCAAAGTGCCTACTGATTGTAAGTGGCTGCGAAAATGGTCACTACTTTCCGAAAAGTTGTAAACGTCAGAACATAATGTAGAGACACACCCCAAGAAATATAAAAGTTTTGATGTCGTAAACATCCAATCCCTAGAGAGAAGTACCCAATCTTCGTATGTTTCAAAATTACAAAATCTAAAAGCTAAGGTTGTGTCATTCATAGTTGTGTCTCAGCGTTCGGTAGAGCGGATTCTTGATGGTGTACTACCACATGCTTAGCGTTGCCAAACTCAAGACAAACGAAATCTGATACAATTTCTATTTAATTTAAAAACCCCCTACAATGTCTGTTTCACACAGCCGATCCTCTAACTGTGGAGCAACCTGGCGGCGCACGACCATGCCGACCCCCGCGATATCACTATGACCAGCATACTCACCTTATCATCAAAATGGCCAAAGAGAAATTGCTGGTTGCATCAACGACCCCTGTTGACCTCGACGATTCCGACAAAAAGAAGTCAACCGAATCTGACTCCTCCAAGGCAGAGTCAAAAGAGGACGAGTCCAAGGAATTGGAGGAGGAGGAGGAAGAGGAGACGACCAAGGACGATAAGGAAGACAAAGATGAAGACAAGACTGAGGACAAGGACACCGAAACCACAGCAGTCAAGCCAAAGGAGCCAGAGTCAAAGGAGCTGAAACAAGAGGAAGAAGGTGGTGCTCCTCCTCCACCTGAGAGACCACTTTCACCACTTTCTAGGGTTAAGAAGGACCTCCAGGATGCCTTCCCCAATGTCGAGGAAAAGTATATCCAGGCTGTCCTTATCGCCTCCCAAGGCCAAGCTGACCCTGCGTTCAATGCCCTACTCTACATTCTGGATCCTACATTCGTTCCTGACATCACGCCTCCAGCTCCACCTGTGCCTCCAAAGCAGGAATTGACTGACGACGAGCTTTTGGCTAGAAAGTTGCAGAAAGAGTTCGAAAGAGAGGACAGGAAGCGTCGGGCTCAGCATCGTCGCAAAAACCAGCAGCCTGTCCAAGGAGACGAGTCGCCTGACGATATTGACCACTTGAAGGAGTCCTTCACCCAGGGTTTCGAGGAGGCTAAAACCACAATCAACGGCTGGGTGCTGGGCCTTTCAAAGAAGTTCTCTCAGGAGCCAGATAGCCAAAACCGTACGCAAGGCCCCAAGCTCTTTGGCGCTTTGGGTGGCCTGTCATTTAACCAGAACCAGAGAGCCAAGCGTTTTGACGAGGATCCTGAGATTTTGTCTCTGGACTTCCACCAAAAGGTGAACCTCGAGCAAGACAAGCCTCCTCTGTTGCCCAAGCGTGAAAAGAGCCCTGGACAAAAGGAGGAACCCAAATGGCAGCCACTCAACTCTGATGTTCCAGTGACCCTGGATGCTTTCCTCGTGACAGACTCAGAGGACGAGGAGTCAGCTACTGCTACGACGAATAAGAAGTGATGAATATCCCTTTTATGAGGTCTGCAAAGCAGGCCAATCATGTCTGTATGACGTAACTACGATATACACATATACAACGCGGCTACAGGCAATTATCAAGTAGTCAACATTTAACTAGTATCCTATTTATATAGGTTGCATCTGCTAAGTGACCCTAAAGCTTTCGGTTGCACAATTGAATAGCGATAGCTTAAGTGTAGGGCCTAGTGAGGCTACATAGATGTAATACCATACGAATAGCTATTTACAGCGCCATGGACCCATGGGCTACACGCCGATTGGTAAGCTATTTATAAGGCCAAACGTGAAGACACGCTGGGTCTATAACGGGAGGTGATAATATACACAGGACATAACAGGCCGGGGTCAGTTGGGAAACATGTGCAACCCCTTGAACACTTTTTCGTAATCGTTCGTACAGTCGTGAGATAGCGAGGCGTTTTGCAAGCCCGGGTGGTATTTCGCCCAGTTGACAGAAGGGGCAGATACTATGCGGTGCTGCTGAGGCAAATCGGAGGCTTTACTGTGGGATTTGGACTCAGAGCTGGAGGAGGCGTCGGGACAAATGAGGCGCACGTAGAAGTCGACCAAGGCCAGCTTGGACTCGAACTTGGCGGCTTTTCTGAGGGCAGAGAGTTCCGTCAAGTCGTCTTCGATTTTTGCTTTCGTGGATGCCAACATGTCGGCCGTGGCTGCCAATGCCACGTAGTCCGGGTTCTTGTCTAGCTGCTGGGGCTTTGCTGGCTCTGGCTCTTCCTCGTGGGGTTCGGAGTCGTAGTCGTCCTCCTTTGGGGTCAAAAGAGGCAGGTTTTCGTAATGCTCGTTGCGGGAAAGCTCAAACGATACGGATTTCTGGCGGGGCTTGTGGGGCAGGGACAGGGAAGGCGACGAAGGCGAAGGCAGCCTTTCTTGCACGGGTTGGAAGTACTCCTTGCCTTTTGCCTTCTTGTGCCTGTTTGTGATGTCCTCCAACTCCAACTTCCGCTTTGGGTATATTTCTGAAAGACTAGCGGCCATGGCGAAGCAGAATGAAGTGATTAGAAGGCTGCCTAGCGGCTGGAAAGGATTTGTGGGAACAGCTTGGAGGGGGGCAAAAAGGGTGGATTAACGAAGCAGGTGTTGTTTTTGAGGTGGGGAGGCGGCCGGGCAGGTGACTATTTGCGAGAAGGCTAGGAGGATGATTTTAGCCTAATACGCCTTTCAAGGCCTTTTTAAAATGGTGGTTTTAGTCGACGGGAAAAGACGACAAAGGTGGTGGAAAAATGAGGGCTGGCGCCAGAGCAAGGAGAAAAATACGCCCAGGGAATGCGCTCCGGAGGCACGGGTGCGGGGCCCCAGCCGGTGGGTGGTACCCCCAAAAAAGCGGTTTTTTGGGGGCGGGGCAAAAGTGGGGGCAGCGTGGGGGACCCTCCATCCATCCGGTCGCCAATTTTGCAAGCAAATTCATGAAAATCACCTCCAAAGGCCCTGCCGCCGGCGGCCGTTCCCAGCTGCTGGCACCGTGCTCGGTACAGAGCCGCGCGGTCTGGCGTGGTGCACGGGTGTGCGGTGTTGCTGCGAGCGACCTTTCGGACTTCTATCGAAGCCACTAAGAAGAAGCAATCGATAAGGGTAGTATTTGGTGAAAATATGGTTTTCAGTATTTTTTTGTGATAGTATTACAGAAGCTATACACTTCAAAAGGCTCTCTATGATTTGAAAAACCAAATCGGAGGCACCACACGAAGTGGCGTGTTATGGCTGCAAACTGCTCACTGACATCATTAAGGTTCGTTGAGACCTTCACTACAAGACACCAGTACCCCGAAATCTAAATCTCCCGAAAAGACAAGCAGACTATTTGGAAATGGCTTATTTTGGCAGGATGTCCAAATCGTAATTAAACTATTGGACCTGCTTCCCTAGCCACAACGGTTTGGTCTTCGTGTGTGTGTACGGGTGCACTGCCCCTCATTTGCAGCCAAAGGCACTGTCTATTTTCTTGACATTTGATTGTTCCGGTGTGCTTTGTTTGTTGATCTGGAGAAGGTCGTGTTTTCGTGAAATGTGTTGATTGAAGCTCAAAGGGGATGTAGACGCTGTGACATTAGGTGTTGTATTACAGGTGGTGATAGGGGTATTCAGTGGAGGATCAAAAGGATTGAGGGGAGGTGATACAGCGAGGGGTCATGACTTTTTGCAGTACGATTCGGACTTGGAACGGTCTGTGTTTTGGTTCCAGGGAAGAAAGCAGCGGAGCCAGGGCTCTAGTTTGACTCTTTGTGTTATCTGGTTCAATGTTTAAAAGAACAGAGCAAAGACTAGGTAGAGTGCCGTTTTGACCTAGACGGCTATCTCATTTGCCTTATTCCCAACCAATTCCAAATAAACCATGTCAAAGGTTACGGATTAAAAAGCGCTATATCATAGAGACGGTCCAATTAGACTTTATTCCATGACCTATCATATCCAGAACCCTGACGCAAAATTACCCAAAACCACTTTGTGAAAACCTTCCGCGTGAATTCATCCACTTTTTCCCACGAAGATCCCATCAAAAGAAGCGTGCAAAGCAAGGCTGCATGAACCAGGCCCTACTTTAGAGCCGTGCGTGCCAAATCCCCCAATCCCCGTCTTTCCAAAGTAAAAACACCGGTTATGAGATCAGCAAAGGGCAAAATTCAGCAAGGAGCCAATTTTCAGATGACCCGACCCACAAGACCGATCCAATTTAGATTTATTTTTCGTCAATGCACATAACCCGCTAGTAGCGGTGTCGGGAACAGTTGCCATCTACATCGCTCGCCTGGTACACCCTAGATGAGGCGCTAATCAACCCGGGATCGTCCTAAACCCTCTCAACCCTGCATGGATACAGCCCACCAGCGTTAGCGAGACGTCAAGATGCACCGTTCAACGGCAACGAGGGGAAGATAGAGAAAAAAAATGGAAAAAAGCATCGTGAAGATCGAAAAACACAGGTTTTCTGGCCCTAGAAGGTAAAACAAATTCCGCCTCCCACCAGTGCCCCAAATGGACATGGAAACTCAGTCGTCTGTGCAGCGTCTATAGCAGGGCGTGGATGGTATCGCACCAATGAGAGGGCACAACAAGCCACATAGATAAGACGAACGGCGGCACTTCCGAGGGCTGGTCCGCCCACTGTAGCAGCGTGAGCTCCACTGAAAATCCGCCCTCGGTTGCCCTCGGCTCCACCCTCGGCGATACCCTGTGCTTTCGGGCCGGCTCTCATCACCAGTGATTAGCAGGCGCCAAATTCGACAAAAACCGGGAAGTTCTCACCGAAGCTCCAGCAACTACTCCATCTTCTTCCCTTACCCCTAATGGCCGAAGAGTCCAACGCAAAACTGCTATGGCTGATGTACAAAAACGCCAAAAACCTTCTTCCTTATCGAACAAGAATGGAAAACTTGACCTGGAGGATGATGCACACAATGGGTCAGAAACACGACATGTCCAGCATTCTGGGGTTTTTGCTGTCTCCTTTACTCCACCATCCTGGTCTTTCTGACCAGCTGCCGGAGCTTCTGAAGGTCGATCCAGGCCACGACGAGTTCGACTATGTTGCCCATATCAGACGAATAGGCCAGGACTACGAGGCCTCGTCCATGAACGACCTGCCGGCCAAAACACTCCAATCAGCGTCCTCGGGAAAGGCTGGCTCCATTTCCTCGGATGCTTCCAGAAAAAGACCTGCTCCGTTTCTGCCTGCCGTGCAACCGACCCATCATCTGAACCTCTCTGCTGCTTTGAAAGGCCTGGCTGGAGCGCCTGTGAAAATCGAAGACCCTGGCGTGTCCATGGATTCGTTGGATTTGGGTACCGATAACGGGTTTGCGTTTCTGCTTGATCCACTAGCTTTTGAAGGCCCGAACGATACATTCAGACAACCACTCCAGGCCCAGTTTTCCCAGCTGCTAAAGAACCCAAGCCGCATGTCCATGAGCAGCTCACAGGCTACTCTTACAGAAACCAGAGGAATCCTGCTGAGTGCTCCTCGTCCCATCAACATCCATAACCATATGGCTGAACCACCCAGCAAACGCCAGACTCCACTGCTGCTGTACGATCCGTATGGCTTGCCAGGATCCGTTTCTGGCTCCATTTCCGGCTCCATCTCAGGCTCTTTCCATAACCCCCCTTCAGCAGGTCCCTCTTCCTTCTTGTCCAACTCATTTGCTCGTCAGGATAACTCCTTGGTCAGTGTGGCTGAATATTTCGGAGGAGATGCAAACTGGAACAGTCCCTACGATTTAGATGACGGTCTGGGCCTGGGCTCCGTCCCCGGTCTGGTGGCCTATGTTCCTTCAGACACCCCAATCAGCCGCCTGGCCTCCACAGTAAACGAGCACGCTTTCAGCTTTCCCGAAAGAGACGGAATGGGCATTCCGCTGAATTACCTGAGCCTGTGGAACGACAGCTTTTTCGACGATGCACCGGCTGCAGTGTCGGCTGCTTCCCTGGCTCCCAGGCCGGCCATGCCTTCCAGACACAGTTTCCAAGGAACCCAGAGACCGCCTATGAAACGCAAAGATAGCAGGCCTCGGAAAGAGAGTATCAAGGAAGCCGAGCTGAGAGGAAACAGACCCGCTTCAAATGCCAATCTCCAAAACGGCCGAACCGAATGTACGAACTGTCATACTCGGACGACGCCGTTATGGAGAAGAAACCCGAAGGTGAGCCTCTTTGCAACGCTTGTGGCTTGTTCTTGAAGCTCCACGGAACGGTTAGACCGCTCAGTCTCAAGACAGACGTTATCAAGAAAAGAGCACGGACAGCAGACAAAAAGAAAGACGGCAAAAAGACCGAGGCCAAGGCAGACCCCAAAAAGAACAATCGAAAAACCAAGTCGGACGGCGACGACAACAACCCGACCCCCACGACAAAGAACAGAAAAAGGGCCCCAAAAGCAAAACCAAAGACCCACGGCGCAAACCAGGCCAAACCCAGCCAGGTTCCAAACCCAACGCTCCTGCTCAGCCTTCCATGCTTCTGCCTCAACGAGGCCAAAGAAGCTCTTCCAATTCGCCCGTTCTGTGGACGCAGAGATCACAGGTTGCCGAGTTGAACTCGGTGGTGAAGGGGGAGCTTCCTGCGATTGACGAGAAGAATGTGTTTGAACGGCAGGATGACGAGGGTAAGTGGGACTGGCTCAGCATGACTTTGTAATATAGATAGACGGTGTTCCGCTACGATATAGACCAATAGAACTCACGAGAAGCGGCGGGTGTAGAGGAAAGATGTTTTTTGATGGAAAAACATTTTGATGTCTGGACGGATTGGGAAGTTCATTTTTGTTTTTTGCTGAAGACGTTGATTGAAGGTCACCTCGGGATTGGTGTCTCACTCACCTACTCCTCAGCTTTAAAAGCTACAAACGGAAATTATATAGTAAAAACCTTCTCTCAAGTTACCAGATACCAGAGTGGCTATGAGTTCACACCTTGTTCTTATCAGTTGGGGTGGATAGCGAGCGACAATTTATCTTTGATGGTTTTTCAAATCATATTATGTCATCGGCCCTTCGGCGAAACCGAATTCATTGCCCTTTTCAATTGCTGGGGCAGAAGGGGATTATGCGGTTCGTCCTGGAGTTCTAAAAGTCTCTCCTTAGACCAGTAGTTGATGATGGATACGGGTCAAGGAGGCCACTACATATTGGATTGGCCTGGATTGGAGATCAATGTTGCCTCAGAGAGTTAATCTTTTGTAATCCAAAAAAGCATGAACTGACCCTAAGCATTTGACCCTAAGCATTTGACCCTAGATCAATTCCGTTGCTTCCAATCATTGTGTCAAATCAGTATAGCAAGAGCACCTATAGTCTCAGAATCCATAATTGGCCAAACTTTCAAAAACCAACCATTTATGTTGAAAGCTGAAAATTCTCCTTCACCATAAGTTGCCCGATCAGCAAGCTACACATCCCCAACTCTTGCTACGCTCTCAAACTTACAAGCGCAACTTCTCACCATAGTACTATATAGTACCCGTACGACAATATCAACGCAATCCCTGGATTTAACTAAAACCTACTGATTTGGACCTCTACCTCTCCTCCAAAAAACTATAAATACCCCTACTCCCCTCCCTCAAACCACAAAATCACAAAAATTATCACACTGCTCTGGAAAATCGCCCACCAAAAGCACGGTGCATATCACGATCGTCGGAGATCTACCCCACGTCAATCGGGAACGTCACTCTTCTCCATCGACCCAGACGACAAATCAAGTGAAACCACCTAAAATACCCAAACTTTGAAAACAATCCCGCCTCAGAATTCGCCATCACCGCCCTTTTCCACCTTTGATCGCGAAAACCAACTACATAATGCCTTCGCCAAAAGTGTCAATCTATTACTGTGCCCGGTGCAAATGGCAAAATCGGGCTGTGTGGTATCTCCAGGAGATATTGCAAACCTTTAGTGACCCGGAAAAGAACTTGATTCCTGAGGTCGCCGTGTGTCCTAGTTATGATCAACCGGGACTTTTCGAAATCACTGCTACCGACAAGGAGGGCGAAAAAACGGTGTACAAACGGCGCATGAAGAAGCTGACGGAGAGCCAGTCGGAACTGTACTTTTACGATGGGTTTCCTGATTCGAAGCTTTTGAAGGTGATACTTCGGAATGCTCTTTTTCCAGAGGCTGGTCTAGGTCATGCTGAAAGTGTCAATCCTAAGGAACCAGGGCTAATGCTTACGTGTGAAAAATGCAACGTTGAGGAAAGCTGAATTGGGATGATTGGTGATCCTTTGGGTTCTTTGAAGGTTGATTGACATCTGGTCAGCTTACATCATCACAGTTTAGTATAGGGTCCACAGGCAACGACTAAAGAATCAATAAAGGCATCGAGTTACCATCATTGCGCTTTAGTAGATGAGAGCAGGGCATGCCAATTGAGGGTATGTCTTGGCGCTACATGGTACTAATGGGCGAGAATTGAAGATGCTATACGCTGCCGTTGGGTACTGATCCCGGGTGATACTCTTAGAGATTGGCGATTTTGCAGGATGCGAGGGGGTATCCGACGCTCATGGGATTCAAAACTCCGCTGTCGTGACGATGCTGCCGTAATTACACTGCTTTTGCAGCCGTCGCCAGCGAAGTAGACTCACCCCGTTGGCTTTTAAATTCACTGGGACGTCAGCCATGCTGCTGAATTAATTAGGGCTGCTTTTCCCCTTGAGACTATCTGCATTAGGTACCACGGACATTCTGATAAAATTAAGAAACGCTTGCAGACTTCTGGAGACATGCTGGCAACAATGACGGCCGACCTTCTTTCAATAAGTTAACTTCAACTTCACACTCGATGCTGATTATGGCGGGAACTGCCCAGGCCTTTACGGTACCGCCCATATACTCCCCACCACTAACACCTCATGGGTCGTTTAACAACTGCTCCTCGTTTTCATCCACATCATCCCAACCCTTCTCGGCAACCGCATAAGGCAACGACGATGCCAATTCTCCAAATGAACCCAGCGCCTTTGGAAACCCGAGCATGTGCTGGTATTGGCGTACCACGTATGTTGCAGATACATTCTTCCTTCCAGAGGTGGGAACCTGCCCAGTGGTCAAATCCTCCTCCAGCTCCAAAGACGACAGCGTACCGCTTCTGCCAGTGCTGCTGGTGTTGTTGTTCTCGCTGCCGTTGCCGTTTGTTTGGTTGTGGCGGTTGATCTGCTTGGCGATCTGCTTCCACTTGTGTTTTTCGCCTGCCGGAAGAAGCTGCTTGAGGAGCTCAACGTCGTGCTCTTGAAAGTGTGCCGCCTCCTTGCTATCCCTCTCGCCGTCTCCCTGAGGATGCTGGTTTTGTGGAGGTGCTTGTGTAATCGGCTGATGGCTCTGAGAAGAAATTTGATTATGCTGGGCGGTCGTGTGATGCTGGAGATGCTGAGGGACTTGCTGCGGGAACTGCTGAACCTGGTGTGGTTGAAGCTGCCCCAGCTGGTGGTTCAATTGATGGTGGTTTTGACCGATATGAGATTGGCCCAAAGGCTGGCCCAAAGGCTGACCCAAGCCGTGGATTTGCGGCTGAAGCGGTGCCTGTTGCACCTGTTGATTAAGCGAGAGCTGGCCTGGGAACTGTGGATGTTGTAGTTGAGGCTGTTGGGTCAGTTGCGGCGGATTCAGGAGATGCTGTGGGATTTGAACTGGAGCTCGAGTCTGGGCTGTTCCCGAGAACAGACCGTCGAATTGAGAATAAGGCGCCGCCGGGACGCCCACATAGTTACCGGGGTTCTGTTGAGCTCGAGGATTTGCGGATTCGTCGTACTCGAGCGGCTCCTTAAAGCCCCCTGTCGAGGACAAGGACGCGGATCCCGAGTTCAACTTGAAGTAAGGATCCGACGGCGGCCCCTGAGGAAAATCTGGATTCATCTTACAAAAATTCTGTTTTGTGGTAGCTTGGAAGTGAGATTTTCGGCGCGATCAGCGGATCTCTAGAGACTATTTTGGTCTCGAGAATGCGATGCAACTCGGCAATCTGGTGATGTTCCACGATGTAGTAGGAGCGGAAAACACAGGCCGCTGGGGTTTAAGTCGGGATTTGAAAATAAAATTCTTTGCGTCAGAAACGGGCAAAAGAATATCAGCAGGGCGGAGATGTGTGCTGCGTTGCCGACTGGAACAGATGAAGAATAAAAGAATAAAAGAATACAGAAAACAAGGGGTCGTGACACGGGTCAATTTAAACACATATATACGCCGAGGGAGCCTAACGCCGAGGTGGTCCTTCCCTGTGAAGCCAGGCTGGGCGACTCGATAATTATTTTTTGCTTTCTCGCTGTTTCAGGGAACCCAGGTGAAACACGCCGCACCCGTCACGCATGCCAGGTCCCAGCCACCGTACAATTTCATAAGGGAGACCAGTAAAGTTCTGCTTTTTCAGTTTCTTTTCACGGCCCGCCCTGGCGTAAGCCGAGACCAGAATCGGTGTTTTGACTGGTCCAACACACGCTTGGTGCCGCCTCGAAGTCTGGTCTGGCAACCGTGACACTTGCTGCAGACGAACTCTTGCGCTTTCCCCCAATGCAAAATGGACTATTACTCATCGTCAGTGTAATCTTCCGACGAAGCTTCTGCCTCCGACTCGCTCAACTCTTCTATTTGGTAGCTCACCGGCGTTCTCCTCTTTCTTGGCGGAGAGTTTTCCCCGACAATCATCAAGTCATCGAGCTCATCATCCACGGTCTGTTTGGCCTTTGATTTGCTCTTTGGTTTCGCCGATACAGCTTGAGGCTCTGGCGTCGAGACCGCATGAGCGGATTTGCTGGAAGACGAGTCTTCGTCCCCATCGATAGTCTGGCTCACTTGCTCGATGAGGTCATCGTCCGAACTGTCGCCAAACATCAGGCTTCTGCTTCCCTTGGACTCAGGCTTCTTTTTCGAGGCCTTCGGCTTGCTGAAGAAGGTAAGAAGATTATCTTCGGGTGCCTCTTTAGGCAGCTCCTGGGGCAGTTCCTTCTTGCCGAATGGAAGCTGGCCCTGGGTCTTCTTGGGCTTGCTGACTCCTTCAGTGGCCTCTTTCTTCACAGTTGGCTTGGGAGTGCTACTGTTCAGCTTAGGCACAGCCTTTTTGGTCTTCTTCTTCGGAGCTCCGTAGTCCTCATCTTCGTCCTTCACAGCCTTCCGCCTTCTCTTGGTGGCTTTGGTGCCCTTGCCCGCAATCAAGCTATTCCTCTCCTTTTCGTCTTCGTCCAAGAACTTCTCCCAGGCAGTGACGAATACTTCAAGGTCCTCGTTCCACAAGTCCTTGGCGCTCTTGCCCAAAAGCGTGTTGAGCTCGCTCTCCTTTTCGTCACGCTGGTTCAACAACTTTTCGTATCTCTCTCTAGTCAAAGACCAGAGCGACATTCCAAGCAAATAGTCATATTGAGTGTAGATGTTCTCTGGCTTGTGCTCACTTTCGTCTTCTTCCTCCAAGTCGTTGATACCTCTGGAGTTCAAGAGACTGACGTCACCAACTTCCTCCTCTTCTTCCTGCAAGGCTTCCTCGGCTTCAACAAACAAGTCGCTTCTTTGCTCGACATTAACTCTCTTACCTTGCTTATCAAACCTGGCAAAGTTGAATTCCATCAAGCTTTCCACCAAGATACTTCTCTTCTTGTTCGACACAGTCAACTCCTTGTCGATGATCAATTTAATGAAACGTGCTTGCTCACTCAATCTGACCAACTGGTTCAGCAAGTCCTCGGATAAGTGATCCTTACGCTTCTGATAGTATTCCAAACGGACGAAGTAGAAGTCACGCAAGATTTCGCTGGCGCTCTCGTATTTCTTGATTCTACCAGCTGGGTCAAAAGCGACCATGTTACCAGTGGAAACAGTCGAGATCAACTTGAATCTTTCGAGCAATCCAATCTGGTGGGATTTTTCCATCTCAGCTGGGGTCAATTTGATCACGAAACGGATACCGGCAGCATGCTGCTCCTCCATATCCTTGATCCAGGGTTTATCCGAGTTGACAGCATCCAACAAGAACTCCTTCACGTTGTTTGTCCATGACTTCACTGGAATTTCTGTGATTTCCAAGGTCTTCTCGTCAATTTGCTCGATACGACCAGTGAGTTTGAACTTACCTTCACCAATCTTGTGCACGTCACCTTCCCATCCTTTATACCATGGGAGCATTTCCTGAATCTCTTCACCATCCATAAGTCTCTTGATGTTGGCAACGATATCAAGAGGATTGAAGGAAGGGACGTTGGTAGACCAACCAGTACCAATACCATCAGCACCATTCACCAAAACCATTGGAATAACCGGCAAGTACCACTCAGGCTCCACAGTTTGGGCATCATCTTGCACGTATGTATATAATGGATCATCCAATGGGTTAAAGATTTTTCTGGTAATTTCCGTCAACTCAGTGAAGATATATCTTGCAGCAGAAAAATCTTTACCGCCGGCAGCTCTGGTACCAAAACCACCGTTTGGTTTAAGAAGATTCAAGTTATTTGAGCCAATGAAGTTCTGCGCCAAACCAATAATGGTCTGGACCAAAGACTGATCACCGTGATGATAGCCTGTCTTGTCACTGATATAACCGGCCAAGTTCACAACCTTCATCTCGTTCTTCAAATTTCTCTTGAAGCAACCGAACATAACTTTACGCTGACCTGGTTTGAAACCATCCAATACCGAGGGAATGGATCTGATGTTGTCTGCCATGGAGAACAAAATCAATTCTCTGTTGATGAAATCACTAATAGGGATAACAGACAAGTCAGAGTCAAGGTATGTACCAGGCTGGAAACCCTGTAACCATTCCTTACGGTCATCAGCTTTCTTTTTTGAGAAAGCCAAATCAATCAAACTCGAATCATCATCTTGAAGGGCATGGAAATACTTCAAGTGCTTATCCAACTTCGAGAAGTACTCCCTGGCCTCTGTCGTTGTGGAGGTACCCAAACCCTTGTAGTATTTGTGAGTCCAGCGACAGTTCTTACCCTCCGTTTCTCTCCATTGCTCAAACTCTGGCATCGAGTAGAAGGGAATCTTTGTGTCTCCAGCTCTACCTCTGCTCTTGATGGATACTTTAACAATTGGAGTAATGAATTCAAGAAGGAACTCATCGATGTTAAGCAAACCTGGGAAACTGGTTTCAAAGAAGTTGATAAGCAAACCCTTGATATGCGAACCATCATGATCCTGATCTGTCATGATCATAACGTGGCCGTATCTCAAATCTTTGATATTATCACGATTGTAGGCTTTCCTGTGTTGCAACCCGATAATTTGTTTTAAAGCAGTAATTTCAGCATTCTTAGCGATCATTTCGGTAGAGGCGTCTCTCACGTTCAACAATTTACCACGGAGAGGGAAACAGCCATAGTAATCTCTTCCAACGACTGATAGACCGGCAACGGCCAAAGACTTGGCAGAATCACCCTCAGTCAAAATAAGAGTACACTTGTAGCCTTCCTTTGTACCGGCTTTATTGGCATCCACAAGCTTTGCCTGCCCTTTAATACGCGTTCTCCTCTTACCGTCATCCTTTTGCAAGGCCTTGCCCTCGTTGGCATCCACGATGGTCTGGATAGCCTCGATGATGCTTGTCTTGGAGAGCTTCTTGATAAACTGGTCACTGATGACGATTTTATCCTTGGCCTTGGATGCGAATTCAGATGGCCTTGTGGTAAGCTGCTCCTTAGTCTGAGACGTAAATGCTGGGTTCTCGATCAAACAGTTGATGAAGATGAAAATGTGACTTTTGATTTGTTGTGGCTTGATCATGGCTTTTTTACCCTTCTTACCTTTGTTGAGCTCATCCATAAGCTTGTTGATGATTTGATCGGAGACGTATTTTACATGTGTTCCGCCTGCTGTAGTAGCGATGGAGTTGACAAAACTGACCTGGTTGAAGTTACCATCACTGACAGCGAACGCCAATTCCCATCTGTCATTGATAACTTCGTGGACTATGGTTGTGCGGTTGTTTGCCTCGGTTTCAATGGCCAAGTCTGGAGAGCGCTCCTGGATTGCCTTGACGTACATCTCCACATAGTTTTTGAAGTTACGGATACTGAGCTTCTTCTCATTTAAATAGACGTTACAGTCCTTCACGGTACCACACAAATCGTAGACACGTCTGCGAAGCACTGAAAGGATGTCGCTATCAAGAGAGTCCATATTGAACTTGGACAAGTCAGGTCTAAACGTAACCTTGGTGTATTCCTTCTTGTTTTTGGCTTTCGTGATTCTAGGTTTGGACACCTTGGACATATTGTTGGTCCACGTCTGCTCATACACAAGCTTTGTGTTTTGATCCGATGTCTCCACGGTGAACTCGGTGGAGAAGATATTACAAAGCTTAGCACCGAAACCGTTTCTACCACCCACCACCTTCTTCTGGTCGTCGTCGTAGTTGGATGACGTAAGCAAGTTACCAAAGATCATCTCTGGAATGTACATCTTCTCCTTGTCGTGGACCTCAACAGGGATACCCTTACCGTCGTTCATGACGGAGATCTTGTTATTTTCAGGGTCGATATCAACCTTGATGTTCTTCATTTTCGGATCTCTGATCTTGTTATCGGCGGCGTTAACCAAGATTTCATCGAAGATCTTGTAGAGACCAGGGACAAAGGTCACTTTGGAGAACTTCATGGTCTCCGTTTCCGCGTCAAAGTGCCAGATCTCAACATCATTCTTCTCCACAGACCCAATATACGTATCAGGACGTTTCAAGATATGTTCGAGCTGAGACAATTTCTGGTACTGAGCTGATGCCCCAGACTGGCTCCTCCATTGGATGTGGGTGTTGTGTTTGAAGAATCCAGAAGAGGCGTTTTGGAAGACTTTGATTTTTTCTTAGGCACGACTTCAATGTCGGAGAATGACTCGTCCAGAAAATCCTCGTCGGAAAAGTCGGACATCTTGTATGTTTTGGTTCTGAAGAACTGGTAGTTGTAGAAAGACGCGATCGCGCACGGGTACGGCTGAGAAGAAGAGACGGAAGATGGATCCCAGCACGCCGGAGCATCAAGGGTATAAATAGGGAAAGAATTCCTCTTTTTCGTTAAAGCAAATTCAAGATGTATTAGCTTTTTCTCTTGAGTTGGTTGAGGAAGGCTTGATTGGTGGGCGTGTTTTCGCGTGTTTCTAGTGTTATGGTGCATTGTTGAAGTGGTCGAGTTGAAAATGGTGGCATTTGGCGGTGAATTTAGAAATCTAGGTTCTATTCATCTTGACTACGTTGGAAATGCAGCTTTGTGTGAGACCATTCGATATGGTCTTTGAATTCTGGTACACTTTGGGTATCGGATTCAATGAAATGTCTCACCAAGCTTTCAGAAGGGTTTCACTACGCCTTTTTATGCTGCTAGCATCTACTTTTCAGTAAGCGGTGCAAATGTGCAAACCACGTCTTGTTACTGTTGCAGACGTACTACAATCACATAAAATTTCAATGGAATCACCTTGGTGCATAACTAAAAGCCAATATTTCCATATCTATACTTGTTTCCCTCGGAACATTCCTCAACTCATCATCTACTGCTCACTTTATCCACCGCTAGGTTCCCCCACCGGTCTATGCATTCCTATTAACGCTTCTTCTTCATCGACTTCTGGATACGCTCAAACTCCTCATCATCAAGGTCTGGCGCCTGGCGCTTCTTGCCCTTGGACTTGCCATACTTGGCTTCGAGATTGCTGATCAAATCATCCAATTTTCCAGCGTTTTTCCTCTGAATAAGCGCAGCAAGGTCTCCCTCGGTCTTCAATGGCTTTTTCGTGATCTTCTTCGACATCTCCTCCGCCTGCTTGGCCTCCTTCGCCAACTTCTTCAACATCTGCTTGACCTTCGTCTTTCGCAGCTTCTTGTACTTGTCCCACGTCTTTTGCATATTCTTGTCCATGTCGATGGCGCCTGAAACCAAAGCTTCATCCACAATATCAAACACCCTGCTCTCCTGAGCCTCGTCAAACTCCAAATGCGGAATCACCTCGAAAAGCCGGAGAAAATCACCCTCGTAGTAGGCGAAATTATGCAAAATGTCCTCCTTCTCCTCATCAGAACCCTGGTACTTGGCCCTGTCCTCCTCGATCATGTCTATGGTGATCTTTTCCGTCATCAGGGCAAAATAGTCTTTCCAGTCGAAAACATCTTCTTCTCCTGAATATCCCAACAGTCCCGTTGTATCATATCGACTGCGCTTGGCTGGATCAGATAAAATGCTGTAGGCGAACTGGATCTGGGGAAATACCGTCTTGTCCACATCCAGGTTCACTTGTTGGATTTTGTCAGGGTGGAATTTTAGCGATAGCTTCTTGTAAGCTTTTTTGATAGCAAGGGGCGTCGCCTCCTTGTCGACCTGTAGCACGTTGTACGGGTCGATGTCCATGATTAAAGTAGGATGAATTTGTAAGTGTTTATCTAACGCGCGATGCCAGGGTTATGGTGGTGTGGAGGTGAAAAATCAGCGGGGTGGCCTTAAAACAATTAAAGTATTGGGGAGGCTTATTCTGAAGTTGAGCTTTTATTGATTAGTATAATTATAACTTTTGATTGTGTCGAACATACTACTCTGTTTGATAGGTTGAAGAATTCGCAGCCATGGCTCGTCCAGAGACAGCTGATGAAATTTCAGACTATTCCGCGAGATTTTCATTGCATTAGGTGGTATTCATTTTCGAGAGATGGAGGCGTCTACAATTGCAATACGTCTTCATACTCTTCATTCATGTCTCTGATATTACACTGGTTGATTCGTGTTCACGGACCATACCTGTGACAGTTCATACAATCAGCGCACCTACTTCAACTCAGCCAAGGTCTCCTTGATAGCGGCAAGCAAACGGTCAACGTGGCCCTCGTAGACAGAGTAGCCCATGTGGCCGACACGGAAGTACTTGCCCACCAAAGCCTTGTGGATGCCGCCAGCGACAGTGAAGCCCTTTGTGGCCAACTTGCCCAAGAAGTCTGGACCGTTAACGCCCTCTGGGAAGTAGGCAGCGGTAAGACCGTGAGCGGCAACCTCCTTGTTAGGCACGAGCTTCATGCCCAAAGCCTCGAGCTCGTTCTTGAATTTGGTGGAAGCCTCGTCGTGGGTAGCGTATCTGGCGTCCAAGCCCTGGCCCAAGATCTCGTCCAAGGAGACCTTGAGGGCGGTGACGTTCTGAATGGCAGGGGTGGCAAAGTACGCAGCTCCACCGCCCTCGTAGGCCTTCATGATAGGAGTCCACTTCTTCATGGAGGCGAAGAAAGCAGCAGGCTTCTCCTTGTTGACAGCTTTGTTGACAGCTCTGGAGGAGGCGTAGAAGACAGACAAGCCGGCAGGAGCGCCCAAGGCTTTCTGGGAGGCGGTCAAGGCAAAGTCAATGCCCCACTTGTCGAACTCAATGTTCTCCACACCGATGGAGCAGACACCGTCGACAATGATCAAAGTCTCTGGAGACACCTTCTTGACGAGAGCGGCGATCTTGCCCACGTCAGAAACCACAGCGGTGGAGGTGTCCACGTGGGTGATGGTGATGGCGGTGTACTTCTCCTTCTTCAAGTGCTGCTCAATCTGGTCAAGAGGCACCACGTCGCCCACAGGCGCCGTCACCACGTCAACCTGAGCCTCGTAGACCTGCAAGGCCTCAGCAAAGGAGTCAGAAAAGAAACCCGTCAGGAGAACCAACACCTTGTCGTTCTTGTTGAGCAAGTTGGCACCAGCAACGTCCCAGCCCAAAGTACCAGAGCCGGCAACAACGTAAGGCTGGGCCTCAGGATCCGTCGACTTGAACACCTTACGCAAGTTCTGCAAGACATTCTGGAAGGTTTTCACGAATTCAGGCGAGGTGTGGGCCTGAGAAGGAGTAGCCATGGCACCCAAGACAGCGTCGCTGAACTCAATGGGGCCAGGAATCATGGTGAGCTTGTGCTCTGGTTGCTTGTAGTTGGAGGCCATTCTGATAACGTTTCTACGCAAAATTGACTGGATGGGGCGGAAGAGTGCCGGGGTAGATAGCATCAAAAGAAGAGGGTGGTTACGTCGAGTAGATATACCCCAGGCCCGGCGCGCCGGTGCAGGAGGGCTGTCAGCCTAGTAGTAGAAAAAAGAGAGGAATTGGGCGGCATTGAGTGAAGGAGGGGGCGCATAGGCAGGAAGGCGGCGGTTTATGGGGAGAGGTGGTGGTTTTTTGTTGGTTGTACCGGCGACACCGTTGGACCGGCGCACCGGTTCAGAGTCAGAGACGGAATTCGTGAGAAGTCAGAACGAGGTGCAGCGGGTGGTGCTGGTGGTGGGTGAAGGAAGAGTTTTGGGGATAGAGTTGGAAGGTTGGCAGGTGGGGCTAGGGAGGTGGCGTGGAAGTTGGGCTATAGGTGGTCCAATTGGTGCATCCAGGGATGTAGCAAGGAAGGTATGTTTTTAAAAGATTACAGCAGAAGTTTTTAAATGGGATTTGAAGAATCTGGCTCAATGTTTTAATCGTTGAGGAGTCGCTTCGTTGGCTTGCTCTTTGGCGGTTTTTGTGGTGTTGCTGGTGGGGTGGGGGACCGAGGTTGGCTGCGAAATGGCTCGATCCAGTGGGGACACGTCAAAAACGTTGGATCGAGGGGCATTTTTTTGATTTAGATGTTTGAGAGCTTTGGAATGCGCTGGAGATGGAAAAGATCAGCTGGAGGAGGAAGGGATGATCTGGGGGTGTTTGGCGTGAAACGTGGGGTAACGAGCTAGCCGTGAGATGTTGAATGTAGAGGTGGTGTTGGTCAATTGATAAAATTTTGCTTTATCTACTCGGTTTTGATTGAATTGATAGAATCTCCTGGGTCAATGGCTCCATATTACTTGAAATCTTTGATCTCACCTACTGGCCCTGTGCATGTGAAGATTGATAACGATTTTCATCCCAGGTATTTGAGCACTGATGGTCACATAACATGGTGACTTTTGGAAGGAAGGACTTACTTCGGTCTTCTCTCGACTATAGACTTCGTTCTCATATTGTATCGTGATTATTTTTGGATTGGCATAGGCGTAGTGGATCCTTGAGTAAGCTTGCTGTTCTACGAAGTAAGATGCTAACGCCAGCGCTGATCGATTTGCTCTTCTCTGGATTCACTCCTTTACTCTCTATCACCTCTACATAATCAAGTGGCCTTTAATCGGTAATTGTTTCTTCTAGAGTCTGCAGAGCTGCATCAACATTAAGTTAGCAAATAGGCTATAACTTTCCGAACCAATTGCAATCTCAATGGGATAAGTGAGATTCAAGGCACTGCACTGTTGGAAGATATCTAGACTGGTCCATTTGCTGCGATGTTGTACAGAGTCAGCTTGGACTCTTCTTCATATCCAGAGCATAGAGTTGCAGCCGCTTGCGTCTCTAACCCCTGGGGGCAATGACATCCGGAAGCTAGACAATGGAGCATTTAGTACCTCAAATGCATTATACTGCAATTTCATTCTAACCTATTCTAGTCCTGAGTGCTCTAAACCAACCCAAACCACAGTGCTCTTCAAATGAGGCATTCAATCGATACCATTATGATTCAGGTTTTAAGCAAGTCGTTTTGCCTTCTGATCTTTATTGAAATGAAAGTCAGTCTGGGAAAATGATCGCTTTATTCCTTGGAGTATCCTCACTCCTCAAAACTGCTCGAATGCATTTCGCAGCCATTTCTTGGGTGTACCTATACCTCTCAAAAGCACTCAGAATCACAAATCTCCCTCAATTCAGATATCCAGGTCCAAATAGAGCAACAGTGAATCTCAAATCCTCGTCGCCTTAGATCAATCCTTCCACAAATCATAGCCATACAACTCCTCAACCTCATCACTCTCACCTGCACTGGCTGCGAACTAATGGTAACCAGACAGTTCTCCCTACGAGGCCACAAGGCACCAATTGCAGGATTTCTGGATACTTCCTATGGCCTTGTTTCTGCAGACAGAGACGGCTGGGTCGTCGTGTGGAGTCTCGTGACCAAAAGACCGCTAGGATTCTGGAAAGCTCACGATGGGCAAATCATCACCTTGATCAAAACACCCCATGGATTGTTGACACATGGCCGGGACTCGGCCATCCGGTTCTGGAACACAGAAGGTCTCTCTGTGGAACCGGATTTGGCATATATGGGAAGGGAAGGTTTGCCAAAACCGAAATACGAGGAGATTCCAGTGAACGCCTTGAACTTCTGTAATGTGGACTACGTTGACGGCCTATTGGCCACGGCATCAACGACAGACTCGGAGAAATTTGATATTTACGAGCTAGCAGCACCAGGGAAACCATGGGGTCTTTCCAGAGTCGTCCAAGGCTTCTCTGTGGGTACTGGTGCTGTGGATGAGACTAAGCGAGACGGTCAAGGCATTATCATGAAACTACGATTCGTGGGGCGGTCCTTGCTCTTTGTGGGTTATGAGCTGGGAACAGTGAAGGGTTTCAGATTGACAGACGAGTCGAAATTTACAGCTCTGGCGAAGGAACTGCTCGTTCTCAATAAGGACTTGAAAGTGACTGAGGTCTTTTCATATAACGGCCACTCGCCACAGCCAGTGCTTTCAATTGAGTATGCTGACGAGAAGCTCTATACGGGATCGGCGTCCAAGAAGCTTATTGTGGTGTCAATCGGTGAGCTCTTGAAGGAGGGATCAAGTGAACCTGCGAAAGTCAAAACTGAACCATCAAGGAAGCCTTCTAGTGGTCTTGGGCTGCTACTAGGACGGCCAAAAATTGAGGTTGTGGACGACTTTGAACCTGCCGAATGCGAGATCTCCACCTTCAACCTTCGACATGCTGGAATTCTGAATATCCAGATCGGCGAGGAGATCCACATTATCTTCTGGGATGGCGTACTCAAAAGCTACACCAAAGACTTGAAGGAAATCAGCCGATCGGAAAGAGGAGTGGAACGAATTAAGGTCGAAACAGAACAGACTGAAGTAGCCAAACCAACTACCAAAGCACTCTGTGCATATTTATATCATCCACCTCAGGCTTCTCCTCAAAACGCATCCCGAAAAGAGCTTCTTCGGCTTCGAAGAGCCAAACAAGAAGTGTTGTTGTTCGTGGGCTACGGCGACAACCTCATAAGTGCATTTACGATAGACGAACTGTAATAAATCATATTCGAATCTGGGGTATCTATAAGCAAGACGAAGGAATGTAAAATTAGACCAGGCTTCATAGGCTAGGCTTTGGCAGGCTCGGAGCTTATTTTTCTCAGCGGCTTTCTGTCGTTGTTGAAATTGCTGCTATTGAAGTTGCTGCTTCCACCGTAGAACAGCCTTCTTTTATTTTTGTTGGAGGTGGGCTGATTGGAATTCTCATTAAGGAAAAGTTGTGAGTTTCTGTTGCCTCTGCTGCCAGATCTGTTGTGTGAGTTGTTACCTGAAGAACTCGAAGAACGGCTTCCGCCGGCCAGGTTGAAGCGCTGCTTGGGGAGTGGGGATGAGTTTTCAAGGTCTGGGGATTCCAACCGCATCAGATTTCTCTTGTTGCTGTTGTTATTGTTGTTTCTCCTTCTCCTCAGAGACACATTGCGCTGTCCTGAGGAACGGCCCGCACTTTCGATATCCAAGTCGCTGAAGGTGGTGTTCAAGCTTTCGCTGGCATTCAGCAAAAGCGCGTCAATATCAACATCGACTTGTTCACGCTCCTTGATTTTACCCAGCAAGTCTGGATGCTTCTCCACAAGAGATGAAATAACTTGCACATTCTCCAGCAAGATCTCCTTGGACTCCTCGCCGTGGGACTTTGCAGCCTTTGCCAAAGCTACTAAAAGCTGCAAAATTGCCTTGGTCTTGTTCACGTTCAAATTGTCCATTTGCTTCCGCTTGGACATGAGGCTCTCGAGCAACGCATCGTAGTCTTTGTCGTTGCTGTCCAACTTGGCAGACAAATCATCGATTGTCCTAGCCAGCTCTTTCTTGTAGTTATCAAACAAGCGGTACATGCCGTCCAACTCTTGCTGGTAGTGGCGTTTGTATTCATGCTGAGAAGCTATCAAGGCGTCGTAGGCGATCTTCAAACGCTCGTGTTCGGCTGTAGAGAGAGACAGTGACTCTTGCAAGTTATCGCATCTGATCTTCAAGTTTTTGTTGGAGAGCTTGAGATTCTCATTGGACGAGTGGACGTCATCGAACTCCTCCTCCAAGTCGGTAATTCTGCGCTCTTTTCTCTTCAACAAAGCTCCAATCATATCGTTTTCGTGCTTGGCATTGGCCAACTGGTCGACGAAAGACTCATTCTTCTTACTCAAAATCTCATTCTTCTTCTTGTACGACTGGTTGGAGATCTTGAGCTCCTCAGCTTCATTCTTCAAGTCGTCAATCTCAGCCTGGAGTCTCTCGATGACTCTCGAGGTTGGCTTTTTCAGGGGACTTTCCATCTTCTTTGTGTATTAGCGCTTCAGATCAGCTCTAGTTGCTCAACAGAGTGAAAAGATGCGTAGAGTACTGGCGGTAGTAGGAAGTGCTCAATACTTAAGGTTTGAAGTCTTGATGTTGTTTACTTTTCGCAGCCGAGGCAGCCAACGACGCACCCGTACACCAGGCTTAGGTATGCAACGGGTTTCCACATGCTGCTAGTTATACGACAGCAAGATATTTAAATTTTTTGAAGATGAATTAGCCTTTAACAAACTTTTTAATACCACAGTATCTATGTTTCGGTAGTCAAATTTGGAATTAGAGTCGTACACTCATGCAGCATTCCTGTGAGACACATTCCCATAGCAGATTCTTCCTTAAAGATACTTATTGATGGATTATCAATAAAGTTCTCTATAAGCTTTTTTAAGTTTAGCGTATGAAACTAAAGCTACTGCAAAAATCAACATTCAATTGTTCATTCGTCTAACAGATGCACGATCTCGGCTACGACTTTGTATGACTAGCTATGACAGGAATAAGGCAGAGTCCGTCAAAGACACTGCTACTCAGATCGAAAAAGCCTTCAAAATCAAAATCAGCTCCAAAATTAGCACCGTCTAACCTCGTCCTTGGGATGCAATTCAATCTCATCTGCGATCCGTCTATGAAAAGCCACATGCAATCGAGCGGCTGCTCCATCGAACCTAGGAAATTCAGCTTTCTTACGGGCAGCCTCAACATCCCTTTCATATGCGGCCGTATCGAGAGCCCTGAGCATGCGTCTTAAGTCTCTATCCTTGTATCTGAGCGGATTGAGAGTGCAAATGATGATCTCGAGCCATTCGGGCGTATCCTTGTAGATCTGTTCGTAGCGCTTAAAATATTTAAAGCCCTGTAGACTCTCCTGGAAAGCCTTCAATTGAGTTAAATCCCTGCTCGCTTGGTCCATCTCTCCGATTTCATATAATTGCCTGATCATTTCGAGGGAAGTCAGGCATGGAGCAAGCACCATATCAAGGGCCTTTGTGTCGATGCTTTCACTAAGAACTCTATAAATGAAAGTATCAGTTCTAGCCGCCAATTTGTTGAGGTCGCCCTGTGGGATACCCTCGTACAAATCTTTAACGGAATCATCGATATGTTACACCTTGGAGACAAGCAGGATCCATCACACTTGAAAAGAACGGTATTCGAGCATCAGCCTTGGTTGGACGCAAAGAAGTCAATCTCCCATGGTCAGCGCTTCAATCTTAAAAAAAAAAAAAAAAAATATATGATGTCTCACTTACCTGAGGAGTCTTTGATTCTCTCGTCTTCGTATGTCTCTCTGGGGCACTTCATTGTGCAGTACCAACATAGGAATTTTGCATATTTTGTATATCTTTATCACGTGATCTCTTTGTCGTGCTGATCCACCTCTTAGACAGCGCTGTACAAAACATCCCCACACCATGGGCGTGTGGCGTAGTTGGTAGCGCGTTCGCTTAGCATGCGAAAGGTCTCCGGTTCGAATCCGGACTCGTCCATTTTTTTTATATCTATTTAAACCATGTTTCTGCCAGCAGATCATGCGTAGTGCTTCTTATCTTCCAACTCGTCTAGACGAATCTTCATCGCGGTGAGCTTGCGCTCCACGTCGACCCAAAACGAGTTCTCTCGCTCCATCAACGCCATGTACTTCTCAAAAACAAGCGTATTCTTCACCACCAACATGTGGTATGCCCTCATGATGCCCTCAATCGCTTCCTGTCTCTGATGCACCAGCTCCAAGTCAATTTTGTTCACGACCTCAGAAGAAAGGGCTGGAATGTCCAATGTGGAGAGTTCAGCCAAGTTAGAGTAGGCTTCCCGAATTGCCGGGAACTTGGCCAAAAGCACTTCCTGTTTCTCTGCATCTGGAACACTGCTGCGGTTTCTGACCTCAGGAATGTGTTTCTTTGGGTCTCTAACGGTTTCTATGATTCTCTCCAACGTCTGAAGCTCAGCATTGGACTTGTAAAGTGCATCGACTTTGGCCTGGAGATCTTGCACCTGTGCTGTCAAGGAAACACCAGATTTGTCCTTTTCTCCTGCCTGGAGTTCTAGTCTCGTTAGTCTGCTGCTGAGACTGTTGAATGTGGAAGAATCCATGGTGATAATATGTGCGAAACGGAAGTAAGCGCACAATGTGAGCCCTATTGACAGAAGCATGAGGTAATGGTGTTGGGGAATGAGCTCAATGTGATTTCGTATTTTCGTTCAGATTTCGATCTTGGCCGTTCTTGACAATCCGTGGCCACAGAATGGCAATTTCAGAGGACTGTGATAATCAGAGACCAGCTCTTCTACGGCGGTGATAAGACTCTACAAAGTAAATGTAAAATACCATCGTCAATTTGATGGCCCGAATATATTTGCGTGGCTATCAGCCTTTTAATATCCTTGGCCTAGGCAGCTGCTGGAGGTGTCTGCCAAATTAAGTAGGATCTGCCGAGTCTTTCGGTGGTTCAACCCTCTAGCGTCCAATTGCAGCCATCTAGCGGAGTCGTCTCACTCTTCCTCGCTGCTGCTAAATTCATCGTTTTTGCTGTCGCCGTAAAGCTCTCGGAGACTCATGGGCTTGCCCTGCTTGGCGTCCAGGCCGTTTCGGCCGAACGACTTCTTCTCGGGCTCCGGCTCGTCGGCCATTTTGATCACAATCCGCTCCCGAGCACCGCCATCATCGTCATCCTCGTCACTTTCGGAAAAGTTCTCGCCAAAGGCGTTCGGCAGACTCTCCGACGACTCCAACACCTCCTGGAGCTGGTCTTCAAGGTCCTTGAAGTCGTCGTCCATATCCACGTCACCGTCTTTCTTGGCTCTCTTAGCCGTCCGTGGCTTCGGCTTCGGCTTCTCTACTTCCTTGAGGGCACTGCCCGTCATGAGGTTCGATGTCTCGGACTCGCTCTCCAAGTCCTCAAAGTCCTCCATGTTGATGATCTCCTTATCGGGCGTCGCTGAAGGCGGCCTTTTTGCCGCTTTCTTTGTAGGTTTCTTCACGGGCTTCTTCACCTCGCCATTCGTCTTTGTCGGCCCAGTGGCAGCCTGCTGCTGCTGTGCCTTCACCTCAGGAATATAGATCCCATCCTTCGGCGCCTTCTGCCACTCGGCAATCGCCGTTCGCCACTTGTCGGCATTTCTGCTTTTGCTCATTCGTATCGTGTTGGAGAGCTGTTGTAGCAGCACCTTGACGGCTCCCTTGTGGTCTTTTTCAAAAGCCAAGTAGAAGGAGTCTGGCCCCGACCCGCTGGCTCCGGCTCGCTGTCTTTGCTGGATTCCTTCGAAGATCACAGTAGGTGCCTTTCCCTTCTGAAGGGACAGCTGTGCTTCAAGCACACACGTCTGGTCGTCTCTATAAAGCTTTAGTGGCTCCTTCTGGCTCATGGAATCAGGAACAAAGCCGTATCGGAGAGCTAGCGGTCCATTCGATGTAGCAGTTTCGTTGTCGTAGCCTAGAACCGACAAGTCGATGTCGTACTCGCCGTCAGGAAGCATGGTGGGGAAAATCGAAAGGAGTGTGGAAGAAAATGGTGTAGGAGGAGTATGGTGAGGCGCACTAGGCACGAATGTAGTGAGGGCCTGGTGATGTCAAAAAGGGAAAGACCATAACGGAGCGGCGTGAGAGATGGATGATTCAGATGAATGTTTTGTGATGGTTACGTTGCTTTAATGGAGATTTTTGAAGGCGATCCCCGGGAAGATGGAAATTAAGATGGTAGGTAGGGCGCTTATTGGGTCAGCAGCATCCGCCCATGCCCAGAAACGGGAATGAGGGATCCAAAAAGGCGGATCGGGCTTTTTGTGGTGATGAGGTTTTATTGGTACTTTGGAGAAGGGGAAGATCTCGGGCACTGTGTTTGAGTTATTTTTGGGTTTCCGTGGTAGGTGGAGAGCACGGCAACTCTAGGCGAGGCTAGATCGTGTAGAAGTCTTAGGTTGGAAGGGGTGGTGTAGTGTGGTGAAGTGGTTTTTTTAATGTGATTCGGAGTTGTAGAAAGATTTGAAGGAGCTAAGTTTTAGGATCAAGGTTTGGCACGGTGTTGCATTGGGATATCGGTGTACTAGTTGACCGATCCATGAATGTTCAGCGATTCTCTCAGAGCAACGGGGTTTTAACCCCATAGCGCCTGAATTTTATTTCAGTAGTTCCTTTAAAGAGAAACCAATGTGGCATTCATCTCCAACCTGAGTTCTGAGTATTTGGAAGTCACTGTTCATGGTGAATGAGCAAACAAGCCATTGTGCTAGTATCTGGCTGCGAAAAGCGAAAGTTGAGAACACCACCACCACAACATCCTAAACTTTGACAAGACCACTATAAATTCCCATTTTACGCTAATTCACTCAATATTAATCACTTAAGACCAACTTTGTCCCTTTGCATTTCCATTTCACACGAAAGAAGGACGATCTAGACGCACCATCGGTTTCCATCAACCAACAACCCCATCTACTCACCAGCAATCCATTGCCCTCCAAAAGCTAAATTTCGATGAAATAAGCAAAAATGAACCCCTCTTAACTCTACCTTCATCAACTCTGACCCCACAATCACCTTCGATCCATCAACTTCGTTCACGTGACCATTGTTGACATTTCCATTGATTGGGTATCGCTTTGATCTACTACGCTTTCATGGCCTCTGAAGAAAAGGTGTCACTTTTGCACCCTAAGGTGCTTCTAATGACAGCAGGAGCTACTGCGTCAATTCTTCTTTCTTATAAGTTCTACACTCGCTACATCCGCCGCATACGAAGCTACCTAGACTTGAGCCATGACATTCTTGATGGTCAGCGCAACTTGTATGGAAAAGTCACCAGAGTGGGAGACGGAGACAACTTTCGTTTTTTCCATACACCCGGTGGGATCATTGCTGGCTGGGGATGGCTTCGAAAAATCCCTACAAAGCCGCTGGAGTTGAAAGATGAGACGTTAATGATCAGACTTTGTGGGGTTGATGCACCAGAAAACGCCCACTTTGGGAAGCCAGCACAACCATACTCCAAAGAAGCACTCGAATGGCTCAAAGGCTACTTGCTTGATCGCTATGTGACCATCACGCCATATTCCATTGACCAATACAAGCGTGTGGTTGCAAGAGCTCAAGTTTGGAAATGGACTGGCAGAAAAGATGTCAGTGCAGAGATGCTCCGTCACGGACTCGGCTTGGTGTATGAAGGCAAGATAGGAGCAGAATTCGGCGACAACGAAGCTTGGTACAGAAAGCTAGAGGCCAAAGCAAAAAGAAAGAAGAAGGGCTTATGGTCTTTGGGCAGAAAGCTCGTCACTCCCGGAGAGTTTAAACGAAGCTGAGCATCATTTCATCGTGCATTTTATAATTTTCCCTTGCCCAGTCACTTGAGCAACGCTGACACCTCCTCACTCAACTCATTTGCATGCTCCTTGGTGTCAGCTTCAGCATATACCCTAACAGCATCCTCAGTGCCCGAGGCCCTCACGAATGATCTTCCCTCAGAGTACTTTGAAACAATCTCATCAATCTTATCTTGCATTCCGGCGGGCTCCACCAAGGTCCGCTCGGCGTTTGTAGTCTTGAAAACAGTACGGTCAGGAACCACCACCTTCACCAACTTGTTTGGCAAGTCCGTGTACTCTTGGTCCCACTGCTCTGGCGTCAACTTCAAGTAGTGAAGAATGACCAAAACAGTCAACAAGTCGGAGATGGCATCACCCACGGTTTGGTTGATCAACTTGGTGAACTGCTGGAGCACCTTCAACGCCTCAGTTTCTTCAGGCGAGGCTGCCTCGTGAGCAAAAATCTTCTCCTCAGCATCCTTGGAGAAAATGACGGTACCATGGCCGTTGGCCTCGAAGTAAACACCGACGTCGTACTTCTCAGCCTCGTGGTGCAAGTGCTTCACACCTGTAGGTGTACAACGAACAGGCAATTTCAAGACATCCGAGACGTACTTCGTGGAAGAACCATTAGCGTATGCGGTTTGGATAACGGCAATGTCCAACTTGAGTTTGGAAGTGTCGATCTTAGACAACAATCTCTGCAAGAACAAGGCAATCAAGGTGGCAATCTTGTCACCATCCAACAACTTGAAAGTACCGTCTTCAGTCTGGTAATAGTGAACCAATCTGTCTGCGTCACCGTCAAATGAGCCGTACAACTTGCCTGGTGTAGGGGAAACGTTCTTTGGAAGACGCTGGTTGGTCTTGACGTAATCAGCACCGCAATCGAAGTTAAGCAATTCAGGTTTAGTGTAGTCGTTGTTGACAAAAGAGTAGCTGATCTCGTCGTTCAAGTACTTTTCAAAGAGATCCTTGACTTTAGGAGCTCCCACACCGTTGGCAGAGTCCACGGTGATCTCCACCTTTTCGTCTCCCCCGTACTTGAAGATCTCCTTGAAGGAGTCGGCCAATTTCTGGTAGTAGCCCTGTTCCAGGGTCACGCCAAAGGCAGGATCATTCGTAGTACGTGTCACGTAGTGCAATTGAGGTGTAGTGAACAAACCGTAATCGGTGAAGGTAGAGGCTGGAATAGACTCCACGCCAGCAATTGTAGCGTCAGACAATCTCGAGGAGGATTCACGAGAGTCTCTGGCAATCACAACGTTGGCTGGGGTGTTCAAATCAATTCCCAACTCCTTAACGAGCTTTTCCACGGCGCCCGCCAACTCCGGATGACTAGCATTGGCCAAGTCAGTGGCATACTTTTCCCATGAGCTCTCCAACATGCTACCCAAAGGATCCACAACCTTCACGCCGTTGTCCTGAGGAGGGTTATGGGAAGCAGTGACCATGACACCGACAGTCTGGCCCTTCAAATACTTGGATCTCAACAGGGCTAAGATTCCAACAGTGTAGTTGACGTAGTCCAACAAATCAGCTTTCATTCTGAAACCGGCGGTGCCGTAGGCGTAGGTCACACCCTCGGGCTTGGGGCACTTGCTAATGCGTTCGAAAATTAGGTCCTTGATCATTTTGGTGAAAAAGGTGGGAGGATCATCCGGGGACAGCTAAGTACAGATCTCATGAGCCCTTGTTTGTGTACTGCACAAACGCTATGCCAAAAGGGTATTCTTAGTGCTTCATGCACCTTCATGTAGCGCTTTTGTAGATGAGAGTTGCATTTTCCTGAAAATACAACATCAGCTCAGATATGAAGAAGCCGGGGAAGTTTGCAAACTCGTCGTTTCACAAGGAAGGCCGTGTCGTGAACAATGAGCCTCCGAAGAAGCCGACAACCCCAAAAGATGAGTTTTTCACGGAGCTCGTGAAAACCGGCAGACCCAATTGGAAAAAGGCCCCAACAGCAGTGAAACAACAATACAATGGTATCTTTTTGATCCTTTTCTCCATTCCCATCATGGCACTCTCTGGCTGGGAGCTTTATAGAAGAGTGGAGGGCAAGTCCACCAAAAAGGTTCAGGAAGGTGAGATCGTCCAGGGTAAGGAAGTGAGGAAGTTTGGGGAGGCGGAAAAATGGCAGAGGGAGAAGGACAGTGTCTTGTACAAGATCTTTGGTCGTGACTTCTTCTTGGACGGCTTTACCAGTAAAACCATGAAGCGTGACGACAAAAAGGAGGACGAGAAATAGCCGTTTATTTCCATGCTTTCTTTGCTGATTTGATTGGTTGCAAGAGATGACTTTCGTCGAAACGGGAGCCAATAGACGAACCCGGTCTATCAGGCGATGTTGAACGTAAACTCAACCGGTCAAGAGCAGGCTCGACATCATCTATGCTACCGGTCTCATATGCCAAATTTGGCGTGGTCTGTCCCGCCAAAGAGAGTTTGTCAGCTCTCATTGTGAGCAGCGACGCCCGAGACCGCTCTTGTGGCGTCATTTCCCCTGCAAACAGGGAACTTGTTGAGGATGCTCTTCTTCCACTCATACGTTTCTTAGGCAAAGTGAACAGCGGCGGACTCCTCAACATTGTAGGCGACATATGTGGCGTCTTGAGCAATGGATTTGCTAAATGAATGGGGAGCTGCTTCGATTCAGGTCGCCTGTCCGGTGATATGAAAACTGGATGCGATGGACTAATGCTGGGTATGCGTGATCCCTTCGCCGGTATCTTTTTGATCACCGGAAACCTCATTTGTATATAGTTCTCAACAATAATAGGTATCTTAGAGGGCTGCGGATCGAAATTCTGACTGAATTGTTGGAGGATTCTAGTGTAATTAGACACCGCTTCTTTGGGATGTGTTTCTGGGGTCTTTGGGTGGACGAGAGTTTCCGTGCTATCATCTTGCGATAGCTTCACCTCTTCATCCTTGGGAGACAGCTGGAGTCCAAGAAGAGCCATCTGTAGCCTCGAGCTTCGAAGCTGGCCAGGCTCTATGTCCAAATCCACAAACCGATCTGTCTTTTGAGCACTGATAGGTACATTAGGAGAGGGATTGACGTCAAGTCGAAGATCAAAGCCTCCATTATTAGGCGAATTAGTAGACGACAATCTCTTGGTCTCGGACAACGCCAGCGGTGTCCGTTTTTGAATCATTTTGACAGGCTTGAGGCCATCCTCACCGAGCTCGGGAGTGGACCCCCTGGGAGTACCAGGTGATTTGCCGATGCTTATGGAGCCACTTAGAAGTTCGTTCACTTCAGTCCATTTTGGGCGAATTTCTAATCTAAACCTATCTCGTATGCCCTTATCATCACCGACATAGTCCACCATGGCTTTATGTAGAAGCATGTTGGCGTTCGAACACATTTTGAATGAGATACCTAGCTCGTCACTCACTTCTGAGACACCCATTTCCTGGCTCTTCTTAAGCTTCTCGGCCATTTCATCTAGCTTGGTTACCATCAGATCAATGAGGAACATGCACAAGTGACGCCAGCGCAGAACGATTGCAGAACTTCGTAGTTCACTGAAATCGGATACGACTTTTCTCCAGGATTTTCTAAGAGAATGGAAGTCCTGGTTCACGTCAGCGATGGCTGATGGGAAAATAATGCCACAATGCTGTTTGAACTCGCCGATTCGATGCTCGAGAAATTTGATCGATATGCTGATGGGCTTAAGTCTACTTTCAAAGCGCTCAAAGTTTTCGAAAAACTCTCTTTCCTCGGTTGAGAACGCCATGATCGGCGTATCTATGCTGTTGTCTGACCCAGTGAGCTTCACCTTGGACACCACCTTCTCCATGCTCAAGTCGTTTGGAAGTTCCGAGAGTTTCACATCTCGCAAAGAGTTGTAGATGTCGTCACAGGTCCCAATCTCTCGCTTTATCTCCTTAATGCTGTCAAATCGTAATTCGTGATACTGAGCCGATATAGACACAGCGGTCTGAGCCTGCAAAAGGGCCTGCTTTGCCTTGGCCAAAAGATCGCTCGTATGTTTGAGGTGACCCAGCAATTCCTTAGTATCTAGAGCCCCGGTAGCGCCATTGTCTGAGCCACAAACAGCTCAATCAGGGTGACTTCCTTGTATAGGGTACTCACCAATGCACGTTCTTCATGGTACCATCCTAGGGTCTCGTCCTCGGCTTTATCAAAAAGAGCCTTGATTTGATGAAGATACAGCTCGACATCGAGAAGGATAGCCACGGCTTTTGAGTTCTCAAACGTCAGAAGACCTCTCTCTTGATGCTTCAGGTCTGTTAGATCGCTTCCTATTAGAGCGGCAAAGTCGAAGTGGCGCTTGGCCCATGGCGGAGACATTATTTATCCTGAAGGTTTGAGAAGTTAAAGCCATAAGTAGCAGGACAAGTCCAATCGACCAAGTGTGTGATTGTTGATAAAGCGTGCTTTGTTTATGGATCTGATACGGGTGCATGCAGGTGACAAGGTACGGTCACAGAGATGACCTGTGGTAAAGGGATTCGGGCAGTTTTGTGATTTGTCAATATGATTAAAGGATCTCGGAGAAAAGGTCTATAGATTTTGATAAGAACTTTTTGGTGGGTGGGGTGAATCTTATGGAGACCCTAGATGGGTAGTATGCAACGCAGACCAAAGTACGTACCAGTGAGACAGCGTTACGGTTCTTCGAAGCAACAAAAAAATAAAAAAGGGATAACTTTAAAACTTCGGTAGTATTGGCGCCGGAAGAGTCACTACTGCCTGTATGTTTTCTGACCGGGGTGCAATTCTGCTGGTCTTAGTCTACCTCAGAATGGCTGCGAAAACGTATTTGCACCCAAAAACTACTGCTTCACGAACACTTGAAACTCCCACTCTTCTTCGAAAAATCAACAAAACATGCGCTACGCCTCCAAAACCCTCAAGCACAAGAAAGGGTTTTACCACCGAAAATACAGACCCCGTCTGTGCTCCTCGGTGTTTGATCTTCCTTTAAACCAGCCTTCTTCACCACTATCTCCAGGAAGTGACGAATCTGTCATTGACGAGATATTCAGTGCTTTTGCCGCAAGTAGCCCTTATGTGATTGAATCTCTTGAATCAGTGGAGCCAGATCGGTCTAGGGTCTCCACTGCCGATACACTTCCTACGGTCCCAGAAGGTACCCCAGTGCTTGTTCACAAACCCACGGAACTAGAACCGTTTCCCCGAGAACCTATAAAGCTGACCCCGGTTAAGGTCTCAAGAATACCCACAAAACCGAGAATTACCACCTTGGACCGCTGGCACTTAAGAGAACTAGAGCGTATCTACTACCTGAACAATGTGTGGAAGTACCATAGAATCAAGGCGGTCAGATTCGGCTGGAGGGCAATGAGGGCAAGAGTGAAGGCACTTTTGGGATACCGGGCTGAAGTTGAAGTGAAGCTTCCTGTGAGATCTGTTAAATCACCGAATGTGGAATGTTTGTTGTGGGATGGATCGTCAGAGGAGAGTATCAGCTGCTCTGAGGTGTTACCAAGGATCAGAGGGAGGCGTCTGAAACAAAAAATTGAGTTTGAAAAGAAAGTTGTTCAAAGTGAAACTGTACCAAATTCTCAGAGAAAAGGTTCCGGCAATTGTGATGAGCATTCCTTGAGACTGGCACCAGAGAAGGTGAAACCCAAAAGTAGTCCCAGAGATGATGATTCTAACAACCATCCAGGAGAAAAGCGAAAACCGCCGGTGCCAGGCTCTCGAGACTCTTCGTGGCAATTGGTGAAAAAGCCCATCAATTTGAAACCACAGAAGTGGGACAAGTCTACAACAGAGAGATTCAACAACATGATCCTACAAGAGCACTACGGCAACCTCATCAAGAGCTTCATGAGCTGTCAGAAAAGAGTCACCTTATCGAAAGACTTCCTCCTCGAATTGAACTTTTCAGGGTCTCAAGGGTTCAGCGGGTTTCAGAATGCCGTTAGTATGGCCCTCAAAGCACGGTCGGCAGTAGACGAGTTGGAGGGTGGGTTTAGGAAGATGATACCGTTGGGAATCAAGTCAGCGGAATTTAGTAAGTGCTTGGGTATCAAGCTTCCAGAGTTAGATCACCATTGGGCATGGCTGCGAAATGAGGGTTCCTCAAACATTGAAACGAAAATGCATCTCGATACGCAAGGCCACTTGCTGGTGAACTTACTTCTTGATGACAAGAATGAGAAGAAGGGCGTTTCTGAGTCTACTTCAAATCCTGGGCCTGATTCCATACCGAGATCGAGAGGCCTGGATAATCCATCACACTCTAGGTTTGCCGGCGCTGAAAGTCTTTGCACCACTGCAGACGACTTGATACGGGCTGCTCGAGATATACTTGGTTAAAACGAAATCGACGACGAAGAAGAAAGTTCTCAGTGAAGTTTTATGTACCTCTGGAAGTTAATGAGAATGGCTGCGAAACTATGTAATGGCTGCAAACTGGGTTCGGTAATGCCAAAGACCGCACCACCTAATATTCTCGACTCAAGCTTTCTAACGTATCGTTCAGCTTCAAGTCTCATTTGACGTGTCAAAAATAAACTAAAGTAGCTAGAAATGGTTATGGGATGGTCCTTTGGCCTTGTAGCTCATCAGATACGTAAAGTACTGTGACCTGATTGCAAGATTCCTAATTGCCATCTCATCATCTATATTCTCTAAAAAAGAACACTATTTTAATTAGCCGATTGATATAAACTTGTGATATCCTTCCCAAATGGGTAACCATGTCTAATGGCCCTGCTACCTGGTGTACAGGTGCGATGGGTTATCTCTGCGATGAGCCGGATCATCGCTACAACCAATATTCACCATGGCTAAGGTGGCTAAAAAGAAGTTTTCGTCTGCTCCAGACCCCACGGGCAAGACCGTGGCGGCCGATAAAGCCATGAACTCGGTTTTCAAGTTCAACACAAACCTCGGTCAGCATATTCTCAAGAACCCGCTTGTGGCTCAGGGCATCGTGGATAAGGCTCAAATCAAGCCCAGTGATATCGTCTTGGAAGTCGGTCCTGGTACCGGTAACTTGACGGTCAGAATCTTGGAAAAAGCACGCAAGGTTATTGCCTCGGAAATGGACCCTCGAATGGCTGCTGAACTTACCAAGAGAGTCGCTGGTACACCCAACCAGAAGAAGCTTGAAATCATCTTGGGTGACTTCATCAAGGCGGAGCTTCCGTACTTTGACGTTTGCATTTCGAACACTCCTTACCAGATTTCTTCCCCTTTGGTTTTCAAGCTCTTGAACCAACCCAACCCTCCTAGAGTGTCCATTCTTATGTTCCAGAGAGAATTCGCTTTACGTCTTTTGGCCCGTCCTGGCGACGCCTTGTACTGTCGTCTCTCTGCCAACGTTCAAATGTGGGCCAATGTCACGCATATCATGAAGGTCGGCAAGAACAATTTTAGACCTCCTCCTCAGGTGGAGTCCTCTGTGGTGAGAGTCGAGATCAAACAGCCTAGACCCAACATAGACTTCAACGAGTGGGACGGCTTGCTTCGAATTGTGTTTGTGAGAAAAAACAAGACCATCTCTGCTGGTTTCAAATCAAGCAACGTCATTGAGATCTTGGAGAAGAACTACAAGACGCTTTTGGCGACTCAGAACGCTGACGATGGCATGATGGTCGACTCCAAAACGGACTTGAAGGACGTCGTCAAGGAAAAAATCGAAACTGTGTTGAGAGAAACCGATTTCGCCGAAAAGCGTGCTGCCAAGCTCGACCAGACAGACTTCCTCAAGCTTCTTTACGCCTTCCACCAGGTGGGCATCCACTTTGCATAAACCTTGTACTATATAATCTATCATCTATCGTCTTTTACCGCTCTTCAGTGTATCCTTCTCTATCACCTCGCCAACACCACCAAGCTCTTCGAGCTGGTCCTCGGCCATTCTCACCTGCTCTCTTCTCTCCCAGAAACGATCCTCACAGAGATCAAATGCAGCCTTCTTGAGGTACTTACCTCTGGCGTCTCTGTTACTGGAAATGGACCACTCGAGGAATTGAGCGCCAGTACGGATGTAAAAGGCTCGGAGGTTTTCGAAAGGCTTTGGATGTGGGAGCCATGGACGAGGGTCAGGAATCTCGTCCTCGTTTTCTTCTTCTTCTTCCTCCTCCTCGATTTCTTCTTCCTCTTCCTCTTCAGCTTCCTCAGGCTCCTCCTCTTCGTCATCCTCTTCATCATCATCGTCCCCCTCGTCGTCAGAGCTCACATAAGTCTTGTCAAGCTCGCTGTGGTCCTCCCAGAACACCTTCACTCCATCAAGCTTGTTCAAGTCAATGGAGTACATCGAGTCGAGGTTGAATTCCTGTTCGCCTCTCTCGAAAATACCGCCAAAGATGTACAAGGAGTCGTCAGCAACACAGGCTGTGGCATTGAAACGGGGATGTGGAAGCTGGTTCACAACAGGGAATTCCACCTTGTCGCTCTCCATCTCCTCTCGTTCCTCCTGCTGCTTCAAACGCTCAATCTGAGAAACCTCCTCCGTTTCTTCGTCGTCATCGTTCAAGTTTGCCTTGGCCAAAATCGAGTTCAAGATATCCTCCAAGTCCTCGTCTCTGTTGTTCTTCTCCTTGACAGGCTCCTGCTTCTTCTTCTTACGAGGCTTCAACGTCAAGTTGTACCACCTGTTGACCTCCACCTGGTAAGACTGAAGGGTGTTGTAAAACTGAGACTCAATCTTCTCGTCACTTTCATCGTAATCATAGACACCGCCAAACATGATACCACGGTTTTTGTGGAACACCATGGAGCAGCCGACTCTGGGCGACGGACTGAAACCCTGCTTTCTTCTCCTTTCAAAGCGGATACCCTTAGGATCGGCCTTCATCTTCACCAACCACGTATCCGTGAGCACCTTACCCTTTTGCAGACCTTTCTTACCCTTGACCTTACAGTATCCACCGTAAATCACAGCACCTTCAGGATGGGGCACCATGGAATGACCAGAGCGGGCATCTGGAACAGGATGGGCGGGAGGGAACTCAGCTTGAGTCCATTTGTGTGTGGTAATATCAAAGAGCCACATATCGTGGAGATAGGTAGTCAGCACACCCAAGTCTCTGAAACCTCCATGCAAAATAATGTAGTGTTTCCACACACACATTCTGTGGCCGGATCTCGCCGAAGGACCCTTCTTCTGGTCAATCTTCTCCCACTCCTTGGTCTCAGCATCCAAAACCCAGGTATCGCCGTAGTGGTAGAAGGTGGACTGCTTGGGTGACGAAAATTCACCGCCAAACATCACCACAATTCCCGAAGGATGGGCACACATAGCATGCGAAGAACGAGGCAAAGGAGCGTTCTTTGAGGTGTACCTTCTCCATGTGTTGTTGTCGATGGTGTAGGTGTGCAAGTCGTTGTAGAACCTGGCCATACCGTTTTCGTTGGCTTCACCTCCAAACAATAGCAATTCTCTTTTTCCTTGAAGAGGACTGGCCACCATTGCCGGGTTGAGTCGTTTCGACGGCCTATCCACGACATCCACCTTCACAGCAAGAAGCTCTTCTTGTTCTTTGGCATACTGCTCCAAGATTGCATCGATGTCCTGGTCCTCTTCCTCGTCTTCTCCAGACTTCTTGGCCTGCTTTTTCTGCTTCAGCTCGGCCTTCTGGTTATTCTTCTTCTGCTTCTCTGCGGCACGGGCCTTTTTGTCCTCCTTGGACTTTTTGTCTTTCTTTCCCATGGTGGTAGCGATGGCTTCGCGATTTCGCAGCCATACGGTGAAGAGGTGAGGACGATGTGATGTGGATTTTGGTCAAGTGGGATTTGCTGAAGTGGAGGTGAATATTAGGTGAAGAAAATAGAGGAAAATATTCAGATTTTGGGTTTTGGGGGGTGGATTAAGGTCAATGGTACATCCATTGATTGACCTACCACGGTACCGGTTCAACAATAGCGAAACATCCTTTCAATCTTGAAAAATTTGGTATCATCCACTCAATTGACTTTCTCACTACAATGTCTTCATGAAATTTCCTCACATTAGTTTGACAAGTACTTCATAATTCAAGTGATTAGCTTTTCTTCATTGATTCACCAGACGCCTTGCATCGTTCTATTGTACATTCTACACCGAAATCGTCTTCCAGACGTTCAAACCGTCACCGCCAGTCGAAACAAGACAGCCGGGAATCTGTGGGTGCCATCTGACGTCCTTCACATGTCTCTGCCAGTGGACAAACAACAACTGTGGAGGAATGTCGTGCAATTCCTGAGCTTCCTTTCTCTGCTGGGAAATCTCTTCATCGTCAGCCTCAACAGCCAAATCCCACAAGGTCACAGTATTGTCCTCAGAAGACACAGCAATGATGGACTCGTCCAATGGGTTGAACGAGATGGAGGTCACAGGAGCCTTGTGGAAATCGTAGTGTGCAACTGGAGAAGGCTTGTCCTTACCGTTGAAGTTACGCAAGTCCCAGACACCCCAGGTGCCGTCGTCGTGACCGGATGCAAGCAAGTGGGAGATCTTGGTGCTCCATGAAATGACATTGACGTCGGACTTGGAGGCCTCCACTGAGATCACAGGCTTGTGCTTCTTGGATCTGGTGTCCCAGATTCTCACGTAACCGTCGCAGTCTCCGGTAGCGAAAACGGTGTTTTCATTAGTGGACCATTGAATGTCTTCGATGGACGCTTGTGATGCAAAAAATGGGGTCTTGTCGGTAACCCAGTTGGAGGTGGTTCTGTTGGTCAAGTGCACTCTGCCCAGGCAGTCACCCAGCAAAAGAGCACCGGTATTTATAAGCGGAGACCAGTCCAAACCGTAACCTTCGACATTGCCGTGGGTACGGATTGTGTGGATGGGTCTTTTGGCACCCTTGGGGATCATGTAGCCTGGGGTGTCGAAAGCCTTGTACTGGGGCAGGAGGTCGTAAATAAGCACTTCACCGTTTTCTTGCAGCGCTGCTGTCAAGTATTCGCCGGTCTGGGCGGCGTGGGGAGAAACTCTCAATCTGTTGGTCGTGGACTTGAGAGGGACGGTTTCGGAGATCATCGCAGGGTCGGAATCCTCGTCATCCTCGTCGTCTTCATCGTCATCGTCCTCGGCGTCATCCTTCACCAAAGTCTTGGCCAAAGACAGCAACTTCATGGTGATCAACTCGTTGTCCTTGGCTTTAGAGGCCTGAGTAGCAGTAGCCACATACAAAGACGCAGGGTACGTTCTTCTCTCGTTACCCAAGTTGTCGGGCAAAATGTCAAGCGTCAAACACGGCCAGGGCATGTTCACGTTGTGCAACATTTCGTACACCGTAGGGTCGGCTTCAAGCACCTCATCTGGACCAAGTGGTTTCGACCTGTGGGGCAAGTATATCTCGGGCTGGTTCTGGTTATTGTCAATTTCGATTTCTTCGATTTTGCCTTCACCTTCGGTAGCGCCCTCCTCGCCTTCAGAATCAAGCTCAATGATCTCTCCATCCGACTCAAAGTCGTCTCCATAAGGGTCCTCGTAGTCACCCATATCAACGTCTTTTTCTTCAATTTGTGCACCTGCAGCGGGAGGAACAGAACCGGAGGAGGCCTTGACGGCTCCACTGTTCACACCGTTTACGTCGTCTTCAGCTGCTCTTTTAGGCATCCTTGGGCATACGATGTAGTTGGTAGATGCCTGCGATGAGCTGAAAAAACGAACCACGGTCACGTGCGCGACCCGTCAAGGAGGCGTATCTCCAAGTATTTTAGAAATTTTCCAAAACGAAGGGTTCTATCGTTCTTTTCGGGCAAATTCACCTGTAATAACCATCTTTCACCTCTGGCCCTGGGTTTACCCACCTCCCCACATATACCCTGTTTTGACTTCGCAGCATCAACAACCATGGAGAGAAAGGCCTTCTTAGACCAGGAACCACCACCAGGGTACGTGGCCGGTGTGGGCCGAGGAGCTACTGGCTTCACCACTAGCGCCGATACCGGGCCGGTCCGTTTTGAGTCGGAATTTGGCACAGAGGACGAGGATCGTGGAGTCCTAGCACTGAAGGGAAACGATGAAGACGAGGAGGCAGACGAGATATACGAAGCCATTGAGAAGCGGCTTGAGAGAAGGCGGAAGCGGAGGGAAGCTGAGACCGAGGACGGCGTGGTCAAGATCGAAACGGGGTCGGGTACCATCACCTCTGAGTTTCTGGATCTCAAGAGCCAATTGGCGTCTGTGCTGGCTCTGGAATGGGCCAGTTTACCTGAAGTGGGTGATTTGACGAGGAGGAACAAAAGACAGAGGCTTCTCGAGCAACAGCTGCAAAGAACGTATGCTGCTCCTGATGTGCTTATTGCAGGGAGTGGAGGAGGCTTCAGAAATGATAAACAGGAGGTGAATGAAAACACAGAATCGCTTTTGGAGGAGTTGGAGGCTGACGCAGCTCAGCGTGTTGACGTGGACAGAAGCCGACAGATCTTGGCTTCTCTTCGGAAAACGGAACCTAACAAAGCTGACCTGTGGATCGCTTCAGCTAGGCTAGAAGAGCAGGCAAAGAACTTCGAGGCAGCAAAGAAGCTCATTGTCGAAGGATGCAATCGAGCTCCACATTCCGAGCTGGTCTGGCTCGAAAGCATCAAAATCCATAAAAAGTCGTCAGAAAGCACAAAGTTGTGCAAGTACATCATCAACGAGGCGCTACGGCTTAACTCAGAGTCAGAGCAGCTTTGGTTGCAGGCTGTGGAGCTTGAAAATCCAGCTGATGTCATTTCTCGCCGGAAGATTCTCATGAAGGCTTTGGAGTTTCTTCCCTCGAATTCAAAGCTCTGGAAAGCGCTTGTGGATTTGGAATCTGAGGACGACGACGTAAAGCGGATTTTGGAAAAGGCCACACAATTGTGTCCAGACGACTGGGAACTCTGGCTCGGATTGCTCAAGTTGTCTAGCTACTCCGATAGTAAAAAGGCGCTCAATTCGGCTAGAAAGCAGTTGCCTAAGAATCCGCATATCTGGGTCACTGCGCTTAAACTCGAAGAAAGAGAAAATACCGAAATCAGTGAGCAGAAACTAGTGAAAATGCTCAAGAAGGGTTTTGAGGAGCTCGAGAAGAACTCCTACGATCACGACAAGACGTTCTGGTTGGAAGAGGCTGCCATAGCTGAAAAAGAGGGTTTCACCAGCACAGCCAAAGCTATTGTCGAGAACTTATTTGTGTTGCTTTCTAAAGGTGACAACCAGATCGAGGAGGTCTTCAAAGCAGCCGAGCAGCTATCGAAAGAGTCAGCTTCCAAGAGCTCCATTCATATCTACGACTTGCTCACACACGAGTACCCTAACAATATTAGCTGCTGGTCACGATTGTTCAAGGTACTCCGAGAAGAGAAGCTCGACAAAGAGGAGATCTATCGGTTTTATGAAAAGGCGATCAAGGCCAATTCCGAAGTGGAGGTTCTTCGCTTGATGTATGCAAAGGATGCTTGGGTCACCTGTTCAGACGTGCCTCATGCTAGAAGTGTTCTCGATAAAGCCGAGAAGGATTTGCAAAAGAGTGAAAAGATCTACTTGGCTAAGCTCAAGCTTGAGGTTATGAATCATGATTATAAGAAGGCTTTCAATGTAGCCAAACTCGCATTGGAAGAATCACCCAGTACCTCGCCCAGATTGTGGTACAAATACATTCATTTATTAAGGTTCTGTCAATTCAAACAGCTAGAGTTTGTCACAGACGTTTCGATCACAGACATATGCGACGAGGCATTATCGAATTTCCCTGAAAACCCAAAACTATATTTACAAAAGTCACAAGTGCTTGAAGATACAGGGGATCTCCGCCAGGCTCGTGAAACATTATCAATCGGTTCCCGCAAATGTCCAAAATCAGCAGAAGTGTGGATTGCTTTAGCGAATCTTGACGTCAAATTGGGGCATCTTCGAGAGCAAGATCCATCCTTGACACTGGAATTCTTGAGAACCCAGCAAACGCCGAATTATGGGCTGCTAAGATTCTGTTGGAATTGGAAGAAAAAGATATCATTACAGCAAGGCAGCTTATTAATCGTGCTCGACAGCAATTTGCATCCTCGCCTGAAATTTGGATCCATCACCTAACGATGATTCCCAAGATGTCACACAGAAAGAATGCGTTTATTGATGCATTGAAGCAAACTAACAATGCGTCCGAGATTCTATTGGGTATAGGTGTATTTTTCTGGATCGACGGGCACTTCGCCAAAGCCAAAGCCTGGTTTGATAGGGCTCTCAACGCTGATAAACGCAATGGTGATGCATGGGGTTGGGCATTTTGTTTCATAGACAAGCTGGGCACCCCAAAGGAGAAATCTAAACTCATTGACGACTTGGCAACGCATTTCGATCTGATAAATAAAGGAAAGACATGGATCTCAGTCAAAAAGGATCCGAAGAACTTTGACAAAGGACCACAGGAGATCGTCGAGCAGGTCTCTCAAGCTTTGCTCGAGACATCAGTTGCAAAGTAAGATTTATCAAGAGTTGGTGGTCTTGTTTTGGTACAAGCGAAGATTTAATGCACTCAAGAAGCACGGAATCAGATCCTTCTCATTCACCCACTGTGTAACTAATTCAGAACATAGGTTGCGGAAGTCGTAGGCACCATGGGCTTTGAGGTCTTTCGTGTGCACATCGAGGGTCAAGTAGCACGCTTCAGACTCTTTGCCGTTTCTGTTCTGAAACTTGGAATAAAGTTTCATCTTTGAGCACAAATCATTAGGGTTCATTGGACTTGGAACAAACTCAATGGAATAGCCAAAGAATTTAGACACCAAAGACATAATTTTCTTGCTTTTGTCGGTGTAGACACTTGTCAAGCGACTGTTTTTCTTATTAAGCTGATCAATCTTGTTTTGTAGATTTTCCTTGTCGTTTTCTTGTCTGGCAAAAAGAGCCATTGGAACAGTTTCGACATCCGCATTGTTGACAAACTTTGTGATGAGTGCTTCGTTTTCCTTGCGGAGAAGATCGAGAGTCTCTTGCTTGACAAGCTGGTCCCTATTGAACGGATTCTTTCTGAGTTCGAGAATATGCGTCGTTTGGGTAGTTGCGTTGTCATAAGCATCAAGCTTATTTTTGAGAATGCTTACCTCATCTTTGAGTCCCTTTACTTTGGAAAGGAGCTCGATGTTCTCGTTTCGAAGCGTCTTCGTATTGAAAACGTGTGTATCGTCTTCTAGAATTCTTGGACGTTTTGTAGGTGCCAAAGGAGCAACACTGACGCCATTCCTTTCCTGGCGTAGGGTTTCTATCTCTTTCTTGTAGTCGTCAACCAATTTCTCCAAATTAGAGAGATACTGGTTAGTCGCCTGGCTCTTGTCTTTGTCTTCAGGTTCAGGGCTGGCACTCAGCTTGCGCAACAAAGCTGCGTCGAGCTCTTTGACAGATCTGCGAAGGAACTCGATCTCACGAGTGTTGAGAAGCTTTATCTTCTGAAGCTCCTTGAGTTCTGCTTGCGCTTTTTCGAGCTCTTCCTTCAACTTCCGATTCTCGGGCTCGAGCTCCTGCTCTAACTTGGCTATAAGTTGCTCGCCTGACTGTGTGAGCTCTGTGATAGACACCTGTGCCTGATTGAGCTTATCGTAGAGAACCAAGTTCTTGTTTTGCAAACCTCTATAATCCAGAAGGAGGCTAGAGACTTTGGCATCTTGGCTCTCGGCATCATCGCCGCCTTCCAAGTTCTGTGCTAAAAAGCCAAAATACTCGTCGAACTTCGCTTTGATCTCAAGACGACCGATTTCCAGCTGTGTAGCTCTGCGATCGGCACTCTCGAGACTTTCCACCTTATTGGACAACGAAGCACATTTTTGTCTCAAGAGCTCAACACTCGTCTTATGCTGGAGGAGCAGATCTACCTTGGCCTGAAGCTGACTGTTGGTCTGTTGGAGGGACATGTTTCTCAACCGTAGATCTTCCGCCGTCTTGATAACGGAGCCATTTTCTGACTGTCTCTTTGCCATCCTGAGGCGTTCGGTCAAGTCATCATTGAGCTGGGACAAGCGCAGGATTTCTTTCTCTAGCACCTTGACTTGGTCTCTATATTGGTCGTTCGCTGTAAGCTCCCGGTTGAGGTCTGCCCTGAGATGCTCACATTTGCCTGTCACGCTGTTGTACAGCCTCTCCAAGCGATCAAGCTGCTGCTTCAACAGTCTGTTTTCTTTCTTCAATGTGGAGGATTCAGCCAACGAGTCTGACGAGCTTTTCCCAGCGATATCCTTCTGGTTCTGCAATTTGCTTTGTAGCTCCTTTCTCTGGTTGAACACATAGTCAAAATTGCCTTGTAATGCGGCCAACTCCTCGTTCTTCCGTGAAAGAAGGTCCTCATACCTCTTCTTCAGTGAATCGCTACTCTGTTCAAGTAGGCGTTTTTCGGTTCGAAGAGCTCCATTTTCATACTCCAATTTGGAGATCCGCTCTAGTAAGTCGCCTTTGCTGTCTGACAGTCGGAATTCGACGAATGGCAGCAGGCTTCGTTGGGACATAAAGAAGGTGGAGTTGATGTTTTGCTCAGTATGGCGCGAACTGCAGTAGTCATTGTGGTGAAGCATCGGAGATTGCAAAAGTCGAATGGGCACTACCGGAAAATTGGAATTCATGAATGAAGGCAAATAGTGTCATTTGAGCAGAGAAGGCAGCTAGGGTTTAGAAGTGAATTGGGGTATTGTAAGTTTGTTGTATGGTGGAACATCCATGGCTGCGAAATCTGTCACTCTACTCATTATGTTGCATCTTACATTTTGTCCCAATTGGTAAATCGACTAACTTACTCGAGCTAGTTAGCAAGATATATATGAATCTATTGTAGGTCTCAATGGGGAAAAAGTGTCCTGAATTGTGTACCTATTATCTAGTGGTCGACAACTATCCGAGCATATCTCACGAAGGAATTGCTCAGAGTGGTCAACAGATCTTTTCTCATCTTCAGTCATGGAAGATTTGGATCACGACTGTTAACATTAAAAAATGTGGACTTCCTGCTTATGGCTAGTTCAGCTGCAACAGCTTTGTGAAACATCCCCTAAAATGCTTATAGTTTCCAAATTGCGGAATAAGTTTTGTTTAAATATGCAAATATAAGCTTTTGGCCCATTCCTTAACCCTCTCCAATTGCCTACCAAACTTTTTGCACCCACTAGAAACTGCTAGGCTCCATCGGAAGACTCCACGGCTGCCACACCCGTGCACCATGACTTCAATACTTGAGCGATCCAGGAATACCGTTCCACATATAATCATGTCCAAAGTGTACGTGCCCGGTATCCATATCGTCAAACTGTACTAACCCAGCAGACCCAGAAACTTTAAGCTTCTAGAGGAATTGGAGAAAGGCGAGAAGGGCTTGGGTGCCCAATCGATCTCTTATGGCTTGTCCAATCAGGACGATATCACCATGACCCACTGGAACGGCACCATCTTGGGCCCACCTCACCTGACCCACGAGAACCGCATCTATTCATTGAGCATTGTCTGTGGTGACGACTACCCAGAACAGCCCCCGGACGTGACCTTTGTGTCGAAAATCAACCTTCCTTGTGTCAACTCCGAGGGCAAGGTCGTCATCTCCGAGTTCGACACGTTGAAGAACTGGAAGCGCACCTACACCATGGAAACTGTTCTTTTAGAGTTGCGGAAGGCCATGGCGCTGGCCAGCAACAAGAAGCTCCCCAGCCGGCCGAGGGCTCCACGTATTAGTAATTTCATACTGCTTCAATCACCTTCATTGATCACTCCTTGGCTCTTTCGGGAATGGAGTCCGGCACACCGTGTTCTTCGAGCCACTTGTAGGTCTCCTTCTCTACTTGTAGGAACTTTTCAATATCCGGTCCATACTTCACACGCCGGATATTGTTCGTTTGGGCGTCGGTGACTTCTATGTTGATCCATCTTTCACCATGGTGCTTCTTCCCGTTGATAGTTTTCGTTTCAGGTACCAAACATCGCTGGAATACTCGTTTGAAGGGTAAGCAGACGAACTCGTAGCCTTCTTCTAGAATCTTGTAAGTGCACTCATTCTGAGTTAGCGATTTCAATTGGCATTTGTACTTCTCGGGATTCTTGAGCTGCTCTGCAAACTGCAGCTGCACCTCTGCACGTGAGTGAACGACCACAGGTGGCGCCATGGTGGTAGTTGTGAAGATGCCTTGTGGAAGCCAGAAGAGGGTGTATTTAGGGTGCACGGGTGTCACCATACCATACCCAGTAAAGTCCAGAAACCAAGGTAAAGTAATAGAGATTTTCAAATCTTTTAATATCTATTCAGATGAAAGTCCATCCCTTTTATGTTTGGTATACTTATTTGGATGAATAGAGCTGCGGTGTATGGAGAATATCAACCAATGCGCCTAACACTACTAAAGCATACAGATTACGGATCTAAAAGATCTATATGCTTCTTTAGGAATGTCTGGATTAAGAACAATGGCGAAAATTTTATTAGAGTTCGTCTGGCTGCACCCACTTACATCTGGTTCATACGGAATGTTGCATTACTAGCATAAGACAGACCTAATCCTTCTTGTTTCTGGCAGCCTTCTTCAAGGCTCTGGCACGGATGCTCTTGTGCATGCTGAGGTTCAACTTGTTAGCAACGCTCGAGTACACACCGACAGTGTTCTCGATACCAAAGTGCATCAAGGCATGGGTCCAGAATGGAGTGGAGGTAGCAAATCTCTCCTGAGCACCGCTACGACGACCAACGCTGGCCAATGTAGACTGGACAAAAGCCTTTGGCGAAGGAATGGTAGCACTGGTTCTTCTGATCTTGGACATAGCAGAGGTGACCAAATAGGAGACAACGAGCTCAACATCAATACCCTGAGGCTTCAACTCACCGGCCAAAGCAGCAGACCACTGTTGCAAGAAAGCCTTGGAGCCGGAGTAGGTAGCCAAGTAAGGAGTGGGCAACAAACCGCCAAAAGAGCCCATGGTAAGAATAAGACCCCTAGAGGACTTGTCGGAAACGGTCTCGGCAATCAATGGGGCCACAATCTGGGTGATCTTCAAAGTGACGGTGTTGTTCAAGGTAATAATGTCCACCAATTCCTTCTCCTCGGTCTCCAAGAATGGCACTGGGATGGAGTGGGACTGACCAACGTTGTTGATCAACACAGTCACGGGCAAACCGGCAATTGACTCACGCAAGAGCTCGTAGTTTGCTGGAGCATCGGTGGACGCGTCGAAAGCCACGTACTTGGTCTCCACTCCGTACTTAGCAGCGATTTCATCAGCAAGTGCCTCCAACTTCGAAGCAGTTCTCGAAACCAAAACAACATTGAGACCCTTTTTGGCAAGCTGGAGAGCGTACTCCTTACCAATTCCATCAGAGGCACCAGTAATGACGGCCCATTTGCCTTTTTTGGCACCATACTTGGAAAAGTTGGTGGCTGGAAGAACAAAGATGTCAGCCAACAAAGCACCAAGCGACAAGGTCAAGTTGGTGATTTTGTAGATACCTGTGAAGAGAGCGGCAAACAAAAAGGCCTGCACGAGCTTTGACTCCGATACGGAGACTATGAAGTCTTGAATAGCCATGATGGTGGTGGTGTAGGTGACTTCAATATACTTTTCAGTGTTGCGCGCCATAGCCATCCTTGGCAGAGTACATAGGAGACAATGTGTAGAGGCAATATCCCGAGGAATCCGGTTTGAGATAGTAGTTTTTGTTAGTATTAGCACATGGCGGTGACGCCGATTTAAAACATATGGGGAAGGCTCTGTGCCCACGGATACCAGCATTCCGGGGTCTGATAGTAGTAGCGAGCAGGTTACTATGGTACACTCCACAGTGATGTGGATGGGCGTTGACCGGAGGTGTCAAAAGCGGAAGAATAAATTAGTTGTTTAGTCAAAGTGGGAGATTATGTGAGCAGATAAAGCAAAATTGCATTGTCGAATGACGCCAGGGATAGATACTTGCCTTAGCATGTACTCATCTCACACCTCTCAGACTCACAAAAAGGTAAACTCATCGAGCTTCTCGGATGTCATTTCCACATTCAAGGCGTCCCTCTTGGCATAAACATCTAGAAGGTCCATGTGGGCTTTGAGCTTGTGCACCTGCGCTTGTAACAGCCCAAGGGACCTATTTACATTGACAAGCTCTTGGTGACGTGCTTCTAGGCGCAGGGCCACTTTGCCATCCCTGATATGTAGTATGGAGATCCATGGGTCTGTGTATGTGGAAGCAGAGCTACCTTGATCTCTGGATGCTCTAGGGGAAGTACCCGAGCTTGGAATGTGCCGAGGCGACGATGTATCATGTTTGGGCGTACCCACAGACTTGCTGCGGCTTGGCTCCTTGGTGAACTCTCTTCTATCTCTGTCTCTGTAGTCTGAGTAGTGCCCATCCCTGCTATCTCGAGGCAGCGGTCTGTCCCTGCTATATGAGGGCTCACGTTCTCTGTAGTCGTCCCTCCTATCTTCTTCTCTGTACTCTCTTGGATCTCTATCCCTTGGATCCCTTTCCCTGGGGTCTCTATCCCGGGGATCTCTGTCTCTTGGATCTAGTTCCCTTGGATCTCTCTCTCTGGGGTAGCTGTCTCTAGGGTAGCTGTCTCTAGGGTAGCTGTCTCTGGGGTAGCTGTCTCTGGGATCACGGTCCCTAGGATCTCTGTAACGTGGCTCTCTATCCCTGGGGTCCCTTGGGTCTCCATAATCTCTTCTGTATTCTCTTCCTCTTGGAGCTCCTCTTCCACGGCCTCTATAGCCAGAACCTCTGTAGTGGTCTCTACCTCCACGGTAGCCTCCTCTTCCCCCACGTGGTCCTTCGTATCGCCTATCCGGGTAACCTCTGTCACCGTAGTTGTATCCGCTCATATGGAGAAAGGTGTAGTTGAAAGTGAGAAGTGTTGATGTCTGGGGTGTAGAGGTGTACTACTTGATGGAGTACCACTAGTATAGAAGAGACAAAGCTGAATTTTGTGATTCAACAAGAATTCTTACCTGCGGGGCATTTTGGTCATTTTTCCTGTAATTTATTTGTCTTTACTATTTTTGTGTCTCTTGTTGCACTAAGCCCGAAGATAACGATACTGGCATAGTGGCTGCAAAATAGACCTCACTGGACACCCATACAACACTACATGCAGCAGTGCCAAACTACACCCCAACAACAAAACCTAATACATTCATCATCTCTTGACTATATCCAAAGCCTAGATTCCAAGGTAGGGCTTGCCCACATCGAACCGATACGTCTTGTACTGGTCGACGTAGATCTGGTTATTGAGCTCCACCTTACCACCAACTTCCGACACAATGTCCTCATTTCCACAAACAAGAAGAATACCGTTTGCATTTGCAGGCATCTCCTCAACTGGATCGAGATTGTGAAGCGAATTCACCAAAGCGTTGGCAACAACCCTCGACATGGCCATAGCCCAGCCTGCCGATTTCATGATGGGAATTTCCACCAAATCACCCACACAGAAGAAGTGCTTGATTGGCTCGTTGCTGTCGGGAATCTCAAGCTGGAGGTACTTGTTGACGAAGACATTGTTCTTGGGAGAAACGTATTTTTCAAGACCACCGGCAAGAATGGATGTGTTGTTGTGGAAAGCGGTGCACCAGTACGTGAAGTCAGTCTCGACAATGTCGCCATTGGTGAGCTCCAAGTTGTGATTCTCTAGTTCTTGCTTCACACGCACACCAGTCATGATCTTAACCTTTGCACGCTCAAGCGATTCCCTAACAGCTTGCTTGAACTCATCGGTAAGTGGCTCTGGAGGGAAAGTGGCATGAGGATGAATCAAAATAACTTCTTTATCTGGATGTTTTGTCTTGATATCACCAGCGATCTCAATACCCACCGCACCAGCACCCACTACAGCGATTTTGTTGTGCTTCTTCACGGTCGCATTGAAGTTGACCATCTCTTCAAGATAGCTCTCCCAGTTAAGGGCATCTGGAGAGGAGGGCCACGTTCTGTTTCTGCCGGCTGCGAAAACACAGTAGTCGAAGGAAATGTTCTCTTCATTGTCGGAGTTGTTGAGCTTGTACTTTGCTTCCTTCTCCTTCAATTCTGTCACCTTACCTTGAATATAGGTAAGTTCAATGTCCTCGTTCACGCCTGGCTCAATGGCAGGGCCGACCTTGTTCACGACAAACTCGTCGTCAGAAAGCATCCTATCGAAACGACAAGTCTTGTACTTCTCCATTGACACATACTGAGTTTTGGAAAACTCCGGGTCCACAATCGACCGAGGTACACCAAGGACGTTAAGAAAGCCTGCCTTGGGCTCCACAAGCGTCACAGTAAGCTTCTTCTCCACCTTCTTCTCCTTCAAGAAGTTCTTCAATTGGTTGATGAAGGCCATGCCTCCGTAGGAGCCACCAACAACCAAAATGTTCGTGGATAAGGAAGCCACCAGTTTCAGAACAGCAGATGCAATTGTCATGATTACCGAACAACTTGGGGAAATCTGGGGTCTTATATAGCTGTGGGTGCAAAACTATGGCGATGCAGGGCTTCTATGCTGGAATATAAGGAAATGGCACCGTTGCGTGAATTTAGGCGTATATGTTGGTTCTGTGAAGGAGGGTCATACTGACAGGGGCTTAGAAGATGGAAAAGATAAAGAGCGGCTCCGAAATGGTCACCTTGGCATGTGTGCCAGCGCTAATAAGCAGTGTGTACAGAGACGGAGACGGAGTAGGGTTTCGGACCCGAGCCGGGAGATCTGGGCTTCCCTGGGACCAGGAATGAATCCTTTTTCAACTAATTTTTGTTATTAGTGCTTCAGACTCACCTTTTAATCTCACCAATTCTTATTATTTTCTTGTCTGATGGTGTTGTGTTTGAGGCATCTGGCGCCGTAGAGATCTCGTATTTTCAGTGCTCGGAGCCACGGCTTTATTTCCTGATCTAGGGGAATAATGGAGTTTGACGTACCCCGTTGAGTGCGACTGGAATATCGGTGCCGAGGTCGGCATTCTCATCGGACCGGTGGGTGTGTCCAGGAATTGTTCCAAATGCAGTTAGAGGGGCTCATCTAGACGGAGATGGGTTTTTGTTGTGGAGCAGAGGCAGCGTGGAAGAAGACTGGAAATAAAGTAGACACGAATGAGGACTTTGGAGGAATAAGCGAGAGAGCTTTGGAGGTGGAGCACTGGTTTGGTGGACTGGGCTGACGGAATCTGGAGTGACTTTTTGACTTTATGGAGCTTAGCCACGATCCACAATATTGTCTCTAATTCCGTCGCTCGAGCCGATGAATCCGACAAAGGCTGTATGACCTCATTGCTGTGACTAAAGTGAGTAAGCATTAGTAAGTTGTAGAGGCCTGTAAAAGGAAGCGTGTCATCACCGCAGCCAGACGGTCGGGCAAAGTGGCACGGTACTCCGAGATGAACAAAAATCCTCTTTTGGCGGACATCATTCACTTTTAACGGTCGTTTTGTGATCTGTTGAAGAAGCAAGTGATCTGTACCTGTCTCACCTCTATAACTACAAACGAATCTTTTGTTTCCATCCCTCAATACATCACCATATCTATTCCCTAGTGATATAGCCAAGCATCAATAAAGAAGAACTCTTGTTTTCTTGACACGCTCCAGACATACACCAAAACTTCACCACTTGAACGCACTTTTCGGTGGCTGCAAACACGGTTCACCGAAGCTGCATTCCTGCACACATCAACACCGTGTGCAAGGCTTTTTCATGTAATTACTTTTCCCGATTGGGACACTCGGTAAACAAACCTAGTACGCCTAGCAAGACCCTCTCTTTAGCGAACAATCCACCATCATTCTTCATGGAAGAACTTCAGCCACCACTCCATAAACCATATACTTACGATGACTACGACGAAGTGTCCCTGTTCGATTGTGCATCTATAGAATCGCCTTCCCTGGCTGCATCCATTTTCGATGAACTTGTCTTCACTAATAAGCTAGACTTACACAAATTTCTAGATGACATGGCCACATTTCATGATTGCATTGATGATAGGTTTAACGGCATGACAAAAAGAATAGAATCCTTAGCATCGAATTGTCTCCGACATAGACAATTGTTAGAATCATCCTTAAGCAAGAGCGATGCCATGTCAGCTCTGCTTGAAGTCATGAGAAGCCAAGTGGATCATTGCTTACAATATATCAGGCCTGAAAAGGAGCCTGAATTGATTGAAGTCAAAGTGATCCCTTCGCCCCCTCCCATTTACTCTTCGGAGTACATCGACAACTACATGAAGAAGAACCAAAACGAGTCTTCCTACAAAGCCATTGTTGCAATCGTTGCAATGCTACTATACGTGGTCTTTATCCGTGACCGAAGCGAATGAAATGAATGAGTGACTGTGGTGGATTAGCCCATGTTCACTGAGCGAGGATAGCTGTCGTAGGCTTCGTCATTGTCTTCCTGGAAGTAAGGGTGCACCAACGCCCTCTTGGCGCTGATTCTGTTGCTGGGGTCGTAGTTCAACATTTGCTCAAGCAAGTCGACACCGTCCCTATCCAACGAAGGAATGTGCGGGCCCAAGTCACTACGTTCCCACTTTGGCCATGTTGTTTTGAAGTCCGGCAAGTACGTCACGTCTGGCCACACCTCCTCGTTGGGCGTACCCAAAATTCTGAAAATACGGAAAATCTCATCAATCTCGGAGTCACCAGGGAAAAGCGGTTTTCTGTTGCACATCTCGGCAAAGATACATCCGACAGACCACATATCCACACCAGTCGAATACTGTTTACCACCCAAAAGAATCTCCGGGGCCCTGTACCAAAGCGTCACCACCTCGTGGGTGTAAGCACGCAAGGGCACACCGAAAGCACGAGCCAAACCAAAGTCAGCGAGCTTCAAGTTACCGTCCTTGTCAATAAGCAAGTTTTGAGGCTTCAAGTCTCGGTGCAAAACACGGTGTGAATGGCAGTGCTTGATACCTTTGATCAACTGGTGCATAAACCTCTTGACCATGGAAGGCTCCAAGCCTGCTCCCTGGGGAATCAGCTCCATATACTTCTTCAAATCTAAGTCCAAAAACTCAAAAACCAAGTAGAGCTTGTGTGAGTCGGAGTGGATGATGTCGTAAAGACGCACGATATTGTCATCTCTCATCTCCTTGAGCAACGAAATCTCTCTGATAGCTGTAGAAGGCACACCTTCATCCTCAGACTCCAATCTGATCTTCTTCAAGGCTACCACACGGTTGTTGTGGCGGGTATCCAAGGCTTTGTAAACCACACCATATGTTCCTAGCATTAGCATAATTTGTAAAATAAATATGAATTCACATACCCTCGCCGATCTTCTCCTGGCGCTGGAAATCAGAAAGCTCCACCATGCTATGGAAGAAGGAGGTCGCGTCTATTCGCGTTGGAGGTGGATGCTTGTTGACGAGATGCACGGGTGTTGGGAAGAACACCCACTAATTTGGCGTAATCTCGATTAAAAAAAGTGAATATTGAAGATGATTCTTGTAGTTGGCTGAACTTGATTATAGAATTGCATTTATAATCTTAAAGGATGGTGTTTGAGTGTGGTATCTCGGTTGGAGTATTTCGCAGCCATACTCAGGGCTGAGATTGGGGAATTAGAACATGTGGGTAGATCTACTAAACTTATGTTTTGCTACACAGATTCTGTTTCTTCTCACATCAAGAAACAACAGTTAAAAAGTTTGATGAAATGTATTCGAATCTTGCCCATGGCATCTCATGATACTTCTCATCCCCACATTCCACTTTCTCACAATTTGGGCAATTCTCACGATGTGCATGCATAATTGCAGTAACAGCTGACTTTTGTGACATTCTCCAAACGAATTTGGAAAACTATTGATCTACGAATGTGAGTCCAATAGAATCTTTATTTCCCTTATGTTATTAACGTTTTTGATGATAATGGCAAATACTTTTTAAAGAATCGATATACGGCCAAATACCAGTTTGGTAAGATGTACGATCGCTCTACTAACTACAACCATAATAGGTACCGGGCCTCCTGGCCATCGTCGTAAATTAATGCTGGTCCTAACTGTATGCATAGGGAAAATTAAACATAGACCTGTCGTTTTGTTCTTTTGATGTAGCGCCTACTCCAGCACCCCATTGAGCACGGAAGCTTGAAGCTGGCCGTCTCCAGCGGCACAAACCTTGATCTCACGACCCCACTCACTATTAAGTATCTGTTTGCCGTTGATACGGCGGTTGGGCATCGGATCAAGGATGGAGTAGATAACGTTACGGCACCGAGCTCTCTTGAGAGCCTCAATGGGCTCGTAGCCAGTAGCGTCCTTACGCTTTGTCAAGTACTCCTGGAAGAACTCGTCCTTTTTGGGGTCGGCCAACTTCCACAATTGGCGACCGGTTCTCATGGCCATGTAAATGACACCGCAGGCCCAGATGTCAACGCAACGGGGGTCAAACGACTCCTGGGTGAACTCTTCTGGGGCGATGTAAGGGCTGGAGCCACAAATGCCTTCACTGAGTTGGATTTCCTCTTCCCAGGCCATCTTGAAGCACTCACCATTACCAAAATCGGTGATTTTCAACACACCCTGCTGAGTTAAAAGCAAGTTCTCCGGCTTCAAGTCACGATGAGCGACACCCATATCATGCATGTAGTTGACACCTCGTATGAGCTGCTTGAAGAAGCAGTCAGCCTCAGCGTACTCTAATTTTCCAGCAGCAATAATCAATGTGTACAAGTCACCACCAGAACAGAACTCCATCACCTCGCAGTAGTCGCCCTTGGCGTCCTTGAGCAAGTCTAGGGTGTCGATGATGTTCAAATGCTTCAAGGAGGAGGATATGCAAAACTCTGACGTCAAACGCCTGGAATACTTCTTTTCGGACTCGTTGGGTTTTCTCCTGAACTCCTTCACGGCGTACAAGACCTCGTCGGCGCTAGTAGCCTCGACCTTCTTGTGGGCCACTCTCACCACGCCAAACGAGCCCTTGCCAATCACCTCCTGGCAGCGGCCGTACTTTTCAACGAAGGAACGGCAGTCCTGCTGGCTCATGGGGTCTAGTAGCTCGCCGTGCTCCTGGTAAGGAGAGGTGTTGTTTTTGACCTGGTGAACCAAGCCGGCGAAAAGCGTGGGTGGTTTCTCCGGGTCGGGCTTGTTTTCGTTGTTCTGCACGGGCGAGAGGATGTTGGGCACCGCCAGCTTGGCCTCGTCTCGGAGTTTCTTCGCACCCAAGAGGTCCTTAAGCATATTGCTGAGCTTCTCCTGGCGCTTCGTGGCACGGAGATTGTGCTCGTGGTAGCCGTCCTCGATCATCTTGAAGCGCAGCTTTGGAGGAGCCGCTGGCAAGTTTGTCTGGGACGCCAGCGGCAGCACATTGGCCAGGGACCGCAGCGTGCTTTGCGGAGTCTTTCTCTTAGCACTCAGCGATCTCAGCACCGACGCCAGTTTCAGGCCCGGAGCAGGAGGTGCCAGAAGCCCGCTTGGCCCCAGACCGGAGGTTTTCCGTGGGGCCTGGTGGGAGTTGGCAGACAGAGGCCGTGATGAGGGCGGCAGTTTCTGGGCAAAGCCGTCGTGGAGAGCCAGCATAAGCGGCTGTGGATGGACCAAGTGGTCGTAGGAGTTGGCGGAGGCGCCGTTGGAGTCGGAGTTGACCGAAGCGCCTGACGGCAGCGTGGCGTTTGCTTTTCTGTCAGCTGGCAAGGGGTACAAAACATCGTCTTCTGGGATCGGGGGCGAGGCGATTTTGGCGAATTCCGCCACCAGGACGCCGTGGGGGGACTGGGGCGCCAGCAGCAGCGGCAGAAGCAGCCATTTTTCTCTGTCTGGTGTTTTCAGCTGTTGTCTTTCAGGAGACTTTTGTCTGTCCTTGTCCTTTTCGTGAAGGGACAGGAGGTGGAGGGAGGAGGAGGAGACGCCAAAGAGGCGGCCCAACTTGGACATTTTGGAAGTTTCGGGCTTTTTCTGTTTTTCGCCCATTTTGATGAAGAAATGTGGCTAAGGACGTGCCTCAGGCCTGACCGTTAAGAATGAAGCAGGTGAGTGTGAGAAAGTAAAAAAAAAAAAAGGCCGCTTTGACGCACAGAAGATAAACAGAGGACCGAAAAAATAAAAAAACAAAAATGTCGGGGGCAAAAAAAAACTTTAATAATGGGCAGGGCCGTGGGCACGGGTCAGCAGGAAAATGACAAATATTACTGGAATCAGCGGGTCTGGAGTTAAGCAAGGCAGCATGAGGCTGAGGCCGAGAAACAGAGTCTGGCTGCGAAGACCAGGGATGAGAATGGAGGGCTTTCAAATGAGGGAGGAATGGGCTTTAGAGATGTAAGGTGGAGCTTTTCAGGTTCGCTTAAAAGAGTTGTTCATCAAACACCTAGTTGAAAATCATAATGGGTTGCAAAATCCCTGGTGTCCATGACAATCGGTGACTAGCGATCTGCGAAGGCATACTGCGGATTCCGTTGGAGCGGCTAATAGCCCTTGCGCTTCAGGCATGGATGGTTCGATATCATGCTTTTTTTTAGAACGAGGTAGGTTTTCTGGCACCTAGCAACTAGGAGGTGGCGACACAATGGCTGCAAACCGCGGTGTCACCTGGATGGCTGTCACGGGCTTGAAACGAGGGAGGGGAGGCCAGGGCCATATGACTCAGAGCCAAGAGTCTTTTTTTGGCAGTGCTGATAAAGTGTGATTTGGATTTGATTTTCTTGTTTTTTTAGGGTGCCCGTGGGTGATGAGGATGTGGTGGAGGTCTGGCTGGAAGCTTTATTCCGTTCCGTCGCAGCGCAACCTGCCCGCTGACATCACAACGTAAGGAAAGAGGTGGTGATTTGATCAGCCGTGGCATCGATCTGGGGTTGTGGATGGAGGGCTTAAGATTTTGAATGAGTTTTTTTTTTTTTTTTTTGTTTGTTTGTTTTCCAGCTTCTCCTTCCTTTCAATGTCTGGCGGCTTCGGGCTTCGGGGCTTCGGATGCCAACGGCTTGACTGATCCATCGCATGTCTCCAAACCATTAGCCGCAAAAAGCACAATTATCAATTCCACACCGCCTCTCTGTACGAGTCCCGAAACTGTGTCACTCGCTTTTGTGTCTCTCACAGCCTCTCAGATTGCCGTGCGGCACAGCAGTTTTTAGACTGAGCGGATTGGCCAGGCTAGGAGAGGATGGTGGTTAAGGTTTCGGAACGGATTTACGTAATTGATGTGGAAGGTTTCGCTGGAGGTGTTGTGGATTGCTGTGTGGTGAAGGTGTCATTCGGAGACAATGGGAGCCAAGAAAGCAGTGGCATTTGACGGGTGACACCACATTGTTACGGTGGTTGAGGTAAACGATAAGAGTAAAGTGTATATGGAAGATGGCTTTCAAGATGCGCTTGAGCATGGACCCTGTGCACAAAGCCACAGTTCTTCAGGTTTCTCTGTTTAAGCGCATGCACATGTATGTACCTTGAGGAGCATGAGTGGTAGACACCAGGTTGAGGTATATGGATAAGAGGTGTTAGGTTGATTGATTTTAAATTATGTGTTGCTTTCAAGAAGACAACCTGAAACTATTTATGTTCTTCCTTTATCGGACTGGATAATGCTGGCGAAGGGAACTACCTGACGATGTATACCTTTTGCAGCAGGTCAGTTTATTGATTCTTTATTACTCGGAAAGAACGGACTGGTATTTGCCTTGAAAAGCCTAGCATCGTCATATTTAACCAGGTCGTCCACTCCGTTCATCAAAGGTTTGGGGCCTATCCCAGACAAAAAGGCCCACCACAATCACCCATTTTGAGTAGAGTTTGGCTCACCTCTCAAACGACTTCTTGCCGGTTTTTTACTCTTGTCACGAATTAAGCGTTGGATGAAGTTGATGAAAAACTTCACTGCCCACCTCAACTCAAATAGATCGAATTAGGGTTCCATATATTGGATGACCGAGGACCAACAAGGAGTAGCAAAGAAGCAATCGAAAGCATACTTCGAAGACCTGTCGATCATTTTCTTGAATGATGACAATGTTCCACCCAGGTTTACTGGTCTGTGACTTGACTTGATCCCTTCCGACATTATTGCAGAACAGGTCCTATCGCAAGTTATCATCAAGGGTGTTCTTTCTCGTTCAGCCAATGTCTCCAAGAAAGCAGCACCTTCATCAACGTCCTTAACATGTTTCCGAATATAGTCGCAATATTGCAAGCCAACTCCTTTCGAAACATTTTGGAAGGTCAAGTGTAACCACCAAATAAAGTCTTTCGACCGTATAAGTACGAAAGGAATCTTAAACAGGCATTTCTACTCACCAGAGTCCGCATTTTCGTCACATCTCGTCATTTCTGCCACAATAATTGACGCCTCAACATACCAGACCAGTCGTCTCAGTAGGACTTCTTAGCTGCTTAACAACAGACCCAATCTGCTACAAGACCCTCCAAACATCCATCTACCTCCTCCCTTTTTAGCCTCTTGTCTCACCCACCCATACCCTACACATCCTTACCGTAATACGTGTATCCTAGTGTCTACTCCTGGACAATGAAGTCCTTGAACTCCACATACGCCTTTTCAAGATCGTCGTTCACCACAACCTTGTCGTGAGCACCGGTTTCAGCGTACTCCATCTCGGCAGCAGCAGCAGCGATTCTCTTGGCAATGGAGTCCTCCGTCTCAGTGCCTCTCCCCGCCAATCTCTCCTTCAAAACGTCAATAGAAGGCGGACTCAAAAACAAGTAACGAGCGTCAAGCGACGACTGCTTCACAGCCTTGACGCCTTGCATATCAATGTCCAAAATACAGATTTTGTTCTGCTGGGCCACGTCGTCCACGGCCTTGATGGACGTGCCGTAGTAGTTGCCCGAAAACTGGGCCCACTCGATGAACTTCTTTTCCTCAATCATCTTCTTGAAGTCATCCACAGTGGTGAAGTGGTAGTCCACACCGTCCTTCTCGCCAGCTCTTGGAGATCTTGTGGTGTTGGAAACGGAGAAACCAAACTTGTCTGGGAACTCAGCAAGGAGCTTTTTGAGAAGAGTCGACTTGCCGGTACCGGAGGGGCCGGAGATCACAACTGGTCTGGGCATAATGAATGAAGAAGTCAAGTTGGTTTTTTCTCAACGCGCACCGTGTAAAAGTAGCGATGGATGCAAACAGAGGGTGAGGGGGTATAGAGAAACTCCAACGGATGAAGTTTTGTGGCGTTTCAAAATGTCGATAATTTCGATGGACTATTTTTTTCCTTTTTTTGACATTTCAGCGTATTCTATCACTTTGTTCGACATCCTTGAGGTCATTATTGTTACTGAAAATTGGCTGCGAAATTTCAAGAAAGATCGCGTATGGAAACGGAACGTGGAAGGAAAGATGTAGCTGCGTCAACGTGGTTTACATTTTCTTTCTGAAATCCAAAGCTCCGACCGTTCTCGTACTACTGGACAAAGCTTATGATTTTCGTGACTCTGATACGTTAAAGTGTTATTTTCATGGACCATCCAGATGAGGACTTTGTGATAGATGTCTCATCGTTCACAGACCATCATGTACCTGTGGCTTCAATAGGAAGGAATACAACCAAATTTCACTCTTGACACTCTTCTACAGATAGCAGGTTTTCAGGTCACGCATCTCTGTCGTTTCTGAGGTATGTATGTTATTCTCAATTTGTCAGTAACTCGAGGTTTCGCAGCCTTTCTGTCAATACCTCTAGGAACGACAATCTCCGAATAGTATGTCGAAAGTTTCCAGGGCCTTTAGATGTATCAAGAAGTCTGCTGAACCACCTCAAAATGGCCTTCCATTTCTTACGCTTCTAACATCCTGGTTGTGCACCGATTTTTCACGGAATTTGTCTGGCCCCTGACGACACAAATCCAGCGAAGAAACTGCTAAAAAGCTACCAAATTAGTACAATAGCTTTTGCTGTTTCCTCTTTCTCCATTTTCATTAACCACCGCTTTCCTCTTCTGTCAGTGGACCACTTTCCTAAGATGGCCTGCTCCAGTAGTGCACACACCACACCATCACTAAGTATACCGATCTGTTCAGACCAAAGATTCTCCACAATTTTCACCATGGACGGAGTCAAACAGGCACTTGGTGCCATGTACTCGGGCGCGAGCCAGGAGGATAAGAAAAAGGCAACGTCGCATTTGGAAGAATTCCAAAAATCTGCCGCGGCCTGGCAGGTTTCTCATGATCTTCTTCTCAATCCAAACGAGCCCATGGAATATAAGATGTTTGCATCACAGACGCTAAAAGCAAAGGCCATGTACGACTTGGGACAGGTACCTCAGGACCTGTTACCACAGCTCAAGGACTCTATTTTGGAGCTTGTGGCAGCATATTCGGGAGATAATGACCGTCTTATTCGTACACAGCTATGCCTTACATTGGCTCATTTATCCCTTCAGTACTTACAGTGGAACGGAGCCATGAGTGAAATATCTGCTTACTTGTCGTCTAAGCCAGATTACATGCCCGCCTTGCTCGAATTTTTCAAGGTTTTGCCTGAAGAATTGTCGGAATCAAATAAGTCGGCATTGACCGACGAGGAGTTCAACACCAGATCAGCGGACCTCATTACCCACAATGTTGAGAATGTGTTGTTGTTCTTGAAAAACGTCATTGAGCAGAAGTCTGCTCCCAGCACTATTGTCTTAGACTGTCTTAATTCTTGGATCAAGGAATGCCCAGTGGAAAGCATATGCCAGGTGGACTTGTTTGTGCAATTGATCTTTGTTTCCATCACCGAGGAGGCTACTTTCGAAAAGGCAGTTGACTGTCTCTGCTCCATTTTGCGCGAGACCAGAGACATTGATAACTTTAACTTGGTTGATGCCTTGTATGGCCAGATTTTGAAGATCAACGAGTTTTACACCAGCCACCCTGACAGATTAGATGACCCCGACGTTGTCGATGGTCTTACCAAGCTTTATGTTGAGGCCGGAGAGCTGTGGCATGTGTTGATTGCTAAGAATGCCGCTCATTTCAAACCACTAGTCCAGATCTTGCTCACCTGTTGTAAATACGAGGAGGACTTGGACGTGGTCAAGTACACATTTTACTTTTGGTACGAGCTTAAGCAGATGATCACTCTTCCGAAGTTCGAGGCCTCCAGAGTCGAATTCCTGGACGTCTACTTGCAATTGATCGAGGTCATAATCAAGCATCTTGCCTATCCCGTTGGCACTAACGAGGACAACCTTTTCGAAGGAGACAAGGAACAAGAGGATAAATTTAAAGAGTTCAGGTACGAGATGGGAGACGTCTTGAAGGACTGTTGTGCCGTTGTTGGTCCTCAAAAAGCGCTTAATGTTCCCTTCCATCAACTTCAGACACTCTTGTCGCAACAAAATGCCCATTGGCAGCACCTCGAGGCGTCGCTCTTCAGTATGAGAGTGATGGCAAAGGAGGTTTCGCTCAAAGAAAAGACAATTCTACCTGCTATCATGCAAATGCTCGTACAGTTACCAGAGCACCCCAAGCTCAGATATGCTGCTACCTTGGTTTTGGGTAGATACTCCCAGTGGACATCCAAGAACCCTGAATTTCTTGAACCTCAGCTCAACTACATCACTAAAGGCTTCCAGGGCGATCTTGTCAACAGCTTATCTGCTAGTGACAAAGAATCGATCTATAATGCTACTTGCCAGGCATTGATGTTCTTCTGTGAGGACTGTGCATCTGATCTTGTCAACTACCTCGAGCAGCTCTATATGTTGTACCAGCAGGTTCATAACGAGCTCCAGACCAAAGCGCTCTATGATTTGATGACCGGTTTGGCCCATGTCATGAAGAAGATCCCCGAGCAGGACCAATACAAGACCTGCCAGATGTTCTTGGGTCCAACCGTGGAGAAGATTAGACAATTGGCATCTGAGGGCTCTGTTCAAGACGAGAATGTCATTAATGCATTGCACGACGAAGCCGAGCTTCTCAGCATCTGTATTCGTGTGTTGAGGGCTCTGAACTTCGAAGCTCACGAGTACCCCGTGGCCAAATTCTTCATGGACTCTATTTGGCCAGTCGTCGAGGCTGTTCTCGACAAATTCAGCATTTCTCTTCATGTCAGCGAGAGCTTTGTGAAGCTCCTCAAAAACGCTTTGCATAGTTGCAGCATTTTCATCTCGTCAGTGTTGCCTCTGATAGCCAACGCCATCCACAAGGGTTTCCAGGCCACCACGTTTGGATGCTACTTGTATGTTTCAGGTGCCATGCTCAGAGAGTTCAGCGACGAGACAGTCAATCCACAGATCCAAGAAGCAGTATACCAACTCGGCTTGGAGCAAAGCTCGTCATTTTTTACGCTTCTTGAACAGAAGCCCGAGTCCATCAGGGAAATGCCTGATGTTATAGAGGACTTTTTCAACATGTCGACGGAATTGCTCATGTTCTACCCCAACAAGACAATTAGCAACGAGGGGCTCATGAAGTCGATTCTCCACGCCGGTATCCTCACACTCAACATGTGTGAAGAGTACAACCCCTAATTGCATGTGTGCATTTCTTCATTGACTACGTTTCGTGGGGATCGCCTTATCCACCCATTTCGTTCTTTGACGAGGACCCCAAGCAGATCCAGCAGTCTGTCAAGCAATTCTTGGTTACCGGAGGCCATGGCGAGCAGCTCATCAAAGTTGTTCTTCAAGGGCTTATTTTCAAATTCTACAACGACGTCGATGCTAACGATCTTGTGATCAAGATCTTGACGGTGTCGCCCGACACAGAGCAAGCGGTCGGCTGGCTTCAGAATGCAGCCAAAAGCCTCCCCAACGTTAGCGGGAAAGAGATTGAAAAGTTGATCGGGTCCATCGGCGTGGCACTTCCGAACAAGGACAACAGAAGAGTCAGGATGGCAGTCAGAGATTTTGTCAGCTGGTACTCACGCAAAAACGTGAATCTGAGAAGTACGTTTTAGCCAGCTTGATCTGATGGAATCGATTGTTCTTGGCTTCTGCTGGCAGCCAGGGGCTGATTTGGAGGCTGATCCAGAAACTGGCTGGATTTCAGGCACATGGAAGCCAGCCGATTTCAGGAACGGCTGGGGTCAAAACAGGGGAAATTGGGCTTGCTTGACACCCATTTTGGCAGCCGTTTGCAGCCACTTTCGGCAGACCTGCACACGGGGTTGTTTAAGGCTTGACAGAAAAAGATTTTCTTCTGGGAACAATGGGTTTTGCGCCCAGGCTTTCGGCTACTTTTGTTTTTGACTGGCTGGAAGTTTCAGAAAGAAGGGAATTGTTTGATCTGTGAAACTACCTGGTTGATCTGGCTCTGGGCAAGAAACATGGCGGCGCTAATTATAGCACGCCCCAGGTTCCATAACGGAAGGTGGATCTCTGCATCTGGCGTCTTTTCTTTTTTTTTTGGCAGGCCGCATGTACGCAAGCGAGGCCGCTACAAAATCTTACGAGCATATGACAGGCGGGGCCGAGATGTACACACCGGGCTGAGTAAACCACGGCACCAAGAAAATGGGCACTTTTCCAAGGCCAAGGCAGATCAAAGCCAAGCGAAGACACAATCACGAAAATAAGCTTTGAGTGTTCGTCGGTTACCGTGTGTGCCGGTATGGTTTGGCAACGTTTTACGACCACACTTGACGGGCAGAGAATGCCCAGCCAGGCTTGTCTGGCTTGTTCGGCTTGTTCGTTTCAACAGAGAATTCAGCCTGGGTTGCCGTTTCCAAAAATAAACCCCTTACACGGGGCTGGCGCCCGCTTTTTTAGTCTCTGCAACAAAAGCGGCGGAATACAGCCTCTTCTGCCTTAGCCTGGGCCGCACTGATGGAGGCCACGGGTTTGAGCGGTGCTTCTATTCTTCTTTTTCCAAGTGAGGCGTTCCATGGCAATATGGCGGATTCTATTGGCCAGCTTTGGAACCCTGTTTGAGATGATTGCAGCCAGAAACCAGGGCGGCTGCGGGCGTGACCCAAAGCGGGAGGACACCTTCCCTTTTCGGAGGTTTGCACGGCAGGCAGAAGCGCACCACGTGCAGGCTGGGGCGTCAAAAGCAGGCTTGATGCATAATCGATGGAGGTTGCAAAAAAGAAAACAAGAGATAAAGAAATTCCTTGCGGTGCCCGGCGGTCTATATAAGACGGCCCAGCTCCCACCCCAAATCTTTTTTTTTCCTCATCAACTAACTTCGTCTTTCGCTATGCAATTCTCCACCGTCGCCATCTTCGCCGCTGCTGCCTCCGCTGTCTCTGCTTCCGCTAACGTCACCTCCGTGACTGACTTTTCTTCTACCTTGGTCACCATCACCGACTGTGGTTCAGAGGTCACTGACTGCCCAGCCCACCAGCCATCCACCGTTGCCAACGTCTCCACCTACGAGGGTGCTGCTAACAAGCAGTTCGCCGCTGGTGCCGTTGCCTTGGCTGCTGGTGCTTTGTTGGCTTTGTAAGCTGTCTAGAATTCCCTGTTTAGACTGCGCATGGCCGCAAGGTTCAGTTCTTGGTGTATATTATATGATTAATACAGAGTATCATAATTAACTTTACTTGTAGACTATCAGCATCGGGCTGTGTTTCAAGACTTACGCACCTTGCCTTGGCATCAACGTCCCATTGTGGTATCGTAACCACAAGTCAGATGTCAGAATGCTTGACGGGTTTCACCTGCTGATATTATGTTTCAGCAAGCGTTCTGTTTATCTCGGTGGAATGTGTGACTGTTTCATCCACCGAAACACATTTCTCTTGTTGCAGGGATATCCATTCTCCCATTGTGAAGGTTTCCCAAAAGAGCACGTTTGTTCTTTGTTAGGAGCCAAACCCGCCAAAACGGTGGTACCTGGGACAAACCGAGGCCGAGGGCTGGCCCCTCATTTGCTATCATTAATGTTTTTCTTTTTTTACAAAGTCTACTGAGTTGCTGCCAGACATCAACCAAATTAGCCCCTCTTACATATCACGATAAGAAGTCGAGATGGCTGTTTCGGGATATCGTGAAAATTCTCCCATTGTTGCAAATCTACCTAAACCTCGTCAGTGATTTTCACGGTTAAGCCAAGCTGCACTGATAAGCAAAGCCGGGGGCTTGGAAATGGGCTCATGTGTGCGGTCGTCTAGAGCATTGTGGGATTTCTTGAAATAGACGGTGAGGCGGGAATGGAGTGATTTTTATGGATTTAGAGAAGAGCCGTGGGAGTAAATTACCATTGTGAGAGAAGGTGAGCTTGGCAGCTCGATCGGCATTTATCCGTTTTCGGTGTCAATTAGGTGCTCCAAATAGCCGAGACAACTGCATCGGTAGTCAATTAGGGTTCCCTTTTAAGCTTTTTCAAAATAATGAAAGCTTTTAAATTTACCGAAAGCTTAAATAATGAAAGTTTTTCAAAATAATGAAAGCTTAAATAATGAAAGCTTTTCAAAATACCGAAAGCAATCACTACATTGATCTACAGGTCAACAAAACAAAACTCAATCTATTAATAACAATTTAGGCGGCAGTGGGCACGGGAGTCACAGTGCTGGACTCCACAGACTGGGCCTGGGCAATAGCATCGCCGCCAATGTAGTCAAATGGGTTCAAAACCCCAGAACGAATCAACTCAGGAATAAGCTCAATGATAAGCTGGATCAAACCAGCACGGGTCTCGCTATCGGTAAGCGAAAACTTGATTACGTCAAGAGCCAAGCCAGAGTCCTTCATGGCCTCCAACACCTCCGTGTATGGAATCACATCGGCCTCAATCAATTCCACAGTGATACCGGCCACTCCGTGTCTCACCTGATCGTCAATCAAGGATTGTCTGATGATGCTGTTGATCAAGCCCGATCTCTTGAGAATGACGAAAATGTGGGTCATGGCGTCGTCAAGAAGTCCTCTTTCTTCCAAGTTGAAGTCGTCAAACTCCCTGGCAACAAGGGCATTGGTCGTAGTGTTTGGGTGCAACTTCTTGTCCACAGCATCCTTGATGTCTCCCTTTTTCTTGTCAACAACCTCACCAGCCTTGGTCTTGCCGAGGTCCACAGCATCGGCGATTTTCTTCTTGATGAGCTCCAAAAGCTGAGCAGTGATTTCTTTGATTTTCAACAAGGAGTGGTGCTTGAGTTGATCAAAGATATGGTGGGCAATCTCCTTGGAATCCTTGATGGAAGCCTCAGCCTTGGCCTTCAACTCGGCCTTCTTCTTCTCCACAATCTCCTTGCCTTTAGCAGCGGCTTTTTGCTTAGCAGCATCGGAAACAGCCTTCAACACTTCCTTAGCAGCAGCGTTGTCTTCCTTGTTTTCGTTGGCCCTAGCAACAAGGTAAGAGGAGTCTTCAGTGGAAAGAGCAGAGACGCTCGAGGCGGCCATAAAAGTGATGAAAACGGTGGTAAACTTCATGTCGAGTAATGCTTTCTATTAGTGATGCTGCTCGAAACAGCTGGGGATTTCCCCGTCATTAAATACCTCTCCAGAGAGAGTTGCTCTACGGCGTCTTAGGTAGACGTGGGCAACATTTCGTAGGAGCTGCCTTGGCCCCTCAAAATAATTCTTCTTCTCAATCTCAGAATAATGCCGCGTGGGAACCACGATTTGCCGTAACTGCCTCGCTTGATCGCATTAAAATCTTCAAGCGAGGAGTGCTTAAGGGTGAACTGGTCGCCCATAGCCGCTTCCTCGAGCTTGAAGTCCTTGTCCAAGTTGGTGAGAATTGGTGGCTTCCACTTGCGAAGCATCAACGAGTTGAGAACCACACTGACGGAACTGCAAGCCATAGCAGCGGCCGCCGCTGCCGGTGGGAGCATCAAATTAAACGGAAGGAAGCATCCCATGGCAAACGGCAACATAACAAAATTGTAGATGGTAGCAAAAATAAAATTGAGCTTGATTTTGGTGAACGTGGCCTCCGACACCTTCAAGGCGGTGATGACACCGGCCAAGTCATTCTGCAGCGAGTTCTTCAGACCAATCAAAACAATTTCGGCAGAATCAATGGCAATATCAGTTCCGCTACTGATCGCCATACCAATATCGGCTTGCACCAACGCAGGCGCGTCATTAATACCGTCGCCGACAAAGGCAATTGAGATATTTTTTGGGCCTCCGAATTTCTTTCTCAAATCGACAATAACCTTGTCCTTTTCGAGCGGCGACACCTCACTGAAAATATTGCCTTTTGGAACACCTAATTGCGACCCGATTCTCACGGCGACTTCGTCACTATCACCCGTGACTATGGCGACCTGAATATTTTCAACATCTCTGATGTAGTCGATGACCTCACGAGCACCTTCTTTAATTGTATCAACGAGCTCGAGATATCCCGCGTATGTGCCATTGATAACAACATGGGCGCATGTCGAGATGGAATCTTTGAGATCATTTTCCAACACAGTGGCAAGATGCTCTCTGCTCTCCGGGAAGTCACGAACAATCAAGCGCTTGTTACCGATAACAACATCAAAAATCTGATTATCTAAGGCAACTTTGGCTTTCACACCCAAGCCGGTCATCACTTCGAAGTCTTGGATAGTGGTACTAAAGGTGTCACCTTCAAAAGTAAGACCGAGTTTCTGCTTGGCTCCAGCTGCAATAGCCTTACCGGTAGGATGCTCGGAGTTCTTTTCGACAGAACCAGCCAATGTCCACCAATCTCTTGGAGAGATTTTGAGGTCATCAAGAATTGGTTTTGCGCTTGAAATAGTCATTTCGCCAGACGTCAATGTTCCCGTCTTGTCAAAGAGAATAACGTTGATGCCGCTAGCCTTTTCTAAAATATCACCTCCTTTGATGAGAGCACCGCGAGATGCGCCAACACCTGTTCCAACCATGACAGCTGTTGGTGCAGCAAGACCCAAAGCACAAGGACATGCCACAACGATAACGGAAATGGCAAGTTTCAAACAAACGAAATACTTTCCATTCTCTTCGTTTCTGAATGCCTTTGGAAGCTTGTCATCATGAATGTAAGAGCAAAGGACAAACCATAAGGCGTATGTGATGCTGGAAAGTATCAACACGGCGGCAACGAAACGAGCAGCAATGTAATCCGCATATCTTTGAACAGGCGCTTTGCTGACCTGCGACTCCTTAACGATGTCAATGATTTGATGCAATTGTGAGTTCTTACCCGCCCTGGTGACTCTCATGTGAATTAAGTGTGGGCCGTTGATGGAGCCACCAATGACAGTATCGCCTCTCTTTTTGAGCACAGGCATAGACTCACCGGTGATGAAAGACTCATCAACTTCTGTTGAGCCATGGACAATAACACCATCAGCTGGAATCTTGCCACCAGCAGTAACCACAGCAATATCATTTGTCTGCAAAAGGTCGATACCGATTTCTCTAGTAGGAAGGTCTGCAAGCTCTTCGTTTGCACCTTTCTCATTATCACGCTCCAGAAGGAGCAGCAGATAAGCAGACGAGTCAGTGACGATGGAACATACTGTTGGAGTAAGCGAGACAAGCTTCGAAAGGGCAGTTGAGGTGGCTCCCTTCGCCTTGTTTTCCATCCACTTGCCGAATGAAATGAATGAGATAAGCATAGCTGTTGTCTCAAACAACACTTTTGGTGGCTTCTCTGTTTGGCCTGTCCAAACACTCAAAACTATCGAGTAGACGGAGAAACTATATGCCATCAGGGTCGACATGCACACGAGAACGTCCATATTGGCATTCTTACCCTTACGACGAATGCAGCCGGCCATCTTCTTGAAGAATACAGATCCCAATGTGAACAATATGAATGATGTGAGTGCCAACTGGATAACCGACACCACATAGAGGCCGTTGAAAACCATGAGTTTGCGCCAGAGGGACATGCTTTGGGTCACATTGAGGACAATAACAGGAAGGCCAAACACAAGTGACCAGTAGAAGGTGGACCGCCAGTAGCTGATCTCCTTGCTTCTAGATAGGAGTTTCAACTGGGTGTTGAGCGACTGGTCGATCGAGTTGAGAATGACGAATTGATGTTCGTCATCGATGTTATTAAGGGCGTCCACAAGCACACGGACGCCTAGCATGTTGCCCATGTAAGATACCCGAAGCTCGTCTATAGCATGTTCGGCACCCTCGGCATCGTTCTCGAGGTCCATAGTGGATTCCTCGATCTGGCCCTTGAAGATGAACAGGAAATCAGTGACACCGGCCAAACTATTAAGTACAGCCTCGACATTATAATGGAGAGCTGAGGTGTCGGAGGAATCGTCGATACCGTAGATCTGGAGGATTGCTTGCTCCTCGACTTCCTCCTCCTTCTCGAGCAGTGAGGTGAAGTTGATGACAGCATCAAATCCGCAATCCTCAATAGCGCTTTTGAGTCTCTCGGCAGTGATATCTTGTGTGTGGTTCACCACAGCGGAGTCAGTGACGTTGGATACAGAGGCCGAGACAACCTCAGGGAAGCTCTCCAAGGCCTCAGTGATCAGAGCCAGGCACGCGCCACACGTCATTCCAGTGACGGTGAAATTACTAGTAAGCAAGCTCTGTGGAACCACTGGAGGTGCACCGCCTGTCGACTCTAATGTAGCGTCAAAACCGCAGTCCTCGATGGCTCCTAAAAGCTCCTCTGCACCGACCGCAGAAGAATGCTTCACCGATGCCGTATTGGTAAGAAGCGACACAGAAGCCAGCTCGACTCCCAGAAGACTTTCTAAAGCCTCTGTGACACTCAGGGAGCATGCTCCACAGGTCATTCCGGAAACGCCGATCTTCGTGGTGACCAGCTTAGACGGTAGCGGAGTGGAAGAATCAAGCAGTGCATCGAAACCACAATCTTCAACTGCATCCACCAAAGTTTTGGCATCAACATCGCTGCCATGAAGCACCTTGGCTTCATTAGTAAGAAGCAGGACAGCGACTGATTCTACCCCGGAACAGCCTCCAAAGCCTCGGTGACCGAGCCCAGACACGCAGCGCACGTCATACCACCCACGCTGATGCGAGACTCCATGGTTAAGAAAAAATCACAATCGATAGTAGCACAGGAATATGTGGAATATGGGGCGTATTAAATGGGTCTGTAGGTAGGAGAATTGATGGCACAAGATACTGTGCGAGGTACCTGTGTGCAGTACGCACTTTGCTATAGGCGGGAGGATGAGCTGCCGATTCGGCATGGGGGCTTTTCCAGCAGATCTGGTGAATGGGGATGACGGTGATTGTAGTTTTTTCTGTTCTGGATTTGACAAGCTCTCGTTTTTCAAAATTCCCGGATCATTGCTGAAATGTCACTAAAATGTCTCCAAATCCAAAGGAATCCCATCCTCGGCTGCTGCACAATTGTGTCTGCTTATGTATAACGAACGGCGCACGGCACTGCGGCAGTATGTCAAATTGAGGCACATCCGAAAATCCACAAAATACGATCATCTCCCCTGGCTCATGTCCAGATCATGAGAATCTGAAAAAAAGGGGGTCGTTGCAGCAGCATTGATGCAAGAAGCGAAGAGCTCTACCACTTGTATTCTTCAGTGCATTAGACGAGGCCTCATTTTCCTGAAATTTCGCTTCTGTGATTGTCGCTCATGGCCATGTGCCATTGACATCTGCATAATCCCGAAATGACAAGAAAGGCACATAGTAGTGCGTCACGGCACTTGGCTAGGCTGGACCGATTGAAGGCTAATTTATAACATGCTCCATTTCAGACTTGTTTCCCATTTTCTTCTTTTTGTGCTTTGGCGCAGTTCCGTGGTACTTGTGCGAGAGCTGCTTGAAAGCCTGCTTCAGGTCGAGCTCATTACCGTCCTGGTCCTTGTACTTGAGGTTTACTTGGGGGTTGTAGCTGGAGAGACGGTCCGAGTTGTAGCTGGAGTATCGTCCTTTGGGTACCTCCACTAGACCCTTTGCAACAAGACGCTCGTTGAGAATCCTGTCAAGCGTGCTATCTTGTTCTTCTTTGGAGAGTCTTTTGTACGACAGATCCAGCTCCAATTCCAGTTTGACTGAACGCTCTTCAATCGAGATGGCGATGCGCTGAAGCTCTGCCTCCTTGATTCTTTGTTCCTGTTGTTTTCTGGCTCCCTTCTCCATTGCCAGTTCTGCACTGACCATGTTATTGCCACGAAGGTAGCTGAGTGTAGCTGCCATACTGCCAAATTTGGGCTTACTGGGCGCTTCTTGTTCCTCGGGTCCGGTCTTTTCTTCCAGTCGTGGAACGATTTCTTCTTGGGTCTCGATAACCTGTTCCTCGATCTCCTTCTCGACTTCCTCCTTAACATCCTCTTCAACACCGTCCTCTTCAACTGCTTGGCCGATACTGCTCAAAAAGTCTGAGGTTCCGTCAAAAACCACACCTCCGGTCTTCTCCGTCAAATCTATACGCTGGTGCAGCTGAATCTCCTGGGCCAACTGCTCTGGCGTGAGAAGTTTTCTTTTCTTCTGTTGCTTCTCGCGGTTCTTAGCTAGCACACTTTGGATTTCATCGTCGCCATCCTCAGCCTCAAACTTCAATTCTTCAGTTACCATCGGCTGGAGGGTCTCGAGCTCCTCGTCGTTGTCTAACTCTCGTTTCTTCGACAGACTCTTCTTCTTGGACTTCTTCTTGAATTTGACTGCTGCCGGCTTAGGTTCATCAATGTCGTCAAATAAAGCTTCCATTTTTGTCGTTCCCGTCTTCACCAGAGGCTCAACATTCTGCTTCTGCGGTAGAAGAATCGTGGTCCCTGAGACCTGAGCTAGCTCGTCCGCCTCATCCTCCTCGTCTTCCTCAAACCTGACGCCAAACTTCAATGTAGCGATTTTCCGCTTTTCTGCTTCGGTTTTTCGGAGTTTCTCTGCCTTGGCTATTTCCTCATTCACCATGCGTTCCTCCTCGCCATCTAAGACATTCTGGTCCTCGAGGGTAAAAACCTCGCCATCTTTAACATCTGACAATGCCAGGGCAGTATGAGCGACGGCAATTCTCTCAGATTCTTTAGAAACTTCTGTTTCAGCCGCCTTCTCGGCCTTCTTGCCTTTTCCAACGTTCTCAAGCCAGTCTGAGCCTGCATCATTGTAGAACAACTTCAGGCTAGTGTCCACCTTGTACTGGTCATTTGATGTGGTCTGTTTGGGCATAAGAGCACTCTTCTCTGGTATTGGCTCTTTGGAAGGCTCCTCCACCACTATCGGTTTGAGACCTAGAGATGCCCTGAGCTTGTTGGTTTCCTCAATCGAGAGTTCATCTTTTCCCGAAACCGTCTTTTTCGGATTCTCCTGTTTCTCTACAGGCAACAAGGGCAATCCGATCTGGGCCCGAAGCCTATTGGTTTCCTCGATAGAAAGCAGGATCTCCTCAACCATAGCTACCTCATCTACCCCAGCTATTCGCGATACATTCTATGTGTGTGGACTGCACGAACAACACCTACTGTTTACAAACATCACCAATTGTTTCCTCAATTACATATGGAAAACCATGAAACTTCTGTTTTGTGAGGTCATCGGAACGCTGGCAACGGCACCGCAGCACGTGGCGTTTCTGCCGCTGAGAATGGCGTATGTGGCCAGTGGAGGTGTCATAGTTTGTGAGGTGGATGCAAAAAACGGCACTTTGGGTAAACAGCGGCTATTTGTGGCCAATCTGGGCGTGGAGAGCGATGATTTGGCCAAGTTGGAGAGAGGAACGGATAAAAGGGACAAATTCGACATACCTCTCGAAAGCACTTACACGTACGGAAAGGACCGTATAGATACTAAGGTCGATGGAGAAGCGCTGCCGTCTAAGCTCAAGGATAGGGTCAGGGCTGTTTCCTGTGTGGCACTTTCGCCAAATGGCCGTGTTTTGGCTGTGGGTGAGTCAGGATACCATCCTCGGATTCTTCTTTACTCCTTGGCTGCAAACTCGTCAGGGGTTCCATTCGCTGTGATACACGAACATACGTTTGGAGTAAAGAGCATCGCGTTTCTGCCGGATTCACGCCACTTTGCCTCTTTGGGGCAGCTCTCCGATGGTTTTCTACATATCTGGAAGTACAGTGCCACGTCTGTATCGCTCAAAGCTACGAACAAGTGCTCGTCAATTGTGAACAAGGTGTTCTGGCACCTGCTGACCACGATTGTTACTGCTGGATTGCGTTTCCTCAAAATATGGAGCTACGAGGCTCACGACTCGAGCAGAGCTGTTGTTTTAAAAGGACGCAATGTGGTGCTAGGGCTGAACCTAGAAGTGGACTTCACCCAAGCCGTTTCGCTTTCTAGCGACGAGGTGCTTCTATCGGGCTGCCATAGTGCTCTCTATGTGCTTTCGCTTTCTGGACTTAGCATTGTTCCAGTGGAGGTACCCAATGGCTCATCTACGTACTATGGCTTGGAGACTGAGGCTGGTTCCCAGAAAGTGAGCTATTTTGATGGTGAAACTCCCAGACTCGTTGGTTTTGATGAGCTTAAGCATTCCTCCAACCGACTGGCGCCATCGTCGCCTTCGAAGATTGCCCTGATGTTCTCCAACCTTTCATTGAAGGCCACAACACCAGACTATCCCGTGGTGACGTCCCACTTGACTTCAAACGACAACCAACTCTACTCAATTTACCTCACGAACAAGAAAGAACTCTGCGTTTTGAACACGCTGTCTGGAGATATCAAGACGCTTGTCGCTGCTCCGGTTACTCGAGCTGGAGGGATGAAGCGGGCTTCTAACGGCGACCTTTTGGTTTACTCCAAATGCGGCAACCTCAAAACGGTGAATGGTCACGGAATCACCCAGCTAGCCTCCATCCGTTTGCCACAGACTGATCAGCTTGAAAATGAGCTAACAGCAGTGGACTATGACGGTACATATGCGTACTTTGGAGATCGCTACGGCCAGCTCGTTGTTAATGATACTAATACTGGTGACGATGTATTGCAATTGAAGGCCCACTCTTCTTCAATCAATGACCTTATACGGTTTAAGGCAAGCTCGTTGGAACTCCTTGTCACAACATCAAGAGACCGAACAGTTCAATTATTCTACCAGAACGACGATAAGTGGGAGCTTCTTCAGACGATCGCCAACCATACGGGAAACCTCGTCTTCTGCAAAGTATACGAGGAATCGCTTGACGTCTGTTCGGCTGATAGATCCATCTCCATCTACGGCTTCAGGGAATTTCCTGGCGACGAGATGCCCGTTGAAGTGTACCAAAAGCGGGTTCTTACCTTGAAGCATTCCCCTACAGCCATGGAGCTCCTAGACAACGAGCTTCATGTTGCAACGAACGACAAATCTGTCCATGTCTACGATGCAAAAACTGCAGACTTCAAATACTCCACCAAACTCACAAACGAGAAAGGAGATTCGCTCAGTGTGGAGAACTTTGCACAGATTGATGGCTATTTCGCTGTTTCGTCCAATGATCGCTCCATTCGTCTCTACTCTTCTCATTACTCGAAGCTGCAGGCTGTCACCTGGGGCCACTCTGAAACCATTCTTGAAATGGTCAGCTCCGATCTTACTTTGTACTCCATTGGGCTGGATGGATGTCTTTTTATATGGAATGTCCTGGAGGCAGCCGAGTCGAACCATTCCAGCTTCAAGGAAGACGATTCTGATCTGAGCTTGGTCGAGCCAGACAATCTGCCTCTTTTTGCCAAAGTGACAAGAAAGATCCTCCCAGTTGCATCAGCATCCAAACCATTAAGCACACAAAGTACACCCAAATTTGACAGGGAAAGCTCTCCATCAAAACGATCGCTGATCATCCTTGATCCAAGCTCCCCATCACCAGCTCCAACTACAACCCCAAGACTTACGAACGCTACTATCAAGAGAATGGAGGCTCGAAAAGGAACTCAGGCTTCACCTGCAAAAAGCCCATCTCCTAAACGAACCTCTCCATCCAGAACACTGTCTCCTATAAGAATTACAAACAAACCCAGTGCTACGTTACGGTCACTGGTCCTGCCATCCAGAAAAGCTTCTGTTGATTCAATCACAAACCCACAACCTCGGCTAGCACCGCAGAATAGCTCAGATTCTATGGATAGAGCGTCTGCGTACATCACAATCATCAAGTCCCACGCACAAAAAGGGCTCTTTACAGGTGAAGAGAAGGAAAGTTTGATCGAACAATTGAAGGACTTGATCAGTGTGTTGGGCGGAACCGTGGGTTCTACAGGGAATGACACTATTCTTGAAAAATTCGGCCAACAACTCGTCGAACTCGTTCAGAAAAAATTTCAAGATTGATTAATGCTATCGTGTATTATGCTTAAAAATCCATGGCCTCATCGAAGTCATCTTCCTCGAAATCATCGACTTCTTCTGCAAGGTCCTCATTATCGCTGAAATCCTCCTCACTGGACTCTTCATCTGGGCCTGATCCAATGACATCCTCGACATCTTCATTCCGCTGATTATCGGTCTTTTCCTCCTCGACAACCTCGTCGTCCAGTTCATCCTCCTCATTCTCCTCATAGGGAACAACAATTGCATCTTCATCAACATCAGCGCTTTCAGATCCATAAAGTCTGAACGAGGTGAGCTTCATTCTACACCTTGGACAACCTTCAGCCTCCTCGCTGCCATTTTCTATAGCATTGAACCGAACTGCCAAACACACATAGCAAAATATATGCCCGCAGTTAGTAATGCATGCGTTTGTCACGTATGTAGACGCTGCTTTGATACCACTAGCTTGTGCAAATTCCATGCAAATAGCACACTGTGACCTTGGGAGGTTGAAGTATTTTGTATGAACCGGGGAGGCGGTTACAAGGGGGATTGAGCTTTTGTTCTTATTGAACGGAACAAGCTTTGAAAGTATTCTGCGCCACTTTCTGAGATGAAGTAATGGGAGAGTGAATACCAAGAACTCGGTCATGACGTTCCAGACTAATTGACGATTCTGGAATTCGAAGTTCACATTGTCACCGTTGAACTTCAACAAGTCAGCAACAACTGGTGTGAGCGAAATGCCCAAGATTCTATGCATCAAGGTCGGAAATCTGCCTTGCACGAGAAACAAGATGAAGTTTATCAAGTTGAGAATCTTCACACCGTCGTCGATACGGCCAAGAATGCGAGATTTGTTCTTTATCAAGAAGGTCTTTGCCTTTTCGATCAAAGTCTCCCTGGACTGCCTTACATTCTCGTCGACGGAATACAAGTATGACTCGGCTTTTTTGTAGAGGAAGTCGCCGATAATGACTGCTAGGAGGAGATAACGAGCTTGACTTCCAATTATCTTGCCTGTTCGCGAATTCGTAAGTTTTAAGTTTTGCAATTTGAGACCATACGATGAGCCTGACTTCAAAGTCGTAAGACGGAAGATTAGCAAGTTCAAGCCTAGAGACCAGATCTCTGGGTTCTGGCTGTATGACCAGGGCTTGTTACTATGTAGCGCGAAAACATCAGAGAGCTGTTGTTTGAGCAAGCTGAAGAGCTCGTTATCGAGAATATATGCATCGAGTTGGGATACCCTGGGAGACGGGTATAGGATTTTTTGGAAAAGTGACATGAAGGGAGTTGGAGAAAGTATCAACAGTTCTCCACATTTTGTGGCCTCGGTTCGCAGGCTCCAGTACCATGCAGTACCAGCTGCTCTAATAGGGCCGTGATTTTTGCAACCAATTCTTGAATCAACACAGAAGTTTCCTTAGCGGTAACAGCATCGAGAGTTGGTTGGATGGAAGCCGTTATGGTAATTCCTCCGTATCTGGTGGCATTAGACATGATGTAATGAAGGATTCTGAGGAGCGATAATTTGACAACTGCATTCCTGTTGTAGACTGTGAGTTTAGTAAGGATCTGAGAGACAATTAAATCACGAGTCATCAATCTAAGCACCACAGTACTTGATGCCACAAGATGGAGGTAGTTGTTAAGCGCAGCCTCGAGGTTTGAAACCTTTGATAGCATGAACCCGTTCAAGAGACATTCGCGAGCATGAGGTTCCTCTAGCCAACGAAGTGAAGTATCCTGCAATGACCAGTGAAGGATTGAGTCCATCGCATTCGAATGCCAGTATGGATCAACGAGAAGATTGAGGTAAACGTTGAGAATGCTGTGCTTGTAAAGCATCTGGCGGACATAGTTGTCGCAGTAGACAAACTCACACAAGATGGGTAACACGAATTGCCGAAATGGGAGATTAATCTTAGAAAGTTCTTTGTAGATTGGAACTGCACCAAGCTTGACCAACTCGAGCTCTTTGCCATGGTTCAAATAGCAACAATTATAGAGCGAAGGACACACGATGTTGAGCACTTCCTTGTAGTGAGCACTGTAAGCTGGGTGGCCATTCAAGACAGAAACGTAAAACTCCAAAATGTCGGCTGCATGCAACAGACGAAGGAGTTCTGAAATGCAACTGATTGACCGGAAGAATTTGAGAATAACCATCTGCCGCTGGAGGTGCACTGACGGATACACCTTGATGAGGAGCTTCACCAAATCCGAGCTGACAATATTTATTCTCACTCTTGGTTCTGCTTGGCCGAAGTATTTGAGAACGTCAAGTATCTTGTCAATAGTCACCTCAACGTACTCTTGAGGCACCAAATTTTCTGGCATCTTCTTGTACTTTGTGAGCCTGTTGAGGAGAACCACGAACCAGAATACAACTCCGTACTTCGACAAAATACGGCACATGTCTGATTTGAAACGAGTTATACCCTTGGAAAGGATCTCGTGTATGCAGTGGATGGAAACGAGTGGAAAGTCGGGGTCTGATCAAAATCTTCCTCTAAGAATCGGGATAATATTCTGAGACCGCCCGACGAGACAAACATGGTCAACGCCTTGTCTGACTTGCGAATGATTTTGATAAATCTAACAACTTGTAGCCTAGGCTGAAGACCATATGAAAGCTTTGTAAATTGCGTCATCATAGGAATACCGCCTAGAAGAGCGAAGTTTTCAAGCTGCGCCAGATTGCCGTCGAAGATATGATTGAGTGTCGCAAGAACATGAAACCAGAGGCGACTCAGATCGGGCATTTCTGGAGCGTTCTCGAGAAGCTCGAGAAGAGTCAAGACACCATGGTTTTTGATGAGTGTTTCGTGCAGAATGCTGTATTTCTTGATAAGCTGGAGCATGCGTCCTGTTATTTTGAGAAGTGACTTTGCCGTGTCCTCATGGCCATAATGGCAGTTGTCCACTCGTGATATGAGTTTGTGGCAAAGAAGCTCCATCTTACTCTGGACCTCGAGTTCGTCGGTGTCAAAATTCTCCACGAGTAACTCTAAGAAGGGATCATTTTCTTCCGACGCATCCTTGGAAGACTCCTCCTGTAGCTTTTCCTGGACCTTCAAACTCAAAGACGCGTTGCCAACCTTCAAAAAGTCCATGTCGTCCTCATTTTCAGTGAACTTCGTGAGTAATTCATTTCTCGTGTACCTCTCCCGGGACGGACTGCCAGCAGTGCTATTGATCTTTGAAGGGGTGGAACTATCCCCCAGATGGAAAGTCTCGCGGGAAGGACGAGCGGAAACTTCGTGTTTGCTTCCTTGTGTCTCACCATCCTCCATCCAGCGGTGCTTCAAGAGCAATTTGGACGAAATTCGAAGGGTTGGCTGCTTCTGGAAGCACTCTAGTAGGAAATCTTTTGCAAGTGGTGTGAGACCAGGCGGAAGAGGCGGATGGTCGTCTGTACCTATGGCATGTAATGTGGCCATGGGGTTAAGCTCATGGTATGGAGGGTTGGTGGTGAAAAGCTCTATAATCGTAGCACCTAAGGACCACACGTCGGAGGCCGTGCAGATGCCCTCGCCTCCAAGAACCGTTTCTGGAGCCATCCAGTTAGGAGTTCCCACAACCGTATTGTGCAGCGTAGCTACCTTGGTTGCAACACCAAAATCGGCGAGCTTCACCTTGCCCGAATCCGTTAAAAGCACATTGGCGGCCTTCACGTCACGATGTACTACACCCTGAGCATGGAGGTAGCCTAGACCGTGGAGGATAGGTCTCACGTACAGCACGATCTGGGAATCCAGAAAGCCGTGGCCTTGTTTCTTGTACAACTGCCTCAATGACCCGCCAGCACAGTACTCCAAAAACACGTTCAAGGAGTTCAGGGTTTTGACGAAGCCGTGGTATTTGACGATGTTCTCGTGCTTCAAGATCTTGAGAAGGTCGATTTCTCCCATCAACGCACGCAAGTCGTGATCCCTCTCCAACGGAATCTGCTTGATAGCCACAACCTGGTTGGTCCGCAAGTTCCGTCCTCTGTAGACGTCAGCATGGGCTCCTCTGCCTACTTTTTCGTAAAACTTAAAGTTGTCCAACGCGTTGCTTGTTCGTAGGCCTGGCGTCTTTCCCATTCGTTGTGCTGGAGTTAGCGATAATTTGACGGATGTTTTTCTGTGGTGGTTTCGGGGAGCACCTTGCTGTTCCATCGGCGTCATTGGCCCGCTTTGCCTGAGTTGTTTGCTGAAATCAAACTGTGTTTCTCCTGGAGTCTCTGGAATCAGCTCCATGCCTTTTGTAGGAGAGGTTCTCTCGAACGGGCCAATCTCGACGGGTAAGCTGTTTACGAACAACGGCTTTCTCCCGTTTCGGTCCTTCACTGGCGAAGTCTTCTCGAAGCCCGAGGATATGTCGTTTTCAGAAGTCCGTTCCGACAGACTGGATTTAGGATGGAGATTGATATGGGCCAGCTCGCCGAAATCCAGGGCAAACTCGTCGGCGGCCTCATTCTCGGACTCACGGAAGCGTCGGAGAAGCGAGGCTTTGGACGCCATGGCATTTCACGCTGTGTTTTTGTGTCTGAGAAAGTGGTGATGGTGTTTCTGTTTACCTGAACGCGCATCTGGGGTAGACGATTAGGAGATGAGATTGGTCGACAAGAAATATTTCCAGGAGGAATTAGAGATTTTGAAGTGGGTTTTAAATCAGTCGAAGAAAACATTGATAGTGTAATTTGGTGTTTGAACGTGAAGGTCAAGTTTATGCACTGGGTCACCTAGATCATAGTATGTAGTGGCTGCGAAAAGCACTAATAGAGCTCACCGTACAACGTTAAGCTACTTAAAGACCACAATGGAGTTTTTTGTGTATTCGCCTTAATCAACTGAAAACACAAACGTGTAACCCTAACTTTTTTTCTTTTGTTCGCTGCCCAAACCACAGGGTAGCACCACTGTAGATAGTCACACAAGCACCAATTGACACAAAACCACACACAGTCCACATTTCCGAAGCAACCTGGAAACACCACAATCTCGCTACATTCCCGGTCCCATTGTCATTTCCGCCCCACCTTCCCAATCAAAAACATCTCGCCAAATCCACCTCCACCTAAAAACCACTCAACCATCTAATCCATCACCACACCCTTCTCTCGAATGCACACCAGCGCAATACAGCATGAGAAACTCCACTTGAAGCACAAAACCGCAGGCCGGAATTGCCTTTCCATCTTCCTACTCCACCTACAAAATACCCACCTAAAAGTGACCCACCTGAAAGTGACCCACCTACAAAATATCCGTTTTCCGTTCGTATTCGTATAACCCAGCCCCATGGGGCGATTCCAGCACCGTCAGGTGCGCCCGTAGGCTATGCAATAGGATTCCCTTCATCGAGTATTTGACATTTCTGCTTTTTAAAGCTTCAACTAGGCCTGGCCCGTCCGTAGACTCCGGGCAATCAGGGCAAGCTGTAAGACCACAAAGAGCACCAAAGCAGCCAAGACAAAGAAAACGACAAAGTACGCCATGCCGTCAGCCAACTCCCGCTGCCATGAAAACCGCATCTTCACCAAGATCCGGTCGTCCTGGCCAATGAAGGCCAGAATCGGATGCCCAAACTGCAGAGGCCGTAGTTGTCTTCCATTCGGTAGCTGAAGATGGTCAATGTTGCTGTATTCCAAAGGTTCATGAGCCCTCTGGGAACAAATCTTGAAAAGACTCGAGAGCGTCGTCTCCACCGAGTCATCTGGCGAAACCACAAACAGGTACTTCTTGTCGCCAGCCAGAAGCACCAGGGTGCTGATGATGAAGAGCACCGACACGTTTTCGTCTAGGTGCACCAACGGCTCACCCCAGGACATGGTGGAAGGGAGGGGAAAAAAAAGTGGTATCGAGTTTTCTTCTTTTTCTTTTTTTCCTTCAATCCAGGCGACCCTCCATCTTATAAGCCATTGCGCTTTCAACTGTGCCTAGGTTTAGCCCTGCGACCTCATGCAGCATAGTTTTTCCGCTGAGGCTGTGGGTGCTATATACGGCAGGGGGTGGTCCGGGAGAGACTGCCTCGTGGGCTTAGGCGAGAGGTCCAGCCGTGCATTGATCGACACGACATTTTTGAGAGAGCCGTTGTGGCTTGTTTGAGAGAGGAGGAGGGGGTTATTTTGACAGGTAGCTGCGGCTTTTGGCTTTGTGCGTCAAGGACGGGCTATTATTGTTATCGGATCCACACCAACGTGCAACGGCCTTACTACAAGCGCAAATCCACACCTCTTCTACAGCAAGGTCGGGCCACGAGTGGGTCTTCACATGGAAAAAAAACCCGGGTGGTGCCACTCTTTCCGCCACCTCGTTTAGCTCGTTAGATCGTTTATTTCAAAATCACGCACGGTTCTCGCTCCGGGCTGTGCTGCCTTCTCCCTCCGCTTCCCCAGCCTCCTTCCTGTTGGCTTCGGCGGCTTCCTTCTCATCAGCCTCAAGCTTCTCCCGGTTCCAACTGAGCAATCTCTCGTCTCCTGGCTTCCGTGGCTTCACAATGTTCACCACAAGCACGAGAATTCCCACAACCATGCAGCAGGCGCCGCCGGCGATCCACGAGAAAGCCAAGAAATAGTTCTTGCCTCCAAGCACAGACCGCTGCGAAATGAAGATCTTCTTCTTGCCGTCGTAGGGCAACACGGGGAAGTGCAACCCGACGCTCACCTCGTAGACACCCTCCGGGAGCGCCTCGTTGTCGTTCCGCATGTAGAGCTTGTTGAACTTCTGGAGCGCCGATGTAAACATCCAGTTCTGGAAGTCTTCCCACTGCGAGATGTCGGGCACGTTGGTGGAGTTGTAGCCCTCAGGGAACATCTTGTACCAGTTTGGAGGAGGAGCAATCTCGCTGGGGTCGTACTTGGTTTTTTTGAAACGGCCGTCGTTGGTGGACCAGGAAATGCCGTTTCTGGACCAGACATAGTCGTCGCTGGTGCCGTTGACGCCGCTGAAAGTGGGCGTGAAGGTGTCGTTGAACAAGGAGTTTGCTACAAGACCGCAAGGGTACAACTTCTTGCCGCTGTCGTCCTGAGAAAGCGGCTCGCAGTTCTCTCCCACACCGTCCTTGATGGCCGCCAAGGAGGCCGCTGTGCCCTGGATCTGGTCCTCGGAGAAGGACTTGGCATAACGTCTGTGGTTCTGCGAGAAGTTCTCCAAACGGTAAAAGAAGTAGAGCGGGCTCTTCAACGTGTGGGGAACGTGGAACTGGATCTTGCACACCCGTCTCTCGTCCTCAAAAGGCTGGCTCTCGTTGGTGTCCAACTTCCACTGCGCCTGAGGCACATCGGCATAATCCAAGTTGTAGTTTGTGTACTGGTCCGGAATAGGCAGCCAGTAGTCCGCCGAGGCCAAGTTCTCACACTGGGTGTAGTCGATGGTGAAGTCCTCCACTCTATGGGAAGCCAACCACATGGCACCTCCCAAAGGAAGAAGAAACACACCAAGGCCCAAAAGAATCGGAATAAGCCAGTGCGCGGTGATCACCGGATTGATGGCCTTGAGCCGCTGCTGCTGAAACGCGTTGTCGTTGGGCCGCCTCAGCTTCTCCTTCTTGGGCTCGATCGCATAGTCCGAGTCTGAATCGGACTCTGTCTCCAAATCGCCTCTTTGATCAAAACCCGGATCGGGCTGGTCGTCAAACGGCGAGCCAGACGCCAGCAGACCCTGCATTTCGGGCGCCAGCACGTCGTTGCTGGAGTTCTTGACGCTCATGGAAAAGAGAAGTAGGTGAAAGTTGATGAGATTGAGATCGCTGCGGGACGTAGATATGCCGGGGTGCGTGAATATTGCAAGTTGAAGTTTATTCGAATCTCTTTGTTGATTGAATTGAAAGAGTTAAGAGGTTTATGAGAGTAAGGGGTGTTTTTTTTCTTTTTTTTGGGAGCCCTGACTCGCTTTGTTGTCGGTGCTACGGTTCATTCGGCAACTGTGCTAAGCCGTGAACCCGCACTCAGGAACGGAGAGTAGGTCAAATACGGGTTTTAAAATTAGCGTGTGGGCGGTCAAAAATAGAATTTTTTTTGGCTTTTCGTGAACGTCTAAACCAGCCCAAAAGGCTGCTTGGCTTTTTCGAGTTCCTGGCAATCGGTGGATGTGGATTGAGTTATTGGTGAGGAGACCTCGTGGCTCCGAACCTGGCGTGGAGAAAATTACCGCGTGGTTGGAATTGCTGGATTTAGGTTAGTGGATCTGGCGAGATTTGGCAATTTCGGGGGACTAGATGGGTGTAGGGGGAGGTTTGTTGATGCTGGCTCGTTCAAGGTGTACCTGAGAAAGTGGAGTCGGGTAAAACAAAGGAGGAGGTCAAAAAATTTTGACATATTTATTTATTACTAGGTTCCAATTGGCTGGTGCCTCTAAATTACCGTAGAGCTCAGTGGCAGGTTAAGTTGGGTCTCATTGGTTGAATCATGATCAGTACACTTTCGCCTGATGTAAGTGCTGCTCACAGACTACACTTCATGATGGCGATTGCGCATCTGAGTAGCCTCGAAAATCAATTGTTCCTGTTTCGAAAGATCAAGGCACTGTGTGCTTGTTCGGTGGGATCAGATCAAGACCACGACGTTCCTCTGATGGTACGATGTTTTGATAATTTCCTATTCCACTTCATTTTTCATTTTCTGGAATTCTGAACAGTATCATTCTTGTTGTTGGTAGCGCCTTGTGCACGTCGTATGATTCCACTAGTTCACGTCATGGAGCTGTAGTTGCACTGAGTGAGCAAAACTGGATAGCTGTAAAAAGTACAAAAAACGAACCATAACCAAAGGTCTTACCAGAAGAGCTTTCAAATGATAAATAGAACATTGCGTCTGCGGATGCATACTCAGGGCACATCTATATGATCAGCTTTTATCAAAATTCTACAAGCCTGGCGACCTCGACCCTTCATAACCACTGGCCATTCCAGGCTGACCTCGAAAATCCATTCACATCCCATCATGACAAGCCAAGAAGCAATATAACTTAGAAAATTGCTTCAATGAAGGCTTTTTCTCGTGATGTTTCAAACCTTCATGAGCACCAGATCTCCAATGGAATGGCTGCGAAATCGGTCTTCTCAGAAAGATCCCCAACAACCGCCCACACCAGGCACCTATCGAACGAAAAACGATTTTATATATGATCCAAGCATCACGAAATCGCCCACTTTCAAAAAACTTGTCCATTTGTTCAAATCCCCACTTTTGGAAATTTTTCACTTTCTCCAGTCTGTCCTCAACGACACACCAACCCCACCCATTCCCTGCCATTCTGCAACAAAATAAAAAAAGAAAGAAACCAAAACAGTTAAAGCCACTTCTTCCAATCTACACCCATTTAAAAGTACTCTTCCAAAGAATTCACCACAGGCTAGTCCCATCGTTCAAACACCGGTGTCTTCGCGCGTGCAGTATGTTCAAATTTTTTAGCGGTTGCTTCAGCTTTCATCAAAACCACTTTTTCCAATGGACGGCGCAGAGAGAAACATCGAAATCTGGAAGATCAAGAAGTTGATCAAGTCCCTCGAGCTTGCCCGTGGTAACGGTACCTCCATGATCTCGTTGATCATCCCGCCAGGATCCCAGATCTCCTTGACTCAGAAGAAGTTGACTGAAGAATACGGTACCGCTTCCAACATCAAGTCGAGAGTCAACCGTCTTTCCGTTCTTTCCGCCATCACTTCCACCCAGCAGAAATTGAAGTTGTACACGCACTGCCCCAAAAACGGTCTTGTGCTTTACTGTGGTGATGTCATTACCGATGAGGGTAAGGAAAAGAAGTTGAACATTGACTTTGAGCCCTTCAAGCCAATTAACACGTCTTTGTACTTGTGTGACAACAAGTTCCACGTGGAGGCGCTTTCTGAGTTGCTTCAGGACGACGACCGTTTCGGTTTCATCATCATGGACGGTAATGGAGCCCTTTTCGGTGCTGTTTCTGGTAACAACCGTGAGGTTTTGCATAAGTTTACTGTTGATTTGCCCAAGAAGCACGGTAGAGGTGGTCAGTCTGCTGTTCGTTTCTCCCGTTTGAGAGAGGAAAAGAGACACAACTACGTCAGAAAAGTCGCCGAGGTTGCCGTGCAAAACTTTATCGAAAACGACAAGGTCAACTGTAAGGGTTTGATTTTGGCCGGTTCTGCTGATTTCAAGAACGAATTGTCCAAGTCCGACTTGTTCGACCCCAGATTGCAGGCCCGTGTGTTGAAGATTGTCGATGTTTCTTACGGTGGTGAGAACGGTTTCAACCAGGCCATTGAGCTTTCTGCCGAGACCTTGGCCAACGTCAAGTTCGTCCAGGAGAAGAAGCTTTTGAATACTTACTTCGAGGAGATTTCTCTTGATACTGGTAAGTTCTGTTACGGTATCGAGGACACTTTGAAAGCCTTGGATGCTGGTGCTTGTGAGACCGTCATTGTCTACGAGAACTTGAACATTGTCAGATACACCTTGAAGAACTCCGAGGACCGTGAGGTGATTGCCCACGTGAACCCTGAGTTGGGAGACAAATCTTACTTGATCGACAAGGCCACTGGTAACGAGATGGAGACTGTCAAGGAGGAGATGTTCTTGGAGTGGTTGGCTGAGAACTACAAGAGCTTCGGTGCTACTCTTGAGTTTGTCACCGACCGTTCTTCCGAGGGTGCCCAGTTCGTCCAGGGTTTCGGTGGTGTTGGTGCTCTTTTGAGATACAAGCTCAACTTCGAGCAGTTGGTTGACGAGTCCGACGAGGACGAGGACGAGTACTACGACAGTGATGAGGACTTCATTTAAAAGGTGTGGTTAGACGCGGCCTGCCAGGCCCGCTTCTGTGTATTTTAGAATGCAATTCGGAAACGATTCCGCTGTAGATGCTTATTTTCTGTTCTTTTTGTTCTTTTTTTGGCCCTTGAGCTCGTCCAAGGCCTTCACGGCTTCTCTACCAAGAACGGTTTCTGATGTTTTACCTGAAACGATCTGGTGTGCCAAGTTTTCAAGTCCACTGGTGAGGTATGATCTTCTGTGGTTCTTCCGAAGAGGAACATTGAGAAGCTCTCTGAGCTTGGCTTTTTCGATCTTGGCCTCCTCATTCGTGAGCTTCTTGCCGTCATTTCTCTTCTTTTGCTTTTTAATCACATCATCCTCGAAATCTTCAATACCATCAAGGTCCTCAATTCCCAAATCCTCAGCAGCCTGTTTGACCCATGACGACTCTTTTCTTGTTGCTGTAGATGCAATAGACGAATCTGCCAATTTGGATGCAATACGAACCCGCTCTCTAAGCTGAGTAACAAGGTCGTAGTCAATGTCCAACATCTTGAGGTCTCCTTTCCCAGAAACCTTGGAGTGTTTTTCAGCACTTGCAGCCACGAGGTTTCTCAACTTTCTGAAAGGTCCCGAGGCCTCTTGTGGAGAGCAAAACATGACAGAAACACCTTCTTCACCGGCTCTGGCAGTTCTACCCGAACGATGAATGTACACATCAGCAGATCTGGGCAAATGGTAGTGAGCCACATGGTCGATATGGGGAATATCCAAACCTCTTGCTGCCACATCGGAGGCTATAAGCACAGATGTTTTGTTATTCTCCGTGGAGGCCTTGAAGCGTTCAAGAGCACGCAATCTCTGTTTTTGAACCATCGACGAGTGGATGGAGAATGCTGGGATTTTGAGGTTTTCAAGGAAAGGAACAAGTCTCTTGACGGAGTCCACAGCATTTGCAAAGACAAGCGTGGATCCAGGGTACATGAGCAAAAAGTAGTACAAGAAAAGGTCTCTTTCTGCTGCACCGCACTCAACAAGAGCTTCTGTGACTTGACCAGAAACGATTTCCTTAGGGTTGGCATCACAAAGTGATGGCTTGGGATCCTTGAATCGAAGCTTTTTGGATAAAAGTTCGAGAATCTCGGTGTTGCCGATAAGGCCTCCACTGTAAGCTTTTTTCTCCTTCTGCTTGCCCTTCTTGTCGAGCTTACCGAAAAGGTCCTTGGAAAAAGTGGCAGAGAAAACCAAGGTCTGCCATTTGTAACCATACTTCTTGCTATCTCTGCCTTTAATGAAGAGCTCAAGAATCTTTTCAAACTCCTCAAAGTGTCCGTCCTGCAACAATCTATCAGCTTCATCGAGGACAACGGTATCAGTAGCACCGAGTCTAGCAGCCAAGTCGGAGTTTTTCTCTATAAGTTCCAAAAGACGACCTGGGGTGGCCACAATGATACTAGGGCCGTATTCCAACATACGCTCTTGTTTCTGGATAGAAAGACCACCAGTAATAGAAACAATACCATGCTGTGAAAGTGGAGCGTACTTTGAGATTCTGTTCAAGTGATCAACAACTTGGTGTGCCAATTCTCTGGTGGGTGCAAAGATTATACCAGAAGGAGGTGGGATTTCTTCTTTGGCACGGGTTTCCTTGATTTCGTTCAACTTTTGGATATGTCTTTCGAGAATAGGAAGACCATAAGCTAGGGTCTTACCGGAGCCGGTTGTAGCTTTACCAATGACGTCTTTGCCTTCTATAGCCAAAGGAATGGCCGATTTCTGAATCGCCGTTGGGGTTTTGAAGCCAAGCAGCTGGAGACCGTTTAGAAGATACGGACTGAGAGAAACCGAGTTCCAGTTGGGCAAATCGATATCGTCATCTGGAAGGGGAATGTCCAAACCAGCAAATGCGTTGGCACTGAGATTTCCATCATTGTCGTCATTGTCTTCAAGAGCTTTTTCTCTGGCTTCCTTGGCCTCGAGCTTTTTCTGTTTCTGTTTCTCTTTCTTTTCCTTGAGCTTCGCCTTGTTCTTCTCCTTCTGCTTGGCTTTCTTTTCATCCTGGGGGCTCATTTCAGTGGCTTTTTCTTCAGATTCGCCATCCTTGACTTCCTCTTCCAGCTCATCCTTCAGTTCCTGCTTATTCTTCTTCTGTTTCTTCTTCTTCGGCTCATCGAAACCCAAAAACTCGTCATCGGAAGCCTCCAAATCACTCTCTCTAGAAACAAACTCGGCCTTACCGTTCACCATCTTAACATCAACGCCCTCAAGCTCTTCAATGCCAAACAAACCACCGTAGTCTTCCATGTGGTCTGGAATGTCAACTGGCTTCCATTTGAGTGCATCTGCCTTGATGATTTTGTTGGTTCTGCCCTGCTTTTGTTTCATCGTGGGCGTGACCCTTTTGGCCAGCAGCTTAAAGCTGCGTTTTCCTTGCGGAGGCATAATTAAATTTCAATAGTGGTTGAAATCTAGGATTATGGGGTAGATGTATCTGAAAAGCATCGAGATGAGCTCGCGTGATACTGGGCACGTGCTACCCAGTAATTCCATGATCCATGGTATTTCAAAACCGTTGATATATTTTTGATTAATATTTGGGGCAAAATATTGATTTTTGAAGAATCAACATTGTTTTGGGTGCTGGGTGCAAATCTATAGCTACCACCCTGATCCTACTACCAATGCGAATCAACATACAACTACATGCTAAAACGACCAAAGACGATAAGTTCGTCTGCAGGGGTGCAGCGAAAACCGAAGCTCAAGCCACAGAAAGCTCGCAAGATTATACGACGTTTCCATGTTTTGCAGAAAAACAAGACGGCTCTTTTGAGAATCCTAGACCTTGATGAGTCGGACTACAAGGAGAAACTAGGATCGGTGTACGCTAAGGAGTTTGAGACATTCAAGCTTCCAAAGAAGCCCGAGCTCTTCAAGTTCGATAATACCACATCCAGATCTGAAATTGCCAAGATGCTAGGCCGCATTGACAAGGAGGTTGAACTAAGAGGAGGACTCCATATATACCAGATGGCTTCTACTGTGGGGCAGGCTTCTGAACGAGGAGGTGACTCTTCAAAGAAACTAGTTGAATGGTACAAGGATCTCGGACGAACGGCTGCAAAGAGCTTGGAAATCGGGTGTCTCAGTCCCAATAACCAGATCTCAACCAGTGGGTTGTTTGGAGAAGTCACGAGAATTGACTTGAACTCTCAGGATCCAAAGATTCTCCAGCAGGATTTCATGGAAAGGCCGCTACCTGTGGATGATACAGACCGCTTTGATCTCATACTGTGTTCTCTCGTGTTGAACTTTGTTCCTTCTGCTGAAAAGAGAGGTGAGATGTTGAAGAGGATGGCTCAATTTTTGCTTCCTGTTAGTGAAACACCCCTGAGTGTTTTCATGGTTTTGCCGTTGCCGTGTGTGTCGAATTCTCGGTATATGAGCCGGGAGTTGTTTTTGGAAGTTATGGGAAAAGTGGGTTTTTCTCAAGTGAAGTATCACGAAGCCAACAAGGTGGCATACTGGCTCTTCGACTGGAACGGGAAGAAGCCAAGGACTGGAAAAAAGGAGAAGAAGAAGGAGATTCTTCCGGGTGCAACGAGAAACAACTTTTACATCTCCCTAGGGTGATCAAGCCCGCCATTGAAGAAGACTGAGACTTAACTTATAACGATGGTTTCAGAATAGGTTACAATTCATTTTGCTGCCAGAGGTAAAAGACAAGGTGATGCACGCTCAATCAAGCCAAGTATTAAAAGTCAATTAGCACATGATTCATGAAAGCGGAATTGAACTCCCTGCAACATATCCATCATTCTTGTCATGATTCTGCATCGAAATCCATCCATATCCAGGGAACCCATCCCTTTCAATCCCTCAAGGCCCGTATGACTACTCGTGTGATTTTCTAGAAGCGGAGTCAAGCACGGCTATACAGACATATCGATATGATCAAAGAGGCACAATGACCCATCGTGCATTCGAGATCGATCTGGACCTGCTGATATTATTTCTAGAAACCCGGGGAAAACTGAATACAGAATTCTCTCAGACACTGTACCCCACAATTTCACCTAACAAATGTACCATCAGACCATCGTTCGCCTCGAATCTGGAAGCATCAAAAGAAATTCACATACGTCTAAAAATATTCCTGTTTGAGCAATGAAACTCCGTCACGTCCTGCGAGGAGCGATAAGTGCTCTCTCATTGAAATTAAAGAGAAATGGGAGCGGAAAGCGATTGAGCAAACCTTAAAGTGGTTGCCACCTAATTGACGTTTTTTTCTTTCGATCAATTGACAGCTTCTCTAAAGCTTCACAGCTGTGAGCTGATTTGTTACCCACTTCTTCAAACTTGCGTGGTGTGGTATGCGCTTAAGCGAGATACTTGCGTTTTGGACCCTTCCAAAAGAAAGCACTGAAACAGGGCGACCTTGCTTGCTTCTCCCCGTTTCTTTCTTTTTTTCCCATTTATTTTTACCTATTTGCACCGTCAGATCATTCATCGCAGGTACCTGAAATTGAGCGTCTGGTGATGCCTGCAAATCTCTCAGCAAGTCATGCAGGTATCCGGAAAAACTTCCGATCTTTTCGGACGATTCGACGCAGCTGGCAAGTCGGCAACTAAACCCTCCGTTAAACTGACCATTTTTTATACGGCAAGGCAATTGTGTCGTACTGCCGTTCGGACTTTTACAGGTCCTGTGTGAAGGAGCGCCGTTTTGACATCATGGTTTGTTCCGGTGTGCCTCGAGGCTAATTGCAACATCGATCGATGTTCCATTTTCTCGCCCTCCAGCAAGCCCCCACATACACTGTGATGTCCCCCAGGTACTCCCCCCACTTACCTGAAAAACTCCAAGGACAAAAAAGGCTCGGAATGTAGATTGAAGCCGGTCGCTTGAAGAAGCCTAAAGTTGACATAACATGCCACGGACAGCGAACGAGGTTTATCCGGGCTTCATGCCTCACGAGCTTCCCGACGCCGCTCCTTGTCTAGACCTTTACCCCGAAAGCAGTTTTTTACGAATCGTCAGAAGACGCACTCTCTTCTCGAATTTTCAGCCTTGCAGGTGCCAATTGCCTGTCAATGCCCGGAGGTCCTCACAAGTCTTGGCTTTTTTTGCACCCACTTTTTTTCGCCTTTCAGTAGGGAGATTCTTAACTCCAGAAAAAATTTCCGGGGCATCTCCGGAGAAACCTGGAGCGAATTGGGGAATGCATCATGTATGCAAAGCCGCCCGCAGATGGACTGGCAGGACCTGCTCAGCTAAGTATGGGGCCGGCCTGCATGAGAACGACGTTTCTAAGTGCATTTGCAGTCACCCTGGCGTGGTGCGTCGCTGTGCATGCAGCTTGCATTGTTGGCAGACAATTGCAACATGAAATGCCTCACAGCGCCGGTAAAATTTAGCACTTACCTGGAACAGCCAAAAACTATAAATGTGGGCCCATCCCACCTTCTATTTTTTATCATCAACAACTTACGATCATGTCTCGTGAAGAAACAACTTCCTCGGGTGTGCAAACACCCACCAACGATTCGCTTTTGGACAAGTCCATCCAGGAGCAGAAGAAGGACTCCACTGAGGAGGACCTTCCTGAATTGCCCAAGAAATCTACAAAAGAGTATCTTGTGGTGGCCACCTTGTGTCTTTTGGTTGCATTCGGTGGTTTTGTCTTTGGTTTCGATACCGGTACTATTTCCGGTTTCGTGAACATGCCTGACTTCAAGGAGAGATTCGGTCAGCTCAATGGTTCTGGTGAGTACTACCTCAGTGACGTCAGAACCGGTTTGATGGTTTCCATTTTCAATGTGGGTTGCGCCATCGGTGGTATTTTCATTTGCAAAGTCGGTGATGTCTACGGTAGAAGAATCGGTATCATGTTCGCCATGGTCATCTACATCGTCGGTATCGTTATTCAGATTGCTTCTCAGGATGCCTGGTACCAATACTTCATTGGTCGTTTGATCACTGGTCTCGCTGTCGGTACCGTTTCCGTCATTTGTCCACTTTTCATTTCCGAGGTTTCTCCAAAGCAAATCAGAGGTACCTTGGTCTGCTGCTTCCAGTTGTGTATCACCTTGGGTATCTTCTTGGGTTACTGTACCACGTACGGTACCAAGACCTACTCCGACTCCAGACTGTGGAGAATCCCATTGGGTCTCTGTTTTGCATGGGCTCTTATGTTGTTGGGTGGTATGGTTTCCATGCCTGAGTCTCCAAGATACTTGATTGAGAAGAGCAGAATTGAAGATGCCAGAAACTCCATCGCCAGATCCAACAAGGTTTCCGTGGAGGACCCTGCCGTTTACACCGAAGTGCAGCTTATTCAGGCTGGTATCGATCGTGAGAAGCTTGCTGGTAATGCCTCCTGGAAGGAATTGATCACTGGTAAGCCAAAGATTCTCAGAAGAGTCATCATGGGTATTATGCTTCAATCCTTGCAGCAGTTGACCGGTGACAACTACTTCTTCTACTACGGTACCACCATTTTCAAGGCCGTTGGTCTTAAGGACTCTTTCCAGACCTCCATCATCTTGGGTGTGGTCAACTTTGCATCGACATTCCTCAACATCTACCTCATTGAACGTTTGGGTAGAAGAGTCTGTCTCCTTGCCGGCTCCGTCAGCATGTTTGTGTGTTTCCTCATTTACTCCATTCTCGGTTCCGTCAACTTGTACATTGACGGTTTCGAAAACACCGAAGAAAACACCAGAAAGCCAACCGGTAACGCCATGATTTTCATCACCTGCTTGTACATTGCATCTTTCGCTTCGACCTGGGCAGGTGGTTGTTACTGCATCATCTCTGAGACTTACCCATTGAGAATCAGAGCCAAGGCCATGTCTGTGGCCACTGCCGCCAACTGGATGTGGGGATTTTTGATTTCCTTCTTCACCCCCTTCATCACTTCCGCCATCCACTTCAACTTCGGTTTTGTTTTCACCGGCTGCTTGTTGTTCTCCATCTTCTATGTGTACTTCTTTGTCTACGAGACAAAGGGTCTTTCTTTGGAGGAGGTCGATGAGATGTACGCCTCTGGTGTTTCTGCCTGGAAGTCCGCCAACTGGGAGCCTCCTTCGGTAGCCCACATGGCCCACTCCACTGGATACGCTGCTGACGAAAAGCCTGGTGATGAACAGGTTTAATGACGATACGAAAGGACCTTATAGATTTGTCCAAAGCATAGATAGCACAATAACAACGAAAAGAATCAAGGATGTATTTTTGAGGAACATTGGTGTCGTGCCGATGGTGCTTGTTTGTTGATATATACAACTGGGTACGACAGTGGCGGTGTTCTTGCGTATACGAAAACGACTCACCTTTCTGGGCAGATGGTGGGGCTACTGGATATAGAGATGTCAAAGTCTATGAAAACTTAATGTCAACGTCTTTTTCAACAACCTATTGATATACTGTAGATGCCGTAGAGAAAAGGACACAACAATCCAAACAAAATGAACACAATTTTATATGGAAACATCGCAAACACCACCCCTCCATCCACGTCAAACTTCTCCAAAATAATCAAGGTGGGGTCTTCTGGGGATGGGACGATATTCTGAGCCGATATTCCCCGTAGAGGGTGTCGTGAAAATAAGGTCAGGCTGACTGACCGAGGATGAACTCCAACCTTGTGACAGAGTGGCTGGGGCATCTGAGGCTGCATAATTTACGACCAACGGTGTCTGGAGAACGTCCGAAAAGGGCAGGTTGAAATATGGCTCAGTAGATTGCCGAGGTATTTTGCGGTGACAAGTTGCAAAACGATTTGCAAAGCCACGAGATGGATGGGCTGCTACTGCGTGACGGTGCATTTTTTCTCCGTATGTGCAAGGCGAGTGCATTGTAATACTGCATGCTCGCCCAAACAGGGCATTCAGCAATACAAGTCCGGCACATAGCGCCCCATTACGACTCTCTGTAACGTCGCCGCGCCGTCTCTAATGCACCGTCGCATGATTCTTCCGAAGTTTTTTTTTGCAACCAAAACCGTGTCACCATGGTTTTTCCGTCTGCTGAGCCCACAGTCAGCCGTGGCCATCCCATCAAGGCAGCTCCACCACATCCAATAGCATTATAAATATCGGGCCTGGCGACCCCCTATTCTACTTTTTTTTCATCATCACTTACAAACACATCAACACAAATACATAATCATGTCTCAAACTAATTTGGAGCAGACCCAACTGGGAGCTCCCACTACCAACACGAACATCAACGACAACGTTCTTTTGGATAAGGAGGTCGACAAGGACTTGGCAGTCGAGCCTCCTAAGGAAATCGACACTCGTTCGGGCAAAGAGTACATTGCCATGTCGGTTTTCTGTTTCCTCGTTGCCTTTGGTGGTTTTGTTTTCGGTTTTGACACCGGTACGATTTCCGGTTTCGTCGCTATGGACAACTTCATTGAGCGTTTTGGTCAGCTCAAAAGTTCTGGTGAATACTATCTTTCCAACTCGAGAACCGGTTTGATGGTTTCTATCTTCAACATCGGTTGCTGCATTGGTGGTATTTTTATTGGCAAAGTCGGTGACATGTGGGGCAGAAGAATGGGTATCATGTTGGCTATGGCTATTTACGTTGTGGGCATTGCTATCCAGATTTCTTCTGACGACAAGTGGTACCAATTCTTCATTGGCCGTTTTGTTACTGGTCTTGCTGTCGGTACTGTTTCCGTTGTTGCTCCTGTCTTTATTTCCGAGGTTGCCCCCAAACAGGTCAGAGGTACTTTGGTCTGTTGTTTCCAGCTTTGCATCACTTTGGGTATCTTTATTGGTTACTGCTGCACTTACGGTACTAAGACCTACGACGATGCCAAGTGCTGGAGAATCCCATTGGGTCTTTGCTTTGTCTGGGCTGCCCTTTTGGTCTGTGGTATGTTGAACATGCCTGAGTCCCCAAGATTCCTTATGATGAAACAGAGAGTCGACGATGCCAGAAGATCCATTGCCAGATCCAACAAGGTTGACATTAACGACGATGTTGTCGAGGCTGAAATCAGAACCATCCAGGCTGGTCTTGACAAGGAGGCTCTTGCTGGTAACGCCGACTGGATGGAGTTGATCAACGGTAAGCCAAAGATCTTCAGAAGAGTCATCATCGGTATCATTACCGCCATCTTGCAGCAGCTTTCCGGTATCAACTACTTCTTCTACTACGGTACCACCATCTTCAAGGCTGTCGGTATGAACGACTCTTTCAAGACTTCCATCATTTTGGGTGCTGTCAACTTGGTTTCCACTTTCCCTAACATTTGGGCCATTGAGCATTTGGGTAGAAGACTTACCCTCTTGATTGGTTCCGTCTGCATGACCATCTGTCTTGTCATTTACTCCGCCTTGGGTTCCGCCAAATTGTACATTGACGGTTACGACAACACCGAAGAAAACACCAGAAAGCCAACCGGTAACGCCATGATTTTCATCACCTGCTTGAACATTTTCTTCTTTGCTTCCACCTGGGCCGGTGGTGTCTACTGCATTCTTTCCGAAAACTACCCATTGAGAATCAGATCCAAGGCCATGTCTGTCGCTACCGGAGCTAACTGGATTTTTGGTTTCTTGATTGCCTTCTTCACTCCATTCATCACCTCCGCCATCCACTTCAACTACGGTTTCGTTTTTGCCGGTTCCATGTTGTTCTCCGTCTTCTTCATCTACTTCTTCCTTTGTGAGACCAAGGGTCTTTCTTTGGAGGAGGTTGACGAGATGTACGCTTCTGGTTTGGCTGCCTGGAAGACTGGTGGATTCGTCCCCGAGGCCGAAAAGACCGAGACTGCTTAGACGGTCATAAACTTACTGCCACTGTACATTCGCAGGGCTTAATATTCTAATTTTGAATGAATGATGTTTTACCGATACAAGTTGTGTAGATTTGATACACTCGGAATTACTTAAAAATGGGGTTTTAAGCTCGAAGATACGAGAAGAAAATTGGGAGCTTGAGATTGAAAAAATCGATGCAAGTGGAAGTGTTGTTACGTAGATGATGTTTGCAGCTGTTTGCAGCAATGATGATGCTTCTTTCAAGAAGTGGGGGGTCAGCAAATCCTATCTTGTGATTTTTTTGTGTTTGTTAAATTGATCTGATTTAATGGAAACCCCCACTTAATCTACAGAGAAAACCATTTTATTGTGAATTTATTTTGTCGAGTAAAATCATGTGTTTGACAAAACTTACGTACCCAGTCTGAGTGTTGTACTATTTGTAGCAAGACGTACTTTCTCATTAATGTGTCAAATATGAGGCGTTCACATGAACCGCACCGAAAGTGATGAGCTAGATGCCATTAAAACCGGTATTTGAGAACATTGACGATAATGGCGATTTATTAGCTGTTTCAAAATAGCAGTCTACAATAGAGCAAAACGGGTAGACAACAAAAGTAGAAATGCTGCGGAATCTGTCATAGCATGTTCCACCCATACTCCACCAAATCCTTCACCGACAAGCTAAAAAAACCGAATTACTGATTTTCACTGATCTCCAACAACCTACTTCAACTTCCCCTGCTCTTGTCACCTTTTTCCCACAAAAACCCAAAACCCAGAGAGTCCACTTTTTCACTCAAAACGGTAGCGCACTTCCTAACCGTAGCGCATTCTCGTATATCGACGCAGGTAAGCCACACCAGGAAGCAACCTGATATCTCCGCCATCATGGACCCAACAAGGCACAATTTTCGGCAATTTCCATTTTATAACCTCACCAATATCAAAACTTCATGAACTTCTCATAAACTTTTGGATGGGCCGATTTCGACATTACACTCCCTGCGTAAGCGAGGTAACTACCCGACAGGGCAGCAAATCCAGAAACCAGAACGGCGGAGCCGTTGGAACAATGCAACAACAGTCATTCTTCTTTTTGCATGTGTCGACTTTTCCTAACCCCCTACATTGAGAAATTTTTCATATTTTTCACCACGTAGACGTGTTTCAAGATGCCGAGAATGGGCCGATCGCGGTGTGGCTGATAGTGCCAGGTCGGCTTGAACTGCCATAGTTAACGGCTTCTTGGATACACTAACGCCGAGCACGGCACGTATCTGCGGCCATTGGCCCGAGATTTTCCATGTTTTTTCACCGTTCAGTGCCAACAATCCAACGACATTCACTCGGGTGTTCACGGGAAGGAGGGGTAGACTAGCGGGGCCAGCGCGGGGGACGGTACCGGCCTCACGTGCCAGTTCCGCTGACCCGAAAAGACTGTTTAAACCGCCATAATCAACGCCATTGACGACCATCAACGGCCTGGGCGCACTCTCCGCGCCGTGTTACCCCTCCTCCCCGAAATCTGGCGTCTTCTGGCGTGTTTGAGTCACCTGAAAATTTTCTCCGATCGGCTTTCGCACAAGTATATAAGCACCCCAGATCCCCAAATTTCTCGGTAACCAAAATGCTCCGCTCTTCTAGATCCTTTTCTGTTTGCGCCAGATTGGCCAAGTGGAACGAAATCCCATTGGCTCCTCCCGACAAGATCCTCGGCATCAGCGAGGCCTTCGTCAAGGACACCAACAACAAAAAAATCAACTTGGGTGTCGGTGCCTACAGAGACGGCAAGGGTAAGCCAATTGTGTTCCCTTCGGTGAAGAAGGCCGAAACCGTGCTTTTGGAGAACGAGTCCAACAAGGAGTACACCGGTATCACCGGTTCCAAGACCTACCAGGACGCGGTCAAGAACTTCATTTTCAACAACTCTGACAAGGACACCAACGGTGCTCAATTGATCAAGGACGGCCGTATTGTCACTGCCCAGACCATCTCCGGTACCGGTTCTCTCCGTGTTATCGCCGATTTCCTCAACAGATTCTACTCCTCGGGCCAGATCATCGTTCCTAAGCCAACCTGGGCCAACCACGTTGCTGTGTTCACCGATGCTGGCATGAAGGCTGACTTTTACGCCTACTACGACAAGGAGAACAACGGCTTGGACTTTGAGAACCTCAAGAAGTCCGTTGCCGCTGCTCCTGAGGAGTCTGTGATTTTGTTGCACGCCTGTTGCCACAACCCTACTGGTATGGACTTGACTCCCCAGGAATGGGAGGAAGTTTTGGAGATCATCCAGCAGAAGAAGCTCTTCCCTCTTGTGGACATGGCCTACCAGGGCTTTGCCTCCGGTAACACCTACGAGGACATTGGCTTGATCAGAAGATTGAACGAGCTCGTTGTCCAGGGCAAGATCCCAACCTACGCTCTTTGCCAGTCCTTCGCCAAGAACATGGGCTTGTACGGTGAGAGAACCGGTTCCATCTCTATTATTACCGAGTCTGCCGAGCACTCCAAGGCTGTGGAGTCCCAGCTCAAGAAGTTGATCAGACCAATCTACTCCAACCCACCAATCCACGGATCTAGAATCGTCGAGACCATCTTCTCCAACAAGGACTTGTACAACGAGTGGTTGGCCGACTTGGACGCTGTGGTGGGCCGCTTGAACGTGATCAGAGACAAGTTGTACCAGAAGTTGGACAAGTCCAACTACAACTGGGACCACTTGTTGAAGCAGCGTGGTATGTTTATCTACACCGGTTTGTCTGCCGAGCAGGTGATTGAGTTGAGAGAGAAGTACTCTGTGTACGCCACCGAGGACGGTCGTTTCTCCATCTCTGGTGTCAATGAGGACAACGTTGACTACTTGGCTGACGCCATCAACCAGGTTATCAAAAAATAGGTCACTGGGTGTCCTAGCTGTTCATAGTAACGACGAAAACGAGAAATGTTTTGTAATTTTGGAGGAATGAAGGGTAGTGAGATAGTTGAAGATGAGGAAGGCTAGGCCGGTTTGACACATTGATAAGGTTTGAGGTGCATTATCAATTGCCGCAGGCAAATTTAGACATAAGGTTTGGTGCCTAGAGCTTCTAGAAGCATATCCCTTAATCGTGGATTTGGAATAACGTTCACTCGGTTCATGGAATTTTTCACAATTTTCAGCCAATTCCAGGGTTGCGTGAGATTGGTCCAATTGGATCTCTACCTCCAAATCAGGAGATCCTCAGGATGCCATCAGATGATTTTACAACTATTGCAATAATCATCCAAAATGTTGTCTAGAACAGTAGATCACTCAAATTTCCCCTCGGGTTTCAATCCAATGCTCCGAGATTTCCTTTGTGTGTAAAAGTGCCCCGCCCTGCGTCGGACCCTTGAGCCCCACAAAATGAAATCTCTATACATTTTCAACAATGCGATTAAAGAACTACTTCCAAAGAATTCCGTCATTTCTTCTATATCTTCATATCAATGACACCACCTCCTCTACACGATGCGTCTCCTGACACCCAAATACGAGGCTGAGGGGAATGGACCATGTTGTGGAGAATAACACAAAGTCCATTCAAAAGTATCAACTGTGAATTCTAAGATCATGGTGGGGAAGAGATTCGGGAGTTTCAGGTCCGTAAGGGGGTGCCCCGCGTTGCCCCACCGGGGAACATAAATAGGGCGCCATTTCCCACTTTCTGAAATTGCACAAAACTGCACCTCTCGCCTGCACTGTTGGCCGGCGCGACATCAACACCGCAACTTTCTTCACTTTCAACAACTCCAATGTCCTCCGTCGTAGAAACGAAGCCCTTCCCTGACCAGAAGCCCGGAACCTCCGGCCTCAGAAAGAAGGTCACTGTGTTCCAGCAGGAGAACTACACCGAGAACTTCATTCAAGCCATCCTCGAGGCGATCCCAGAGGGAGCGACCTTGGTTGTGGGCGGTGACGGCAGATACTACAATGACCATGTGGTGCAGCTCATCATTGAAATTGCTGCTGCCAATGGCGTCAAGAAGATCATTGTGGGCCAGAACGGCTTGCTTTCCACTCCAGCCACTTCCCACATCATCAGAATCACCAAGGCCACAGGTGGTATCATTTTGACCGCCTCGCACAACCCAGGCGGTCCAGACAAGGACTTGGGTATCAAGTACAACATGGCAAATGGTGGCCCTGCTCCAGAGTCTGTGACCAACAAAATCTACGAGATTTCCAAGTCTCTCACTCAGTACAAGACCTACAAGCTCGATAAGGTTGACCTCCAGAACGAAGGCACCAGCAAGGCCGGTCCAATTGAGGTTGAGGTCATCAACCCAACCAGTGCTTACGTCGCTCTCATGAAAGACATCTTTGACTTCCCTCTCATCAAGAAGTTCATTCACAGTGCCGGCGAGTCCCAAGGTTTCAAGGTTCTTTTCGACGCTTTGAACGGTATCACTGGTCCTTACGGCCACAAGATCTTTGTTGAGGAATTGGGCTTGCCTGAGACCTCTGTCCAGAACTTCGTGCCTAAGCCAGACTTTGGTGGTTTGCACCCTGACCCCAACTTGACCTACGCAGAGACTTTGGTCAGCAAGGTTGACGCCGAGAACATTGCTTTTGGCGCCGCTTCTGATGGTGACGGTGACAGAAACATGATCTATGGTGCTGGTGCTTTCGTCTCTCCTGGTGACTCTGTGGCCATCATCGCAGAATACGCTGACGCTATTCCTTACTTCAAGGAGCAGGGCGTCTACGGGTTGGCTCGTTCCATGCCAACTTCCGGTGCATTGGACTTGGTTGCCAAGGACAAGAACCTCAATGTCTACGAAGTGCCTACCGGTTGGAAGTTCTTCTGTAACTTGTTCGACGCCAAGAAGTTGTCCATCTGTGGTGAGGAATCTTTCGGTACCGGCTCGAACCACATCAGAGAAAAGGATGGTTTATGGGCCATCTGTGCCTGGTTGAATGTCTTGGCTGACTTCAACCAGAAGTACCCTAACGAAAAGACCAGCATCAAGGCCGTCCAGGAGAAGTTCTGGCAGAAGTATGGCAGAACTTTCTTCACCAGATACGACTACGAAGAAGTCTCCAGCGAAGGCGCTGCCAAGCTTGTGGAGCTCCTCGGCTCTATTGTCGAGCAAAAGAAGGAGGGCTCTGAGTTGGCTCCAGGTTACACCGTCAAAGAAGCTGCCAACTTCTCCTACACTGACTTGGACGGCTCTGTGTCGAAAAATCAGGGTTTGTTCATCAAGTTCACCAACGGATTGCGTTTCATTGTGCGTTTGTCGGGCACTGGATCTTCTGGAGCCACGGTGAGATTGTACTTGGAGAAGCATTCTGCTGACCCATCCACGTACTCCGAGCCTGTTGACAACTTCTTCTCTAAGGACATTGCTTTCATCTTGGAGTTGTTGAAGTTCAAGGAGTTGTTGGGTAAGGACCAGCCAGATGTGAAGACCTAATTGCATGCATTGGAGTAAGTAAACCAATGGACGCGGCCGTAGCCGATGATAAAAGAATCAACAGTGTAGAAGATCGAGTTAACGACAGTGATTATGACCTTTTACTCTATGGACCTAAGAGAAGTTTACTAGCAGTTTCGAACACAGCAGTCAAAGTACTTAGATGATAAAGATCTTATCTCTTTCCTCTTTAGGTCTACATGATGATCCTTATTCTACCCTTCAAAAGCTTTTAAACACTGCTTCCTGGACCTTGCATTCATTGGTAGTCATTAAATAATTATACATGTTATACTAACGTTAGCATTTAGTATCTAAGGCTCCTGCTTGGCCTTCTTCTCATCCTCCTCATGGGCATTCTGGCTTTGCAAAGCAATCACCTCGTCCAACCTTCTACGCATGGAAGATTCCCTTAAACGAGCGGCTTGTTCCATTGCTTCGAGTTCCATGATCCTCGTTCTGTACAAGTCATTGACAAGTTCAAGCTCGGAGATCCGAGTTTTCAAAAGAGTGTTTTCGTAAGCAACCCCTTCTGCCGACGTTGGAACAGGAGCACCATGGCTGTTCTGGTTATTATTGTTGTTATTATTGTTGTTATTGCTCCTGTCCCCGTCGTCATTACCGGAGCCCTGCTGCTGTTGCGTGGGTTTCTCAGGATTAGAATTCGTACTGGATTCACCGGATTTCTGACTTTGCTGGGGAGCCTGTGAAGGCTGGCTTTCGCCGGAGGAATTCTGAACAACTTTAGCATGTTCACTGCTCAAATGGCTGATCTCTTCCGTCTTGACAGGATGGAGATTCAGAATTGAAGGCAATGGACCTGAGGTCGGACCCAGACCAGGCGTGCCAGGGCCATTAGTAGGCGTCATGCCTCTAGACACCGTTTGGTGAAGAGGAGGCAAGGATGGCTTTGGAAGACCCAGGTGGTCTCTTTTGGGAGAGTCCAAGTGGAACTGAGGACCAAACGAAGGAGAAGCAATGACGTTGGAGGAGGCGCCGGTGGAAGTGCCCAGGGAGGGGCGATTCCGGGCAAAATCCTCGAATCTTGCTTGGCTGGGGTTTTGGCAGAAGGACCCATGAGCGAAACACCGTTCATGTTCTCGTGACCAGGACCCTTGAAAGTGGCCGAAGGGCCAAGAACATTCAGCATGTTCTCCAAAGCACCAGCAGCCTGGGCAGCCGAAAGCGAACCCTTGGGCGAAGCAGCACCCGTAGACGACACAGAACGAGCATTCAGAAGCGTCGTGCTGAGCATAAGCGGAGAGGTGATTCTCTGCAATCCTGGGGCAAACTGGGTAGGCGTCGACGAAGGATAGTGCAACAGCTGCACCTGGGACGAAATGCCCAGAAGGTGGTGCAAATGGTGTGGCAAAGGAGCATGGCCCAGAGGAACCCTAGGGTGAGAAAGAGGCAGTGGAACCGCCGTAGCCGAGGAAGCAAGACCGGGCAAATGATGGATCGCGTGATGCTGAGGCTGGTGCTGAGGCTGGTGCTGCTGGTGCTGCTGGTGCTGCTGGTGCTGCTGGTGCTGTGGAGGCTGCTGTTGATGCTGAGGCTGCACGGCGAAATCCGGAGGAGGACTTCTTTTACGGCTTTGTCTGGGCAGTTTTTTGCCCAGCAACGTGGGCACCAGCAGGCTCAGGGCCAGCAGCAGGCCCGACAGCAGCGGACGCAGCTCCTTGGCTTTGAGTTCCGGAGTGTTGGCGCTGTTCTTCTTCAGGAAGTTGGGCTGCTTGATCCGGTTTCTCAGCTTGATGGTGTCCGTTTTCAAGCTGATGGGTCTGGGCCGGCCATGGAGCTTCAAAAAGAGACCACACGCGTTGCACAAGACCTGACCCGTCTCGTCACGGCGCCATAGCGGGGTGGTTTGTGTTTTGCAGTTCCGACAAACGGGTGACAGGATGTTCAGTTTCGTTGTGGTGGTGCCGTTGTTGATCAGCGTTGTTGTTTTGGCGTTGGGGTGCACCGGGTTGGGGTTCACCGGGTTGGGGTTCACCATTTGCGGTAATCTCTGGATTTCACTCATCTGGGGGAAACTGGTTGCAACGAGAATTTTGGATGAAGGGGTGTTTTATTTGTTATCGACCTTTGGCGCTTATCGAAAACAGCGTGAAAGGACGGGTGCGTGTGAGGGGGGTTATGTCACAGCGAAATGAGGGATAGTGATCCGAGGAGTTTTCGATCCGAGGGCACTTTGTACTGGTGAGTAGATAAAAGAAGTGGTGTTTTGAAGGTTTTTTTTTTCTGTCTCAGGTGTAGCCTGAAAAAAATTCCATCCATCAGATAAGCCAAGCGCGACATTTCTGCCTCGGCCGCTCCAACCAAGGGAGAGGGCTCCTCGGTCACGTGAGGATAAGACGGTATTAAGAACATGCCACTACTGTACTCTACGTATTCTAATCATCCCTTGGAGCCCTGGTTTCTCTCTGCTGTTGGTGGTGCGACATTGTCGTGGGATAAGATAACTTCTCTGCTTACTTAAGCAAGATAAGGCGATTAGCGCGACATATTCCCTAAACAACAAGGTTGCGAGCGGATTGGTAGATGCACGACCCCCACAATTGCATACAAACTAGGCTTAAGAGCAATTGAACAACTTCGCTACGTGAACTGAAACCCGCGCTTTTCATCGATACCCCTACTTATTCCTTATCAGTGGATTATGGTGGGGGTCCCGCCGACCCGGTAAAATGTCGCGATGTCGTTGCGCATCACGTGAGTCCAAGGCTCCTCGTCGAGGACAGAAAACAAACTTTTTTTTTACTATTTCGAGACTGCCGGAACAGCCTGTCACCAGTGAAAATCCTGTCTGCAATCGCCGTACACTGCCAGTCTAGATCGGCACATCCAAATCAGACAATTTTTTAGCAAACGTAGTCAAGATCCAAAGCCACTTAAGAATCTGGATTTTTCCCAAATAAGTACTTGATGTTTCTGATAAGCGTCCGGCATCTCGTCAGACGGTTGCAAAACGGCTCAAATTAAGTAGCGTTGCATTTTCCTCATTATGCACCGACGAAGCAATCGCCGTTGTGTAACGTTCTAGCCTCTCCCTTAAAGTTTATAAATTTCTGAATCATGGGGCTCTTTGGTATAAGGTATGGTGCGGTAGCGGTAATTGCTAAAGTAAGGTAGGCAAAGTAGGGCGTTACGCCACATTGGAGTATCGAACCTTGCAGGAATTGTGCCAGTTTTGGGGTTTTGTGGAGGTGAAAGTGTGGATTAGTATGGCGATCAAGGAGGGGTGGACTTTGCGTGTTGAAAATTTGCTCATGTGCTCTTTCTGTTTGAGCCATTTTAAGGTAGCATGTGAGCTATGATTTACGACAGTTTTCGATCGTATACGAATAATGGCTGATCGGGGAATACGACAATATAGTCTGAAGTCATTTAGGTAATAGATCATGAATGAGAGCTCTTCACGCACTTTCCTGCTGAGTCCCTTGTGCCCTTTTAGCCTGTAGAATTTGATCCACGTACCCGGCCATATGTTCAGAATCCTCTATAATATGGTGCTTCTGACCGGTTTCTCTATCGTCAATATTCTCCGAAAGATTGGCTCCAGTGTAGATACTCAAAGTGGATGGTTTGTCAAAAGGTGGTATAACAAGGCTGCCAAAAGCATAGAAGCCAAGGGACGAACTGATAACGGCATTCTTGAAGTCCTTGAAGCTGAGGTCGCCGTGTGTAGAAAAAAGCACATATTTTGATGGAACCAATGGCTCAGATGCAAGCTGGATAACAGGCCAGCCAAACTCAAATGAAGAAGTGCCTGGACGGCTTCCTTTGCGGATTTCTTTACCTTCGAGGATCTCCTCCACGAGAAGCTTCATGTAGGGAGATGTCACCACAAGACTTATGTCCTCATGGCGATATCCCAAAAGCCGCATGAACTGATAAAGGCCCACGATGAATGTAGCTTCATCAACATTGACTTGTTTCTCCGAAGAAGGCACTTTGATCATCATGGTGGTTTTCTGTAAACCAGGATTGTAAGAAGGTTCAGCTGTTGTTCGTTTTCCAACCAAACTGGCAATTTCAGGTCTCACACTTCCCAGCTCTTCAAGTAATACGAGGGGTTGCAAATTAAGTGGATTTGAATCTCCAAAGAAAACCACCCTCTCTGTATCCTGCGTCACAACGGCTTCAGTCTCTGCTCCAACAAAGGAGATGACATGCTTGAAGCTATTTCCCACTAGGTGAACTGAATCAGAAGCACAGACGACAAAGGGATGCAATGAACTAATCGCTTTTTCTGCATCATCCGGATATCTTTCAATGTCTGCCTTATCCAATGGAAGTAGACGCTGGATCTGTGCAAACGTGCCTTTGATTCCATGATAGTGCTTCACCACAGCATCTAGAGCGTCCTTCACAGGAGTGTCCTTCTCGAACTGAAGCGATGCAAAAGGGTATTTCAAGACCGAGGGGAAGGTTTCTTTTAATGTCTTGAGATACTCATCCCAGCGAGGTTTGATTTGGGAGTCATAGAATACAATAGCGTTCCTCAAGGAGGAGGTGAAATCAAAGTCCTCGAGTTGGAGGTATTTGGCGAGTTCACCAACGTGTCGAAGAAGCTTATCAGCCTTTGAACGAGTACTGTGAATGTCTCCACATTTGTATGTCACTGGAACCAACCTATCTGTGAGGCTTAACCTCTCGAGATGAAAGGTTGTTGGAAGAATGACAAGGCAGCGTTCTGATACGCCTTGATTGATGTAGATAGTCTCGAGAAATGTCCTGACCAAGGTATCACCTCCTGAATGTGGGAGACAGCTTATGTATGATACCAGGGATGAAAGAATCTCTAGGAGAGCCCGAGATTGGTCTTCAGAAAGATTCTTGTCGGAATCGGATATCTCGAATTTTGATGCTTTGTAGTCGATGATCGTCAGGTTCTCGTTGTCCTTTCTTCTCTTCTTAGTAGAAGTGGTGAAGCTTTCGTGAATGCCTTCAACCTTCCAGAGTCTCTCCACTGTCTTGCTCTTTAACAAATCAATATTCGACTCTTCAAGGGAAGGTAACAAGCGGACATTGTGGAGGGAAGGCAATGTGATGAGTCCGTTGTAAGGGCGGTTCTCCTCTGCAAGACTCACAGTCAATGCCTTTTGTGATACTGCTTTGACTTCGACAAGTCTTGCTTTCATTAGTCCGTACTTGCATACTCGGGAGAAGTGCTCGTGCTTCACAGGTTTTTCAAGGTGAAGAAGGACAACATAGTCACCTTGACGAACATCCTTTCTTCCAGACAGTAAGGAAAGCTCTAGATCTGAACCCTTACCTTCCGATTTCTCAACAGCCGAGTAGTACCTGCTTGTTCCTTGAATGCCGTCTTTGGTGATATTGAGTCTCTGGAGACACTGCTGAAGATGACGGTTGATGGAGGAGAAGAGTTGATATTCCCAGGTTTTCAAATGATCGTCAGATGCAAAGTATGCGGGGATTTGTAAACCAAGCGTGGGTGGGTGATTGAACAGATCAAAAAGTTCAAGCTCTGAAATAGATTGTTCTTTCAATTGAGGAACAGCTTTGCGGATGACCACATCTGCAAGAAAGTCAGGATCTTCAATATCACCTTCGTACCCTAACACTCCGGCGAATTTCTTAAGTTTCTCGAAATCCAAGTCCACGAGATTTTCCACCAAGTCCGACCTCGTTAGGTCGTATGGCAGTAGACAGTCACCGAGAAGGCCAAACCCTAGTTCCCTCGCTTTCTCCTGAAGCTTTGAGAATTGGGAAAAGCTTGGTTCCTCAGACTGAATGTCGATTAGATGTTTGAGTTGGGGATCTTCGCAATTGGCAAAAACTGAAAGGAAGCACCTTGAGTCAACTGCTTCAGAAATAGCATCGGCTTTTTCAACTCGTGCAACACCAAGGAGGTAAACCAAAGCTGATGCCGTTTTGGCACTGGTCACCGAGAACTCCCCACTCAAGAAGTGGTTCGTATAACTTTCTAGTATAGAGTCCAACCATCTATCGAAAAGTTCATGCTTCATCAAAGCCTCTGGATCATTGCGTAGAACCACACTCAAAAAGACGTAACTCAAGTATTCAAAGTCCACGATCAGCTCGTCCAAGGCGTTCAATGTGGTCTGTAAAACTCGCTGTAGCAAGGTATTGAGTTTTTCACTATCCAGGGACAAAAGGGACCATTGGCTTTGACTCCTGCCAACCACTGAGGTATAGAAGACAATAGCAAGAATTAATTCAACGTGGTTGTTGGTCACATCAGCGTGAAAGAACTTCCAGGCCACGTTTTGGAGGTATCCTTCTTGGAGGTTGTCGAGGTCAGTGTGAGATTTTACCTTATCGTAAACATCAGTGATCAAGGACGGCAGGAACTTTTTAGGTGGACGATGTCGCTGAGCAGAAAGTACTGCCACAAGCGACTTTTTGGATGCAGGGGCCATGTGGTTGGACTAGGATTATCGGTGTAGTAGGTACCGATGGGGTTTGTTGATAGTACTGTATGTGCACCGAAGAGCTGCCTTAAGATGCCTTGAAGGAAGCCTACGAAATTGATCGATTTATAATCGATAGTATTTTCTTTCATTAAAATGAAGTCGTATTTACAGGTGGCCGACAAAAACCTCGGCTGCATCGTATATGGCGTGATAGAAGTGTGAAAGATGAGCTCGATTAGCAGCCATTCAGTCTATATATCAACGAGTTCTGCATTTTTCAAATATTGGCCCATTCGGGCATTTTCGTGGTTATATCCAACGAAATGTCTCCTCGGTGCCTGAGACGATGAGCATGAAGGTAGATCTCTTCGTTGACAGGGTCACTAAGTAATATCTTCGAGCACTCAGGACAGACGTCCTTCAATTCCCTATCGTGATTGGTATCCCTGAGCCATTTGAGCTCTGCCATCTGTTCTTTTAATTCAGGGCGCTTATTAACAAGGGCATCTAAGTCGACGAACTTCTCACCCGTTTCCTTCAACTTCAGCCTCACCATCTCATGCAACTGTTGCTCAATTTGAAGCTTGAATTGGCCCTTTGAGTTCTCCTTTGGGGATTGTATAAGTAGTCATTCACGATTGGAAAGCCAAGGCACCTCAAGTGTATTCTGATTTGATGCATTTTACCTGTTATGGCTTTGCATCGCACGATGCTTTGATCTAGCTCTTCGGAGTATTTCACCAATTCGAAACCTGTTGAAGAGATGGGCACTTGACTCGTGTTTCTTATATTGATGTAGCCCCCGTAGCTTAGCGAAAAGACGGGGTGATCAAAAACGAATGGTTCAGAGGGAAACCTACCTTTAACCCTAGCCAAATACCACTTGTCCGTGTTGTTCTTGTCATTGAATGCCGATTGAAAGCGACTGCTGGTTTCGGCGTTTTTGGCAAGTAGTAGCACCCCAGATGTAGCTTTATCAAGACGGTGACAAGGATAAAGCTTCCGGTATCCGTGCTCCTCTCTCAAAATACTAGTAAGAGAGTTCCAGCGATATGCTCCACTTGGATGCGTTGGCATACCCAGAGGCTTTGAAACCGCTACAATATCGTCGTTCTCAGTGACCACCTCAATAGGTCCCTTATATAGAATGGGTGGTTCGTGAACGTGCTGTGTAGCATGAAGAATATCGTGATTTCGAAAAAGATGGGTTCTTGTCTCTTCAGGCAGGAGCTTTATACCCAGATCGACTTTATTGCAGTTTGTTGAGATGTATATGGATCCATCTTGAATGCCCTGTTCTATCGTTTTGGAATCCTGGCCTAGTTCTGTAGTAAGGACATGGGCTATGGGTTTTTTGAACCATCTGGCTTTAACTGTGGTGCTGAAATCATGATAATACGGACTGACTCGACGAAACCCGTGCTCTATTATGTACTTGGGTTTTGTCATATATCCATTGGGATCTATGTGGATGGGGTTGGTATCTTGGAGAAGATGTAGAGGCATGTAACGCACCCGTACACCACACTTATTCTGTAGATATCAGGGATGACTTTGCCTTGATAAAAGTTGTAGAACGAAAGCGTTTTTGGGCATTGACGCTTATTCCAAACTTGTCGTCAAAAGTCTTCAGCTCAAATGCTTTAAGCATACTCTGGTGGTGTACCCATATATGTTGTAGCTCAAAGGTCTACCATGAGAAGTCTACCCTTCAACATAAACGAATATTTCAAACATACCACTAAACTAGATATCTATTTCAAATTTGGACTATGACGTTCCTCAAAACCATCCTACACCTCCTCCAAAAACAACATCAACAAAATCCAACTTGTGGTCACGTGCGCGTTTAGTGCTCACACTTACAAAATTTTCGTACCAAGATCAGTTTCCATCCACACCCTTGAACTAGCCATGTTTCGCTCTGCGGTCCGCTTTCTAGGGCTTCTGGCTCGTCAGTTTCAGGAGGCTCCTAAACTCCAGCCGTACTTGGCTGCAAAGCAGTTCATACCCGAGGATGCTGGAAGATCCAAGAGAAGAGCGCTCAGAAGAAGAGAGTTTCGTTTGAAACGTCAGATCATCAGAGATGTGAACAATTTGAAGAAACAGAAGATCAAATTCGCTCCTTTTGCGGTCGACCCCGTTCTTGGTGCCGACAATGTGCCATTTATTACAAGATTACGCAGAGAGCTCAATGAGCCTTTGAACTTGGCTCAAGGCTTCAAGAGAGAAGAGGTCGAGAAGTTGTTCTACGGAGCCCAGAAGGCTGCTACTGATTCTAACCTTGCCGGCGACATGTTCCCTGAGTCTGTGGCTGCCAAGGAAGAGAAGAAGAGAAACGCTGTTTTGACCATCTTGAACTTGAGAAATACCAACGCAAAGGACAAAAAGAAGATGGCGGTGGAATTTGCCCGTAAGGAGTTTCAGAGATACGAAGGTGACAGCGGCTCTCCTGAAGTCCAGGCTGCCGTCATGACCGCCAAGATCCACCTCAACTTCAACCACCTTAAGGCTAACAAGAAAGACCACTCTCACACAGAAGCTATCCGCCACCTCGTGAACCAGAGACAGAGAATACTAAAATACTTGAAGCGCGTGGATCCCGAGAGATACTACTACACACTCGCCAAGTTGGGATTAACTGACGATGTGATTACTAGAGAGTTCAGTATGGGTTACCAGTACTTCGAGGACTATAAGGTGTGGGGCGACCGTGAGTTGGTGAAGAAGTCGGAGAAGACCAAAAAGAAGCAGGAGCAGCTTGGCGATTTGGAGAGGAGGGTTGCCGACTACAACAAGTTGGCCAAGAAGAACTACGACATCCTCTACGGACAGGCATCCTAAACATGTACATAGCATCAACGCATACATCAGTAATGGTATCTGGTTTGTAAATTCGCCGTAAATTCATTAATTAGTAGTGAGTCGTGAAGACACCACTAGTGGTCCAATAGATGGTGATGATTTGGGGATTCCGGGGCCTGATCAACATTGAATGCCCGGTCGGGATAAACTGAAGTGGCCAGCAGTGGGTGATAAAGCGATCTAAGCCGATTTCTGTTTGGAACTACCTCGAGCAGCACTATTAGTAAACACCACCCCATCCACTCATCTAAGCACCCTTTCGATTAACCTGTCGTAATTATGGTCAAACTCCGCCTTTTTTATCTCATCAACTCCGCTGGCCAAAGCGTCCACTTGCAGAAGCAAATCGTCCTTGATTGTAGACCCTTCCTCAACAAGCCCGACGATCTCCTCGTGAAGCTGCTTGTTATCTAGAAGAAGTTGCTCATATATCAACTTCAATTTAGTCACCGTCTCCGCTTTTGACGCTCCAACTCTGGCATCTATAAGCTGTTGTGGCGTGAGTTTATCTATGAAAAGCGGTTCTTCAGCATCCAGATCTCTTCTTGCCTGAGCCGCCTGGATTATCTCATCAAGCTCGTCGAGCTTCCTTTCAATGTCATTTTGCTCGAAGATGTACTGAAACTGCTTCTCCAGCGTCAGTTGGAAGTACTGTAGGATCTGCTTTCTGGCGGTCTCCAACGCGGACTTTCCACCTTTCATCTCGCTAATTGTAGGGAAGCATTTTTCAATCTGTTCTTGTTGAAGCAGCTTTTTGACTGTTTGCTCCACGGCCTTTTCAGTGACCCTTCGTAGGCGGTCGAAGCGGACTTTTTCGTACAGCATGGTGTTTGTTGATGTTTGTTTATGCGCGAGTGTGTAGAGGTATAGAGAGGATGAGATGTGGATTAGGCATTAGACCGAATATTCAAAAAACCTTCTTTGTTTTATAATTCAATTTAGTTTTTGTTTGAAGCTCGTTTATTGGGATTTTTCGCTTTTGGTTCTGGAAGCACTGGTACCTATAGATATGAGTGCTCAATCGCGATAGTGGAGAGTATGGCTAGATCGAACTCTGTTTCTTAGATTTATTTATGTCAAATTCAGTCCGTTCTGGGAGTCATGTTCTTCTGACAATTCTAAGACTTTGCCGTTGGAATTGTTACTTATCTTTTTGGAGTCCAGAGTGTGTTTTCACCCAGGCTACACTGCTTTGCACCCATTGAAATACTTTCTCTCATTATTTTCAAAGCGTTATAGGACCAGTTTCATAGCATCACAGAGTCTATCATAATCTCATTAACTACAGAATAGGTTGATTCGATAGCTATTTGCCACATTCAATCCTCACCTATCCTCGATTTCGCAGCCACTGTTCTTGGATCAAATGCTACATGTACCACATTGTGAGCCTCACCAGTTCACTATGAAGCTACCATATCTCTTGAATTGAGGAACATTTTCAGGTTGAAAAAGAAAAACTCACATGCTATCCCATAATCCTATGGAGACCCCATAGCATTGCTCCATGTCTTAGGTGCGAAGTAACCGGAGTCCCACCCACCATTATACTATCACCTTTTCGCCCGATGAAGCCAAAATCACAAAGAGCTCCAAAGCATTTACAAAAAACCTTTTCAAGCTAAAATCCCCCAACCACATCCTTCAACATAGTCCCTCCCTCACTCTCCCAGTTTCGCAGGGTGCTGCACTTATCACACCGATAAGTATCTCACCTACTACACTCCTCTTATCATGCTGGATCCACGTTCCCTAGTTGCACAGGCCGAGAAGCTCGCCAAGCCCCAGAGCGGGCTCATGCTGTTTTTCTCTGGCGGAAACTCCTACCGTTTAGAAGAGGCCACTGACCTCCGTGTCCAGGCAGCCAACTCATACAGATTGAACAAGGACTTTAGCAGTGCTGGGCTGCAATTTGTCAAGGCTGCTGAGCTCCAGAAGCAGCTCGACAACCAGAGTGACGTGGCCAACCACTTGGTGGAGGCCTACAAGTGCTTCAAGCTGGTTTCTCCCACCGACGCCATAGACGCCTTGAAACAGGCCATCCACATTTTCTTGACCCAGAACGGCCAGTTCAGAAGGGCGGCCAACTTCCAGATGGACTTGGCCGAGTTGTACGAGCAGATTGATGACGTGGCCAACGCCTCGGAGAGCTACGAAAAGGCCGGCGACTACTTCTCCACAGACCATGCTCCTTCTCTCTCCAACAAGGCCTACCTCAAATGTGCTGACCTCAACGCCCTGCTGGGCAACTACTTGAAGGCCCGTGAGCACTACGACACCGTCATCAAGAACTCGTTGGGCAACCAGTTGACCAAGTGGAACTTGAAGGACTACTTCTTGAAGAACATCTTGTGCACCTTGTGTGCCGACGACATTGTGGAGGCCCAGAAGAGATCCGAGGGCTACGCCGAAGAAGAGCCCAGCTGGCCTTCGACGCGAGAGTACAACCTTGTCCAGGACATCTTTGGCGCCATTGAAAACGGCGACATCCAGGCCTTCTCCGACAAGGTGTACGAGTACGACCAGTTCTCCAAGTTGGACAAGTTGAAGACGCAGTTGTTGTTGAAGATCAAGAACTCCGTGGTCGACCAGGACGACGAGGACTTGACTTAGTTATCTAATGCAGTTTATTCTATGTATTACACGGGCTTTCCTCCAAGGAACTCGCTCCATCTCTTGACCTCCTGAGGGATCTCCACGGCCTTTGGCACCGTCTCGAACTTGGACTTGTCGGCGATCTTTGCCTTCAAGCACTGAGCAAACAACAACGACGTGTTGGGCTCGTTAAACAACGGAATGGCAAAGTCAATGGCGTTTCTTCTCATCACGTAGTCCTGGTCCAACAAGTCCTCGGCACGGGCACGGGCCAAGTTGAACACAGCGCTGATCTGCTTATCGGAAAAGATCTCTCTCAATGCTCTTTTGTCTGTCTTTGGGAAGTCAATCACCTCAACTGGTTCCCGGACATATTGGGCCAAATACTGGGCCACATCGTGGGAAGCAGAGTAGAAGTTGTAGCCCAAGCCAGAGACGGTCTGGGCAACCTTGCCCAATTTGTCGTTGGTCAAATCACCACCGAACAAAATACCGCTTCCTGGGAAAGGAACCTTGAAGTTCATGGTGGACTGAATCGAGGTCCAGTAGGCCTCAATAAGATCATGGCCAAAGCAGGCAATTTCTCCGGTAGAGGCCATCTCGACACCCAAAAATGGATCGGCACCGGCCAATCTGGTGTAAGAAAACTGGGGAACCTTGGTAGCGACTCTGTCGTATTTTTCAGCCATGAGGTCCACTGGAGCAGGGACGTTTTCGTTCAAAAGAGCCTTGGAAGCCACTTCGATGAAGTTGGTGCCCAAAACCTTCGAAACAAATGGGAACGATCTGGAAGCACGGATGTTGCACTCAATGACCTTAAGGTGGGAGTCCTCGTCATTCAAAGATCCGTCCTTGGTGTCGTAGATGATTTGCATGTTGAAAGGACCGGTGATCTTCCACGCCTCTGCCACCTTGTCAGCAATGGTCTTGAGACGCTGGAGAACAACTGGAGAAAGACTCTGTGGAGGAAGAACCAAGGTAGCATCACCGGAATGAACACCAGCATTCTCAACGTGCTCAGAAACAGCATGCACCAAAACTTTACCTTCGTGGGCCACACCGTCAATATCGATTTCCTGGGCTCCCTGGACGAATTTGGAAATAACAACGGGGTGGTCTCTGGACACCTTGGAAGCGTTGCCCAACTTGGCATCCAACTCGCTCTTGGAGTTGATCACCGACATGGCAGCACCAGACAAAACGTAAGAGGGTCTCACGAGAACAGGGTATCCGACCTCTTCGGCGAATTTTTCAGCTTCTTCAATCGAAGTAAGCTCCTTCCACTGGGCTGGTCCACTCCGATGGAGTCCAAAATCTGCGAGAACTTGTGTCTGTCTTCGGCCTTGTCGATATCCTCGGGGTTGGTTCCCAAAACATTGCAGCCTTCGTGTTGCAAAGTCAAGGCAATGTTCTGAGGCAATTGACCACCCACACTGACCACAACGCCCAGGGCGGTTTCCAACTCGTAAATGTCCAAAACACGCTCCAAAGAGAGCTCCTCAAAGTAAAGCCTGTCGACCTCGTCAAAGTCTGTGGAAACGGTTTCAGGGTTGTAGTTGATCATGACGGTCTTGTGGCCCAGCTCTCTGAGAGCTCTGGCGGTTGCAACAGCACACCAGTCGAATTCAACAGAAGAACCGATTCTGTAGACACCAGATCCCAACACCAAGGTACCGTTGTCCTTGAAGTCGATATCGGAGGAAGTGGCGTTGTAGGTAGTGTAAAGGTAGTTAGTGTTGGCAGGGAACTCGGCAGCCAAGGTGTCGATCTTCTTGACAAAAGGCACAATACCAAACAGCTTTCTGACGCCTCTGACCTCGAGTTCAGTAGCATTCAAACAGAGAGAGATCTGCTTATCGGAAAATCCAAGTTTCTTGGCTCTTTGCATCAAGTCGTGGTTCACACGGCCCAAGTCTCCCACTGCCTCCAACTCACGGTACATCCTGACGATGTTCATGATCTTGTAGAGGAACCACTTGTCAATTTTTGAAAGATCGTGAACCTGGTCAACGGTGTAGTTCTCATGAAGCAAAGCCTGGCCAACAGCCAACCATCTTCTGTCTGTAGGGTTGGCCAAAGCGTCGTCCAAGTTCTCGAAATGGTCGCCCTGGAGACCAATGTAGGATGGGTCAATTTGACGAATGGCTTTCTGGAAAGACTCCTCAAAAGTACGACCAATAGCCATAACCTCACCAACAGACTTCATGGCAGATCCAATGTCTCTCTTGACGTGCTGGAACTTGGACAAGTCCCAGCGAGGAATCTTGGTGACGATGTAGTCCAACGAAGGCTCGAAATTGGCAGTGGTGGTCTTGGTAACAGGATTTGGTAATTCTGGCAAGGTGTGGCCCAAGGCAATCTTGGCAGCAGTGTAAGCCAATGGGTAACCAGTAGCCTTCGAGGCCAAAGCAGAAGAACGAGACAAACGGGCATTCACCTCAATGACTCTGTAGTCCAACCCGTCAGGCTGCAAAGCATACTGAACGTTACATTCACCAACCACACCCAAGTGACGGATGATCTTGATAGCAGCAGATCTCAACATGTGGTACTCGGTGTCTGAAAGAGTCTGGGATGGAGCCACCACAATGGAGTCACCGGTGTGGATACCCAAGGGGTCGAAATTCTCCATGTTACACACGGTAATACAGTTTCCTTCTCTGTCTCTGACAACCTCGTATTCAACTTCCTTCCAGCCCTTCAAGGACTTCTCCACAAGAATCTGAGGAGCCAAAGATAAGGATCTGGAGGAAAGGTCACGAAGTTCCTGCTCGTTGGCAGCAAAACCAGAACCCAAACCACCCAAGGAGTAGGCAGAACGAACAATAATAGGATATCCGATATTCTTAGCAGCGTGCAAGGCATCGTCCACAGACTCAACTGCAATGGACTCGGCGATTGGAATGTCAATTTCCTTCAAAGCCTGGGCGAAAAGATCACGGTCCTCAGACGTCTCCAAAGTCTTAATTGGTGTACCCAAGACCTTGACGCCATAACGCTCAAAAACACCCATCTTGTCCAATTGGACACCAACATTGAGACCAGTCTGGCCACCAAAGGTCAACAAGATACCGTCAGGTTGCTCACGTTCGATAATGTAAGTAATGTACTCAGCAGTAACAGGAAGATAGTAGATTTCGTCAGCCAAAGCATGGGATGTCTGGTTGGTAGCGATATTGGGGTTGATCAAGACAGACTGCTTGTTGGCTTCCTTCAAGGCCTTGATGGCCTGGGAGCCGGAGTAGTCAAATTCACCAGCTTGACCGATCGACAAACCACCGGATCCAATAACCAAAACCTTGCTGACATCCACCAATTGCGGTTTGAAATGGGGTAAGGTCTTCAAGAACTCACCACCTTGATAGACAGGCTGCGCATTGTAAAACCTGGAAGAAACGCTGAAGAAGCGAGTGAAGCTAGCAGGCAGCGACGCGAGCCGCTGTATGTTGCGGTGCCATATAGAAACACCACTGAACATTGGTTGTGAAAGAAAGTGGTGATAAAAAGATGTGTGAAAAAAAGATGGCCGAAAAGGGAAATGACTCAGCGCTAGCCGCGATCCGAAATCAGTAACGGTTACCCGGACAACAGAGTCGTTGCGTCACTACACCAGCAGGAGCAGTACAATCCGGGGAGAGATATTGCAGTGTGGCTTGACTCTTGGGGGTTCTTCATTGTTGAGGAATTTTTGTACAATTTGTGAACTTCGAGGAATCTGGATGGTCACAGACTTCGATGTGAGAAGATGAAAGCGATGAGATGTAGAGCTTCTTAATTGGGGCTGTAGAGATGATCGATTTGATTCAGACGGCCGAAATATATTTCGAAGGCTAAAATCCTCCTCTCAAAAAAATTTATATTGATGATGAGATCGCTGTACCTAACTTGAGGATAAGCTGCTCTATATAAGAAGCTGTAGTTTGAATTAAATCTGTGTAGGTTTGTTTCAAGTCACTGATTCGGCAGATGCTCATGTCTTTAATCAATTTAGTATGCAATTTCCAAATTCATCAATGGAGTAGATTCATCTTAGATCTGTGGAAAGATTGCAAGGTGGGCTCATTTTGTGGATCTGGAACCTTTTTTAATTTTGTGATTATCTTCTCTACATTTCTAGAGAGTTTGGAAAAATTGAAAAAAAAAAAATGAAAAAAAAAAATGAATTGGTTGTGACTCTTGACTATTTTCATATCCACTCATCTCCAACTTTCTCACTAGCAGTTCATTTCGCAGCCGTGCGCCATACATCACCACACATCATCAAATCAACTACTCAATCTACACCTACAATTTCCAAACACAAACAGTGCAATTGCTGGCGCACAAAACTTCACTGACCTTTTACTTCCACAAATCATAATCATTAATCCCAGATCTCAAATATCAACTGATCCTTCATCTTTAGACGACCCAGATGAACAAGCTCAACATCGTTAGAACTCAAACACCTACCAGCCGCCTGCCGTCTCCAGCCCCATCCCTCCTTCTGCCACTACGAAACGAAGATAAACTCGCACGTGAATCAGATGTCACCGTTTCCACAAACGTGACGTCTTACGCTGAATACAAAGGATTCTTCATATACGTGCTTTCTGCCGTGCTACTACTCGGCTATATGGCATGGCTACTTCTTCCCGAAAAAGCCTTGAACTACTTTGGCGTCTACTACTACCCAGACAAATACTGGGCCCAGGCGGTGCCTGCCTACCTGCTTATGCTCATGCTCTATGTGTATATCTGCCTAGCATTATACAACACTGAGGTGAAGACGCTACCGTTGGACGATCCCCGTGTCTTCACCGACGAAAACGCTATATACCCGGAGGACCCCGCTGCCTATATTCACAAGGCTCCGAGCGGAGTCCGTGACCTCCCCACGCCGTTGGTGTCGGAGGTTCTATACTCGTGAATCACTTGTATGATCGAAGCACGAGCTGTGTGTCCTGGCTGGAAAGAGCCAAGACCTGAGCCCAGTTGGGGCCTGTAAGGTCTCTGTAACCAATCAAAAATTGGTGGAATCTATGCTTGAGTCTCTCGCTGCCTCCGAGGTAGTTGGCAATACAATCGAGGAAAACAGCCAAGTTTTTGCGGCCTTGCTGGTTGCTCAATCCACCAAATCCGTTGTCTGGGTTCTGGAGAATGATCTCGATCATACCGAGGAAAGCTGACTCCTTCTCTTCGTTCTCTTGAATGTACATCATGTGGGTGCACCAGGAGTAGATGAACTCGGGCAAACGAGGACCAATGACCTCTGGGCCAGCAAAACCTAATCTACCAAGACAAATGGCAGTGTTTTCTAGCACGGCCAGCTGCACATCTGGCTGGTTGATGATGGTGATGAGGAGGTTGGAAATGTTCCACACCTGAGGTTCAACAATCTCTTTAGGTAACACAAGAACCATCTCACCACAAGCCCAAATAGCATTACTGGTAACTGGGTACTTGGAGTAGGTGTGTCCGTTGATCTCGTTGCCGATCCACATGATAAGAGTGCTGAAGTTGGGCTTGATGGTCTCTTCACAAGCGTGAATCGCCAAATCACCCAAAAGAGCGTAACTCAGCTGACGGACATCGTCGTCGGGATCCTCAAGGCACACCAATACAATCTCCATCAAGTCAGCGCCGTGTTGCTTCATCAAATCAATAGAGTGGCCCTTGAAACCTTGGACAAGACCGTCGATCAAGTCAAGCGAGGTGACAATGAAGTCTTTCTCTGGAGCTTCAATCTCAGGATGAGTATGGACTTCCTGGTTCAAATGGACGGCATTGCTCAAGATCTTGACGGCTCTTTCATAAACAGGAACAGCGTAAGGAGCAAATGCCTCACCCATAGTGGCAGCCACCAGTGCCATACACTCAAGCAAAGGCCACAAGTCAGAGTCAGTATCTTGCAAAACCTGCCAGTTGTGCAAGAGAGGAGGCAACAACGTGGAGACGTACTCAGGCTTGGAGTTGAAAACGTCCTGGCCAATCTTGTCGACAAACGTCAGGATACAGTCGTACAAGGTAACCATGTTCTTCCTCTGGTATACCTGGAGACATTTAGCAAAGTGGTCCAACAAGGGACCCACGTAGTAGCTGATGAGTGAGATGTCAGTAGATTCAATGAACACAGACAAAGCCGAACAAGCAGCCTCCTGGACGACCTTCTTAGAGTCCATAGCACACAGCACAATGGATTCAAAAGTAGGCTGGAAGTAGTTAGCGTAGGTGCCGCCTTCGTGAGCTTCACCGGACACCCACAGGGCAAACCGAGAGACGGTCCAGCACGAGATCTGACGTACTCTTGACTCCAGGTCTCTCAAACGGTCCACGAGGAAAGGAACAAGAGTGGGCAATTTGTCACTAGCAAGTTCCGTGCAACTAGTGGAGATGGCACCGAAAGCCAAGATAGCAGCCTCACGAACAGGCCACTCGTTCGAAACAATACGTTCCTGAAGAATAGGCAAGGTAACCTCGATCACCTCCTCTGGGTACTCAATAGAAAGAGCGTCAAGAGTAGCAGCAGAACAGCGACGAAGGTTCCAGGAATCAAGCTCGTCATCTGAGTCATCGTCATCGTCCGAGTCACTCAAAGGCTGGACCGTGTAGCTGCCATCGGAGTCCTCTACCCTATCGTCATCAGGATCGTATGAAGTTTCTGGTTCAGCAGACTGTTCCCTCTTTGGCTCACCCTTACGACCAACCTGATGCGTCTTGGCCTTAGCGGCGCTGGGTCTGATGTCTTCGTTTTTATCGGCGACACGAGCGTCATCTTTCTCGTCGGCAATCTGGATCAAAAACTGCTCCTCCTCAGAGTACATCATCTTCTCGAGAAGAACAGGCAAAACCTGCTGGAGCTTAGGGCGGAACAGCTGCTTGTGGCCCTTTTGAGGCAGCTCAGCAAGAGCCAATAAGAACTCACAGGCCTCCATGGCAACGTCCTCGTCAGAGTCTTGCATTGAGTGAAGACCGTAGTTCACAACTCCGTCCATGTGGGGCACCAACTTGTCGGGCCTATTTTCCATAATCAGCAAGAAAGCCGTGCAGACGTTCTTCCTCACCCTGCTGTCGCTGTCCAGGGCCAATTGGAAGAGCACATGGAGGAAATCGTCAATGTGCACCAAGAACAGCTGAGTCTTGAGAGGCACAAACTGGTTCACACAACGAACAGCCTCCGCTCTCATGTAGCTAGACGATTCAGGCTGCGCAGCAATCTTGATGAATTTAGGAACCATGTAGTTCAAAGGCCTCTCTCCGTTGAAGTCCTTGTTCAACAGATAGGCGCTATCTTCACAGATCTTGCTCAAAGCACTCATGGCTGCCTCCTTAGCCAATTGGCCGGCATCAGCCGATTCAGCCAACGACAATAAATGCTGCAATGCCTGAGGCCACTTCTCAAGGCCGTACAGGGAAAAAAGGGATGTGATCACCGTACCGGTGATGTTTCTAGCCATTGTGTCTTGCACCAAAAGACCGTTCATGATATTGTCCAAAACATAAGGTCTTTCTTTTCTGGGCTCCTTGAGCACCGAGTTCTTAAGGTTAAGTCCCGCAGCGGCTCTAACATCAGATCCAGCTTCGTCTCTGATCAAGAGGTCCACAAGGTAGTTTTCAAACTCGGGTTCTTCTCTCGCCTGTTTCAAGGCGTCCACTGCTTGGGACCTTTCCGCTTTACGAGAGGATAAGGTTCCTTTAAATATGGTCCTGAGCTGCTCGAGAGCCCCTGGATCTGCAGTCCACATTGTGAAGAAGGTTGGTGGTTTTTTGTGCGAAGTGTTGAAGATGGTGTAGGTGATGAGATGCCGGCATTGTGAGGTGCCAATATGTGGATTGATAGAATTGGAAAGGCAGAGAGAATAGAATAGAGGTTGAGACTGAAGAGGTACATGGCGTTCTCCAAGTGGTTTTAATTAGTGTATGCATTGGATGCTGGGTAGCTGTGACCGCACTGGTTGCAACTACAACATGTGCTCGAGCTCGGCGAGCTTCTCTGTTAGCTCATCGAGCTTGCCGAGAACGGGGCTCACGATTTCGTTACGTGGCTTCTTCCCAACAGGAGCAGAGGATACTCTTTTAGGTGACAGAGCGACGTTATTGAGCGAATTGGTGCTTGTCAAGGGCGTGACGTTATCGTCCTGGGAGCAGTCCAGGAAAGCGTCGTCTCCGTGTGCTTTCTCGTCGTCGTCTCCGTAGCTGCTGTAGACATCACAGGTGTAGTCATCGTTGTCGCTGCTCATCTGCTCTTGTATATCCATGGTGACTTGCGATAGACGATCCATGATTAGCGAGCGCCGGAGCGTGCGTTGCTCTTCATCGTGCTGAAAATGGCCAATTGGGGGCGTATCGGGAGAGAAAGACCCAATGGAGCTTGTGTCGTAATTAGGTGGCTGCAAGTCAGTCAAGTCCGGCTTCTTCTTGCGAGGACTTTTGCTGACCTGAAGTGGCATTTCTGCAGGGTACAAGTCGCTGAGCACCTCTGACTGGCGTTCGTCGTCTTCTTGTGGATGGTGGAGATCCTCGTGGCTGAAGCTGTAGTACAGATCGGCAAAGTCAATTGCCTCTGTGTCTGAGATCTCTCCCTCGAGAACAAGCGCCCCGAGGTTCTCAAATGTAACCAGCTTGTTGGATTGGCGCAAGCTTCCGCTCTTTTTGAGAATAGAGCCGGTCCTCCCCAAAAGTGGGGTCTGGCGGGCGCCCTGGACGCTCTCCGACGAACCTTGTATGCTGTGGGACTCGACAGTCGAGTCGATGCTCTCTTTAGAATGTGCTTCGGGCGCGAGTGGATCCGCTCCGCTCTTTTCTAGCTCTTCATTTTTGAAGCAATTGAGTCGGGCAAGACGCTCCCCGTACGTTTCTAGGCACTCTGCTGGCACGAAGCCGATTTTCCCATCCTCGTCGTCAGATATTTCGGGGAAGAGCTCCTGGCGCTGCCTCCCTAGATGCAAACGCTCTTTTTTTGTCATCTTTTTGATGAGCCACCAGTAGTTGTCCAGGTCGTTGACCAAGTACACCGGCTCGTCTCTAGAGAGTGTGCAATGCAGAGGATCGGGTCCCAGGAAGTCGTAGAGCCCGTAGAGCTTATCCGGGTCCATCTCACGCGGAGGCAGACGCGGAGGCAGCGGCGGTAGGAGCATGTCGTCGTCGTCTTCTTCTTCTTCGTCGTCCTCGTCGCCAAAATCATCGTAATCGTCGTAATCGTCTTGGTCTTCTAAACTTCGATCTAGACTCTCAAAAGAGCCGTTGAAGAGCGTCTCGTCGACCTCTTTTTCTACCTTCTCCACCTTGGGAGCCGTGCTGGGCGAGTACTCCCGTGCAAACTGGGTGACATGTCTTTGTTGACGGTCCTGGTACACCAGATCAGCATCGAAGTCAGAATCGTTGTTTTTGATGTACAGCAACACACTCAGCTGGATGCTCAGGCGGGCAAGACCCGCCACATTCTGGTCCACTATAACCAGCGAAGCATGGGACGTGTGTGAATGGTGGGTTTGGTCAGAGGCCTCCAGACCCAACGATAGTTTTCGTTCGAGGTCGTGAAGGAGCCTATTGGTGGACTCCAACGTGGGGCTATCCGTCATCGGAAAAATGTGGAAGTGTTGTCAGCGTTTGGATGACGGGGTGGCTGAAATCGGGGTAAGAATGAGGGTTGTAGATCAGCTCGATCCTGCTTATTTTGGTGTTGATATCTCACCTCGGAATGCACAGTCGCGGTGCACACAAGGCTATTTTACGGCTGGTGTGAAGGAGATCTCGAGAATATAAAAGGGTGGGTGTTTTCCGGTTTTTTGCAATCGAGCTGGCTACTACTCCTATAAATGTTCTTCGATTCCAGGGGGCTTGTTCCTGGCATTGGCTGCGAAAACGCGATCAGCCAAGAAGGGGCCATCCATATAGGGGTTGTCCGGAGGGTGTTTGTTTCAGGTTTTCGGTGGTCGATAAGTTTTAGTTATCCGCAATGTGTTTCGTGCTTTTGTCAAATAAATTTAAAAGTCGACTGCCCAAATCAACTTTCGTCCACTGGCGTCATCGTAGGCACCCTACATCGAAGACGTACAGGAGCCTTGGCACGATTTCGAGACCGGGAAACCGTAAACGAGTAGTAGAGCAAATACAAAAAAAAACGACTTGGGTCATTCGAAAAGTGTTCCATCCAAAATATCACCAGACAGTGGCTATCCAAACTACATTTATGGTTTGAGGATCCAAAATATCACCAGACAGCGGCTATCCAAACTATATTTATGGTTTGAGGATGTGCAATGAGATCCATGGAGACTCAGGCCATGACGTAGATGGACCCTGGACCCGAGGTCTTATTGTCAGCTTAAATAATGCCAGAACAAGACAGGCACCCGTAACCCAACATCACTTGTTTTTTGCCAATCATGTTTTGTAATTCCTACTTAATTGCGTGCTTGAGGGTGAGACTCGATATGGGCTCAAAACGGGTCTTACCGTGTCGTATCCAATGTACTTCTGCTAAAGTGCGAGCCAGCATCAAACGATGGCTTTGGTGATATGGATGGCTGTGCAAAGCTTGGGATTTGTAATCTGATAGGTTGAGAGTTGGATTTATAGTACAAAGATATAGGTATGATTGTCGTTACATCATGGTGAAGGGTGTTTTGCAACCATTTGAAGAAACATGAAAATACGCTTCAGCTATAGGCGGCAGTTTACACCAGGGTAAAGCCGCTTTACTTGATATAATGTATATGGATTCTGCAACAGAAACATGGTGACCGCTGTGCTTGTCAAGATTCACGACACAAAATCGACAAGTTCACTATGCGGAAACCCGATTGATCCACGGTTATGTAGTATTTACAGAATCGTGAAAAGGTCAGAAAAGCTCCACATAATCTCATCGACAAACTTCATACCTACACCTTGTTCATGCGCCGGGTATATTAACCTAGTTTCCATCCTATTTGCGTTTTGCTCCTATGCATCGTATGCTGTCTAAGCGACGTATGCCGCAGCTTCAGCCTGACGTTCACCTTCGGCGGTCAACTGCTGCTTGTGCATTGCCTCGTATAGCTTCAACTTCTTTCTAATCTTCTTCACCTGCCATCTCACAGGAATCAATGGCAACCTGCCGTGCTTCTCCTCGTACAACTTGGCTCGGAGCCACAAAGACACGAGAATCCAGTATGCCAAGTATGAGAACACACTGCCGTACGTAGCGGTGTTGGTCCAACCCACCAAGGCGTTGGCCACCATCCACCAGCCATCAGTAAGACCGTTACAGCAGTTCACGTGCCAGATAGCAGTGGAGATGTCGTAGGATCCAGGACCACTGCCGGTTTCACTGACATCAAGACCACCGCAGAGTCTCACGTATCTCTCTAACTCCAAGAACCAAACGCCTCGGCTCATGAGACCAGCACTGACAATGTACAAGAAGCATGTTGAGCAGATCAAGAAGTACTGGAGCGAAAGCTTGTTACCTCCTCTGTACAACGTGTAGCCCACGGCAGCACCAGAAGCGACACCGGCCAACACGGCAAGCGGAAGCGATGTCAAGGGCTGGGACATACCAATACCTCCAACAAACACAACAGCCTCAAGGCCCTCTCTAAGGGTGGTGACGAAAGGCAAAATGGCCAAGTAGTATCTGCTAGTGAAGCCATCCTTCAGCTCCTTCTTGACTGGGGTGGTGCTGGCATTGCCCAAAAGAGCGTCTGAGTCTTGCGATGACGACACGCCGGCAAAGTCATCCATCTCAGTCATGTTGGTGTCTGAATCAAGCTTGTCGGGCTGCTGAGTAGCGTATGCGTCGCCAAGTTTGACCCACCACTTGACTTTCATGAACTTGTTGATTCTGAGAAGACCAATGCCCATGATTGTGATGATGACACTGGAGAGAAGCGAGAACACACCTTCCCAAAGTCTTTCGGTGTATGACCAGAGATCCTTCTCCACAAAATAGAAAAGGGTGATGAAGACTATGCCGATTATGAGACAAACCAACAAACCAAAGATGGCACCGAGCCAAACCTGAAGTCGAAGGCCCCTGTTTATCAGGTTAACGTGTGCTACCTTGGCACGTCTCTCGGCCAAAGCCTCCTCCGATTCATCCACGTCTTCCTGAACTGGCTGGGGGTTGTTCTTATTGATAAACGAGAGAAGCACCGAAATGATGATCGCCGTTTCTAGCGTCTCCCTAAGGATAATGAAGAAGATCTGAATCGAAAAGATTTGATTAAGATCTTTCATTTTTAAAGTAATGCAAAAACCGATGAGGCCAGGTGATTGAAAAAGATTCCCCAGACAAGATATCTTTTTTCGCACTGCCGTACATTCCTGGTGCTTTTCTTTTTCTAGCCGCGGAGATGGCTGCAAATGGATCATTCCACGCCAAATATTCATAATTTCAACCGAACCATACTTATTGTATTTTCTTGTGGATAACGTGAAGATGCTCGTACCGCACGCTGATCAACCTAATTAGCTGCTCTAAGTCGCCCTCTTCGACTGAACGGAAAAGACCGGCAAACGCTCCCCTCTGTTCTTTCTCCTTCGTGTCATAGCAGGTCCCCTTCTTGACAGGAGCCTCGTACATAAAGTGGCGCTTGACAATATCCCCACCATAGTCGATATCGTCATCAGTCGCAGCAAGGTCTTTCTCCACACGTAAGAGCTTGTAATTTGTAACTTTAAACTTTGCATAGATGTGTACCTTCTTGAGTAACTTGTACCAAGGGTAATCTTCAGTAAGGAGGTTTTCGACATCGTGGTTGTATGCGTCGAAAATCAAAGACTGTGCACTTGCGTCCTTAAGAAGCTTGTCAAATTGTTCGAGGACGTCCTCGACAGTGACCTCCTCATTCTCGAGACTCCAGATACCGGGTGCAAAGTACGCAGTAGACTTCCTGTTTTCTAGAATGTCTTTGAGAATGGTAGACTTTTCAAGGATGAAAGAGTCAACCTTCTCTGACCGCCATTCCTCAAGCTGTTTGCCCATGGCTTCACGGAAGAGAGAAAACCGCTGCTGTGCAAAGTCAAAGTAAGGTTCCAAACGATAGTCGATCACTTCACGCTCCTCTAAAGAAAGCACTAGAAGGCCAAGGAAACGAACCAACAGGCCATGAAGATCAAAGTCAGGATCAATATCCTTCAACCAGCTGTAGGAGTATTGGTCCAGCTCAGGGACATACGTAGATTCATTGTGTTGCGAGCTTTCTGAGAACTTGAAGTTGACAACAGGGGTATCACCTCTAGACTGAAAGACGCCAGCGTCTTTGGCAGTAAAGGTATCTCCAAGTATGTTGTTGATCTTCGCCCCACTCTCTTTACGCCAGTAGCGATATAACGAAGTCTCATCGTCATCATCGTTCTCAGGGAGCTCGTCGCCTGCCAGCTTCATGACGCGCTTGTAAGCTGTTGAGTTCTTCGAGAATGGCACAATCTCAGCGACCTGGTTGATGATATGGTTGAGCATCGGACTCAGGTCAACAGAAAAATGGCTTCCAGTGACCACATCCTCGTCTAGATTGATGTAAGCAATCAATGGCATATTGTCTGGGAAGACATTCGGGTCCAGCAACGCTGCCTTAGCACCAAGCTGACTGCTCCTAGAGGCGTCCCAGGAAACGAATCTGATGGTACGCAATGGTTTCCAGCCAAGGTTACGAAGACGCTTGAATGCTCTCATGACCTCTAACATGATCGCATGCCCACTGCTGGGGTTCAAAGATGTGAGAGAGTCTCTGGCCGCGCCAATAACAATTTCACCATCGTTGATGACGCCCTTGATAGACCCAAAGACCACTTTGGCAGAACCAGCACGGCCGTTGTCCTGCGCGGATACCCTAAGTCGAAGCAGCTTAGAGTATGGTGCAAACTTCCAGTGCGAGAAGTTACCCCTACCAGGACCCAATGCCTCCAAAATAGGCTTCATGGAGTCGTGACTCGCCGGGAATAACATCTCGGGGTTTGGTACCTCGGCTGGCTTGTAGTTTCTCAGCACGGTCAGCTTCAAGTCGTCCGAGCCTATGACAACCACAGCCTGGGCGCCTCTGAAGATGGCATAGTTCACACGGTCTGTCACCGAGTAGTCCTTGGATTCCAGACTTGCGATCAAGGCGGTTTTGGCCACGACAGAGATGCCGTTCAGCTCGAGCAAGTCGTAGTCTGCGGGCGTGCCGCCATGGACGTACACAAAGTCGCCAGACACGGAGCCCACGGATCCAAACGGAAAGAAAGCGGGCGTCTTGATGTCCTTGAAGCGCCACGAGCTCGTGACCTCCTCAAGATCGGCGGAGTACAAGACCCTGTGAGACTCGGAGTCGAAAAGCTCGACTCTGGACGCGCCTGGAAGCCTGAGCAGCCTGGGAAGCTCGTACTCGTAGGACAGCGTGGAAAGGCCAAAGTCGGCAAAGCGTTTCTCCACGAAGGAGGCCAACTCGGGGTAGTTCTTATCGGCCACTATGACGCCCTGGCTGTTGATATTGGTAAAGTTACGGAGCCACTCGCCAATGTGCTTTTCGTTAGTCACGCCCGTGTCGTCCGGCCGGCCGATCTTCAACTGGGCCAAAAAGATCCGCTTGAGGTCTGTTTTGTTGAGATGCAAGTCGTGCCACCTTCTGAAGTCTCGGTTAAGCGAGGTTCGAGGGAGAAACGAAAGCTGGAGCACAATCAACGCGAGCAAGCCAAAAATACAGAACCACCAGAACCGTTTCCGTAGAAACTCGCGCTGCTTCTCCCGCAACGAAGGCCGTGTTTTCAACAGCTCCTCCCCCACAGTGGTATCTGGAGAAGAGGCGGAGCCCAGGGAGCCCTCTATTTCGGTATTGTTTGGAACTCTGAGTTCAGGAGCATTTATGTTTTCTTCATCGGTGATGTATCGCTGTCTGGACGTCCCTAGCAAGGGTGCTTCTTCAGACATGATAAAGAGTGGTAGGTGGTGATGTAGGGTTAGAGTGCGGCGCGGTCTAGTGCATTCTGGGGCAGCGAGATGATATATTAGGGGAAGAGACCCTGAAGGGGTGACCAAACGAAGAAAAAATTTAAAAGAAGTTATAAAATGTATGGTTATTTTTGATTTTGAAAATATCGACGTCTTTCAAAAAATCACAAATGCTGTCGTTTTCGTGTTTAAAGGGGTACCACGGGTCGGCGAGCGTTTGCAACCGGCTGTCTCGGTACAGTATTTAACGGTGACCGTGGAGTGGTCCGACCCGGAACGAAACTTGGATTTTGGGTTTGAAGGTCGATGGGGTGGTATGGTGGTGGTATTTTATTGAGTTTGGTTTTTTTTTTTTTTTTTTGGTTTGCTGGGTGACGTTGGTTTTGGAAGTTGGTGGTCTGGATGAGCTATACGAGAGCGACTGAGTGCCGTGGATTTGAGACAAGCTGTTAGTATTCTTCAAGAGGTAATTGTGACATTTGTAAGGGCTGCTTTATACTTATGGAAGGTTTTGGTGGCAATAAGTGATCGTAGTGAACGGAGTTAGAGTGGTACTCTGAGACTCAATGGTGAGAGTGGTACTCTGAGACTCAATGGTGGAAGCTACTAAGGATAAAGGAAGGCGTGGAAGCAGTTTAGGAGCCAGAAATATGTAGTTTACGATATCTTTTTTGAGCGCTTTGCACCCCAATTATTTGCCTCTTATGTTTAGTATTTGCTTAGGGTGACTTGTAAGCTGAATGTTGAACATTTCCTATTCAGGGTTACATCCTTGCCAATCAAGCCATTTTTCGTTGTTAGTCTTTTATCGTATAGTCTTACCGTATATTGCTAGTTATGTTAAACAACAGATAAACGGCTTTTGCTCTACCTATAAGGGCATAGAGGTCTGTTGATGGGAGGGATCTCAGTCAAATCGTCTACCTCTTTCCATGTTACTCTCTGTATTCCAATAATCAACAATGAATAAATAAGTTTTCGTGAACAGTGCAAAAATGAGGAAAAAGTGAAGATGAGTACTTCCCTTTCGCTAGTGTGGGTCATGCATCATCAAATCGTATGTCTAGACGGAGCCACCAAATCCAAAACTTTTTCCAAAAGTTTCCTATCTGGGAGAGCCTTGATTATCAGAACTAATCAAATACGATTTCTGTCTTCTCTTCTTTGCCACCACAAAAGCATGAAACTCATCAAATACTGTGCTGGGCCTCGTCATATAGAAATGGCTGCAAACGCACAATCCACAAACCACTCTTCCTACCACAGCTTCTTACAAGCTCTGCCAAAACAAAAACTATAACTTCCACCTAGCTTGGTCATCAAATCGCTATACTTGCTTTTATCGACAGCACAGCCCCTCCATCAGAACTTCTGCTTATACAAATACCCAGCACCCCTAGCTAGAGTCATTATCTCTACATCATGGTTTACGTCTCCGACTGGGAAAAGTCTTCCTACTACAACTATCCCCATTTTCCGCCTTATCGCGTTAGAAGGGATATCCAGCCCGTAAGGCTTCCTTCGGTGGCCGAAATCTTGATGAAGATCAAGGAATATGAGTCTCATCCACAAGGCCAACATATGCATTGGAGTCCAGCATCAACACTGCTGTTTGTTTCGGATATTTCAAACTCGACAGCAGCAACCACTCCACCTAGGGAAATTGGAAAATTAAACAACCTCAACACCATGGCGCAACCTATAGCCAGAACCAGTTCCTTTGAGTCTATCAAGGACACCCTTCTTCCATCACCAGTTCCAACCCACCTCAACAATTTTGGATCACCAACGAGAGCTTCAAGTGGATTAAATAACGAGATTTCCCCAAGTGAAAATTCTATTGAGTCTTCCCAAAGTGGCAGTCTAACTGGCTCACTGGGTTCCTCAAGTCCAGGATCAACAGACCTGATTACAAAGCTAGGCCATTCGCCAAAGTACAACTCAAAGCATCATCTGCCAAAGAAACGCAGACTGTCCAAGAAAAAGTCCAAATCCAACGGCAGAAGTAAAAAGCCCAAAACGCACTGTCACCAGTGTGGATTGACGTCCACGCCAGAATGGAGAAGAGGCCCTACAGGCTCTAGATCCTTGTGCAATGCGTGTGGTATCTACTACATGAAGCTCCTTCGTCGGTTCACTGAGGACCAGGCAAACTCTATATTTGTGTTCAAGAAAAACACCAACACTATTTCGGAGAGAATCATTCCGTCTTTCGACCAGATGGCCCAGATGAGCGGAGAAGTTCAGCAGCACAATTGGCTGATGCTCACCGGGGCTGCCATGATGATAGATAGCTGTTAAATAGTATGGGTTGGTAATTGTATGGTGGGTGATTGTAGGGTATGATTTATGCTTTCTGCTGTTTCCACCGACGTACGACATCGCTAATGCCTCTGAATTCGGGAGACTCGAGAATGTCCATCTCTGAAAGGTCTCTCTTGAATGGAATAGGACCAATCTTCTCAAGAAGCGCACTGATTCCATGCTGCATTATGGTACTGACCATGGTAGAGTCGGTGATGTTTCTTGTTGTCTCGCCAATTTCTCCTCCTTTAATAGAACTGAAAAGCGTCCGTACCAATTGCCTGTATTCCACGTCCGCTCCAGGATAAAGCACATTTGTGGATCTCTCCGTTCTTTTGCACCCATCCACTGGTTTTTCTCCATTGAACATTTTCTCTATCCAAACCAATGCAGCTCCACTGCCTTCGGCCCATTCAAGAATGTGACCAGTTGTGTTCGAAACTGCAAATTCAAAACTGTCGATACCCCATTTGCAGTAGTTGTTGTAGCCTCTTTCTGCACCAGAAAATGGAACAATCTCGTCCTCGGTGCCGTGGAATACAAAGAGTGGAATTTCAGGACGAGGTCCGTCTTCAAACAATGCTGCTGTGTTGTTCTGGACAATTTCCTTCACCAAGGGGTAATCAAAAAAACCCCATCCATTGTTCACCCAAGGCTTCTTACCACCAAAGAAATCCAAGAACATGTAGTGGATGATCGAGGTTAAGAGACACTTTTCTTTGGCTTCCTCAAAAGGTTTTACTTTATCCTCTCTAAGCTCCTTGTCCAAGATCTCTTGCACCTTTGGGTACTCATTAAGCATGCCGTTAATGGCATTAGGAATGAAACCACCGAAAATTGTGCCATCTGTGATTTCAGCAGTAAGTGTGATATTGGTAACCCAGCCGCCAAGAGCTGCACCCACAAGGTTCTTTTTGAGTTCTGGAGCGTACTCAGGCTGGAGAGAAGCAGCCCATCCAGAAGCTATAGTACCTCCAGAATAGCCCCACAATGCTGCTTTGGCATCCGGGTCAATTCCGGTAACATCTTCAGAATTCAAAGCAGCTCTAAGAGAATTGATAGTAGCTTGGCCAGATTGGATACCAGCAGTGAAGGTGCCCTTGGGTCCCTCGTAGTCAGGTGCAACCACATACCACCCTTTCGCCAATGCAGTCTGAATAAGAACCATCTCGACCTGGAGAATAATCGTACTCATAGGAGCATTGAACAAAAATGAATAAGAAGGACTGCAGTCCTGGGTGGCAGAATCCTGGGCTGCCTGGTAAGAAACCACCCTTTTTGGGTCTGCATCATAGGGTTCCAACACCGTCGTCACTATGGCGTTAGGATTTCCATGGGAGTCTTCCGAACGCACCAAAAGCTGCCATGCGTTCTTGACATTCACTGGAAAATAGACTGACCGGATCATGCCTGGAGCTGGTCTAGCATCGATAATGTCACCGTTTTTGTAGGAAGAAATATTAGAAGGCGTGTTGTAGAAATCATCGTCAGAAGGCTTCACAGGCTTGATGAACTGGGCCGAGACCGCCACGGCCCATATGAAAAACGAAAGAATAAGCATGTAGTGGAAGTATAGGCTGGACGGTGGTACTTATAGCGTTGGAGCATATCAGGGAAGTTACCGAATTGGGCGCCTTGGCGGCGTTGATCAGATATTTTATCGTCAACCTGAAACAGCTCGAGTATTTTGAGACATCATGGTGGAGATGTGGTCTCTATATTGGCGTACATTCAACTTTTTTGCAACCATTCTGCTGCGAACATCCAGACCAGCAGGATAGCGAGATACCACTTGAAGTTTTTTTTTGAGAAGGCAGTTAATGGACAGTTCTCCTTCTTGTTGATTTGATTTCAGTGTAATTTTATATAAATTCTCGCCTACAGCCTTGGGCCTTCCTTATATGTTTTCCTACTTAGGCAATTTGCACATTCCGGATATGTACCTCGAGCGGCTCCATATTATTTGATCCAGTGCGTCGAGGGTAAATCGAAAGAAAGTGAGCTTCAACGTTTTCTATTGATAATCGATGATTGAATATTGAAAAGCAGTTGATTCCAAACAGAAGGAGGCGTTGAATGGAAGAATAGATAATGAGATCTCTAACAATACGAATATGTGCTCCTGAATGCCACCGAATGGCTCTGCACAGCGATCTATCGTGGGTGCGTGAATCCTACAGATTTTCAACTATTCGGGTATCTCGTCCCTGCAGCACTTTCCTCATCCAGCTTAAATAAGCCAGGGCCACGGGAACATAGTGAAATTGTGATTCTGCTGGATTTTTGTGAAGCTTGGAGCGGAAAAAGACGGTGAATTTCCGAAATTGCAGTCATGCTGACGAGTAGAAAGGTCAATCGATAGTGCTCAGTTTAGCACTTCCAATAAGAACTGACTCAAACTCAATAGTACAAATTTGAAAATTCGATGTCTCTAGTGGTACTAGATCAATTCTTCGGGTACGCGTGGTGCCATATCGACCCTGCTCCATTACCCCGACGATGAATGAAGTATTTGATTCTTCAAAACGATGAGCGAGATACGCATTTAAGTGAACTGTGGAGATCCTCTGCCTCAATTCCAGTGTTCAAGTATACATCACTGAAGCGTTCCAAATCGGTCCTTCCCTCGCTCAGGTGTAGTGTTAATTGAGACAATGAGCACTGTTCAAGTCCTCGAGCGAAGAAGTCTTAAGTATTTTTAAAAACCTTTTACTCTCAGCATTTTTTCGGACCCATTTAGCAAGATGAGAGTGCTGATTTCGTAATTGACGAGGCTTTGTCTGACGGCGATGCTGCAGTTCATTTGAGCAACGTTGCCTGCCATCTTACAATTCACCCAAATTACCCTTCAATTGAGAGAAGGTATTTTGATCACACCACTCTTCACAGAAACAATTGATACATCTGTGAATTTTTTTCAACGATTCTGATTTTTCATGGTTGCAACCTCGCGGTAAATCTCACTATCCGCTGAGTCTAATAAGCCCCCAAACTCATGGACTTATTTTTTAAGCAGCTATTGAAAAGAAAAGACACCTTCAGTCACAGTCCATTTTCCATAAATCTGTGAGTGAAAAATCGAGTGAAAAATCTCCTTCCAAACGCTACCTTGTGGCTCTCACCTCACTGACCTCGCTTCTCGCTTTGTGACTCTGATCCAGGCCTCCTACACCAAAACACACCCTACAACACCATTCCAATTAAAATTCCTCCATATCATGACTAAATATACCATTTCCAACGGAATCCTTCGATTTCCTTTCTCCCCTCTTTTCCTCCCCTGTGGTTCCTGACTCATCGGAATCTTTTCAATTTGTGCGCTTATCAGAGCTCATGTCCGGCACCTGAGATATCTAGTGGAAAAGAGATCCTCCAACTACTTCCATATTTATCGGTCCATGGACCTTACCTAATTTCCACTGCTTCGGCCTGCATTTCTGTCAGACCAGCTTCAATAACAATAAGCAGGCATTTTCCACTAATCAGGCATTTTCCACTAATCAGCTCATGTCCACTCCAGACCAGAGCCACTACGAACTAGGTCGTTCCTATGTTCTGGTGAACCACAGACACTCCCTTTCGACACATCTGCCGGTAGTTTTGTCCGGAAATGAGGTCCACAGGCAAACCGCGGACTTGGCCTCGATTGGTGTTGTTGGAGACGATCAGGAAGACGATACGGGCTTTCTGGACGAGTACGTATCAGAACAGGAACCCATTCCCATTGGCGAAGGTTCGCTGAAAAGCTTGAAAGAGCCGATTTGGGAAGATAGGTCCAGCAGCCTGCATTCTCGTGATCTGGCTCAAGAAGACGCAGAGTCCACCACGCCGCTAGTGGACAAAAACAAGAAATTCTATGTTGATCTGGATACTGTGGGCGAGGCTGGACCGGTCTACGGCTCCATGGGTCCCGATGCAAACTGGGCAGGCCGCCTAGAACAAGGTCCTTTGGACGCTGTTCCCCCAAAACCTTCTATTAGAACACACTTGCTACGGCCTGTGCAATACCTTCCAGCCGTGTTCTTGGGTGTGCTTTTGAACGTCTTGGACGGTCTTTCCTACGGTATGATCATGTTTCCCATTGGCGAGGCCTTGTTTGCAGACATGGCACCTGCTGGTCTTTCGATGTTCTACATTTCCACCATCGTGTCGCAATTGGTGTACTCTCTCGGAGGCTCTGCTTTTAAAGCTGGTATCGGCTCGGAAATGATTGAGGTGACGCCGTTTTTTCATACTATGGCGTTTTCCATTCAGGCAGACATGAAAAGCGGTTCACCAGACGTGGCGAAAGAAGCTATCATTGCAACCACATTTGTCTCCTTCGCTGTATCGGCTGTTGTCACAGGTATCGTGTTCTTCCTCCTCGGTAAACTTCGACTCGGTGCCTTAGTCGGGTTCTTTCCAAGACACATCTTGGTCGGATGTATCGGTGGTGTGGGTTACTTTTTGATTGTTACAGGCATTGAAGTCTCCTCGAGACTAGAAGGTGGTATTCGCTACGACTGGGAAACAGCCAAGCTCATTTTTGGAAACTACATTACCCTTATGCAATGGCTTCTTCCAGTTCTTCTCACAGTGGTGCTTATTTTTCTCCACAAGCGCATCCACCACTCGCTTCTTGTGCCGGTGTACTTCATCCTTGTATTTGTGGTCTTCCATATTGTGGTTGCTCTTGTCACGAACTGGGATCTCGACAAGGCCAGAAACTACGGTTGGGTCTTCCCCGCTGTGGTCAACCACGATCCTTGGTATGCTCATTACAGCTACTTGCGGCCTTCTCTTATTGACTGGATGGCCATCACCAAACAGTTCCCCAAGATGTTGGCTCTCACATTTTTTGGCATTTTGCATGTTCCCATCAATGTTCCAGCGCTCGCTGTGACAGTGGGAATGGACCAGTTCGACGTCGATCGTGAATTGGTTGCCCATGGTTTTTCAAACGCTATTTCAGGCCTCATTGGCTCCGTTCAAAACTATCTTGTCTACACGAATTCTGTACTCTTCATCAGAGCCGGTGCAGATGATAGACTTGCAGGAGTGCTTCTCGCCATAGCAACAGCTTGTGTAATGATGGCAGGTCCAGTGGTTATTGGCTACATTCCTGTCTGCGTTGTTGGCTCTCTTATTTTCCTTTTGGGCTATGAACTTTTGAAGGAGGCTATATACGATACCTGGGGCCGTCTTCGCAAGATCGAATACTCCACAATTATTATCATTGTTGTTGTCATGGGTGCCTGGGATTTCGTGTACGGTATTTTGGCAGGTATCTTGCTTGCTTGTTTACTATTCGTCATTGAAGCTGCTAGAAGACCAGTTGTCAGAGGCATCTACACCGGTGTGGTTGCTCGTTCGACTGTCTTGAGACATCCAAAACAGCAGGAGTTTTTGAAGGACGTGGGCAACCAGATTTGTGTTGTCAAGCTCCAAGGAACATTATTCTTTGGGTCTATCGGTGGTGTTGAAAAGACCATCAGAGCTCGCTTTGAGCATGGAAAGTTCAACTTGAACCCCATCAAGTTTCTCATCATCGATATGAAGGGTGTGGATTCCATTGACTTCTCTGCTGCTGAAGGTTTCAGAAGAATCCTCAACTTGACACGAGAATTCCAAACACAGCTTATTATCTCTTCTGTGGAAGAAAATGACGATAGTGTTACCGCATTGCGAGACGCTGGTCTCTGGGACTGTGTCAAATCGTCCTCCCAAACGCTTCAGGTCCAGATGTTCAGCACATTGAACTATGCTCTTGAGTGGTGTGAAAACTCATTCTTGAAAACTTACACCAATCTTCAAGGTCTGACGCATAGTGGAAATCATAGAATGGCCTTGAGAGGTGTACCCTCGTCAAACAACCCAGACAAGCGTCATCATAGCATGAGCAAGCTGGTGATGCAGAATTATCCTCTCAATTTCGGTACTCCAAGGACAAAGCAGATCTACCAAGCCGCTACAAGGACAGCCAATGATGAGCAAAAAATTCAACACAGGTACTACCTGAGCTCGGACTCCTCATTTAAGAAGCAGCCATTACCATTGATCATGATCACTTTTGGCGACCTCTCGAATAAGGATGAGAAGTTTTGGTCCAAGCTTGCCCCATACTTCACGAAGGAGACCATTCCTTCAGATATGTGTTTTTACGACACGAGCTGCAAGAGACCTTCCTTCTTCATTCTCGAGTCAGGACTTGTGAGACAAATCTGTAAGTTCGAAAGTGACGATCGAGAATTGCACTCCAGCATTTTGCCCAACACTGCCTTTGGTGATCTCCTTGAACTCAGTCAATACAGACAAATCACCTACACAACTGTTGTCGAAACTGTGGCATGGCGTTTGAGTGAAAGGAAGATCAAAGAGCTTCTCAAGACAAACGAGGGACAAATCGTCTACAGTGAGCTTTTACATGTGCAGACGAAGTTGTCTAAGGAGCGGTTCGATTCTTTAACAGCGAACCTTGTGCTTTCAGCATAGTCATCAACAGTCATTGCGATTTATTATTTATTCAGAGCATCATACTACATCACTTTATTGGAGTTGTAAATTAGTCTAGCAGCATGTTGCATTATTGCACGTCACAGCTAAATAGGAGCCTCAAGTGACCCACCATACAATCGGGTTTCTGACTCTCTTCTTCCTTCTCTACACCAATTACCATGACATCTGAACGTGAATTACTATCTAGACGGTCTACGCTAGTTTGGCGGGAATTCAACCGAGGCGGTCAAACAGGTGATGAGCACATCCTCCTTGGTGTAGGCTCTAGCCACCACAAGGTACTTCCCAGGAGGCACCTCTTCAGGGATTGCTACCTGTTTCAGGATGGTCTGAGCACCCTTCTTGATAGGGCACTCCAAGTCGACATTGTGCACCTCCTCACACAAGTCGTACGTCTGGTGGATCAAACGAATGAAGCCGTAGCGGACATCCACCTCAACGTAAGCGCCATCGGTAATTGACTGCTTCAAGACGCCCTCAGCCACAAAAGTCAAGTTCTGGCCCTTGGCAGGAGGGTTAGGGTCGATCACGACTTTCTGCAAGTCCAACAATTGTGGCGTCTGAGCGTCACACTGAATGATGGGACTGTTTCCAGGAATCGGTCTCTCGTCTTGGTTAGTGAAAGTGGAGATAATTTTGGGAGACTCGGCGAGTTTAGGCACGGAGTTGAAGATATCAGGGAATGAGAGCAACAGGAGAGCCTCCGCAGATGCAGCCAAGCCGGCCACAGCAAGACGACCAAAAGCTACCATGGAGTAAGATAAGTAGGAGGTGAGGGAAAGGGCAACCTTAAGTACCCTTCTGGGGTGTTTGTGTGCAGGACCGCTGATAAGCCGTACCGGTCTTTGTCAAAAAATAAACTTTTGTTGGATTGCCAGGAAGGAGGTGAAGGAGGTGTCTCGTTGATCTGCCGAGCAATTGACATTTTATGCTTTGTGTGTGATCATGGTGCTGATACGGCTTCGACTCAGCCGCTTACCGAGATCGCGATTCGTCTGACTAGGATCGGAATGTCCCACACTTCGGCCATTGTCCGAAAAAATGGTCAATTCGGGGATATGGCGTTGCAATTTGTTTAACTTCATAGAATTTGCACGATTGACGGCATTTTTTGGGGTTTTGGTGGGTTCGTGTTGATGTGGCTTGGGGTGAGCCACACTGATAAGCGGCATGTTCCGCAGGATAGTAGCATTGATGGAGATGAAGGAGGACTGTGAGCAAAACCATGAAGGGACTGTCATTGATGTTGTTTAGCTAACATGGAAGATAGCAGTGGGCCCCGAGGCGGACCTCTATAAGGGGTCGAAGTCTGGCGGCTATTGGTCCAAGTGTGGTGCATTGGGGTACTTAAACAGGCTGTGTGGAATAATGAAGACTGTTGTGATGGGAGATTTATTTTGACAAGGTTAGTTCGATAGTCGTGGTCTTGCATGGTACTCTCTTGCAGTGTAAATTGTAGTGTTGCTTCATTCGATTCGAACTCTACTGATGCTGCTCGTTTTGATTGGCAATAGCCATTCAAGTGATCTTAACTGGGAATATGTTTATTTTAACGTTAAAGAATGCAAACTTTGATGAAAAGGTTGGTCGATGTATGTTCTGGTCAATTCGATGCTTTACAAAATGGTTGCGAAAAGTGCCAAGAGGCGTTAAACGGTGCAGAATGTCCGAACTTGAAAAAAAAGAAAGTCAGCAATGAAGCCACGTCTTCATATTTACTGTATTAATACTAAGAGCAAGGGATCCAGTTCCTTGCTAATCCCCTTGGAAACGACCTGCTGAGCTTCCTGACTCAATACTGATACATCTCTCACACATCATCTAAACGGAATCCGATCAGGAGAGTCCATGAACGGTATTATCTTCTAGAATCTGCTTAATTCATTCTTCGAGTAAAACTAGCATCAAAAATCATGAGCGTGGCTACTAGCGCTTCTAAGACAACTATGATTCCGATGTATCTTGTCCCACACCGACTGAACTTCACTCTACTCCTCAACCAAAGCGGCTCCACCATAGCTAAAACTACACACTCAATGCTCTCGTAACAGCCTCTTTCTACCCATGGCAAACTGAATTGAATTGTAAATCTCATTTTTTGTACCTCTATCCCCCTGTTGGCCGGATCTCATGCCTAAATAATATCTGCTGGTCCCTGCGTCTACTATAAAAGACCCGGATCCCCCATACTTCCAGCTTATTTCTGCTTTTCATGAACTTAACACATAGCGATGGCGTTGGTGCTGCTTGGATTATGGCCACCGTGGGCCATACAAGAAGGCTTTCCAAGAAAGACATCACTAGCGTCTCTATTCCACAAGTCTGTCGGCTGGTTCAAAAACAGAAGCTGCTCCGTCTTGCCCTGAATCTCATGTACGGTTTGGCTCTACTCCATAAACAGCAGGTCAATTACGTGTTTGAGGACGTGGCAAATGTGCATCAGAAATTGACAAGGCCTGTGTTCTTTGGGCAGGTGGAGGAGAAAGCTGTGGTCCACCAGAGGAGGCACGTCCCACTCCCAGATAGTGGGAGCTTCACAATGCAAGATTTTGCCTGTGACGAGTGGTTTCTAGAGAGAAAGGGCTTCCGAGACGTCGAGGAGTGCTTCGACACCTACATTTCCCACGCTCAGCGGGCTGACGCGCTAGACAAGCTGTTGGATGATATACTTGACCAGACCTTGGCCACCCTTCGAGCTAATGAGACTACACTAGGGGAAGTTGGGTTCGAGTTTGACGAAAACGGAGAGATCAACTCTCAAGCTATCCTTTCTATCAATCAAGATTTGGCAGGTTTGGAAGCAGATTTTGAGGACTTGCGTAGGGATCAACCAGCTAGGGACCACTCAAAGGATCCCCACTTTTCTACAACGCTGAACATTCTCCGGTCAACCTTGAATCAGAGAGAATCCCGGCCGAAACGCAAACATATCGTATGTGATCCCGTCGCGGTCCACACAGCATACTCCTTCTGCTACCCACTCTACCTTAGAGAGTTCGATACACTACCCTCTGTTCCCAAAAGACGAAAGCAGTCCATATGGGAAACATTGGGCGAGATGAGCCTCACAGCTGCTCCCTATCTTAATCAAGCAACACAGCTTTACTTGGAACCACCGCCTGGAACGATTCCACCTTCTAGACTTCCTCAGTGGAAAGCAAGAACTGATGACGTTGAACTTGGCAGAAACGTGCAGATTCTGGCAGATACGATTGAGTTTGCCAGGGCCTCCATGCTAGACTTCGAGCCTGATGATACCTTCGAGTCTTTTACTTTGAATGACAAAACTCTGGAGGATGCCTCCTTCCAGTTCCCCTCATCGCAAGTAGAGTCGCAAGGAACCATTGCCCGCAACCTCCACAAATTAGCACTAAAGCTTCTCGGTTATATTCACAACCGCTCGTTCGAATATGGCAGTTTTTGCGACTGGGAAGGAAATCAGGCCCCGTCGGGCGGCTACCGCAAGATTAGCTTTGTGGATCTTTTTCCACCGCAGCCACTCGGGCCGTCGGACTTGTCAGTAACACGCAAGCTAGCAGCCAAATCATTCGGAACAGTTTTGGAGTTGGCAACTAAGAATGCCCTCCAGATAATTCCGGGGATGAGCCCGCTGCTGAGAAAGCATGGGTGCTTCATTCGTACGATGATGGTGGAGATCATAATGTGCTCGCTAATATAACATAATTACGATAACTAATTAGGCGTTGGCGCAGAAGGCGCACTGTTTTTCGTAGCGGTTGAAGCCGACAACGATAAAAAGTAGAAAAACATCGAATTCAGAATTAAAATGACGATGAAGCGGGAAGGCGCTTAGGCAGCAACAGCACCGTTGTTGGTGTCGTCGTGCTTGGCGAACTCCTCCTCGGCCTCGTACAACTCAGAGGCCTCTGGCTCTTCGGCGTCCTCACCCTGGTGCAAAGACAAGGTTGGCTTGACGGCAGCAGCGTCAAGAGTCCAGGAAGCAAGAGCGTTCTCAGCGTCAACGATGATCTGCTTGGAGGCCTCGTAGCCGTCGTAAGCTGGTCTGGTCTCACCTGGGGTGACTGCAGACTCGTCCAACAACTCCAACAAAGCCTTACCGTAACCGGCTATGAGGGCGTACTTCTCGGCCAACTCTCTGATGGCATCGAACTGGTAGTTGAAGGCAGCCTTCAACTTCTCTCTGGTGATGTTAGACAACTGGGCCTCAGCAACCAAGGACTCGGCCTCGGCTCTGACCAACTCCTGCTCCAAAACAGAGATCTTTGGAGACTGTGGGTCCTTGTACTTCAAGTGAGCAATCTCGTCAGTGATCTTCTGCTTTCTGTCTCTAGATGGCTGGACGGAAGCCTCAATGTTTCTGATGGTCTTCAAGGTGATTCTGTACTGGTCGTACTTGTCAATGAACTGGTCCTCCAATTCACCAATCTCGTAAATCAAGACACCCAACTTGTCAGTGACGTCGGAAACATCCTCGTCGTTCTCCTCACCCCAGAGGGACAATTGCTTAGCGGTCTCACGACGCTCTCTGGCGGTCAACTCAACAGCTCTCATGACATTCTTCTCCATCTTGACGAACTGAGCCAACTTTCTGGACATTTCTGGACCAGTGGCACCGGCCAAGTTCTTTCTGAAAGTGGAGGTAATACCACCCTTACCGAAGAACTTGGACTTGGTGGAGGAAGTTGGAGGTGGAGGGGACTGCAATTGAGCAGCGGTGGGGGCCTTTTGGGATCTCAACGAGTATGTTCTGTGCATGGCTGAATAGATGAAATGACTAGTTCCGCAAAATCTCCCGGGGGCTGGCTCCTTTTATACCACAAGGGAGGAGGTTGCGTCGAAGGTCAATCGACGTGCACACAGTGTATGCGGCCCACGCAAGATAACTTGCTATTTATGCGCAGTTTGCGTCCACAATTCGGCCTAATTGGGAAGCAAGAAAGCAAGCTGGTGGGTGAGTAGCAAGCATGGCCAATAAAAACCGCTGATGCCAGTACATCGGAACGAAGGTGGTGCAGACACTTTCCTGGGCCCCCACGTAAAAACTAATCCATTAAATCCAGCATGAGTTATTTTAAACAACCCAAGAAAACCCGTGAACCAGCGAACAATTACAATTTATCCCGCCCTATTTTCAGCAAATGACCTCTCTGGTTGTTCTTTGCTTGGCCTGCCCTTGTTGCCGCGGTCCGAACGTCAACTGGGTCAGACAACCGCGCCGATGCCGGTGGAAAACAGGCTACTGGCTCCATTGTGCAGGACATTACACTCTTCTCTTTCATTCCTCTGTCCTTCTGTCGCCCGCTGACGTCATATGACGGGGAGTCTTATACAAAGCCATCGGAGATTTTGCATTTTTGACATCATCGTGGTACGGCTGCTTGAACCGTGGCCAGGGTTTACACGTGCTTAGCGGTAAGAACTTTGTGGGACATTGTGGGAAGACATGGTCATCTCGATGCTCATCACTTGCGATGGGCGGAATTATCGGAAAATACGTAGTTTCGCCAAAGTCAATCTAGGATCAAATCTTGAAAAAAAAAAAAAAAAAAAATCACCGTCCATCAAAATTCATCACCTAGACAACGGCTTGGTCACTTCTCTCCTCTGTTCAACAGGTGGTCATCCACTAGTGTCCGATGACGAGGTACTGCAGGCAGGGCGTCCATGGAACATGCTCGTTTACCACAGATCCGCGCGGCTTACCTTGGCCACTGAATTGTGATCCTGCAGGTTATTCCTTCTTCTGTTTCTTTGCAGTTGACTCGTTTCCGGACCCACTCTCAATTGGGCGTTTCGTGTTTACGTCAAGCGGCTCTAAAATACGGTAATAATCCGCCTCCAACGATTCGTATGCAGTTTGCAACTTGTCGAGACGTGTGGGTTCATCAAGCCCGCTGAGAGCTTCCTTGTTCTTCTCAAAGAGTCTGCGTTTAATGAAAAGCCTGACAGCCTTTTTGGAAGGCTTGACGGGTCCATTCTTCAATTGGTACAAGAAAAACATCTCAAGCAATCGCAGAAGCTGGCGTTTCTCGAGTTTTTCACGCTGCTTGAAGTCCTTGATCCACGAATCGTTCACCTTGTCCAAACTCAAATCAGTCAAGTCAATCTTGCCGTCTTTGACAAGTCGACTGAAATCAACACGGTCTCTCAAGTCATCGAAGCTCTCATTGGGGTCCTCCACAACAATTTCAACCACACGCTCATCCTCCAACCAGTATTTGTACAATCTCTCGTAGAGCTCTCCACCAAGAGACTTGCCCTGAAGGTTGGGCAAAACCACAAACTGTGAAATCTTCTTACGAATCTTTTTCACGCCCGCGTCAAAGTCGGCCAGACCCGGGTAAACCCAGTAGTTGTATGCGGTTGCAAAACCGACAACCTCTGGAAGCTGTGGGTTGGTTGTGTTGTACATGACGTAAATATCCCACAAGGGGTCCTTGGAGTCGATGTAGGTGCCGGCTTCTATAAATAAAAGCACCAAAATCTGGAGTCTCTTGTGCAACTCCACACCTCTAGGTGAGCTCAAGTCAAGCTTATAGATGGCAAACAGCTCGCCGCCTTTTGTGAAGTCCGAGCCAACTTTCTCACCGGGAATTTCATAACTCTTCTGCTCTTCTTCGATGGTGTCTCTCCACTTGGCCTCGTCCTTGTACACGGTCAGTTCCGGCAAAAGCTCGAGCAACTTGCTTTTGGGGTCCACCTCGATATCTGGAAGCTTGTTCTCGTACTTGACGTTCAAAAAGGGCAAAAACGTCACCAGGTCAAAGCACAAGAAAATACGGAGGCCCTGGAACCCAAAGATGGTCTCGGCGTCTCCAAAGATTGGGTAGGTAAAGAGTGGGCTAAAGTTGTGGGCTTTGCCTTGGGTATCGGTAACAAAAATAGCCAAGGCTTCGTTCAGTGACGCCGTCCATTGCTCCGGCTGGAGCGACGCCACCGCCATACTCATTTGGTCAGCCATATTATCGGTTTTTTTATTGGTGTTAGTTGAACTTGATGTTTTCAGACACGCTCACAGACGCGCACGACTCTAGTACAATAGGCGTTGAGGTCTATGTGGAAAATGGGGGTAGTGAAGATTTTTAAAAGTTCAAAGAGGGTAAATCTTGTTTAGTGAAATTACGGAATCGTGGTTGTTAGAATATCTTGGGGTCCTGTGTGGTCCAGAAAGGGTTCAGTTTAGTGTTATGGAGAGTTGGCTCGCTTAATTCCGAGTCTCCTAATACCCCCTTCAAAATAGGAAAATAGCATGAGTATTATGATAGTGATGTATTGGAGAATTTATTTACCTTTTTTGATTTTGACGAAACTTGGGATTTGGTGTGACTGCTTTGACAAGAGCACTTGAGCTCAGTGATGCGTTTCTAGAACATTGATAGAGAGTACAATTTCTATGACTTGTTTCCTCGAGGTGATCTTGATACTCAAGCTAGAAAAAAAAGTGTTTTGGAAAATTGGCACTATGAAAATTGAGACCCCATTAATATATCAAGCACACATGCCATAAGACTAGACTCTGTATGGTATAACTAGAGAACCCTAACTCCCAGCCAAACATAGAAATTACTTCAATTGAACTCGTTGGATCGACAAGTTCTTTGAAATTACTTCCATGCCTACACCACCCTCTCCTATAATACAATTGATAAATATTTACTCTATGCCATTTACTCTATCACGGCAACAAGGTCACCAGCATCAACCATGTCACCGTTCTTGTGCAAGATCTTGGCGACCTTGCCGCCTCTGGTAGCCACAACCATCATTTCGGTTTTCATGGCTTCCACCACTATGAGCGCCTGGCCCTTCTTCACCTCGTCGCCAGGAACCACTAAAGATTTCCAGAAACGACCGGAATATTCAGAATAAACCATCTCGGCGTTTTCGTCAAACTGGTCCTCTTCGCTCAACTCAGGGCCTGTTTTTCCAGAAGCCAATTCTGCGTTCGAAACCTGGATCAAACGGCTGAACTCCTCCATCTTCTCTCCACCCTGGGTCTTGTGGAAGGCCTCGATAGACTCGCTGTTTTCCTGAATCCAGCGGATGTACTGTTCGTGGTCAAACACGGAGTCAATGATTTCAACGGGGTACTTACCAGCAGACATCTCCTCAGTAAGAGTGTCGAGCTCGTCCTCAGAAACAGGGTAGAACTCCACCTGGTCAAATGGGTTCAACAACCAGGGTTTCAGCGAATGTGCACCCAAGGTCAACTTATCCCAAATAGGAACAGTTCTGCCCACCAATTGGTATCCACCTGGCGAATCCATGGTGTAAATACACATGTAGGAACCACCGATACCCACACAGCCGTTAGGTGTGTGAGTTCTGGAGGGATTGTATTTGGTTCCCAACAAACGGTGTCTTGGATCCAAGGGAACGGCACAAGGAGCACCCAAAAAGACATCACCAAGTCCCAAAACCATGTACCTAGCAGTGTACAACATGTCTCTCACGGAAGATCTCTCAATGCCGTTGATGGAGGCAATAAAGTCCACGTTGTTGGGCAACCAGGGTGCCTCGGAGCGTATAGTCTCTGAATATCTCTTGACAGCATCCAACGTCTTTTTGTCTTCGAACGCCATGGGCAACTTGATCACACGGGAAGGCACCTTCCACTTGTTGGTGAAGACGATTTCTTTTTCAAGCGCAAGCAACGTTTTGACCAAGTTGGCCTGGCTGATTCTCTCGCTGTACTCGATCAACACGGATCTCACACCACGGGACATTTCCACTATACCCTTGACGCCTCTTTCACCGACCATCTCGATCAACTTGTGGATTCTGTAGGCCAAATTGAAGTCCATGTTGTTTTCGCCGTACTCCACCAAAATGTAGCGGTCTCCGGCTTGACGATACACTATCTTAGGAGAAGTGCCGTCTGCTGGGATACAAGCCAAAACCGGGTCCTCAGGAGCAGGAAGCTGTTTTTGTTCGAAAGATGGAATCTCGCCTTCCAATGTCTCCACGACCTTGTCCTGGCTCTGCTTCATGTCCTTGGCGGTATCGTAAGAAAGCGGAACAAACTTGATCAGATCGCCTGGTTTGACCTGGCCAATCTTCCACATTTCAGCCTCTGCCACCACGGCTTCACAGACAAAACCACCCAAAGAAGGACCGTCACAGGTCAAAATAACAGGCTCATCACCGGTAAAATTGATAGCACCAAGCGAGTAAACATAGTCGTGAGCATTGGATGGGTGCAAACCAGCTTCACCACCGTCCTTTCTGGCCCACTTGGGCTTGGGTCCAATAAGACGAACACCAAACCTGTTGGAGTTGTAGTGGACCTTCCACTCGCTGGAGAAGAATTCCTGGACGGCTTCCTGGGTGAAGAAGTCCGGTGATCCATGAGGTCCACAAGTCACACCCACCTGCCATGCATTGTCCTTGTTGTACCGGTACGAAGGAACAAGGGCTTTTGGAATTTCCACTGGAGCACTTATGGGCATGGGAAGGGTGCAGCTGGCGAGTTCGGGCTGGCCCAAAAAGAGCACATCTCCAAGACGCAAAGTACGGCCATTGTAGCCACCCAAATTGCCCAAGGCAAAAGTGGATCTCGATCCAAGGTACTCTGTGACGTCAATTCCGCCTCTAATGGCAAGGTAGGCTCTGCAGCCGGCCTCGAGTTTTCCAACGCCCAAGATATCGCCCTTCTTGAGCTCCAAAGGCTTCCATTGATCCACAGGCTGTTCGTTCACAGTAACCGCAACTTCACCGCCGGTGACGGCCACAATGGCGCTGTGGTGAAATACAATTTTTGGTCCACTAAGTGTCATTTCAAGCCCAGGAGCTGCAGCGTCGTTTCCTACTGCCCTATTGGCCATACGGAAAGCATACTCGTCCATGCATCCAGAAGGTGGAACACCAATGTGCCAGTAGCCCTTTCTGCCTGGGAAGTCCTGAACGGTGGTGTAGGCGCCCGGAGAAAGAATCTCCATTGCTGTGGGGCAGTAGTCGTAGGAATCAAGCACCTTGGTAGCGACCTTGGCTGTTTCGAACATCTGCGAGTTGGCAATCGAACGAAGGTAGTCGATGTTGGTGATGCAGCCGGAAACAACGGTTTCGTTGAGCGCCCAGCGGAGCTTCTGCAAGGCCTCGTCTCTGTCTTCACCGTGAACAATGATCTTGGCTAAGGTGGGATCGTACTCTCCAGAAACAACGGTACCCTTTTGCACCCAGCCGTCGATACGGGCAAAAGACGGGAAACTGACTTCGGCGAGCTGGCCTGGAGAAGGCATGAAGCCCTTGACGGGGTTTTCAGCGTAGAGTCTGGCTTCCATGGAAGCACCTTTCACGACGATTGGCTGCGAAAAATCGGGTGGAGTGTCAGCAGCAATAAGCAACATCCACTCGACCAAATCGAGCCCGGTGACCATTTCCGTGATTGGATGTTCCACCTGCAAACGGGCATTGACCTCCAAAAAGTAGAACTCGTCTCTTTTCTCGTCGTAGATGTACTCAACCGTACCGGCGCACTTGTAGTGCAAAAGAGAGCCCAAGGACTCGGCAGCCTTTCTCATGCGCTGTCTCGTGGCTTCTGGAAGATTAGGAGCCGGCGTTTCTTCGATGATTTTCTGGTTTCTTCTTTGGAGAGAGCAGTCACGCTCGCCAATGGCCAAGGCTTTTCCGTAACCGTCACCAACCATCTGGATCTCCACATGTCTGGCGTTCTCCACAAACCTTTCCAAGAAAACACCAGAATCGCCGAAATAAGACTTCCCCTGGTGCTGCACCGTCTGGAAAACTCTCTCAATGTCCTCCTCAGAGTCCACCTTCTGCAACCCAATGCCTCCACCTCCAGCAGTGGATTTCACCATCACAGGGTACTCCAACTCGGCTGCCACTTTTCTAGCCTCTTTGGCATCGCTAACAAGGCCGGATCCAGGAACCAAGGGCACGCCAGCTTTTTGAGCAATTTCTCTAGCGGAGTGCTTGAGTCCTAGCTTTCTGATAGCATCGCCAGAAGGTCCCACAAACACAATGCCCTCTTTTCCACAGCGATCAGCAAAATCGGCATTTTCAGAAAGGAAGCCGTAGCCGGGAATAATGGCCTCGGCACCGCTCTTCTTGGCGGCTGCAAAAATCTTGTGCATATGAATATATGTTTCAGCAGCCAGAACACCATGAAGTGGGACCGCCTGGTCCGCCATCACCACATGCTCAGCGTACTTGTCTGGATCGGAATACACCGCAATGGCCTTGATCTTCATGCGTTTCAATGTCTTCATGATACGAACGGCGATTTCTCCTCTGTTGGCCACAAGCACCGATTTGAATGGCTTGGGGGTCTTTTTGGCCTCGGCATCAAGGTGTTGGTGGTAGTTTTTCCAGCCGCCAAATTCTGTAATGTCCGTTGTGCCCTCGGCAAGGTAACCCGACTCTTCACAAATGAACGACTTGATCCACTCGCCAGAAGCAGTCTCCACAGACCCTATGCCCAAAGGCTCAGGCACAAATGCAATAAACTGGCCAAACGTCTCGGCAGGAACCTCGTAGATCTCGATAGCAATTTTCTTACCGCCTTTAGAAACTCTTCTTAAACCTGGTTTGGCCACAGGCCCGGTTTTCGGCAAAGCATAGAGTTTGTATGATTCTGAGGAGGTGGTGAGCTTCACAAACAGAGCACGCACTTTCTGAAGCTGCCAGTGCAACTGGAATCCTTTGAGGTGGGCACCGACCACGGCCAATTTTATGGTGTTTTTGAGCACAGGAGCTGGAAGTTCCGTACGGTGGTGGAGCAAATCGTGGACAGTAGCGGTGTTGATTTGCTTTTCTTTGAGGCAGCCATAGAAGCGAGGCACCTCAGCAGAGTATGCTTTCATGTAGCGAGAGGCAAAGTCCAAAAGAGCGTAATCGTTGAATTTTTGGGAAAGGAATGTCACTCCAAAAGGAACGCCGTCGCTGGTTCTGAAACCAGCAGGAACACTCAAGGCACTCAAGTCAGCGAGGTTGACGAAGTTGGTGTAAGTGCCCTGACAAGAGTTGATTTTCACCGGCTCAGCCTGGACATCGGCGATCTTCGGCGTCAATGGGGCAGTGGGCACCACGATAACGTCGATTTCCTCCAAAATCGGTGTGATTTTCTGCACCACAGCCTGGCGCTTGTACTCGTATTCAAACGCAGTAGTAGCAGGCATGTTCTCTGCACCCTGGATGATTTTTGCAACCGTGGGGTCCAAATCCTTTTGGGGAGGGCTGGAAGCATAAAATTCCTTCATGGCCCAGTATCTCTCGGCGACCCAGGCGCCTTCGTAGAGGTATCTGGCCAAATCGAGAAGCGGCTGGATATCCACAGCATATAGCGTAGCACCGGCTTTCTCCAAAGTGGAGACGGCCTTTTCGTAAAGCTTGGGGTTTTCCTCCTCGCCACACCAGACCAATTTGGTAGGAACACCCACTCTGGGAGCACTGCCAAAAGTCAACTTGGGGTTCTGTGGCATGGGTCTGGAGTAGCCGTCCTTCTGTGGATCCTCGTGGGCCAAAATGTTGAATGTGAGCTGGGCATCCTGGAGGTTCATGGCGAAAATGGAAACACAGTCGAGCGACTTACACGCTGGAACCACGCCGTGGGCAGAAAAAACGCCCTTTGTGGGTTTCAAGCCGATCAAGTTGTTCAATGCAGCAGGAACACGGCCTGAACCGGCGGTATCGGTGCCCAAAGCGACCGGAACAATTCCTCTGGCAACCACCGAGGCTGATCCAGCCGAAGAGCCGCCAGAAACATAGTCCTTGTTGAATGTGTTTGGGGTGATTCCGTATGGCGATCTGGTGCCCACAAGACCGGTTGCAAACTGGTCAAGGTTGGTTTTTCCAATGACAATGGCACCTGCGTTTCTCAAAAGCAGCACCGTGGTGGCGTCCTCCTGCGGCTGGTATGAAAAAGACGGGCATGCTGCCGTGGTGGGCAAAAGCCTTGTGTCGATATTGTCCTTGACAGCAACAGGAACACCGTAAAGTGGAAGCAGGCGTTTTTTCGAATGCGACTGGAGAAAGCTCCACTGGTGGTCCAAGTCTTCCGGCAGCACCAACGAGATCCACGCTGGGTCAATTGGAGCACATTTCTGGGAGCTCAAGAGCTCATGAAGTTTTCTTAGCGACTTGTCTGGGGTAGCTGAAAAATGGAAGCTTTTCCACTCCTCAACGGTCCAGCCGAGCATGATGTGATTTGATAATTTTGGGAAATATGGAGTACACGGGAAACCCCGTCTTTATAGCTCATCGGGATTGGCCCAAATAGGCTTTTCATCGGGATTGGGCTGGGACAGAGCCCGGAGAAACCATGCAGCGATAAAGCGTAAGCGTTGGCTTGTGTGCAGTCTATCAACGGTGACGCAGAAAACGCCAAAGCTAAAGGACGCCTAGCGAGATCGCCAGCGCGGGCCGATCCGGTGTCAAAAGCCATAAAGGTTTTTGGGTTTTCGATAAGATTTTGATAAGATTTTCGGGTTTTTTTGAAAAGTGCTTCATAGTGAACTAGAGAAATTTCTTAAAATTGTCTTTTTCCAAAAAGGCTAGGGGCAGCTTATCGGAGGGGTTCAGCTGCTTCTTGGTTGGTCGATGATTGTGTCCGGATAAGAGAGGTGTGGGCGACCCGATTAGCTCCGGTTGCAGCATTCAATTTTTTCCACACCTGTCTTATCCGGATTCGCAGCCGTCTGTGGATTCGATAAGCTCTCGTGGCACGTGAGACACAAGGCATGGATTTTGCCGTACTTGCAATTCCGCTCGTATGCTTATAGTGGGTAAAGATTTCTTGAAAGCTTTCTATTGATCCGATTTAATATTTACTTCTTTTCCTCGAGCTCCTCGTCGATATTGTGCGGCGTGATGTAGCCGCCGTCATGGTTCACTCCTTGGATAGTATTGATTTTGGCCAACTCGGCAGAAACCTGACTTCTCACAGCATGCATCTGCTCCGGGTTGTCGTTCTGCCACTGTCTCAATTTCCATGTCTGACCAGTCAAGTCCCAGTAAATACCTCTGAAAGTGTAAGCAATGCCGTAGCGTCCCTCCCACACTGGACCAATAATGACAATAAAACAGGTAATGAATGTCCAGATGAAAAGAACCACAATCCACCCAGTGAAAAATTGCCTGCTGAAAATGTAGCCAGATCCGTACATTGGCATAGGCCACAAGATGATCAACGAGAGGGCCAAGAACACACAGACACATGCGCCTTTCTTGAATGCCTTATTGAGTCTCTGAGATTCCTCGGCGAATTCTTCTGCTTTCAAAAGGGCGATTTCATGAGCGGTGATGGTGATCTGAGACTTGACTGGGTACATTCCGCCGTCAGACAGCTTCTCAAGATCAACTTGCAAAGGCGACTCGGCTTCAAGAAGCTCCTCGGTCTCGTCGACACGAGAAATAAGCTTCAAAAGATTCCAGTCGAAGTTCTGTGGCTTGAATACAAGCGTAAGAATTGGGATGATGATCAAGGGAGAGCACAAGGCCACAACATTACCTGTCAACATAGAGTCGTCCTCAAAGGTGTTGTCCACGTTGATCTCACCAAACTTGGTCTTTGTAGTAACCAACCAGGCCATGATAGCCAAGCCCGTGGCAATTGGTGGTGTGAAGGTAGCTGCAGCCCAATTCTGGCGCTTAGAGAAAAGCGTCATTGTAGAAGGAAGCACAGCACCGCCGATAATGATACCCATCAACTCATACAAGTATCCCATCGAGATACCAGCGTAGTACAAGCCAATGGCAAAGCCGGCCATGACGTAGGCAAACACACAAAGCGAGGCATGCGACACAAACATCAACTTCTTACCTGAAGCATTGGGTCGATGTAGCCACGGTAGAAATCGTAAGTGAAGATTGTTGAAACGGCAATGAGCTCGGAGGACATGGAGGAGGTGACCGCCAAGAAGGTCAAAATGAGCGACATGACAGCACCGGACTTACCCAAGAGGGCGGTGGCGGCATTGGGCAAAACCAATCCAGCTGTGACTTCAGCACTGGTCATCTTGTTAGGGTATGAAGGCCAGTAAGGGGTGTCTTCCAAAGCAAGGGCAGTAAGGCCCAAAGTGGTAGAGCAGAACATTGGGATGGCAAACCAAGCAAGACCACCCATCACGTATCCAGGCATGGTAGCTGCTGGGTCCGAGGCGAAGGCTTTGTTGAAGTAACCGTTGTCCAAGAAGACGGTACCAAAGTTACCAACAAGGTTGATGACGAAAAAAATACCACCCGAACGAGAATGAATGGTCAAGTAGGAGCCGTCCTGGTTACCTTCTCTAGGCTTAGTGAATGCGAGCTCAGTAATCTTTTCCCAGACAATACCTGGAGATCCCAACTTGTCTGAAACGGCAAAAGTGTTGAAGGCGAAAACCAACAAAATCACCAACACTGCAACAGTGTGGGCGTAGTCAGTAAGGAATGTAGCCTTAAGTCCACCAAACATTGTGTAAATCACCACACCCAATGGCAAAAGCAAACAGCCGGCAACGACGTTCATGCCAGTCAAATCGTTAACCACGGCAGACCCACCAGTGAGCAACATAGCCGTGACGAGCACGTTAGTAGCGAAACCCCAAAAGGACATCACACTGTGGGTCCACTTGCCGTAACGAGCCTTGACAATTTCCAAATAGGTGTGAGCACAAGGAGCCCGCTCCTTGCCCTTAATAGCCAAACAAGAGAACAAAATAATTTGAACTGTAGCACCACAAGCATAGAACATACCGCCCGAGACACCGTTATTGTACACTTGGGTTGTAGACGTTAATAGAGTCGCTGCCCACGTCCACGATGATACCACCGCTGCCGAAAGAAGGAATGGCTTCACAGACCTACCAGCGGTAGAAAACTCTTCAGCAGTCATGATCTCTTTGTTGTAACGCTTAAGACAGTATGTTGTAGCCACCATACCAGCGGAAAACAAGAAACCAAGACCAACAACGACGGCATAGCCGGCGCCTTGGGGAAGAGGCACATATTGAGCAGCAGATGACATTTTGAAATTCTGTTGCTTGGTCTTGGATATGTACTGCTGGCAGGGAGGTATCTTTATACTTTTTGCAACCATCTGCTATCAGTGCAATACTGCATATTTTGACACCTGATAACGGTTTACATGAATCAGTTGTGAGGCGTTTGTGAAGGTTCGCAGATGAAGCCTCGCTTAGCTGTTTTCTGAGTCGCCCAATCCCGTCAAGGGGATGGGTCGAAGAGGCACATAGTAAACGTAATGCAGCTGCGTCAAGTAGCGTCCAATCATGGTGTTGTACTGCATATAGAACGCAATATCGAGCCTTATCCAGGTACTTTAGAGATAAGAGCAGCACTTGGGGCAAAACGAAAAATTCACAAATTTGCGGCCCGACGGCGGCTACTCCACTTTGCCGTAGATTCTATTCTTCAGCGTGCATAAACAGTCCGGACCCTGTGGTCTTGCCATGTTTTAAAAGCACCAGAGCTAATTTGTTACCGTTACGAGAAGTTAAGCCCGGCTAAATCCTCGATGAGCAGCGAATTCTTATCGGCGGGGAATCTTCTTTTTCGATGGGCTGTTGAGGTATGATTTCACCAAAGGCGTAGTTTTCTTTGAGATTGACCAACAATTGGCCCACTTCCTCGTCATACTGCGTTTTTAGCTCCGATGTGATTTGCTTTTGCTCTGCCAAGCAGTCATTCTCGGCTTGCTTCTTCAATTCTTGCTCACTCTTGAGGAACAGGCACAATTTTTCGTCGAACTTGTTCACAAAGTAGAATGTACCAGATATGTGCTTATCGTAGACGACCAACAGCTCCTCAATGCAGCGATCCATTTCTTCCATACAAACAGCGTGTGCCCAACCAAAATGGTCTGCAACTTCGGTTATTGTGCATCCATGGAACACCTGATAATGATCTCTTAGGTAATTATCCTGAACACCTTCAAGCTCCAGTCGGTATTTGTCATATGTGAATTGGTTGTCCTGTGCAATGAGAAATTCCAAAATAGTCCAATGGAGATCTTTTTGCAGCTGCAGCTGCTTTTGGGTTATCACAACAAGGCCCAGGCGGGAATATGTTTTTGTTTTCACAGGAAGATTGAGGGTCTCGAACATGCCGATGCATTTTGTAAACTCTGCTGTAGTTATAAGCTCTGTACCAAAGCCTTGTGTGTAAATTCGATAACGATTGTACGATGCAAAAGTGTCCTGAAGTGTGATCATAGACGTGGTTGTGGTGAGCTCCGTATTTAGGAGATACTCGCAAATGTGTCTTGCTAGCTCCTCGGTGTAAAACGAAGATAATTTGTTGGCGGGAATCGGGGGAATCGTAGAGGCTCCTGTGGGCAAGGCTTTAGAGAACTTGCCCTGTTTCTTTATCAATGACCCGAAACTGGAGCTCACCTTGATAAGATCCTGCGCTTTGTACATGAGCTGTTCTAAGTCCTCGAGCAGCAGCGATAACACGAGCTCGTTTCGTTTTCTTTGCTGTTCGCCGAGCTGCTGCAAGCTGTGGATTCCTCCTCCTTTGAGTCTTGTTTCGGTTTTTGGGGTTTGGTTGATTTTGGTTGCTGCATCGCTGATGCCGCCACGTTGTTCCAATTGTTCCCATTTCAATTTGTCAATGGCTGCAGTAGCCTGTTCGAGAAAGCCGGTTTCTCCACCTTTTCTGAAACTGACTTTGATGTATGGTTTGAGATTGGTATACTCTTCGGGCTCCTCAAGCGTGAGCCCCAAGGGATTCTGATAAAGCGGCGAGTCGGGACGTTCATGTAACGCTATCTTTTTGGCAATCGTTGAAGCCTTGGGTCGGAGCTCTGTGCCACACATTTCACAGTTCCTCATGGATGGGTGATTGATGAAAGTGCAACGCGGGCACTCGTTCAGCTTTGACTCTTTGGCCGGCGCTTCCTTGGATGTATCCTTCTTGACGGCTTCCTCTATAGCTTTTCGAAGCACGCCCCTTGAAGGAGCAACTCCACAAGATACACATTTGGGTGGATCATTCTTGTCTAAATTGTAATTTGTTGCAATGTGGTTGTTGTAGGAGCAGATCATGCATGTCCAAACAGCACTTGTCACGTCTCTAAGCAGAGCTGAAGACGAATTGGAGCTCAGAGCCACAGCAGACGTATCCTGACCGTTACCCTCTCCTTTGAGAAACACCTTCACTTTTGGCGATGACCGTAGGAACCGTTCCACCAACTCTGCCCTCAGAACGTCACTCAAATGTAGCCCAATCGCCTTCTTCCCGTCAGCATCCAAGTAGATGATCCGTTTGTTGGTCAAGTAGACTCTTCCGTTCTGGTGTCCATTGATCTTCAGTTTTCCCTGGTACATGCCCACGCCGTCTTTGACAAACAAGCTGTACTCATCGTCGAGAAACACCGGTCGACTCGACTTGTTGATCGGCACAGCATGCCATATATTTAGTCGAGACATCAACTTTCAATGATAGTATCTTAGCGCGCGATATCGATATCGGTGTTGCACTGAGATAGTGGGATGTGGGGGCAAGGGTGGTATTGGGTAAGGGGGACTTCCAGGGATCAAGGCAGAAGATCTGTTTTTTGCAAAAACTGTATTTTTATTATTTTGCTCGTGAAGTTCACAATTTGTGGGGATTGTGCATTTGACTGGAATTGTTCTGTGGTTGCGAAAATCGGTGAATACTGTAAATGCCCGAGTGAGTTCACAGACAACAAGAGGAAAAGTAATTTAAATTTCTCTCCAATGGACTTGATTTAAGGACTTAATAAAACGCAAAAGAACATGGACTACAACCAATCTTTACGTTTCTGGTAGACACTTGTCACTTTATTTGTCAGTGTACCAATGGATCATGTAGTCGACCATTGCTCCTAACGAAATTTGAAGAACGCACAAGATCTGTCTCAAGCTCGTAAGTGCTATGAAGAAAGTTTGAACAACTTTTGAAAATCCGAGCAATATTTCTACTGTTTGTTTTTCCTGATTGTTTGATATAATCCAGCTTCGTTTGGCACCAAGAAGTAACATTACCGTCATGCACCAGTCTGGTCCTTTCCAATTAGCTGATCATTAAGCTGGGAACTAAATCTACAATTAGGTAGAAGTCGATGGTCGGAAATCACGTTCCGTTGGTAATCCCCAGGATGCCTTCCTCAGATACCACCATTCGCTACCCACAAACAAAGATCTTCATAGAAATCGATCCCAACGAAATCAATTGATTTCAACTACCTAAGCCAAAAATAAGTACCCACGCTCATATCACCACCCCTCATGCTTCATTCAAGAATGCCCCGCGTCAAGTGACGGCTTGATCTGCCATCACCAGCCACCCCAGCACTCGCCACAAAACCACAAAAGACCATTTTTATAATTCTGAAGCATTAAAAAAACATCAATTGCAGTCGATTAAGCCTTACAGTCAACTGCACCCCAAATCTATGCTACCTCTGCTTTGTGGAACTGACAGTGAGCAACAACTTTTCGCAGCCATTGTGAACTCACGTCGTCACTACTACTTACTTCTCCGTCTCCATCAAACAGCACACACAAAACACCCCCGCATTGATCATTTGCATTCAAGGCTTTCAAAGAAGCACATTTCCCACGTGGAGCTCCAAAATCATCCAAATAGTACCTCCTTTGCATAATACTTAGACCCCCTTTTCCCCATAAAGCATGGCGTTTCTTCTTAAACGAAACCCAAAAACCCTGCCGACCTCGTACGGGCGCTCAACGAACTCATCTGCAAATGGGACTTCTCCGCTGACTCCAGAAAGTACCAGGATGACTGCTCCAGGTATCTCAAGCAGATCAAGGTGATTCTACACGGAGATGAAGAAAGCGACCCTCAACCAGATCAGATCCTGATTTTGGCCCAAGAAGTCCACCAGACCGACCTTCTCACGCATTTGGTCCACAATTTGAGGAAACTCGACTTCGATCTGCGCAAAGACGTGTTGATCTTGTTTCTGACGCTTTTGCGACGGCAGACTGCCAACGAGAGCCCGACGGCCTCGTACTTGCTTGTGCACAATGAGATCTTGGTAAAATTGATGAAGGGCCCGGAGTACCCGGATGTCGCCTTGGTATGTGGACAGATTCTACGTGATTGCATCAAGTTTGAGCTGCTCAATCGCTTTGTGCTCCAGCATCCGCTTTTCTGGCGCTTGTTCAAGTACGTCCAGCTGCCCCTTTTCGAAGTGGCCACCGACGTGTTTGTCACCTTGAACGCGTTGCTAACAACGCATAAGAAGCTCGTGGCAGAGTTCCTTCTGGCCAACACGGCCCAATTCATAGAAAGCATCAACGAACTCATCAGGCTGGACAACTACGTGACGAAGAGACAGCTGGTGCGTCTTTTGCGGGAGCTCGTGCAACAGAAACAGAACCAGCAGTTCCTACTCAGCTACTTTGACGACGCTCGAAGCCTCAAGATTGTGATGATCCTCTTGAGTGACAAGCTGAAGAACGTGCAAACTGAGGGCTTCCACATCTTCAAGTTCTTCGTGGCCAAGCCCAAGAAGCTGCCCAAAATCATCGACATCTTGGCGAAGAACAAAGACAACTTTGAGCACTTTTTCGCCAATTTCGACGTCAACAACTCCGCTCCAGGCCTGGTTGAGGAACGGGACTACATCCTACAGGAAATCCAGAAACTAGAGCCGCCTCATTAATAGTTATATAGCAACGTGGATGGCCAGGTCTAAGCCACAACTCTCGACCAGTTGTCGAACTCCTCCTCGCCGTACTGGATCTTTCTGAGCCACTCGGCAACCTCGACAGTCAACTCACCGGCATCGCCAGCAGCCAATGGCACGCTGATGTCCTCACCCTTCCAGCCAATCGTCTTGATTGGAGAGACAACAGCAGCGGTACCGGAGCCGAAAGCCTCGACCAACTCGCCCTTGGCAGCACGGTCCTTGACTTCCTGAATGGTGAACTTTCTCTCAGAGACAGTCCACTTGTCCTGGGGCAATCTGGCTCTGGCCAATGCCAACACAGAGTCTCTGGTGACACCCTCCAAAATGGTACCATCAAGAGGAGCAGTGACCAACTCGTTCTTGCCGGTGTTGGGGTCCTTGAACACGAAGAACACGTTCATAGTGCCCACCTCGGTGATGTAGCCCTCTTCTCCGAACAACCAGAGGTTCTGCTGGTAGCCTCTCTTGGCAGCCTCCAACTGGGGCTTGACACATGGGGCGTAGTTGGCACCCAACTTCTTGTCACCAACTCCTCCAGGCCAGGCTCTCACAGCGTAGTCGGTGGCCTCCAAGGAAACAGCCTGGAAACCGGTGGAGTAGTAAGGACCAACGGGGGATGCAATAACGTACAAAAGAGCTCTGTCGGGAACAGCAACACCAAGGGTAGCAGAGGTACCGATGATGGTGGGTCTCAAGTACAAGGAGTAGCCCTTACCCCTGGGCACAAAGTCCTGGTCGAGTTCGACGAATTTGCTGACCAACTTGACAAACTCCTCGCCGTCGAAAGTGGGCATGGCGATTCTCTCGGCACTCTTGTTCAATCTCTTCATGTTCATGTCGGGTCTGAACATGCGGACCTTGCCGGAACCGTCTCTATAAGCCTTCAAGCCCTCGAAAGCCTCGAAACCATAGTGGAACACGATGGTGGAGGGGTCGAAGGAGAAGTTGTGGTAAGGGTTGATTTCAGGAGTGCCCCAGCCCTTCTCGGCGGTCCACTCGATCTCCAAGATGTGGTCGGTGAAGGTCTTACCGAACACCAACTGGTCGTTGGGGAGCTTCTCCTTGGGGGAGGTGGTTTTCGTGATTTTCAAAAGCGAAGCGTCCAAAGCCTGAGTCATTCTGGCGGTCTGGGAAAAGAACCTAGGTCTGGCGAAGTTAGTGGTGACAGCTGAAGCCAAACGGGATAGACTCATGGTGGTTGTGATAAATTTTCGCTGAAAAAATAGCTCACCCACCCGGGCCGGCAGCATAGCCGTTCATGCCCGCCATCCCGTGGAAAAAGGGAACGTACCGAAAGAGAAGGAAGAAAAATGAGAGTAGGTTGAATTATTTATGTGCCAGGTGCTGTTCCTTTATATCATGGGGCCCCACCCCGCTATCGGCCATAATCGGTCGCTGGTGAGTCAGCCCGCGAACAGCCGAAAACGTAACCACGATCAGCACAGATAAAGTGATTTTGGGATCCGAGAAAATGAAGTGATTTTAAGTTAGGGGAAAAACAGTAAAATGGACACCGGACCGAAGACGTTTTGGTTAGTGAAGATGATTGACTGAATTGTGAACTGCTGCGGAATCTATAGTATGGTGCATCTGTCAAATCAGCCGCAAGCCAAGAGCCGAGTAGATCAGGGCCGATTTGGTGGTATGATGAAATTTCACAATTTTCAGATTGTGTAACATCAATTGAGCTTCGGCTATCAAATCAGCCATGACCAACAGTGTTCAGGCTGCACAGCTTCTAATTACTGGAGCGTTATCGGAAAAAACTATAGGTGAAAAACTAGTCCATTCTCCGTTAATCTATTGATTCAAGAAAGGATGAATCTTGCCTCTAGTAAACCCTGAAGTTTTCAATGTAGCTGCCCTGGACATATATCCTCCCATCCTTCGAAACCTTAAACATGTCCGTGTTCAGAAGGGCTTTTCTAGAAGTCCATACGGTGCGGTACCGGCCCACATTAACACCGTTGGCTCGAATTACACGAAAAACTTCTGACTTTCTCGAAACCCACGTATCTGGCCGGGCTTTACGGATGTAGTCCTTGGTGATAAGCGTATTGGTGGAATCGACCTCTCCAAGCTTGAGAACTTCTAGCTTGAAGCGCCCAGAGAGCCTAGGCATCACCACATCATTAGGTGACATTTTAGAGCTCTTCGCTGTCTGCTTCACGATGTACATTTCGTGACTTTCTGGCTTCGCTGGATCGCCAAAGACACAATCGGTTTCTTTGGTTGTCGGTGCCCGGGCACATTGAAGGTATAGTTTGTCACCCTTTAATTTGGGTGCAAATGCTGTGTATGTATGGTAAAATGCTGGAGTAAGCTCGATGTAGTGGTTTGGGGACAGCTTCGAATGCCTCTGTAAATGAGGCGGACGGACTAGTGTATTTTGAAATTTGGCTTCGGGCTGGAAAAGACTCTTCCATGTATAGTAGCCCGATTGCATGAATGAATGCTCGTGTGTTTTCAACTGTCTAGGCCTCACTTCACACTGATCGAACGATGATAAAGCTGGTTGAAAGTCTGTGACGCCTAGCCTCTCCCAATTCACTTCAGTAGCATTTCTATCAGATGGTGGCTCGACTAATCTGTCCACCATTCTTCTATCTGCACTTGCAAGCTTCAGCCATAGGGTCTTGATAAAAGACCGCTTGTAGGGAGACACCTTAGATGACTTGTCATGCTTTTGAAGCTTGTGGAGGGTATCTCTAAAATTTTGGGCAGATTTGCTGCCATACTGGGAGGTGTACCATAGAGGATGTGCTTCTGTGGAAAACACCCAATTCTTTCTGGCCATGAAGGGTTGATGCAAGAAAACCTCGTCGGCCTCGTCGAAGAGCAAATAAAGGTATTTGAGCAGCTCTCCCATGACAAAAGTTTCCATACGATTTTGAAGCTCCCCCGTCTTGACGTTCTGGTAGCCTGCCAATCCACAATTAGTCATGAACCTGGACTCAAAAACGGATAGAATACGAAGGCCAATTTGCAAGTACATGGGATCCTTGGTGGAACGGAATAAATAGTATGTGGACTCGATAAACTCGGGTCTCAATGGGTACCATTCTAGGTTGATGGCATTGTCGATTCTCTCTTCAATTGGGTCATATTTTGAGGAAGCACTGAGAAAAGACCATCGTTCCGGAACAGCATCGAAAAAATCCCACATTTTCATGTAGATGAGGTGGCTCAGAATAGCATCTGTAAGGCGACCAGCTAGAACCTGAACACCAGCCCAAAAGGCACCAAGTGAATCTATCCAGGTGGAGACCAATTCACCGCTTCCTGTATTAACGTTGCCGAAAAGGGTAGGATCGTGAATGCCTTTGCTCTGAGCCAGATGTGACAAGAGTGCCATGTATGCTTTAGTGAAGATCAGCCATAAGCTGTCGTCTCCGAATATGATGGATCCCTTAACTGCGTATTCGTAGAAGGAGTCCACCAGGGCCCCCACGCCTGTGATGGAGTCGATCCACTCTGATTTCACGGGATTAATCGTCATGGACAAGAGACCAAGAACAGAACGTGAGTGCCAGATTTTCCAGAATGAAAGGCTCGTCAATTGCTCGAATTGAGAGTCGCCAGTGAGTTTGGAAAGTAAGGAAAATTCGACATAAGGCGTGGTGACGCCGGAGGTGCATGTTTCATCGTTCATTTTCGATGGAACAGCTTCGAGGCCTTTGGCGAGATTGACTCGTGGAAATGGCAAGTTCGTTTCTGTCTGGTACGCTGGGATCAAGCGTATGCCAAGATCATAGGCCAAGATGAGTAGAAAACCATCGTACTCTTCACAAATTTGCCTTACTTCAGCATATTCCGGCTTATTTGGCCAGGGTACATCTGTAAGCAACAAATGTGCCAGTAGAAGGCCACCAAGCCACCGAATCAGCGCCTCGAACACCTGAACTATGGTATCTTGTTCGAACAATGTTGCCTGGTTTTCATGGAGGTACTTCAACACCTTTCGAAGTTCACCCCACTCTTCCATGACAAAGAGCAGGTCTAGGTTGTCTATCATTGTCAGCAGCACATTGGCCAAAGCGTCATTCCGCATGTTCAGCTGGTCGAAGTAGTCCGGACCGTATGGTTCACACGAAATGGGCCGTACCTCATCAGCAGGAAACCCAAACGCCATGTATGAGTCCCATGAGTGCTGAAAAAGTAGCTTTGTCTGAGCTTTTAGCTCTCGAAGATGGGCTGGTGTGAATGCAGCATGCTCGTCGAATCGGAGGGCCGATATTGACGGTAGGAGGAGCGCCCAGACGATACACGGAAGTGCATAAAGCATGGACGGTGGAGTTTTCCAAAGGAGTAGTTGGTTCTATCTGTTCGTGATACTGGAGTGTACAGAGGTTTCTGTCTGGATCAGGCCCGACGGTAGATCCAGCTGTGGCGTCGGCAATTCGGTAGAAATTTAATTTAGATGGATAAATATTGTTTCATTGTTTGATCGCTAATTGATTTCTGGTTTGTTTTTTGTTTTCCTCCGTTTATCGTGTGTGGGGTTTTGGATCAAGTCGTGTGAGTGTATCGAATATGTCATAGACCCAAGCACTGTGACAATTGTGAAAATTACATTTGAACTAGAAGTTACCAAAATTGAAATTGGAGAGACATGGCGTGATTGACGGCCAATGAAACCTTGAACCATGATTGACTCCCTATAGTATCAGTATTTACTTATAACCCCCCCCCCCCCATCCACCCCATCCTTCTAGGAATTGATACTTATCTCAGAAAGCTGGTGACAACAATTTGATTGAACTTTCTTCATCTCAATGCCACCAGCGTCATCCCCACCCCTACAAACCAACTTCCAAATGAATAAACTATCTATGTATGCAATTACGATTAATTAAAATGTCTCACTGCTTCTTTTGCCTGCTTCCCTTGGGGATACGTGCAAGCCAGTAGAAGCCAATTGTTAAAACAAAATCAAACACAATGAAGCCAATGAAAACACCAATGTCTCTCCAGCGTGTGTGGTAGTCCGCATTGATGGACTTCAAGAAAGGACCGGTATCTCTCATCTTACAGTAGACACATCTGGCATTTTCCACCGTCAAATAACCACCGGCCTTTGCCATATAAGGTGCCATGTACTGTTCACACGTGAGACCTTCTGGTGGATCAAAATGCAAAAGTTCAGATTCGGAACACTCCACACTAGAGTGAGCCAACCCCACCGAAAGCACCACCGACACCAAATATGTGAAAGGGTTGAAACGGTACATGAAAAGCCAGAATTGGGGCATCTGGCTCTTGGAAACCAAAACACCACAGAAGTTCAAGCAGGCGGTGAAAAGGAAGATGGAAAGGTTAGCTGCGTTTTCAGCAAGCTCAATGAAGGAAATACACAATTGTGCCATCGACGAGGTGTAGATGTAGAAAAGCACAATTGTGAACCACATGGTGGCACCTCTTTCATTGACAGTATTGGTTTCTGTGGCGTTGTGGTATAATCCAATAGGGTAATACCAGCAGAAGAAGGCTGCGGTACCACAGATGATGTTCCATGGAATCTCTCCGGTGATCTGGGCACAAATAAATGCAAACCAGGAGAATGTCTTGGAAGGTCTCTCTCTGGCTTCGTACAAGGATCTTTGGGCCACAAAGTGGGGAAGATACTGGTGGGAAAGCGTGATGAAGACAAGGAAGAACATGAAAACCGAGAACATCTGGTTTTGAAGGCCTTGGAGGGTCTTGTCTGCGTTGAAGAAAGCAAAGCCGTTGAAAAGGGCCGTGGAAACAGCCAACACAGCTTTGGACAAAGTATAGGAAGGAGTTCTCCAGCACTGCTCAAACACTCTCTTGGTGACCAAAAGGTACTGAGCCAAGTATGGAGCAGCATAGGACTTGTGTCTGTCTGGGTCGTCATCTTTTGGAAGTTTTACCAACTCCTTCTCCATATCGTCAAGCTCCTTTTGAACTTGGGCGTATTCATCAGATTTGAGCCAAACGTCGTAGTAGTCCTGGTCAGCATGGGATCCTGGAGCAGCTCCAATGACCTCCAACATCCACTCAGCAGGGTTAGCGTGAGGTGGACATTTGGAAGCTCCGTACTTCTCAAAATAGTCAATAAGTGTCAGGCAGTTGTGGCCCAAGTCACCGAAATAAACCGTTTGACCACCCTTCTGAAGGAACAAAAGACGGTCAAACTCCTTCATCAAAATAGCCGAGGGCTGGTGGATAGTACACAAGATGGCCTGGCCGTGGTCTGCCAATTTTCTAATCAACTTGCAAATAGACCACGCGGTTTCAGAGTCCAAACCTGAGGTAGGCTCATCCAAGAACAAAAGCAATTGTGGTTTTGCAACAAGCTCCACGCCAATGGTAAGTCTTTTTCTTTGTTCAACGTTAAGACCTTCTCCTGGAACACCCACCACGGCATCGGCGTACCGCTCCATTTCCAAAAGCAGAATGATGTAGTCGACATAGTCGTCTTTTTCGGCTTTTGTAACCGAGGATGGCTGACGCAAGTAGGCAGAGAACTTAAGGGCTTCTCTGACAGTGGAGGTCTGCAAATGCAAGTCTTGTTGCTGAACATAACCAATGGATCTCTGGAAAGACGAGTCCAAAGCTTTTCCATTCACCATTCTCACACCGTTGGTGATGATTCCAGACGTCAACCGGTCAGAAAGCGTATTCAACAAGGTCGTTTTTCCTGCTCCAGAAGCACCCATAAGCGCTGTAACCTGACCCGGACGAACCCAACCATCAACATTGTTTAAAATAATTCTCTGCTCTGTTTTGATCTTCACCTCGTAACGAAGATTCCGCCAGTGGAGAATCTCGTTTGACACAGGGAGCTTAGCATCGCTCAGGGTCTGGGAATTTTCAGAGTCACGAGCATCACGAGCATCGTAGAACTTCTCGTCTGGTGCAATTCTCTCGTCATTTCCCTCTTCAAGATCCCTTCTCCGCTTTCTCTCCTGCTTCAAGGCCTTGTGCTGGAAAACCAAGATTTCACCATTCTGCATGGCTCCCTTGTTGTATTCAACCAAGGTGATGTAGACGCCAAGGAAGAATATGGTGTAAGCCAAAAGAATGCCCCAGTTTCTCCATTTGTGAGTGTTGTAGTACTCAAAAGAAAGTCCAATGTAGTCGTCTCCACTAACAGTAGACCTTCCTGGAATAGCACCCACAACTCCACAAACAACGCTGTTTCCACTCCGAGGGTAGTTCCCACCACGAGGAACCAAAGAAGCACAGGGAAAGTCTCTTCCGTGGAATTCGTTCGTAATTAAACTCTCAAAAGCATAGGCAACCGGATCGATGTAGTTGATCCAGCGACACCAGCCGTGCATGCTATTTGGTGGAATGACAAAGCCAGTAAACACAATTAATGTGAAAAGTAAAAGGGATGCTGGTGTCATGGCCTGTTGCAAGGAAGTGGTAGCCGAACCAATGCTTCTAAATATATGTGACATGGCCAACGTGCAAGTGAAGTTGATCAACCAGTAGAAGAAGAAGTGGCCTGCGCTTTGACGAAGATGGACGACAAAGTACAAAATCAAATTGAAACCGATCGAGGTGATAATTTTAGGCGGAAGTTCGGTGATGATGGAGGCTAGGGCATCGGCAGCTGGGCGATATAATGCAAACTTTTTATGCTTTTCCACCACTGGTCTGGCCTCATATAAGGAGAAGACCTCAAGAAGGGAACAGAAAGCATTGAACAAAACGGCAAAAAACAAAACAGCCGTACGTGAGTAGAACGACTCGGTGTCGAATTTAAGGTGGTTGAAGATTGTGGCGATAAGCACAGACACAATGATATTGCACACCACATTGGATACTGTGACAGAAGGGTCTCCCTTCAAACGAAGCCAATTTCTCTGCATGATATATTTGACTTGCATGTCGAAGGAAACGGTGTATGACGACTTGGCCCTTGTTCTGGAAGTTTGCGTTGCAAGGTGGTGTTCTTTGAATCTTAGAGCTCTAGCATTGACTTCTTCTGAGGCGAGGTATTCGTCGATTTCTCCGAGAAGGGCAGCTCTTTCGGGCGATTTCTGCCAGATTTCGTAGAACTCCTTTGGCGTTCTGGGAACTTTATCTTCGAAACCGTATTGTGGCTCTCTTTGGCTTGGATTGGTCAAAGATGTGAGGAAGTCGGCGGTGGTCTGCCTCTGGGGACAATGCCAGCCCATTTTCACAAAATACTCTTTTGCACTGGCAGTGCTGCCAAAGAAAATCTGGTATCCTTCGTAAAGCAAAACCACCTTGTCGAACAAGTCATAAGTATCCTGAGAACACTGGTAAATGGCCACCAATGGGGTAGCGTTGCAGATGGTGGCTGAAGTCTTCAAAGCACGAATAAACTCCATAGCTGTAGCCGAGTCTAAACCTCTGGTTGAGTTATCCCAACACTGCAAACTAGCCTGGGAAAGATACACCTCTGCGATGGAGACTCTTTTACGCTCACCACCAGAAACTCCTCTAACAAAGTCGTTACCCACTTTTGTATTTTTAGTATGCGAGAGACCATAGGTTGCCATGGCAACTTCGGCCATGTGTCTCGAGTATTCCTCTCTGGAAATTCCCATTGGCCTATTTTTCGGAGTTCGAAGCTTGGCTGCAAACTGGAGAGTGTCACCCACCAACATGTGAGGAAAATGGCTCTCCACCTCAGCACAGTACACAACGTCGCCTCTAAAGTGATGAGACACATCGTGCTGGGAATAGCCGTCGTACAGAATTGTGGAGTTCTCGTCAACATTCACTCCGTGGGTTTGTGTAGCCAAAGTTTTGAGAAAAGTAGAGCATCCTGCTCCTGGACGGCCCAATACGACGGTCAATTCTCCAGGATTGATCAAGCCGTCCATGGGTTTCAAGATATCGAACCGAATTGCGGCTCTGTAAGCCTTGTTGTGGCCCTTGATCCAATGCACAGCGGCTTTCCACACCACATTGGCGAACGTGGCCTGGTAATCGGAATCTGTAGAATGGCCAAAAACGCTCAAGTTCTTATAGGCGACACCAAGCAGGGCTGGCTTGAAGTAGTCCTCGTCCAGATCCACCAACTTCCTGAGGTTTTTCACCCAAAAACGCAGATCAAAATTATCCGAACTGGGATCAAGACGCTCATCGGTGGATGTGACGGGATTCTCGCCATGAACCTGGGACTCATGGCTCATGAAGCGGTACAAGTTGTTTTCAGACGTCAGACCCAGGCATTGCGGTTGGATGTTTTTTGCAAGGTCCCGTATTTCCTCCTCCACGGCAGGCGTGAAGCCATTATACGTGCTCAGACTTCGGGAGGACATTTTTACAGATTTGAAAATACTACAGATAGGGCTATATACGGGATGACCCGAGGTAGTGGCATCATCTGAGGTTTCGCAGCCAGACCCGAATGGGACGGCTGCAGGGCCTGTATGCAGGAAATGATGCACGCCCAACGTTAAAGGCTGAAGTGAAGAGGGAGCATCTGGAGTCACCCATGGGCCAATGATCTGGTGAATGTGCTTTGGTTTTGTGTTCGATAGCGGAGATAAGAAATGGCTGGCTGGCCATGGTTGGGGAGGCAATTAGTAGCAAAGTGTCCGAAAAGTAGGGCATTGAAATTTGACTCTTTTTCTATAATCAATGTCAAAGGTCTTGGAGGTACCGAGGAAAACCTGTAGATCAGACGCTGCTTCTATTGTTGGCAGCCCATCTGAATCGATGGCCGACTCCACATGCGGCGCACTTGAAACTCCGATTTCTGTACTATACATCTACGAACCTAGATCTGGGTTTGTGGAATCAGCAATTGCTCTTGAATCAAGCAATTACTCTTGTTTCCAGTAAAAAGTGTCACGGCCGTGAAAATTCCGTCGTTGGTGTGGCTATGTTTCGAGCAGCTCAGACCATAAAATTTGGGATCGGCAGACAAACGCCGAGGATGTGGAAGAGGTGACCGGTGCAACTCGGAACGTCTAGAAGCCGAGGGTGTCTTTTTTGATTAGGTTCTATTTTTTGATTAGGGTCTATTTTTTGATTTTTGTGGTGACGGAAAAGTGGAAGGGGTTTTGGGGGCGTTGTTGGGTATAGTTGTTGTGGGTGTGGTTCTGACCATGCGGCTGAACTCACATGTGGTTCCAGGTTTTGGCTGGTGGAGGTTCGTGGATCTTAGAAGTTATTTAAGCTCGTGGTAGCTAGAGTCTTAAAATCAAGAGCTTTTGATTCGGGGTGGTTTTGCCATGCTGGGTTTCGTTTAAAGCGATGCTGGGCTAACTAGGTACATTGAGCTCATCCAGTGTTGGATGAATCTACGGACTTGGTCGGGAGAAAGGCAATCGGTGCTTTTACAGATAATATACAAGTCAATTGTGCTTTTATACCTAATAGTTAGCAATTGGTGTGGAAGAGGTTGTGGGGTTGTATGTGTGTATCTGAGCAGAACTTCATCGAGATGACTGAAGTAGAAAATAAAATTATGTGTGACGAGAGGACTTTGCGTTCCAATAATGTTTAATTTCTTTGTTTACGTTTTTTTGTGGAAAACGTCAATTGCATTTGAATATGGCTATAAATTGAGATACATAGTACATTCGCAGCTAAATATTAGAAACATCAAAAATAAGTACACAAACAATTGCAAAAATTTCGGCAGCTTGAAAAATTAAAAATTATTGAGATGTACATTGAAATAAACACAAGCCTATGTAACCTTTGAGATCCCTCAGAACAACGCTTGAAGGTCATCTCCAGTGAAGCTTTATCTACACATTCTGAGACCTTAGCCTTATGCCCAAGCAACAGATCTTGATAATGCAGCACGGCTGCAGCTCATGAAGTAGCTGATTCATTTCAAGTAAGCTTTATATGTTCACCTCTTAGTCAGATTTGGTTGCTCCACATCCTACAATCAGTGTCTTTCGTAATGTTTATCGGGGGAGCAGAGCTCGCTATATATTACACTCTGGCTGGGCCAGGATCGACCGAGCCAGAATCGAATGCAGATGCCGCTGGGCGGCGGGGGCCGTTTCAATAACTTAACGGTAGGGGGCGTCGGCGTCAATACAGTACTGCAACTCTTGCTCCCACTTGTCACCGTTGGCCAACAACTTCTCCTTGTTGTACAACAACTCTTCACGGGTCGCCGTCGAGTACTCGACGTTAGGACCCTCGACAATGGCGTCCACAGGACAGGACTCCTGACAGTAACCGCAGTAGATACACTTGGTCATGTCAATGTCGTACTTGTAGGTTCTTCTGGAGCCATCGACTCTCTCCTCCGCCTCGATTGTGATGGCCTGGGCTGGGCAGATCGCCTCACACAACTTACAAGCAATGCATCTCTCCTCGCCCGAGGGGTATCTTCTCAAGGCGTGCTCACCTCTGAAACGGGGCGAAATGGGGCCCTTCTCAAAAGGATAGTAGATGGTGTATGGGGCACGGAAGAACATCTCCAAACAAATGTACATTCCTCTGGCGATCTCATTGAGGAAGAAGAACTTGGTGGCTTTAGAAAGGGCCGATTCGCTCAGCTCCTCCATGTCTTTGGTCTGGGTTGTCTGAAACCTTTAGGCCACACAGACTGAGTAGACCCACCGGTGGTCAAGTACTCTGTGCCTGCTGCTGCTGCTGGTTTGGCGAGTCTGGCCGACGTGGCAATACCACGTAACGTTGTTCTGGAAACCAACGAAAGCATGAAGAAATGTGGGTGAGTAGTTGATGTAGAGTAGTAGATTTTTTCTGAGCGTAACGAGAAAATGGGTTGCGGTGATTGGCCCTACTTGTATGCACACCGCCACTACGGGATCTCCAGGGTCCTGAGTCAGCATACCGTCGCTGGGGCGTCGAGGATGATGACAATTTTAGAAGTCCAGAAGGTTCGAACATTGGATTCCTTTATAAATGCTGTTCATGTGTTTGGCTTTGCTGTGGTCTTTGTCCCCACATGACTGGTGGTATATGCAGGAGGTATATTATGAATCCAGACAACCTTTATCAAGTTTTGAACATCATCAATCCCTTCAAGGGTTTTCAATTGATATTTTGGAGGTTGGGAAGTGAATGCACGAGCCTTGGATGGGTGTAGTGGTGTCTGTTACTTAAAGTGTGGAAGCCTGACCTACCCAAAAAGACTTATACAGTACTCGGAGTACGGAGTACCAGTGGTGTACAAATCATATATATGATGATCGAAATTAGCGAATTTCTGAAGATTTCCCAGAGTTCGTTAGTAATTGGCCGATGAGTCCAATATGAGAGCTTAAACACCGCGGGCCGACGTCTTTTTCCGACTCCTTTCGAGAAGCCTTCTTAACTGCCTCATTCTCGATGTAATCATCAAAGGCAGGCAAACTCAACTTAACTTTCGAATCACTGCGTATATATGATTGAGCTGAATACTAAAGGGGAATGGTTGACATCAATGATGAGGAAAAGTGAATATAAAGATGCGCTTCACTCTATTATCCACAGCTGGATACTTTTAGCTCTTGCAGTCTAGCGTTTCTTTTCTGGATTATTCTGCTACTAGCTGCTGGCATTTGTTATTGTTAACAGAAGGCTGGAACAGGGGTGGTTTCCATTTTGAGGTCAATACTATAATCTGTTAATCATACAACGATATAAAAGGTCCGGTCCATCAAGAAAGTAGATGTGGTCGTCAATCTATGGCTAATTTCGAAAGAAACCCGGGTGGTCAAATATGAGCTTTAATATTCATTTGGACTTCACAGCATGATGGATATGCTGGTCAATAGCTCAGACTCCAATTGTCGCTCATGTTCCAAACATCGTAAAAACCAAAAAGATCGATCGACACAACACTGAAAACTCTGAGAATCTCGCTTCCAGCCCGCTAAACCGCCAAATCGACCAATCACCACAAGAACCCCTTACCCGAACTTTTTCAGTTACGTCCAAAGAGTATTGGCACAACCCAGCCGCCCGATTGACGAAAATCGGATCAACTTTCCCTGCACCAATCCCAGCAGAATCTTCGCCAGACGGCTGGAGTACCAGATAAGCCACCCTAGTTCGTGAGCACTGCCTCCCAAAGTAGCCAGTCGGATAAACCACCGTCAAATCCATGCGGTATGTGGCTTCCACAGTTAGCAAAAGCCGTGAGGCCAGCAGTGGCCAATCAAGAAGTCCATCTCCTTATTGTGATCTGCTGATTTCTGGGTGCCCCAACAAGCCAAGTCAACACTATCATTCCACCACATCGTTGCATTACACCACTAGCTCTACAGAATTCCTCGACATCATGTCATATCAATACCAGGATGATCCGAAGGAAAATCTCCAGCCCCCATTTTTCGGAGGGTGCCCCAAACGAGACATTCCTCGTTCTTCGGGTAAACCTCCCATTGGACTAGAACCGCAGAAGACTTGGCGGCTACCGAGCCAAAATAGGCAATTTTCGTTTTCAACGCCCATTGGAGCGTTTGTTATCAGCCCCTTGCAGCGCCTCACCAGATGGATCTGATAACACATGCCGAAAATGGCCCACACAATCGCACTATGGGTGCAAATGCCAAGCGATAGCATGTGTCAAACGGGTGATCGAGCCAGGGGTACACATTGAGGCAGAGAAATTCAGAAAAAGTATAAAAACAGAAATTTAGGCTGCAAAATCAAAATCACCCAACTCTAAGCCGTCTTTTTCAATGCAGCGTGTGATATGGTGGTTCCGAGCTCGGCCGGGCTTTGACGTTGACAGGTGCTAAGCGAAGCCACCTTTGTGCCATGGTGGGAAATTTCGAAAAATCTGAAAAATCTGAAAAATCTCCAAAACAATGTCCCCCAGCCCTACTAATACTTATTCAGCCGCCCACGGTAGCCCATCTCTCTGACCTGCACGATTTGTCAAGCCCAACCACACCATTACTAATAGTACTAAGACCGCCTAAGCTCACCAGTGAGCGTACTGCACACAGGCCTCGGCAACAGCAGGCCTTTGTCATATGAGTCGCACTATATCTACATCTTCTTCCCCAGACCTAAATCCAAAAATCCAAAATGACCCTTGTCCAGCCGCAGGCGGGAAAACCCGAGCATCTGGACGAAGCGTTCCGTAACATGCCCATAGTGTCGCCGGCACCTACTCCATCCGAGCCTATCACCGCATCTCCCCAGAGTCCTCCCGTGGTTCTGGAAGAAGAAAGAAGGAAGTTGCCGATCCACGATAAGTTGCCTGTGGTGCGCTGTATCGCTCGGGCCAGAATACCCACCGTCCAGGGGCCCGAGATCTTTCTACATTTGTACGAAAACGACGTCGACAAGAAGGAACACTTGGCCATAGTTTTTGGCGAGGATATCAGATCAAAGACGCTCTTCCAACAGAGACCAGGCGAGTCCCAGCAGGACAGAATGACACGTGGCGCCTACGTGGGCAAGTTGTTCCCGGGAAGGGACGCCGCAGACAGAGACGACAGAACGGGCCAGGAGTTGCATTTCGACATGGACGGTAACTTGATCCGGGAGCCGGAAACGACGTTTGACGGCCAGGTGATGGCCAGAATCCACTCAGAATGCTACACTGGCGAAACGGCGTGGTCAGCACGTTGTGACTGTGGAGAGCAGTTCAACGAGGCTGGCAGGCTTCTTGGTGAGAACGGTCACGGGTGTATTGTGTATTTGAGACAGGAGGGCCGTGGAATCGGCCTTGGCGAGAAGTTGAAGGCCTATAATCTCCAGGATTTGGGCGCCGACACCGTCCAGGCGAACTTGCTCTTGAGGCATCCTGCCGATGGAAGACTGTTCCTGTTGGCTACGGCCATCCTTGTGGACTTGAACCTCTTGGAGATCAAGCTCTTGACAAACAACCCCGACAAGATCATCGCCGTTGAGGGCATGAACAGAGACGTGAAGGTGGCCGAGAGAGTGCCCATGGTGCCTTTGGCGTGGAGAACACTGGAGGGCATCAAGTCGAAGGAGATTGAGGGCTATCTCAGTGCCAAGATTGAGAGAATGGGGCACTTGCTTGAGAAGCCCATCAGGATATGAGGAGAGATTTTACATGGCCACTGAGGTGGCTAGAGTTAGCGCTTAGAGGGCACTGTTGGTCAGTTGAGCTCGACCGGCAGATGCCTGATTCACTGGCGGTGGCATCCACGACGAATCGTTATCGCTGCCGCCCGTGCTGTACATGTCACGACTGAACGCAGCGTTGCTGTGATGGATAAAAATTGCATTTACGAGAATAACGTTCGTTACAAGAGTAGAGTGGGTGGCATAGAAAATTGCCGACTTCAGGGGGACTGGTTTCCCTGGGCCGGTCATAAACAGATCAAAAATAACTAAATTAAATATAGTTTCAATTTACACAGGTTATGACAATGACGTGTCGCCGGAGTTCGTAAGCTGGATCTCAAATGGGTATACGGAAATGCACTTGAACGTCAAACTGACATAAGCGATTGGTAAGCACATCAAAAGAGGGGCGGAAAAACGCAAATGTGTGGCTTCGGAGAAGATGGCCACAATGCAGAGATCGACCGTTTTGTATATTCTCCGTGGCTGCGAAATCCTTGGCACCAGGGTATAACAAGAACACCATTGCCACTTTCAAACCGCCATGAGCACTACAGCTTTGGTTTCTGGAGCCTCGGGCTTCATTGCTGCACACACAGTGCAAGAGCTCATCAAGAACGGCTACACGGTCGTTGGATCGGTTAGAAGCAAGGAAAAGGGAGAATACGTCAAGCTTTCTGGAAAGCCAGAGAGCTTTTCTTACGAGATTGTGGAGGATATTGCCCAGGACGGTGCTTTTGATGAATTTGTCGAGAAACACCAGGAAGCTACAGTCTTTTTACACACTGCCTCGCCTTTTCACTACAATGTGACCGATGTGGAGAAGGAACTTCTCAAGCCTGCGGTCGATGGAACCAAGAACGCCTTACTGTCGATTGCAAAGTATGGTCCCAACATCAAGAGGGTGGTTATTACTTCCTCCTTTTTAGCCATTGCTTCTGGAGACCAGGACCTTCAAGCCGATCAGACATTTGACGAAACTTCATGGAACAACCTCACCTGGGAGCAGGCCTTGGAAAGTCCACTTAATGGCTACAGTGCATCGAAGGCTTTTGCAGAAAAGGCTGCATGGGAGTTTGTCAAGGAGCAAAAGCCGGCTTTTGTGTTATCTACGGTGAATCCCGTTCTTGTTTTTGGACCTCAGCCTACTGACTACTTTAGCACCGAAAAGCTCAACACCTCTTCTGAGATAATCAACGCTGTTCTCAAGATCAAGAGCCCTCAGGACGAAGTGACTCCTTACAATTCCGTTGGAGTCGATGTTCGTGATGTTGCCAAGGCCCACCTAGTTGCTTTTGAGAAGGACGAGGCGAAAAACCAGCGTTTGTTCTTGATCAGTGCTCTGTTCACTTTGCAGACGATTTTGGACGTTTTGCACGAGAAGTTTCCCAAACAGACGGAAAATGTGCCTGTAGGGAAGCCAGGTTCTGGTCAGGAGGATATCGAAACTAGAGCCAAGAAGAACGACGACAAGACCCGGAAGATCTTGGGCTTTGAGTTGATTTCCGTTGAGCAGTCTTTTGCAGATAGTGCCAGGCAGATCCTCCAGGTCGAGGGCAGATTGGACAAATGATAGAGATTTGAAATAAACGAATGCATGAGCTGAAATATAGAGGTGCTGGATGAAAGCTTCACAGGCGAAGGCCTCATCGAAAAGTTTGCAGCAATTCAATACAATCCCTCATCAAGTGATGCCGCAAATAAAGTTAAGCTTTTCATTAAGCTTTCCGGTCATCTTGCAGACTGCTGCGGTTGTCCCATGTGGTTAAGCTTTATTAAGCTGGTCGGCTATGATGGACATCGTACGTCTCTGCACGAGACCACTAGCTTATTTGACCGTGATAGCGCAATCCCAAGGAATGGAAGCAAAGAGCAAGAATGACATTTTTCTCAACTCTGTTATAGAAAGATTGAGATTTATCTTTTTTTTTTTTTTCTTTCTGTTTTGGCGACTGGACATACCGGTGTCTCAGGTGGATCATCTGTGGCACAGCAAGCCGTATTTCAGCCTCACCGTCCGTAGATCGCCCAAAATCACCAAAATGCCCGATGAACAGACAAAATCATGAAATCACTGAAACTCCAATTATCCCGCTTCCGCCACATCACCACAAATGACTCTTTTCTGTAGTATCAACATTTCAAGCCAGTGCTCACAACGCCAGAGTCAAGAAAAGCACAATGAGCAACAGAAGCTACCCGTAGAGCCCCAGATTTGCAAAATCACCCAAATTTTAAAAAAGCCACCAAAATATTCAGTGTTCGGTCGCCTCACTTTCATTCCGGATAACCCATTTGACACATGTTTAGGCTCGCCTACTAGGCGCCTTGCATCACGGTACGAAACAACCAAGAAACAGCCTTCTCCTACAATTTCCAAAAAAATCACCAATTCACAAAACTACCCTGACTCCGAATTCACCCTCACTTCAAAGATTTTCCAAAACCAGCCCCACCACCTTGGCACCTTCTAACTGCGAGGTCCCCCACAATGCGCCTGCACTAAAATCCTTGTCGATTTTCAGTACAACCACTCTCTTTTCCCACCAACCACCACCTCCACCCGCCAAATCCACCATTATATAACAAATATTCCCCACAAAGCGCCCCCAAATCTCCCCCACACCATGTCAGGGTCCCCCAAACAAGACCCTTACGCCGCTCCGCCCATGGCCTCGACAAACAGCTTCTCCATGGATTCCTACCAGGGAGGAGCCAACATGGGTCCAGCAACCAAACGAAAACGTGTCACCCGTGCCTGCGACTGCTGTCGTCATAAAAAAGTGAAATGTGACGGCAAACAGCCGTGTATCCATTGCACGGTGTACTCGTACAACTGCACCTATGATCAGCCCAATGTACGGAACAAGAAGGCGCCTCCACCTTTGCCGCTGGATCCCCAGCTGAATCCGCTTTTGAAGCTGCTTCTGATGAACCGCTCCCAGCTGATGCCGAACTCGGTGCCGAATTTGCAGCTATGCCAGGGTTTGGTGCAGCTCTTGTTCCCCAAGTTGAACATCAACTTGATGGACGATCTGCGCCTGCCGTTTGACTTGCCCAAATTCCAGCGGATTGTTGGGTACCTTCAACAGAAAAACCCGGCAAACATCAATGTCAGGGATATCTCGGATCTCTACTTGGACGCTGCTACCCCAAACGCCTCCCCCATCAACCAGCTAGATCCGTACGTCTCCACCACCACACTGAACGACGACTCCATTGGCGCAGAAATCAAGATAATTTTGCCTCCAAAAGAAGTGGCGCTCCAGCTCATATTTACAACGTGGTCAAAGGCTTGTGTCTTGTTCAGGTTCTACCACAGACCGTCGCTACTTGAGGAGGTTGATCTTCTTTACAGCATGGACCCGCTCTACTACACAAACAGACAACAAAAGTTTTTGCCGTTCATGTACTCAATTTTGGCTTGCGGCTCGCTATTCTCCCGTCTGCTGTATACGAACAACCAGTCAGACCACTCTTTGGAGGACGATGGGTTTAGGTATTTCCTTGAGGCTCGGAAACTCATCGATATCACCAACGTCGGCGACATTCCCTCGATTCAAACCATTGTCATGATGATCATCTATTTGCAGTGTCTGGCTCGTCTTTCCACCTGTTACTCGTACATTGGTATTGCATTGAGAAGCGCATTGAAGGAAGGTCTCCACAGAAACTTGTCCATCTTTCAGTCCTCCAAAAGGAAGCTAGATCCAATTGAGGTCGACACGAGGAAGCGTCTTTTCTACACTATCTACAAGATGGACATCTACATCAACTCGCTTTTGGGTCTTTCTCAGTCGATCAGCGAGGACGAGTACGATCAGAACTTCCCCGTGGAGCTTGACGACGAGTTTATTACCCGTGATAGCTACCTCTTTGACAAACAGGAAGGTCGTCTTTCTTCTTCTGGCTGTGCAAACCACCACACCAAGCTTACGATCATTCTTTCCCACATTGTCAAGGAGCTCTATCCCATCAAAATCAAATCGAAACTGCCGGAGCGTGTGGTCTCGGACAAAATGCACGACAAGGTTACCGAGCTTGAGTTTGAGTTGAAACAATGGCTTGATAATCTTCCTCCAGAGCTTAAACCAACAGATCCAAGTGACCCTGAAAGCAGCAAGAAGATTCCCGAGCGTTTCTTGCTCGCAAACTACTACCTTCATTTACTGTTTTTGAACTGTCAAAACAACTTGTACCGTCCATTCATTCACTACATCAGTAACGGCTACCAGGCGTCAAACTCAGATCCTCGCTCCCTTATCAGAGGCAGAAACTGTATCAAGGTTGCTCGTATGGTTGTCAAGCTTGCTAACAAAATGATCAACCAGAAGCTTTTGGTTGGAACCTACTGGTTCTCTATGTACACGATCTTCTTTTCCATCGCTTGTTTGATTTACTACTACCACTTTGCCAACTATAACAACCAGCACAAGAACAACCAAGGAATGAACTACGCGGGCGTTTTATTCGATGACGACTTGAATATCGAGATGATTAAGGAAGATATCGAGATTGGGCGCAAGGTGTTGGACACTTTGAAGAACATGTCTAATGCCTCGCTCAGAATCTACAACATCTTGAACAACTTGTTTGAACAGTTGAACAGAAGAACGGCCGATACTTCCATGAAGACCAACTTCAGGAACAGCGCCTCTCTTGAAGCCAACGATGAGAGTGTCCAACTTACTCTTCGAAACTTCGACGACATCAATGACTTCCGTGACGGTGTGCGCCCTGCTGTACCGATGCTGGGAGAGTTTGGCCTTATCGATCTGACAAAGGACACCCTTTCGAACCAGTACACTGAGCTTTTCGATCGGAGTGCTCGTATGGCTGAAGATGAAAAGGCTGAGGAGAGACAAGCACAAGCAAACTTACAACAAGACTTTGGAAACCAATCTACCAAAGGTACTGATGGTCGCAGCTACAGTGACTCCGGAAAGTCCGAGAACTACGAGAATAACTATGTTCCTGGTGTGATGGATCTGCTCGACACACAAATTTTCGGCAGGATACTTCCACCGTATATGCTTGAGGGCAACAAAAAACAGGCCGAGTCCCAGGGGAATCAGACTGAAACAGACTATTCAGAGGTGAAGCCAGAGGAGATGATGAACAACTTAGGCTTGGACGAGCTTGAGAATCTTCCCTTCGGGTCTACTTTCGAGAACCTCGACCCTTACAACCTTAATTATTAACTTATTTATTACGTGTTACGCTTTTTGAATGTGAATAGAGAAAAATCTTTTTATGAAATAGAGCTGTCGTAGTCGGGATTTGTACTGGCTGCAAATGCACGTGACTCCACTTGCAGTATATTTTGAAAAATGCTCCCATACATTAATCAGCATAACATGATGGCCTCCCGAACAGCCATACATAGTCTATTTCAATCACTAAGACCGTTTTCCACATGTCAAGCTTTACGTAAAGCTGCAGGAAATGCAAACACGTTTTCCCAAGGGCCTCCCAAACCTTCATCTTCAGGAGGTAACAGGTTTGCAGCTTCATATAACAAGAAGCCTAACCACAATAACAAACCATACAAAAACCACAAATCCAACGATAGAGATAGAAAGAAGACAAAGGTTGTGAGGTTCAATTTCGATTCCGGCAGTGACCAGGCCAGGCTTGCTGTCAAGGATATCATCAAACAGGTCCATGGTTTGAGTCCATCATACAAAGTTCAGGTTTTCGACCCACAAACGAAGCATTTGACGGTTACAAATCTCAGCACAATCGTCAATCTGATGGACTTTCGTCAGGACGGTATTAGCATGTTTGTCAGTAAGCAGGACAAAGGAGGACAGCTGCTGTTTCCTATCATCAAGAAGGTTCCGATCCAGGAGATGCTTCGAACATTTTCTGATATGCTAGCTGCTAGAAAGCAGGAAGAGCTCTTGCAGTTGGGCAGTGCATCTGCTAGAAGAGCAGCCAATCAGAAACAACAAGCGGAACGGAAAAAACTGGCCTTGAAGATTGTACCGCTTTCGTGGTCCATCAATAACCAGGATTTGGCAAACCAGAAATACAACGAAATCGCTAGACGTGTCAAAAAACAGGATAAGTTTTTCATTTACCTCGGCGACAAGCATTCTTTGTTCAAGTCCAAGAAGCTCAGTGAGGAAGACAGACTCATGGATCTGTTGAGTGGAACCACCACCATCAGAAACGTTGAAGACGAGGCGTTAGAGATAGAGCTTCGCAAACGTGAGAAGGTGGTGGAAAAGGTAAGGGATATTTTGGTGGAGCTTGATTGCCCTTTTGAGGAATCAGGAAGTGTTGATGCTAGGGCAGCCTTTAACTGCTCGCCGAAAAAGGTAGCTCAAACTGCGACCCTGGAAGCAGAGGAGGTTTCCGAGAGGGATCTCAAAAAACAAAGACGTTTGGAGAAGGAGCAGGAGAAGAAAGCTAAGCAGCAGAAGCCAAAGGTGGCAGATGACGACCTCGACTCTCTCTACCTGTTCAAGCTAGATGATTAGAAAACTGAACGACCCAACTTGTATATATTATGAAGGCATGAGTATTAGACACTGCCGTACCCACGGTTGTCATTTCGGGAAAGGCTGCTGTAGTTGTTTTGCCGTTGTTGGCGAATCCGATCCGCACGCAATTTTTTGACTTTGTAGCCATACTCGTGGCCAACGATAAGCTCATCCACAATCGGGTAATTGACCAACTTCTTCACCTCCGTTTGGTCGAGGTTGTAATTGTTGACAACAGAGCATGCAGCCTGGTAGTACTGCTCATCCTCATCAAGGTACTCGTTGTCATAGCTTACATTAGGATTGAGCTTACGGAGGGTCTCCGAGATGGTTTCCGAGAACTCCTCCTCCAAATTGGAAGGATTCGTCTTGATGGAATGGGCGTCGGAAAGCAACGGCGACGCTGGCGGGCTGCCCTTATCGGAATGTGGATAAAGAGCTCTGGTGGATGTTCCAGTGGATGCTAGCGATGGAGCGTAAATCGAATGTGTACGCCCGTGCTGCTGCAGATAAATATTGTTGGAGATGGCGTTGATCTCCGATGTGCTGCGGATGCTGGCCTGGCCTGCCAGAGGCGAGGACTGTAGGTTTTGCAGCGGGAGCCAGTGCTTTTGCTTACCATCGGGTTGGTAGCGGAGACCTTGATTGATACGGCCCATACGGCTCTTCAGCGACGGATGTGCTATAAGGGCTTCGACAGAGTCAAACTGCTTATAATCCTTATAGTAGTCACCGTAAAATGTAAGGGCGAAGTCCACGATCAAATCTTTGATGCCGAACATGTCTCGAAGAGCGTAGTAAAACTGCACTCGTCCCGTGGGCATCCTCGAGATGGTATAGGGCTTATACGAGAAGGAAAGCCAGTGGCCAATGGCAAAGGCTATTAGCTCCACGCAAAGCAAGGCATTTTGAATAGATACACCGATGTTTGGGGCTCCGTTTTCGTCCTGCGAACTGTCCCCTGGCAAAACGCCCATGATGTTGAGAATCGCCAAGAGGACACCTTGCCAGTAAGAGGCAAAAATGATGAGCTTGACACAAAGAAACTTTCCCATGGGGTTGAACGGTTTAAGGTCCTGCCAGAGGATCTTCCAGAAGATGGCAAGGCAGTACAACGAGAGCGACACCGAGAAGTTGTAGACGATCGTAAACCAGAGGTACAATGAGCTTGCGCTCATATCGTTGACGTTGTACCAGCCGAGGAGCTCAAAAAACAAGGTACCAAAACAGATGACCGGTTTCAACCAGACGTATTGTAGAATACCTCTTTTGATGGCCAAAAACGTCTGCGGGTCCAGAATATCTAAGGGAGGAAGAATCCACTTCACAAACCCCGGATGCAGCACAGGAGGCCGCCCGCTGGTCATAATGATGATGCTTTTGGCTCCTCCTAGCATATCGGTAAGCAACGAGAAGAACGTGTAGATGACGAACGCCTCGTATATTTCTCGAACCGGCTCGACGACAAACTTGTTAAAAACGGCCGTTGGATCACGGAGCATTGAGTAGCACAGAATGGCGAAAAGCGGCACGATCAACTGGATCCGGATCATCAATCGCTGCTGGAACGGTTTTCTGTAATTTAGAAGGTGTAGAAGAATGCTGAAAAAAATGATCACCAGAGACGCCAAAGCGCTCCATCCAGACACGGTCTGGATCCAGTGCGGGAGAGCCACGGGGTGGCCAGACATGGGTTGTTGATGTTGATTGAAGTTGTTGTAGTTGTAAATAGACATGACCGCCTCCGTGCACCAGATAAGGCGAGATGCACGGCCGTAGGCTTAGTGGAAATAAGCGGACGGAAGAGGAGTTAAATGAAGGCTTTATTGAACTTGTACTGTTAATACTTCAAAAAGCGTTCTTATGCTTTCGTGGTTTTGTGCAACTGGGACGCATCGAAATGGTTGCAAATGCGAATGCACCTCTACAGACCTGATAAAGCGAATGAAACGTCTATGACAGTAATTTCAAAAATAGTGCTGCTTAGGCGGTGCCGGATTCCTTCAATTTGCGGGCCCGCTGGCGCTCGGCGTTGATCTGCTCTAGTTCCTTTTCTGTAACCAAATGGTGGGTGTGGTTGGGTGCCTTGAAGAAACGCTCCACACGTTTAACGGCCGTTGTACCGGCAAAGGCCTCGGGATTGTGAATATGACTGCCGAAGCGGTGGGCCGAGTTGTCGTGGCTGATGGCGTCGTGGGACAAGACTCTGGGTGTACCTGAGCCGCTGGAGCTGGGTGTTTGTAATTCTGAGCCTGGCGACAGAGCAGCCTCTGGCGACATTGGCGGCTGTGGAGGCAGCAAATTGTCTTCCTTTGCTTCCTTGAATTCCTCTTGTGGCTTCTCGTCCACTTCGGCGTAGTAACAATTCTGGATATCTTTGTAAAAGGGGTCTGCGAGGACATCGCCTATTAGACAACGCTTGGTAGTGTCGATGGTGAGCATGCTGGCGATAAGAGGTCTGGATCCCTGCGGAAGAAGACGAAGAAGTCTTTCAGGACCATACTTGGGTCCCTTGGAGTCCTTCTCTTCCATTTCCTGCTCACTGACAGGCTCGTCCATACTATTGAGGCAAGCAAAAGACCGGAACAGCGGATCGCTCGATCTCGGGAGTTTCCATGGGAAACGCTTGAGAATCATGCAGCAGAAGATAATGGCAATGGACCACACGTCGGCCAAACGGGCATCGTACGGCGTAGTAGTGTCGAAAACCTCGGGGCCAAGTATGGATCAGAGCCGACGATACCCTTGGCTTTGAGGATTTTGGTCTGTGGGCCGGAACTCGATTTGCTGTCTTTTCTGTACTGGAATGCGGAGCCGAAATCAATGAGTTTGAGCACACCGTCCAGGTTGACCACACAGTTGTCCAACTTCAAATCACGGTGGGCGATGCCCGCCTCGTGCAAATGGGCCACACCGTTCACAATCTGCTTGAAATAACAGCACACCTCTTCCACCTTCATGAGGCCCAGCATGACCAAGTTGAAAAAGTCGTAGGGACAGTACTCCATGACAATAAGATACTCCAGCTTCTCCTTGATCAACTCCATGGTGTGCACCAAGTTCTGGTGCTTGAGGTAGTCGCCAATCAAAAATTCGTTCTTCACCTTCGTCTGGTAGTCGTGTTCCAGCTCGTTCTTCAAGCGGGCCCGGAATTTCTTCACGGCAAAGATCTCGTTCTCGTTGCCGTGGGCCGTGACCAAGTTGACCGAGCCCGAGGCGCCGGTGCCGATCAACTTGCCGATATCGTACTTCTTTGCCAAGTCCAGCGTCAGCGAAAGGGGCAACTCGGGCGGAGTTTTTTCCTTGACGCCGTCGTCCAAATGCTCAGGTCTTAGGATTTTGAAGAACCGTTTCAACGAAAGGTGTGACAGCTCGTGTTTTCTCCTGTGCCCCTTGCCCTTCCTCACGGATTCCTCCAGATCACTCGCCGCCGGTGAGATCCCAGAGACGGTTTCAGCGACGAGCTGGTCTGAGGCGTAAGCAGCAGCTTCAGGTTTCTTCTTCTAAGAAACAGCCGGTGGTCCAGATTGCCGAGTTTATTGAGCAGCAGCAGCAGCAGCAGCGACAGGTGCTTGAAGAGGTCCTTGAGGGACCGGTGTTTCTTTTCTGTCATGGTGGTGGAGATGGAGGTGGAGGTTGAGTTGGAGTTGCTAGTGACTTCGCGCCTTATAAAAGGAAACAACAGCGAAGGTGCACACGGAAAGTTGGTTCGGGGAGAAATTTTGGGATTTTGAAGTGGATAGGCGGGAAAAGGCCAACGGGGGTTTTGGAGAATGTGGTTTTGAAAATCGGCTCGAGGCGGAATCCGTAGGAGATATGGGGCTTTTACGCTCAGGCTATGGCTGCGAAAGCGTGGGTCTCGAGGTTAGATTTAAGAAAGAGAGAAGTGGAAGGCTGCTTTTTTTGATTTGGCCGGTTTTCAAAGTGAACTTAGAAGTTTTGAGAAAAGTTCCCGCTTTTGTTGCCAAAGCACAAATCTGTCAATCTGGGCAGATTCATCGGCTCACCGGCTCCACACGGATGCGGCGGCACCGAGGGCTAAAGCCGAAAAACAGGGCACTTTTCGTCGAGTGACAGCCACAACAGCCCTGGTTCATTGTGGTTTCATTTTTTCGAATTTACTCTTTGCAAGGCTGTTTCTACTGCTTCGGCTGGGGTGACTGAAAAATCCCTCGGTTGCGTATTTGCCGAGCCGAAGGGGCCGAGTGGTCTGGAGACTCTACAAGAAAATCTGAGGAAAGGCTGGAAATTTGGGTTGTCTGATTGGAAAAGGCTACTTTGATTTGTTAGCAGATGTCGGTTTTGTGATTCGGCACTGTGGATAACATGTTTCTTGCTTTCGCTGCCATCTGCTGTGATCCTTACCACGGCATCTGGAGCAGGGCAGATAACCATGACGTGGGGCTCAATTCCGCTTGAGCCAAGAAGGGAGTTATGTAATGAGGAGATGAAAGTATGGAAGTTGAAGAGAATATGGCTGTTTGTATGCCTCGGTTTCTAGAAGGTGGACCCTGCATCGCTTACCGGCTTTGACGTCTGATGATACAGAGATAAGCCGTACAGAGGTATAGCGCCAGAGCAATCTTGATAGGTTGAATACCAACCTCTTGAATCGCTTTATAAAGTTTAAATGTCACCCCTTAATCGCTCAACTTCCTCCGCCTTAAAGCGCAAATCTGGTGGCTCAATGAAATACCGTTTGCGCTACTACTCCACCACCATATCATAAATGTAGCTTTCTGTAAATATGTGCTATTTCGTCGCCAGCCGCTAGAAGTTCACCAAACGCTGGCTCTCCTCCTCGCTACTGCTGTAGCGCTTCTTACGCAGACTGGTCAGACTGCCCTGCTCCGGGCTCGAGTCCTCGCTGTCGCTGATATCCTCGATGATGGTCTTGTGGACTCCCTGCACGTTCACCACAGACTCCACGATACCACCGGTTCGGTACGAACGCAGCTCCAGGAACTCCATCAGGATCGGATCGGAGTGGTCAACACCATCGTCGTCCGAGTGCGAGTTGGAGTTCAGACCTCTCCGGGACCCGGTTCTGGAAACAGAACCCGAGAAAGAGCCCGTTCTAGAGGTCTGTCTGGAGAAGTTCCGCGACAGCTTCTTCGACACGGCCTCGGACTTCTTGCCGTCCTTCACAATCTCCGAAATGTCTGTTTCCACCTCCCTTCTGTCGGCATCACGCTTCGGTAGGTTGCTGTCCGAGTGGCCATTGTTGTGGTAATGGTCCGAGCCGTGGCCGTTGTTGTCGTTGTCACAGCCACCGTCGTTGCCATTCAGTTCGTCATCGTCCTTCTTGAGTCTGTCACGCGCCTCTTGCAAAGCGGCTTCTTCACTGGTGTAGATAGGCTCATAGCGGACCTTAACATGTGGATGAGAGCGGTTGGGTCCAGGAACAGAGTTGTTGCTCACGGAAGCCGGCTGCGATCCGGGCACCTCATGCTGTTGAAGAGGCTTCTTGATGGTGACAAAAGACTTGGAGGTTTCCAACGGATTCAGTGCCCTGTTCATAGGTGCAAGCATAGGCGAGCCAAGAGCCCGACCCTCGGCACTAGCACGGATGACATGGGGTGATGTAGTGATAGGGTTTGCCTTTATGATTGTGTTTTGCCCGCCAGAACCAACAGAGTTTCTCTTGGCGTCGTTGGACTGGTACAAGTTGTGCAAGTAGGAGGTCAAATGGCGGCGGGACAAAGGACCAGGGTTGGTTCTCTTAATGTTCTTGTTGATGTCGATGTAGACGTCGGACTCGTCGACAATCTCCTCGCCAATCAATTCCTCAATTACGTCCTCTAAAGTGAGCACACCCAAAGCGCCAGTAGGCTCACCAGGTGTTTCGCTAACCACAATCATGTGGGACTTGCCCTCTTGGAAGTAGTTCAAGATGTTCAAACACGAGGTGTCGGCGGCGGTTTCGGGAAGAGTAGCCAATGGGAACGAGGCCACAGGGAGAGCATCCTCCGGATCATACGAGATCAACACACGGACTAAGAGCATACCAATAAAGTTGGAAGGCTCGTTCGGGAGGTGGATAGGAATACGGGAGAAGCCAGCATTGAAGATCTCCTCCACGGTTTCCTCATCTAGAATGGAGTCAGAAGACATGGTGTAGACGCAATCCATGGGGGTCATGATGTCAGCGACGGTTTTTTCCTTCAAGTCCAAAACAGCACTGATAATAGTGACCTCATCCTGGTTCAAGCGCTCAACGCCCATTGTTTTGTGGAGAGTCACCAAGGTTTTAAGTCCACTCTTCTTGTACACGGTACCGTGGTCCTCACCAAGAATATGGTCAAGAAGCAAGGAACAAGGGTATGCCACCGGGTACATGACGTACATCAACACGAGCACAAATGGAGCAAACAAGGCACCCACCTGGAGACCGTACCTGACACAGATGGACTGAGGGATGATTTCACCAAAGATGACAATGGAAGCCGTAGAAGTAACCACAGCAGGCCAGCCGCCACCAAGGCAGCGGTCCAACACAATAGGCAACGTCTCGTTGGTGATAACGTTCAGCAACAACAAGGTCACAAGCACCCAGTGCTTACCTCTGCCAATCAACCTCAACACCTTTCTGGCGTGCTTTCTCTCCAGCGGGTCACCGGAAGTAGCAATCACCTTCAAGTAAACCTCGTCCTGGCCCATAAGCCCCAAGGTCAAGCCAGCGAAAACACCGCCCGCCAACACCAAAAACACAGAGGTGAAGATATTGGCGTAGAACTCCTCAGCGGTCATTTGGGAGGATTCCACGTCAATGTCACGGACAGTCGGAATAGGAAAAGCGTGCACCATACGAGCAAGCAGCGCTAGAAGCACAGCAGGCCTGGTCCAGGCAGCAGACAGTCGGGGATGTCGAATTCGGCTCATGTAAAGAAGCAGTAGGTGGTGTAGATGAAGTTGCTAGGGCTGTGCGCACTGTGAAGGATGGAAGGGTAGGCCCCAAGAGGATGTGGGGTGGGAGAATTTTAGAAAGGGAGGGTTTTTATTTATTTAGATTGGGTTGAAGAGGTGGTTTTGGAAAATTTGGGAGGAGCGCCGAGGGGGCTTTGGGTGTGTTGATGGAGCCGTTTGGTGCACCACGAGGGTGCCGGTGGAGGTGGTGGAGATGTGAATGTGGGGATGATTGAACGGTTTGATTTTTATTATTTCTGCCTTTTACTTCGGTTTTGAAAATATTGTTCGTTGGCTTGTGGCTTGTGGGTTTTGACTGTGCACTTGACACATTGCTACGGCTACGCTTGGAAGATCGTCCCACAAACGAGATCGGTCATCTGTACGACTTTCCCAATTCAGCGTCATTTCAAAAAGAGACTACAGCCGCTTGATTCTGAAATTCCGTCGATGGGGTGCTGAAATTAATGGGTGCAAAAAGGGCGGGTGCCAAGGCTTTATACCCACACCACGATGCAGCGGAAATGCAAAATTAAGCTTTAGAAGTTTTGAGGGTTTGACTGAAATTTGTGATTTTTTGATATGTAAGGTCACTGGACCGTTCACTGCCACAATTACCGTCACCACACTGCCTCGGGGTCAGTGAGGCTTCTCCGAGGCTGTCATCTTTGTTACTGACGTCAAAGTGACGTCTTGGCAACCATCCAACTCACCAATTGAGCAGAATACTGTATTTCATTTTCACTAATTTTCAATTTCCATCTATTTTCACTGCGTTTTTATTTTTTATCTCTTTAAAGTATATGAAAGCCTGCTTGAACTCTTAAATGATCGAAATCACAGGATAGCCGACCCGGCTCCATGTCAATAGACAGGTTTGACAGCCTGATAGCAAGAAGCCGTGCCGGTGGGGCTACGTCAACATTTTTGGGTTTTCTTAGTAGATTGTGAAAATTGACGAAATCGACGGATAGCAATAGCTGGGTGGCTTCTCCTGAACGGCATGTCTAGAACGTTCGGTTGTACACAATGGACTCTGATGGCCATAGAATGCAAGGCGATAAGCCAAACACCTTATTTGGTAAAAAAAAAAGTTTCATACAAAAAACGCTGAATTGACCTCCAACATGCCTATCTCGAGAGGCTATATCACTCAATGTCGCCTGGCATGGGGCCTACGCTTCACTAATACATAATCCATTGGTCTATAGTACAATGCAAACGATAGTCGTGGCTACATAAATCGTGACGTCTAGGACGAGTTGAAAAACCACACAAACGGTTTTTTCCAAAAGGGGGCGCTGGCAATCTTCTGCTTGAGTTCCTCCCTGTCCAACTCCAACTGCTCCTTGTCGTAAATGGTTCTGCCGGCATCGATATCGATATCCTCGATCTTATGCCACCATTTCGACCAGCTGCCGGCGAAGATCTTGTGGCCAAAGAAACAAACCAAAAGGAAAGGCACACCGGCGTAGTTCTGGAAGAAATTGGCCACATCGGGCTTGTCGGTGGGGAAAAGAGCCACCCAGAATTGTCCGATCAACACAAGCGAGTTGATAATCACAGAAAGCCACGATCCCCACTCGCCCGTGTAAGAAACGAAACCAAGCGTGTCCAAGGGGATCTTGTGGTATCTCAAACAGGCTCTCCATCTAAGGTGACAGATGCAAAGAGCAGGCCAGATGAACACAATGGAAAGAGCCACAATGGACATCAACCAGTCAAAGACCGTGGCCTGTTTTTCGTACTCGGCAATGAATGCAAAGATACCAGCCAAAATACTCACCAACCATGCTCTCAATGGTCTGCCGGCTCTGTCAGTGTAGTCAAACCACTTTGGAGCCAAACCTTGCTGAGCAAGAGAACGCAATAATCTGGAGGACGAGTACATGGCAGCGGTGGCCACGGAAGTGACAGAATTGAGAATAACGGCATTCACAATGTGTGGAACAACCTTGACAGAGTGGAGGTCTGCTGCAAGCACATATGGAGAAGCATCGTTAGCGGATTCTGTGTTGGTTCCCATAAGTCTATCGGAGGTGTAGGGCACCAAAAGACCGACCATCACCAAGGTACCGAGGTAAAAGAAGATGATACGGAAAAACACAAGACGAATGGCAGTCGGAAGCGCAGTACGAGGGTTTCTGACTTCGGAGACGGAAAGCGCCAAAAATTCAGTACCACCCATGGAAAAGGAAGCAGTGGAAAAACAGGTGACCAAACCTTTAAAGTTTGTGATGGCACCTGGGTCTCTCCAGTACTTGCCGCCGATATATCCGGACTTGGAAGCACCCAAATCGATACAAAGACCCATGAGGAAGAAACCCAGAAGCATGAGAAGCTTGATGGAGTTCATGACGAATTCTGCCTCACCATAGCCCCTCACACCGAAAAGGTTGATGAAGCAAATGAGCAAGAAGAAAATGGTGACGAAAATGTCTGGATTGAGCTCGGAGTTCCAGAACTTGATCGTCAATGCTGCAGTGACCAACTCAAGCGAAATGGTGGTGATCCACTGGAACCAGTAGTTCCAGCCGAGCGCAAATGCAATAGAAGGGTCCAAGAACTTCTGGTACCACTCGTTGAAACCACCTTGCAAAGACGAGTATGCAACGGTCAACTCACCGACAGAGTTCATGGTACAGATAGCCATGGTACCGACAATGATGTATGCAATAAGAATGGAGAGAGGACCACCAGACTTCAACTTGGTGGCAGAGCCAACCAAAAGACCGGTTCCGAGACCGGAACTAAGCGCAATGACACACAAGTGGGACATTTTAAGCTCCTTGTGGTCCAAAGTCTTGTTTTCCGTGTCCTCCCTGAATGAGTCGATGAAGTTACCAACAAAGCCCTTGTCGGGTTCTTCGTCCGACGAATATGGCTTGATTTCCGAGATGATGGGCTCAATGGAGTTGGAGTCCTTGTGGAACCCGATCTTCTCTTCAGCTTTGCTCATGATGATGATGAAAAAGTAGTTTGTGGCCTAAGAAAATTTGCCGGCCTTGGCGATGTCAAAACTCTGTTGAAGAAGAAAAGTGACGTGCCCGCGGTGTCAGACAGGGACTGGGTAGGTTTTCGTCAAGAAAAAAAAAAAAAAAAGGTTAGCGAATACTCCGAAGATGGCCAAACCGAGATCTATATGTATAAAAGGTCTGCGCAGATCAGCGTGTATGGGGTACGCGGGCGGAGAGCACAGATGATTTGTTATCGATAAATGGTGACCCTCCGGGAAATTTCTGCTATCAAAGGCGTTTTGCGTTTTTTTGCTGAGATGCTGTTGGTTGGAGGGAAAACGCCGTATGCACGGACATGCACGCTAGCCAGGCTTCTGCACCGTGACGTCTCTGTCTGCAGTCCTTGCGTCTCAGCGAAGATGGTCTCTCACCGCGTGGTTTCTTTTTCTTGCCGTGCTGGGGCAGTTCGGTGCGATCGGGGCCCGGCTTGACCAAGTTTTCCCGGGCTCATCCCGATATTAATCCGGCCCCACACTGTCCAAGGTGACAATCTAAATAAATTCCATTTTAAAGCCTCGCCGGAGGTATATGGCCGACGGGGCTGGCGTCGTTTCAGCGTGAGGCCCAAAAGCAGCATGAGCTACCGAGAAGGCAAAACCGACGTTACGCACGCCGCTTATTATGGAAAATGCAACACCCAACGGTGTTTCGGGTTCTTCAAAGGGCCCCAAATCCGAGACACTTTACCTTTTAGATAAGCAAAAATGCCTCGCGGCGGGCGTACCAAGCCCTTGGTCGTTTTAGAAAAAAAATTTAATCAGTTGTTCAAAAATTAGGTGTCCCGCGTTTGGGTGCAAACGCCGTGGCGGAACCTCAAACAGGTGTTGTTTGCAGCTTCTCCACACACCAGCTGATTTCCCGAGCCCGGTGGGCTTTGCATTGAAATTAACTCTCAGCATGGAAAGGGACGGCCTGATTAGCGGCAATGTAGGCCCAATGTGGAAAACGAGATGTTGTGCTGGAAAGCCGGAGCAAGTGATACTAGTTGGTTGATCTTGCCATTTTTTGTTACTGTTTGATTTTGGACACTTGATGAATGATTGCTACAAAAAAAGAACTTGCACCAAAGTAGGCTTTGCCGTCGAAGTAGCATTCTCGCTTAGCGACCTGTCACCTTGGTTTAGGCAAGTGGAGAGACCCCACCTCCACGGGGTATTTTGAAAAATATCGAGGCTTGGGGTAGTGGAAGTGTTGATCCGCAAGTACTGTAGAATGGCGGTTTTCCTGTGAATGGCGGTTTTCCTGTGAATGGTGGGTTTTGGGTAGGACAATGGAGAAGTGGGTGCAAGGCGATTAGGAGGTTGATGGAAGCCTGAAGCACGTTTCAGTTTGCAATAGAGCGGTGCATTGGGAGGCCGTGGGGAGGCCGTTTTGGGAGGCCATTTTGGAAGTCCATTTATTTAAGGTTTTTTTTCGGTTACGCCTTTGGCTTTGGCTTTGTGGTAGATGGCGTTTTCGGCGCAGAGGAGGTTGCATGGTACGGTTAGTTTCTTACCGTAGACTACGAATATTGTGGAACGAATATTATGGATGAATGAGAGATTGGTGACGACAGAAGTGTTTTTCCTTTATTCATCGAAAAAGAGGGTTGCCTAAAACATCTGCTGATGCTATCTTCACTACCAGGGACTCAGCAGGCCTTCTCATCTAACAGGACATGGATGCCAATGGCTGAATCACTAAACACATTTCTAGAAAGACAGCCACCACGAGCATCGGTATTGCTAAACGATGCTGGACCTCAAACGGCGCATTTTTGTCAATCCAGCGTTATCAAAAAACTCTATTTAAATTTTCACCAACCCGGTGATCTCGGTACTATAACACCCTGATTGCATCGAGCCTCCAAACATAGTATCATTTTATCTCACTGACGATGACTATTATTTTACTTTTTCTTTCATTTCTCGCCTTTTTTTTTTATTTTGCTTCCAGCCACACCCTAATATTGTTTTGCTACCCCCCCCCCCCCCCCCCCCCCCCCTCATTGTCTCGGTATCCTCTGACCGCAAACCCAGCCTTTCCGTACCCCTCACCCCACATGGCCAATATAAAAGTACTAGAATCCCACAAACCAACCCTCAATTGCTAAACTAAATTTACCGTAAAACCATATCGAAATCACCCCGTTCACTGTCGGCTCGAGATAGCCGGACCTGCACACTGCGTGGAAAAATCGCTTACCAATTTCGAGCTCCATTGGCTCACCTTACAACGTTACATGGTCCAGTTCATCAAGGCGTCCAACCTGTACGACTTCAACTTCGCCACGGCGTCGTATGCGTACATGAACAAGTACCCCAACCCGTTTGCCAAGCACGTGCAGAGCTCAGACACCTTGGAGCAGTACGTGGATGATTCGGGGATGCTCCGAACAACGAAGCTAGTTGTCAAAAGGGGGCTGTTGCCCTTGTTCATCCAGCCCTTTTTGGGCTCGTCCTTGGACTCGTGGATCTTGGAAAAATCCGTGATTGACCCCAGGTCCGGCATCATGTCGGCTTATTGTTCGAATGTCGACCACAGGAAATTCATCAAGGTCGAGGAGTATCTTCACTATACTAGTGAAGGAACACGTACACACATTGAGAGCAAGGTGAAGCTATCGAGCAACTTTGCTGGCATGAAGGAGAGAATCGAGTTGTGGGGCCACCGCCGGTTCCAGAAGAACATGTCCCAATCACAGGAAGGACTCAAGTATGTGATGAACAAGTTCAAGCAGCGCATGCGTCAGGAGACATGGAAGATATAGCTGGCTCAGGCAGCCGGCTCTGGGTTTGTACATAGCACTAACGAGACATGATATGACGGGGTGTAGGAGGCCTAGAGGTGAAAATTTTGGTGAGAGGAGGATCTGAGGACGAAGCGAATGAATTGTGGAACCTAGTTGATTTAAGCTTTGATAAGATCTAAGTAATCGACTTGTGGAACCGAGTAGATTGACGATACGATTTAGCCGCTGGTGTTCAAGGAATATAGGTGTGGTTGCAGGTGCAAGAGCTTACAGTGAGAGCTAGTGAAAAAGGGTCGGTTTCGGCTTACATCGATCAAGAACTAAATCATTCAAATCAGCTTTTGAATCCTGGAATCCGCAGAAATGACCAAACTGCTTGATGAAACGAGTGTATCTCGAGTATGCTTCTCAAGGTAATACCTATCCTCCGATCAGTTTCACTCCTATTCTTATTGTTTAATAAACCCACATCCAATGGACCGTTTCATCATCAGATTCCATTCTTTTACGAAATTTCACCATTATTGATCAAAGTCCAATCCGCTGATTCCCTCCCGGATTGGATACATGCCACCCTTTGAGACACCTGTGATGCAGCAACCAAAGGCAAATTTCCAACACCAACCAAAATATTCAAAATCTCCACCGAATTCACCAAAACCTCATCTCACCTCTTTCACAAAAAATCAAATCATCATCACACGATGGCCTCGGAACCTCCCGAGGATAGGCCTATCCGACCGCAACCGAGATTCGCAGCCGAGGCACAGGGAACTAACCCTTCTTTCACGAAGCAACTGCAATTTTTCAAAAAATCTTATCCAAAGCTTAAATAATTCTCCAAAAGATTAAAAATAACTTTTTTTTTTTTTGTTTTTCACGACCCCCAACTTGCACAGCTCAATCCCACCTTATCGTGCCTTATCGCACAGTCCTACAGCTAACAACCACTACTACTTCTGCTTCACCTACCCTTTCTTGAAACCAGGTGCCATGTCGGAAAAAGAAAGGCGGCTTCTGCCCTTTGCGTCCGTCGACTCCCCTGGTACAGAAGAAAGTCTCTGCTTTCCGAAACCATGATCCGAGACGAAATACCGTCCATCTACGAGAGCCACAGCTTCTTCCCTGACTCATCCTCATACACCATTATCTCCTTGAAACAGGGTCAGGGGTTTTTGTTCAACCAGGACTTGTTTGCCACGCCGTACCAGCAGCTGCGAGCCTTGGCCAATGAGAGAAGAGCTGCCAATGAACGGAAGTTCCGGGCTATGAGTATGTCTCAGGCGGTCAGGAACAAGAAGGAGGCACAACGAAGGCACACGAGTCACGAGCTACGCCCGGTGATCCACCAGCCCGTGGGGAAGTTTGATTCTGCTATTGAGGACGATTCGATGGATGTGGAATCGGAGGAGAATGAGCTGGATCTGGACGACCTGGCCATTATAGACGAATACGAGGAAGACGTTGCAGGCGACGTCGAGGGGTTTCTGGCGTACGAGAGGGTGAAGGTTGCCGATGTGATTGTGGACCCGAACGATACGAGTTTCCTTCCGACCGAGGCGGACAAGTTGGTGGAGGTTGAGGAGAACGACGACGACGGGGACGATGGGTTCGATGAGTATGAGGAGGACAGGGGGACGAGAAGTGTCCCATGCTGGAGGATGAGGAGGAGTAGGGCACAGCTTGAAATGAGGTGGTTTGAGAAATTGCAGTTAGTTGGTAGGTATGTCTAGTGGGTATATTCAGGGGCCACCTTGAAAGGAACATTTTAAGGGCTTTGGAATCACTTTGGAAAAGCGGCGTTCCATGAGTGACTCGCTTGTGACAGTGATAACACCCAATTGCCATGACCTGCTTGCAATTTTTACTACCATTGCAACCCCTTCGATAGAACACCTCCAGTCAAGCGCTCCGAATTGGCAAGAATTAGTCCAAGCTCGATTGGATCCATCTTGCGTTCTATGGACTCCTTTCGGCCTCCTAGACATCAACAGTATTACCCAGCGACCATCTAGTTCATCGCTCCAGCCTCCTCAGAACCACCAATTTCAACTCGCCTACCTCTCATGAAACAACGACTGTCCACCAATGAGAGCCCGACCCTTCAACACTACCCAGATCTTGTATTTAGCCGCCATCCACACTGTTGAACCAATTGATACCTTTTACGTGCCCTCAGTAACTACAAATCTTCCTTTCCCTATCTTGGCCTTTTTTAAAAAGTCTCTTACTTTTATTTTTTTTTTTAACTTCTACGACATAATGTATTTACAGACTGTGCTAACGTTTTCTACCTTCTGGTCCGGCGGTACCTCTCGAGTGGTGCGATCGCGCATCGCCAACTTTCAACTACACCATGGCATCGGTAGCAGAGCAGTTTGAGAAACTCCTGTTGGATTTCACCCAATCACAGACCCAGCTCCAGGAGCTCAGCGCGGCCCGTTCGCAGCTCGAGACTCAGCTCCAGGAAAACAAGATTGTCCTTGAGGAATTCGGCGATTTGGACGAAAGCGCTCAGATTTACAAGTTGACGGGCCCAGTGCTCATGCCACAGGACTTTGCCGAGGCGAAGCTTAACGTGACCAAGAGAATCGAGTTCATCGAGGGCGAGATTCGCCGCGTGGAGGAAAAGTTGGAGAAGCAGCAGCAGCACATGGAGGAGACTCGTGGCAAGCTCCTACAGACCAAGTCGCAAATGGCGTAAACTCAACCGCGGGCAAGCTGCGAGCGGATAAGGTTGAGCAAGGAGATGGCGTTGAAAAAAGACCACTGTTCCACGGCGTTGTAAGAATCGCCCATGAAGCGGACCGCCTGGATGTTGCGATCGACAAAGCTGTTGGTGGAGTCAAACGGAGGTCTGTCCAGGAGCATGTAGAGCTCCAGCTTGACGTATATAGACGAAAGAAGAAGGCGTTTGGCGTACCAGGCCAGGTCGTTGGACATGTCACCGGCGTAGTAGGCAATGTCGTCGCTCAAGGCGTGGAGTTCAGCCAACGAGGCGCTCCAGTTGTATGGAAGCACGAGCTGAGAGAGACCCAGCGCCAACTGGCCAACCACAGGCTGGTTGTAGGAAAGACGCTCTTTCAAGAGGTACGCGGCTCTGTCGAACTCGTCCGGGATCTTGTGGAACTCCAGCTTGGGATCAAGCACATGCTCGTAGAGTTTCTGTCTTTGGTGTTTCAACCAGAAAAGCGTGAGCTGGAGCTCTGGCGATTCGTTCAGCGGGTTAGCAGCAATGACGCTTTGAAGCGAGTCGGCATAGCCAAGGTCACGCACGGCGTCGTCAATACACTGTTTGTGGAAACCGTACTTTGGAAGGTAGTCTAACGCTTTGGTAAGGAGGATCAGTTCCGGCGCCTTGGTGTTGATAAGGATGTTTGGGTGCAGGGCGGAGTGGTACTTTGCCACACTAAGGCGGTTTCCGAAACGGGAGCCGAGGCGGAGGCTTCTGAGGGTGCTTTGCATTGTGGTGATGTGGTAGGTGTTGATAGAGATATGAGCTGATTTCGCGCGCAGTGTGGTGGGAGGTTGAGGTGGTGAAGGTGGGAGGGGGAAGATTTTATGGAGATTTAGGTTTGATGGAGTTTGGTTTTTTAATATGGGGATGGGGAATTTGAGTTCTTTTTGGGGGCCGGTTTTGGTGGTTTAGCAAATGGTGGACCCTGCAATCGGGGGTGTGGTAGATTGAAGAGCTATACGACGGTCGGCCGAATGGATTGCATGGCGTTTTACCGAGAATATTTGGGGACAAAATGCTTCCAATCCGTAAAATGGAAAGAAGATTGTTTTTTGGCGAATTCAGTGCTTTGCGGTAGCTGACAGAAATGGTTGCAAAATGCGAACTGCACCAGAATAGCCGCTCTCGGCTTTGGTCAGGATGCTTCAATGGTATGAGTAGAAGATCTGTAGGTTTCGTTTACTTCACTTAGTAAGCGGTATTTTCATATTTGTCGTGAGTTCCTGGGTGCTAGTGAGTCTCGCACAGTGTGGGCAATCAGATAAAGCTGTGGTTCTCCTTTTATGGCGTCGAAGTTGACACCGACTAGTTAAACTTTTGAATCTAATGCTTGAAAAATATTTTGATAGAACTGAATGGTGAGTGCAGCTGAATACTTTATTCAACGAGGGACATGGAGATCTCGCTATGGTGATCACTAATTTGCAGCCAGCTACAACTGACAACACACTGAACTTAGTCAGCATTTGGCGGATTTATATTTCGGAGATATCTTTAATTCCCTCTAAACTTGACTCAAGGAGGTAAACAAAAATACAGGTTGGTGTTGGGTGGGGCTCTCATGTTGAGGCACAAACGTTTATGGTTCTCAATCACCTACTCCTTCTTCCACTTTAACAACCCTTTTGAAGTAAACCCCATTCAAATTGGCCATCCACCACCAAACTTGATTAAGAAAGCGTGAAACATGATGACCCCCACTAAACTTGCACTCCAGCTCTCGAAGCCCGTTTCAATGAGTCCATCAGATGCAAATCACAACATCACTGGCATCCCCTGCCATGCAATTCCCGGGACTAAAGTTGGAAATCGTTTAAGGTCAAATGTGTCCAAAGATAGTAACAACGTCCTTACATTTGCGAGACTCAAGGTGAAGAAACCCTTTCTTTTCAGGCATGTTTTGGCTAGTAGGCCTCATTGTGATCTCCAGACGATAGTGACCAACGAAAACATTAATTTACAGGGCATTTCAGAGTTTGAAAAGATGAAAAAGCTTCAAAGGCAAGATCACAGGAAGAAGACTCTTCTTGCCAAAAGGCTAGTTGAATACTGGGATTGCAGTTTCAAAGATTTGAATAGCCAATTTGTGGGAGCTAGAGATCAAGCGTTTACGCTATTGCTGACTCCAGCTGCCCACTGGGAATTGGTCAGATCGAATCATCAGTACGACTTTATTTGTCTCCTCAACCTCTTAGAATACTACCGCACTTACTGGAGGTACCTATCTTACGTTTTTGAGGCGATCAAGGGGGGCCAAACTCTCAATGTTCCAGTAACTCAGTGTGTGCTTGTGGGAACAAAGATGATGGTCAGTGGTTTATATCTTGAGGACCAGCTTTCGCTTCTACCCAGTATCGGCTTCCATACATGAACCGGGAAATGAGCATCGTTTTGTCTTCCAAAATGTAGTTCTGTTAAAAGCTCAGTAGATACAGCCATTGGTAAAGTATAATTCATCGATATTCGTCCTTGAAGAAGTCGAGATCTAGAGATATTTCTGTGTCTTGAACCATCAACAACCACAAAGATGGGACAATGCTCAAATGATTAATTTGCCACATTCTACAAACTTCATCCATCAATGCAAATCTTTATAGTGTCTATACCCCAGTCCAGAAAGCCTCTTATCAGACCTCCTCGCGATTTGCACCCATTCCTCCACATTCGCACTATCAACTACCTTCCTCTTGAGCATGCTAGTATGTGATTACGCCACCAAGCCACCAGCTTGTACTAACAATAGTTTAAACCTTGGGCCGAAACGCCTAATCCACGTCACACATTCGATGACGAGCCAGATTCGCCACCGTTGGTACCGGAGGTCACGACGTCCTTGAACACCTCAGATCTACCAGAGACCATCGTGATCGTGCCCAAGAACATTGGCGTTGTTCTCGAATTGGTGCCCAATAAGAATGTCGTAGGCCATATTGCCGTGGAATATCCGCAATTGAAGGACATCGTACCCAACGAGGAGTACGACGAAGACTCCCAGCTCTACTCCGCTGTCAACTTTGAAGCGCTAGGGCGAAAATTCAAGGCCGAGCAGATCCCCATTTACTCATTTGGAGAAAACGGCTCCGGCTTTGCCATCATTATTCCTCATTTCATGAACCCTATTGCAGAAAACAAGGTTGCCAGCGAAATCATCAAATTGGGCACCACCATCACATCATGGATTGCATTGGCGCCTTCGCCACTCAATAACGGAACCTCGCTCTGCCGATTAGACATTGCTCTGTCAGTTGATGCATTCAAGCAGGTACCAACCATCAAGCCTCCCCATTACACAACGGGCATAGTTGCAGCAGTGACTTCTCGTTTATTCCAGACCCGCCAATTGGGCAATGCTAATGTTTTAGTGCTCAATGCAGAGGGCCACCTGGGTTTTGAGAAGGTCGACGCTGACCTGGTCATGGATGCTGCAGAACTCATAGGTGGCTATCTTGTGGGCAAGCAGGGTAAAGCCAGTTATATCAAGCAGCTCAGTGCACATGTCCGTAAGATCAACTCGGGACTAACACTGGGCATGTACTTGTGAGCAGAAAAGTGACCTGAGTAGGAGTGTGGAGGTTTCTGGTCTCCGGTGTATCTTCCGTAGTTGTACGTATGAACTAGCGGGAAATGATGCAAATAACGTTGAAACAGTGTAGTAAGGCCAACAAATTGTCCAGTTGAATACCCATGCCTCTACGACTGGGAGTTCCTCATGGAAAGGAAACAGTTCCAGAGAACGGAAATCGACGAGGAAAACGGAACCTGAAGCAGACGGGGCACCAACAAAAAGTTAATGAACTGCACCGGAAACCAAACACTGTAGTTGATCATGAGCGTCTTGAGGTAGATCTTTTTAAGCTTCTCGGTGGCGTCTTCCCAGGAGCCGTTATCCAACACCATAGTACCGTAGACGAAGAAGCAAAAGAGCGAAACTGGAGAGTATAAGAACTGGTCGCTGAGCACCTTCCGGATAACCTCCACAACCTTAGGGTCCTTGGAGTAAATCTGCAAGAACTTATACCAAAAGCACTGCGCCATTCCCATGATAAAGCCCCAGCACATAAATCCAGCTAGTCTGCTGAACAGAAAGTAGGTCAACTGAGGCCCCAAGAACGCCGGAGTGATCCCCTCGCTTTGCACTTCTTCTCCATCTAGGTATTGCAAAAACTCCGTGACGTGTTCCTCTCGAAGCAGCTCGGTATCATTATCCGGATCCTCGTCTTCAAAGGTGTTTCCCAATTCTGCCTCTAAATCGTAGGATGGCTCGTTGACCGTAACAGAAAACCGCTCAGCCAGGCCTCTATAGCTAAGAAGCGATTGTGCCAATGTCTCGGAAATGCCGTAAAGCACCAAGTTGGTCACTATAATCGTGACCAAGGAACTCTTCATGTACAAGTCGTTGTACTTTGTTGTGAGTTTGAGGAGAAACGACCCGAGCACCGAGATTATCACAACATTAAGAACAGGCACATTGTGTATTCGTGGTGCATTGATGACCCTGGTGAAGAGGGATTTAGGAGACAGTGTAGCCATAAAGAAGAGTAGGTGGTGATAAGCGATAAGCAGCAGTGCAGGACAGGTTTAGTTGAGTAGGTGGAGGTGGCATGGATGTAGAGGTTTTTGGCCAATTGGGGTAAGTCTAGGGACTGAAGGTTTTCAAAGAAGATGAGGAGAATAAAATCGTTTCATTTTTTGGAGTAAAGGGGCATTTTGGTTAGGAACCTTCGTTGCGAAAGGGTCCAAGTGTGGAGGATGAGTAGAGTGGGTTGTGGTGGTAATTCGAAAAATTCATAGGCTTTGGGTCAATTTGTCGAGTAATGATTCCACTTCATTGCCAAATAACTCTTTATTCTGAGCGTTCTTTTGAAATTGATGTGGTTAAAGTTCATGCGAAATTGTGCCTATGAGATACCACTGCAAGTTGTATTGGGCTAACCATTTTGCAAATGAAAAGTAGCACATATCTCTTGTTTAGGTGCTATTTATTAAATGACTCTATTTCGAAATCTACAAGAAATCAAAAGTTTTCGATGTTTGACACATTTCAGACTATTGGTGGTAGTTGGTGAGAGACTGCGAAATACATCAAGGATCAGAAAATGAGAAATTGTTGAAAACCACAAAATCTTAAGAACTTCAAGCAACTTCATATGGCAATTTTTACTACACTTAAAGCACAATGATTTCTCGAAGCTTAAAATAAAGAAGAGACTGTCGATTTGACGAGCATTGTCTTCACAATGTCTACCCACGTTTACAGCACTCAGCTCAGATCAACATATCATTTCTGACGTATTAACATCAAATTTGCATGAATATTAGCGAAATGTTTTTCAGCTGATCTTGGTAAAACTAGTGATATCAAAAATCAATTTTTCCTACTATATGGTCACCTCCATCTCTTCCTCTTCACCCTCAGCTGGCTGCGAAATCACCATTTGTCACACAACATGCCAACAACACATGCCTTCAGCAACAGCATATCTCTTTGAATCTTTCAGCCTAGTTTTTATACTGCCTTTCCCCAAATTCCGCCTCCCCATGGCACCTCCACCACTTTTTTCAACTTTTGCAACCACATCACGTGACCGGTCTGCGCACGCACCCAATCATATCGTGAGAAAATCAACACCCATAATCAACCATCAATCGCCATGTCTTACAACAAAGCCTACGAGCCCGTCAGAGGCGACGTTGCCCAGTCAGACTACGAGCTCATTGACTCGGACCCTTACTACACCAGAGTCATCTCGTACTTCAGAGCTTCTGACATCGCAGTCTGGGGTGCTTCTACTGCAGCTTTCCCAGTCGGTCTTGTGGCCTGGGAGAAATTGGAGCCTGTGGGCGGTGCTTTCAAAAAACCAGGTAAGGTGCCTGCTCCAGCTTTGAGAGCTGCCACGTTGATGGGCTTTTTGGGAGGTTTCTACCTTGCGTACATCAGATCCAGTAAAAGATTCTTGGGCTGGTCTGAAAACGCCAGAGAGGTCAAGAAGGATAGGTACGAAATCAAGAAGTTGTTGCTGGAGGAGAAGTTGCCATACCACCAGAATGAGTCTGTGTTGGACGACAGAATGAAGGATATCGCCAACAGAAACTCGCAGTACTCCTTCACTGCATTGTTCATTCTTCCCTGGTTCAACATGGCCCACCACCCATACCACGGTGTTGACATTAAGAAGTACTACGAGAACCGTGAGGGCGAGGAGAGCTGGGGCTTCAACTTGAAGCCTTACGAGGAGATTGTTGCCAAGTACACCAAGACGGTGGAGTAAACCAGGATTGAGGATAGATGAAAACCGTGGTCGGCCTGTCACCTGGCCACACCGGGCGTTGCCCGTTATGTCACATACAGACGAGCTTAGCTTGTAATAACGACGTTGCATTGACTATTTGTAGGGAGATGGAGATAATCGTGGAGATTTGGGTTAACCAATTCAGATATTGTCTACGGTGGATACTTCAGGACTGAATTCTTCTGAGGGAGTCAAATAATTGCCATTTTCATGAGTTTGTCAACTCTCACCTGGTGAGATGGCGATTTGAGACCAATTCACCCCATCAACAGCTGAACCAAACACCCAAACACCCAAACCACAACTCACTAATCTTTTTCTGTTCTTTCTCGGTTATTTCAAGTAAAATGTTTTCAAAAAATCACTCTCTTCTGCTGCATTTTCAGTAGAATACCTCTTTTGTTTGCAGCCGACCTGCATGCGCGGGTGTTTATTTACCCCAAGATCACCACCATCAACTACTACCTTCAGTATGGCAGACGAAGAGGATTATACAAATCTCCCGGTCGAGGAGAAAATCGTCCATAAAGTATGGAAGGTCAGACAAGACGGCTACACCGCGCTTAATGATCAATTTACCAAATCGAGAGGTCCAGACGACTCATGTTTTTCCATATTCAGCCAAAAGCCCGAACTCGTCAAACAGATCGTGACCGATTCCAATGTCGTGGCACAAGAAACCGCTCTTCAGGCTCTCTGTCTGTTCTTTGAATTTGGCGGTAACGGCAATAATGCTGCTAAATTGAGGAACGCTGGTCTTATAACTAGTCTATGTGAGAAGGGTCTTTCTTCAAACAGAGCAGGAACGAAAGCAAAAGCTGTTGATGCTCTTTTGTGGATAGTGGAGCTTACTAATAGCGGAGACGCCGTGATTGAACAAATTGTACCCTTCTTTGATAACAGACTCCCTAAACTCGTGGCTGCTTCTGTGAATGCAGTGTACTCAATAATCGAACAGTTTGGCTGCCAGGTGGCGTCTCCAAAGCCTGTCATTCCAAAACTAGCAAAACTTTTCTCTCATGCTGACAAAAATGTCCGTGCTCAAGCGACTACACTCACAGTTGAAATCTACAAGTGGATGGGCCAGGGTCTCACGCTGGTGCTTATGGACAGCTTGAGACCCGTGCAACAGAGGGACCTCCAAGCTGATTTTGAAAAGGTTGCAGGAGACAAACCCACACAAGAGCGTCTCACGAAGAAGCAACAAGAAGAGTTGGCTCAGCAGAGTACGAACGATAATGAGGACGTTGATATGGATGCAGAAAAGACACCGGAGAATGGGGCAACGCCGGCCGAAGAGTTTGATCCGTTTCTGATGTTGGAGCCAGTAGAGGTGCTTCTGAAACTACCGCTGAATTTGCACAGCTCAATGGCTTCAGCTAAATGGAAGGACCGTAAGGAGGCCCTTGACGAGGTTCATGCTGTTCTTTCCAAGGCGCCAAAACTCGCCAACGACGACTATACTGACTTGGTTCGTATTTTTGCCAAGTGTATGAAAGACGCCAACATCCAGGTGGTTCAGCTAGCCGCTAACGGAATTGAATTTTTATCAAAGGGTCTCAAGGAGGGTTTCCACAAGTATCAGCATTTGGTTGTGGGACCGATGATTGAGAGGAATAAAGAGAGAAAACCAGCAGTGACGGAGGCGCTAGATAATGCACTTGACTCCATCTACCAATCGTCCTCATTAGGCGATGTCCTTGACGAAACGCTCAATGGTATGAAGCACAGAACACCCCAAGTCAAGATTTCAGCAACCGACTACCTACGTCGTTGTTTGGCCAATGCCACTGTTCCCCAAAACGTTCACAAATTGATTCCATAATGGAAGTTGGTGTGAAACTTCTAAGTGAGTCCCAGGAGACTATAAGACAGGCTGCTACGGACATGATAGGTACATTGATGAAAATCACCGGAGAGAGAGAGCTTCAGGGTTTCTTGGAAAAAGTGGACGAGAACAGATTGGCCAAGGTCAAAGCTGCCCATGATAAGGCAGAGGTCAAAACCACAGCTAGTGCTGCCCTGCCGCAACGGAAACAGCCTCAGCAGCCATCTCGTTTGGCTACAAGCTCTACCAGCAAGATCTCTCTGGTTCCACCTCTCCGAAAGCCTACTTCATCTCAAGCTATTCCTTCAAAACGTGGTGCTACGTCTCCTGCGAAAAAACCCGAGACAACGAAACTTCCGTCTTCTGTGAGAAGCCTTACCGGCCGTCTGTTGGTATCGTCTTCAACAAGGCCCACCCCCAGTGCGCCAGAGCCTGTTCAAAAAGGACCTTCTATCGACGCCGAACAGCTTCGTGAGCTTGAATCTCTCAGGAAGGAAAAACAGGAGCTTTTGGCACACACAAAGAGACTTGTTGAGGCGCAAAGCCAATGGGAGAGAGAGAGGGAGCAGTGTTACGAGCAGATGAGACAGCTTCAGGCTCAACTTGAGACGCTTCAGGACGACAATGCCGCCAAACGTCAGGAGGTGATTGACAAGGACGCTGAGATCCTTCATCACAAGAACGAAGCAGGAAATGCAAAGCTAAAAATCCTCAGCATGGAACAGGTGATTGCCATGTTGAAGCTCAACCCAACAGGCAACCCAGACTCATTGATTGAAGAGAGAAGATCCGACCCACCACAGCCGTTATTCTCGCCCACAAGAACGGTAGAGCTTCAGGGTGAGGAATCAAGAGGCACTAATAATGAGCTTAGCTCCCGTGTGGACCGTCTTTCTATTGATGGACATAACGCTTCCGGCTTCCAAGAACCAAAACAAAACTACGCTAGTCCGAAACGGGCCGAGCTTACGCGCCATACGAGCAGTTACAGCACCTCCAGTTCCAAAGAGAACGTTTCTGAGGAAGACAACTGGAAGAAGGCCGCTGAAGTCACCGCTCAATTGAAGGCTAGAATTGAGAAGATGAAGCAGAGAAACAGACTCTCCTTGAACAGGCCTTAGACCATGAGCTCAGCAATTAAATAATGAAGGGTATAGGGCCCTTACTACCGTCCCTCGACCGACATTCACTAATATGGGTAATGACAAAAATCAAAAGGTTGCTTTCAAACGACAAACACCAAATTGAACGAGACAGAAGGTGACAGCGAATCGAAAATTTGAGTCACAAAACCACCACCCCGGAGCTTGTCCAAGATAGACTTACGGTGGTGAGTAATATGTAGGTCGGGCACACCGATTATCGATCTCGGGCTGGAAAAAAAGCGAGTGAGCGATAGCCAAACAACTGAAGTCCAGCGCCAAACAGGACGTTCAAAACGATTGTCTGCAGCTAGAATGTCTACAAAGTTGAAGATTTTGGTCCCTGTCAAGAGGGTCATTGATTTCGCCATCAAGCCTAGAATCAACAAAGCCGGTACCGGCGTTGAGAAGAAGGGTGTGAAGTTCAGTATCAACCCTTTCTGTGACATTGCATTGGAGGAATCTTTGAAGCTCAGAGAGGCCATCAAGGGCTTGGTTGAGAAAATCCACGCTGTTTCCATTGGCCCCACCAAGGCTCAGGATATCTTGAGAACGGCACTTGCCAAAGGTGCTGACACCACCACATTAGTGGATGTTGGTGAAGAGGAGGTCGAGCCTTTGAATGTGGCTAAAATCTTGCAAAAGGTTGTTGAAAAGGAGCAGTCCAACTTGATTATCTTGGGTAAGCAGTCGATTGACGATGATGCCAACCAGACCGGCCAGATCTTGGCTGGTTTGTTGAACTGGCCCCAGGCCACCAACGCCTCCAAGGTTGAGGTTTCTGGCGAGGAAGTCAGTGTGACCAGAGAGGTTGACGGCGGTGCCGACACACTCAAGGCCAAGTTGCCCATGATCGTGACGACTGATTTGAGATTGAACGAGCCTCGTTACGCCTCGTTGCCCAACATCATGAAGGCCAAGAAGAAGCCATTGGAGAAGTTGAAGGCCAGCGATTTGGGCGTGGAGATCGCCAGCCGTTTGGAGACGTTGAAGGTGGAAGAGCCACCTGCCCGTGCTCCAGGTGTGAAGGTTGAAAACGTGGACGAGTTGGTTGCCAAGCTCCGGGACGCCAAGGCCATTTAGGCGAGGTTATAGAAAATCGACGGTAGATACGAGGTGGTTGTAGGGTGGCATGGAAGCTAAGTTGAATGGGGACTGAGAATGCAGAGACCGTAATCTGTGAAGTGATTGTGGATTTAGCAAATGAAAGTTTAACAAATGAAACAGTAAAATAAGTGATGGTCGCCTAATCGAGTTAATAGAATTGCGGTGTCTATGATGATGCTGCTGATACTATGCTTAACGGGTAGAGGTGTGACTATGGATTAGCTGATCAGTTACGAGTGGCTCCATCATCCAGCTTCCAGGTCCATTTTGTCAATTGATTCAGAAAGATATGATTGATGGAGAGTTATGATTCAAGGATTCATGACATTTCAGAATGATGAAAAGGATGTAAATCGACTGACCCTTGTGGTAGGCTCTAGACACAATTTGGTGCATTTTAGCAGCCATTGTAGCCCATTACCCCAACATCCAGATCACCACATCACTCATTCAAATTCTTCTAAGGAAAATCCATACATTTTGTCAAAACGAGCAGTGAATATCAATTATGAAAGAAAACAGATAATAGAGACCTCCCCATGATCGGAAATTCCACACTATATAAGGTGCGCGGAAGTACCCCACAATATCACCATGAGCACCCAGGTAGCCAAATACATCGACCAGCTTTTGACCAAGCCACACCTGAAACCACTCATTGTGGGCATCAGCGGGCCACAGGGCCTGGGCAAGTCATACATGGTCTCCCATCTTCTTGAACATTACAGATCCACGCAGCCAAGCTTGGCAGTGGCTGGATTTCTGGTGGACGATTTCTACCTTCCTAGAAAGCAGCAGGAGGAGGTCACCGAGAGGGCCAAAGCGGAGGAGAATGAGGTTCTTCAGGGCCGAGGTCTTCCAGGAACCCACGATGTGCCGTTTTTGCTTGATGTGTTCAAAAAGCTCAAAGCACAAGAACCAGTTAAGATTCCTCGTTACGATAAGAGCGCCTTTTCTGGTAAAGGCGATAGGGCTCCGGAGGACACGTGGCAGTCTTTCAAAAACGTGGATTTGGTCATCATGGAGGGCTGGTTCAACGGGTTCAGAGCTCTTGAGCCCGGACTCTTTTCCACAGCATACTTTGGCCAATGGCCTTCGAGCATAGTGCAAAAGCACAAATTCTATCATCTCCAGGAGGTGAACGAGGAGCTTGCCAAGTTCAATCCCGTTTGGGATGCCTTCGACTACTTTGTCTTTTTCGATACAGACTCTACTGATAATGTGTACGCATGGAGACAGGTGCAAGAGGAGGAATTGAGGAGATTGAAGGGATCTGGGATGACTAGGGAGCAGGTTGTGGCGTTCGTTGATCGGTACATGCCGATGTACGTGTTGTACTACTGGCGGTTGTGTCGAGGAGGAACCCTAACCAAGGGCCGGAACCTCAGGGTGAGGATCAATGAAAAGTGGGAGGTTCTCGGGATTGAGGTTGTATGAGCATCGAAGGTTTGAAGGATGCACTTATGTGGCTTGATCGACTGGAAAGGGTTCGAGGAGTCGATGGCAAATTGGATGTTTCTGAAATCCGACTAATTACTGAATGGTATCCAAACCGATATGTTATTTAAGAGAAATCATTGAATCACTGCCACGCTCAATGTGCTTCTTGTCATGCTCAATTGAGTGGTTCATCAAGCGCCTCGCATCTACATACATTGATCCAGTCGGTAATACCCTGATTAATTGACCTTTACGACTTCATCTAAATCAATTGAGTAGGCAATTGTATAAGGTAGGCTTACCTAGACCCCAATCCCCATATTGTACTTCTTAAACCGCATTCCTCTCAGATCTACATCACAATCACCTACCACCATCTCACATCCTACAGCCATTTTCTCTTTTCTTGATTTGTATGTATCGTGAGCAACGGCCCTCTAACCGCCCCGGCCTCACTTTTGGTAGTCCTCAGGGTAGAAGATCAAGCGCTCCACACCTGCCTCCGTCAAAATCACCATTCTCACCACACCGCCCGACGAGCCATCCCACTTGATGGCCTCGCCCAACGCCGTCTTGATGAACGCCACGCACTCGTCCTTCTCCATATCAGGCTTGTAGTTCTCGTCACACCATCCATAGATAAACGTCGAACCGGAACCGGCAATGGCGTACTGCTGCTCGTGGATAGAGCCGCCAATGGGCACAGAAAACACCTTACCCTTGTTCTTCTTGTCGTATCCTGCGCAGATGATGCCCGCCGTCAAGTTGTCCTTGTTGTTGTAGCAGAGTTCCTGGAAAACACTGGCAGCGACCTTGGTGGTGGGTTTTTCACCCGGTGGCAACTGGCTGGCGTAAACTTGCAAGTGGTATTTCACAATATCGGCCACAGCCTGAGTATCGGCAGCAGAGCCGGAACGACAACAGTAGATGGTGTCGTGGATCTGGGTCAACTTGTCTGAGACTCTGTTGGCGATGTAGGTTCCCGTGGTGGTTCTGGAGTCAGCTCCGAGAATGACGCCGTCTTTGAACGTGACCGCCATAATGGACGTGCCGAGGTTCACCTCGCCTTTTTTGAGGTGGTTGATATCGACAGACACTCCGTTCATGATAGTTAGTGGCGACTTGACATTGGCGCGAAATTGGTAGTTGCCCCGGGTGCACCAGGTGGAGGATTGGGGGCGGGGCAGATTCTGGGAGTTTGGGGGCGGGGCAGGGAGAATTAATTGGGGGAGCAGCGTGGGGGATAAAAATTGGTGGATTGAGTTGGTTAGGTGATTTTGGCGGGGCAGCTGGTTGGTGGGGCAGCTGGTTGGCGGGTCGTTACAGCGTTGATGGTGGGGTGTGTATGGAGGGAGGTTTGATGATATTGAAGGCCCCCCTTTATACATAAATACATTTCTATAAATAACACGAGATAAATGAAAATCTGAATTTCATAACCTCAACATTTTGTGTGGCTGGTGATCGTGTTGTGTTGTTCGTTGGTAGGAATGGCAGAATGGCTGCGAAATCACGATGTAGATGGAGTTAGAACAAGGTAGTTGTGAGGTGGCATTCAAATCAAGAAAATAAGATTTTTACAATAGTTATAAGTTTATTTGGCTCGACATCATCTTGAAAAGCACCAAAGAAATGGACTAGTGTAGTAGTCGCAAATGAGGAATGTGGTAATCCAGAGACTCGCTTCAAGGTCGACGGTTGAATAAGATGTAATTTGGACGTGTGTAACTTTACCTCATCCTATACTGTCTCTACATGTTGAGCACCTGGTTGAGGAAGCGAGACTTTTTGAATTCGAAAGCCACAAGACCAGTGTGACTGTACTTCAATCTCTAGTCAATTATCTCTAGATACTACTAGTGGTTGAATATGGTCAGTTCATCCAAGAAGTCAGGACTTTTAAGAATCGTTCTTCATATCACACAATAGTCTGAAGAATTCAGATTAGAATTCATATGTCTAGCTAACAGCATCGAGTTTCAATCATTGAACTTAGACCCCACTTTGGTCAAGTCTACGGCACTTCGAAGTTTCGTACCAACGTTATAAAGTCCATTTCATGCGAAAACTACCTTAAGAGCCAATAAGGGGACCTTAGAAAGCTTAAAGAAACGTCCCTCACTTCCTGTCTCTGAACCATAATACTAATCTCATCCACTAAAGCTCCGCAATTGTGCCACAGAAACCACTTCCAACTAGACCCCACTCCGCAAATGCCTGCCTTAATTATCGAAAACATCCACCACAAAAAGCATTCTACAAGGTTCCAAGGGTTACCGTTTCGGACATAAATCCGATGATTAGTGAGAATACTGCAGCTCGCGCAGAGACGACGCAGCTTGCTGCAGAAGAAAAGCAAAGATATTGTGGCTTCCAGCGAATTATCCGAGAAATCGAAAGATTCAGGGCCGTGGCTGAATAAGCCGGAGAAAAAGATGCCAAGTTCTACCCTCGTAATGCTGCCCATATTCAGGCACACCTGAAAGTGGAAAACGTGCCGCTGCATGATGACAAATCTTGCTGCAGCTCCACAGCGCGGACTATGGATTTTCCGAAGTATATAAGCATGGCGTTTCTGCCCATTGACCTCCCACATCATCAAAAATGGTTGCCCCTAAAACTTCCAAAGCATTGAAAGACACTAAGCTCTTTGAGCCCATCAAGGTCGGCAGAAACGAGTTCTCCAACAGAATTGTATTCGCTCCATCTACCAGATTCAGAGCTTTAGAGGACAATTCTCCTTCTGATCTTCAATTGGACTACTACGATGACAGAACCAAGTTTCCCGGTACTTTGATTATTACTGAGGGTACCGTGCCATCTACAAAGACAGGCACCTACCCACATGTTCCTGGTATCTTCAATGAAGACCATGTTAAAGGCTGGAAGAAGATCAACGACAAGATCCACGAAAACAAGTCGTTTTCTTCCATCCAGCTCTGGGGCTTGGGCCGTGCTGGAGACCCTGCTCAGGGTAAGAAGGAGGGCCAAAAGTACAAGGCTCCTTCTGCCATTTACCAGGATGCAGATGCTGAAAAGGCTGCCAAAGAAGCTGGTAACGAATTGGAGCCTTACACCACGGAGGAAGTTGACGATTTGATTGAGGAGTACGTCAAGACGGCCAAGAGATCTGTCGACGCTGGATTCGACTATGTGGAGCTTCACGGAGCTCACGGTTACCTTATCAACCAGTTCCTCGAAGCCTCTTCCAACCAGAGAACCGACAAGTACGGTGGTTCCATTGAAAACAGAGCCAGGTTCGCCTTGACCCTTGTGGACCGTCTTTCGGAGGAAATCGGTGCCGACAGGTTGGCCATTAGAATTTCCCCATGGGCTAAGTTCTTGGGGATGAAGAGTGAGGAGGACAAGGAAGCTCACCCAATCGCTACATACGCTTACTTGTTGGGCCAATTGCAACAGAGAGCTGATGCTGGCAAGGAACTTGCTTATGTTTCCATTGTGGAGCCCAGAGTTGCAGGAAATCTAGATGTCAATGCCGAGGATGTTGTTGGAGACAATGGTTTCATCAAGCTCATCTGGAAGGGTATTCTTCTCAGAGCCGGTAACTACACCTACGATGCTCCCGACTTCAAGCAGCTTTTGGACGATCTTGATGACGGTCGTACGTTGGTGGGTTTCTCCAGGTACTTCATTTCGAATCCTGATCTTGTTGCCAGACTCCACGACGGTAAGGAATTGACTCCTTATGATAGAGACAGCTTCTACCGCCACGACAACTGGGGCTACAACACGTATCCTCACGTGGCCGGCAAGGAGAAGTTTGACGAGGAGGCCGAAAAGGCCCGCAAGCCTGCTCCAATCAAGGCATAGGGTTGGGGTATGAATAGACGATTATATATGAGATAAAGGGAGATTCAACTACTGGAATGGCCAATATACAAGCAATACGTTCAGACTCCGACCCACCTCTATTTACTTTTCTAGAGCAATCGTGAAAGGAGAGGCAGCCGATCAAACTGCACTGCCTTACTGGATACGGTGCAAGAAGGTGTCACATCCTTCATAGTCGTTGGCAGTATCCAGGGTGACAATCTCAAAAGCCATGGAAGCTGTAGATGCTGTATGATGGGTAGTTTCCTGGAGGTATATGATTCTTTGTAGGAAGACATCGGAGACTATGGAGAACAGTGAGATGTAGAACTATGGCATGCAATTGGTGCAGAATAGCTGGCTCTTGAGAATGACACCATGGGTGTGGGAGAGGGGAACGCCCAATAGCGGAAAATGGAGCTTTTGTGTCTTAAAGAACGGACATTAGGGCGTATAAAATAGGCATAAACGTTTTAACGGTGCATTAACAAAAAAGAAGGTCCAACAACATAACTTCTCACCTCTAAAAAAACAATCCTTTAAAAACCTCTATTCATCACTGGCGCTCCCCGGATTATCTTGCTGCACCCGTTCGCAAATCCACCCAAGCGACATTTCGCTGCATTGTCCAGAGTGATGCATTCCACACAAGGTCTCAATGTGCATTCGCTTAGTTAGACTGTGCATCTGCAACCACAGAATCGACTTGACACATTCCAATCAAATGATCGACCTTTCAGCCTCGTCAACAACCATTTTGCGCACATTCTTGAGCTCTTAGGAAAGTGGCCTCGGGACAATGTCGGATCTTTGCCGGCGTGCTTCCTCGACGATCCGGCCAGCTACAGTATACTAAACGCAACTGCGCCGACTATCCCTTACCAATGCAACTACACCTTCACTTTTTGGTCCTCTTGGTGGCAGGACTAGCACGTGCCTTGGTAATACCGAACACGTTGTCTGCTTCGGAAATTAGCTATGTCCAAGGCGATCCTAAGGTGACACACCGAGTAGACCTCGGAATAGCCAAGGGAATGGCATACTATGGGCATATCACAATTGCACTTTTTGGCGAGGAGGCTCCCAAGACGGTGGAGAATTTCATGGCGTTGGCCAATATGACCAAGGGGTACGGCTACAGAAACGTCAAGTTCCACCGGATAGTCAAGGACTTTGTGGTTCAGGGAGGAGATTTCGAAAAAGGAGACGGCACAGGCGGCTACTCCATTTACGGTAAGAAGTTCCCAGACGAAACGTTTTCAATTCCACATAACAAGAAAGGTCGTCTCCTGATGGCCAATCTGGGTCCAAATACCAATGGAGCTCAGTTCTTCATAACAACCACACAAGACTGTCTGTGGCTCAATGGCAAGCATGTTGTTTTCGGCCAGCTTGTAGGAGGCATGGATATCATTGAGGAGATGAACAACGTGACTCTTGATGAAAACGGCAAACCTTCCGTGAACTACTTCATCACTGGAGGGCAGAGCACGAAGATCGACACGAAAAACCAAAAGCTGTATGAGCAGTTGAAGAAGGAGGAGGAGATTTACCAGGCTGCTCTTCGTGGAGAAACCACCTTGATCAATGACCAGGTGCACCCTGTGGAGACCTTGCAGGAGGATTCCATGGGAGGGTATATCTTTTTGGGAGCTTTTTGTTTGGTTGTTTTGCTTGCATGGAGGATGACCAAGAAGGTCAGGAGGAGCATGGGAGTGAGGTTCAAGGGGTGATGCAGAAGGCAGCATTGCCTGAGTCAGTGAGGGACGCTATAGAGAGTCTGATTTTAACGGAAGCACTAATAATGAAATTTCAGGAGTGGTTTCTTAGCAGTTGAAAATCTGCCTTGAGCGATGTTAGGTAGGCATTGGCTTGTTGACTGATGTAGTATCAATAGGTGGTCCTCCGGTTAGTTGGTAGCATTAGGGATTAATAGACAAAAGTCTTCGTACACCTCTTCCAAATATCATTATCCAGCTCTTTCAAAAACACACATAGTATGAAATATCAACTTTTTAATCAGCATATAAAAATGCCGTACTTAGTGCACCAGATCTCCATCTCATCTACCTCCATCTGATACACAGTCTGATTTCGCAGCCATAACATCAACACTTTTCCAAACAACTCCAATCCAAAAACTGCACAACCCTTGTTTTCCAGCCAATCAGAGCCCTCCCCATAAATCTCATCCCCACAATGGACCTACCGATCGTGCTTGTGAAAAACCTCCCTTACGATGCCTCATCGTCACTGCTTCTTGAACTTTTCAGCAAATACGGTCCAGTCAACCAGCTACGAATTTCTGACGGATCTGCCCCAGCAGGTACATGTTATGTCGTGTACACGGAAATGGAAGACGCTAAAAGAGCCGCCAGGGAGCTCAGTGGCATAAATTTCATGAACAGGTACCTTGTACTGGGTCTCTTCAAGGCAGATACGGATATTCTTCAAGAAGCGATACTAGAGCAGCGTCGAGAGGCACTTGAGGCGCCAGAGGAGCAGGATGGAGATACGGTGAATGAGGAGAATGGTCAAGAGAAGTCTAGTGGGGAAAATACGGAAGAAGAGACGAATGGGAAGTAACAATATAAGGATCTTACTCTTGAAAGTCTCAGTGAACAGGTTTTCAACAATTAGCGATTGTTCCTTCATCAAGGCAACTATATTACCAGCTGAGCCAGAAAATGCATTGAAGAAGACCTCTGTCAGTGTATCTTCGTCATGGTATCACCCTCGCGTTTCCCACCCAACTACAAAACCTTAACGCTATATCTATTTTGATGGGCAGAGCCCAGTGACTTAAATAGGAATCATTTCGTGGAAAGATCCAAGAGACCCAACGTGTAGTAGGCGGTCAAACCAGCGAAAATCAAAGCAGCAATGCGGCCCACCTTGGTCCAGTACGCCTTGGGCGTGTATCTGTACTTGACGTAGCCTGTGAGCTGGCCCAAGTCGTCGTACAAGTTCTCGAAGGTGGCCGACACCTTCACGTGGCCCAGAGAGAAGTCAAGGTAACTCTTCTCGTCATCAACGGTGAGCTCGCGAGGCACCAAAGGAGCGCTGAAGTTGAGGAACTCGGCACCCTCTGGCAAGTACAAGTTCAACGTCACGTCATCGTAGTAGATGTCCTGGAGGGTGTTCAAGAGCGGAACAGCAGCAATGTATGTGTCTGGCTCATCCTTCACCTTGTGCACAAAGTTCTCGAGCTTGTTGGTCCAGCCGATAGTGAAGTTGTAGTTCCAGCCACCAAAGAGTGGGAAACGAGGCACCACAATGAGGTGGCCGCTCTTGATCTGGTGGGTCGACACCATACCGACCTTGTCGGTGATGTAGTAGTTTTCGTAAGGCATCTTCTCGTGCATTGGGAACTCCAATTGAGCAAGAGCAAAGTGCTTACGCAAGATCTCGTAACGGCCCTTCATCCAGTCGACTCTGGAGAAACCATCCTTCAACTCGGCACCGTTGTTGGTGAGCTCGTAGTACTCCTCGTTCTGGATCACGTCCACGTCTGAGGCGGGGAACCACACGCTTCTCTCAAGGTTGATGACACGCTGCACGGGCATGTTGTGGTCGTACAAGAAACCCATGGGCACCATAGTGAAGGGCTTGATGTGGGCAGTCACTGGACCGTACACCAAGAGGTTCTCCTCGACCTTGCCCTTCAATTCCGGCACATCGGCGGTCGGCGTGACGTTGGCCAACTGCAAGTCCATTTCCTGGCCCTTGGTGATACCAGTGAAGGCCAAAGAGTACTCCTCCGTAGGGTAGCCAGAAAGAGGGAACTTGTTCATCTTGAGCAACAACTTCTGGGTCTCGTCCAACTTGATTTTCTCGGGAAAGCCGTCAACGTGTTGGTGTACGTGTAACGGACCTTGAATTCCACCGAGTTGCCAGGAGCCACTGGGTAAGGGAACTTGAACATGTAAACACCGTTATCGAGTTCAAAAGGCTGGATCTCCAGGGCTGGCTCGGTGAGCGTGACGCCGAGGAAAGACACGTGGGGGATCGCGTTGAAACCGTCATTCACCACGTACACGTAAGAATCCAATGGTTTGTCGCCGATATTGGTGGCTTCAATAAGAGACCATTCTTTGACATATGACTTGGCGAGGTCAATGTTTCTGTAGTATTTTGAGTTTTCCCAAGTCTTCTCGGCGAAAGGGTTCAAAGCGGTACACAATGACGCGAAAAACGCCGTGTACACGAAAGACAGCCAGAGCATGGTGGGTTGTAGTTGAGTTTGGTGATAATTTTGACACTTGGTGTGTTCTGTATGCAGGGACCACCGACTGACAAGGTCCGTTTTAGTGGAGAAGCCAAGCTATTTTGGGGAATCTGGAGAGATTTATAGAAACAGTCAATCGTTGAATTTCTGGAAGTCTGCTGTTTTTTATAGTGAAGTTGGTGGCGTTGGTGGGGTTCATTTTGTGGTTGCAAAACGCGGTGCGGCCATAGTTAAGGTAGGTTGGAAGCAAAAGCGATGATATCAAATCGGGTCTTTTTCGGTAGTTTTGCCTAAATATTGAACTTAGTAAGATATAGCATTGTTGATGGAACTTGAGGTTTAAATTCGGGCTGTCAATTAGGTTTTATTCCCAGTTCAACTAAGCAGACAAGCATGGAGGTGGAAAGACCATATATTCAAGTGAGAATCTCGGGAAAATTCTTTATGGGGAGCGACGGTCATACTTGGAGATTACATCTGTATTGATTAAGTTGATGATTTCATTGATCTCCAAGCTTCAAGTGGCACTTTTTTTGATGTGTTAGCTGTGCTCACTTAGTATTGGGTCTGGAGTATTCTTAGATAGTAACGCTCAGAACCATTCTTCAGATAATTCCCTCAATATGATTATTCTAGCTAACTTATGTGGATATGTCACGAAAAATGCAGATAGCTTGGCCTATCTTGTTTCTTGATGGAGAATGGGTAAGGTATACACCCCATCATAAAGTGGGGGAATGTCTGTTCTGAAAATGATTCATCAAATGACGCTTGGGTTTAGAGGCATTTACCTTCTTCTTCATTAATCTCAGTACGGCCCCATCACATAGGGGATCTACATGCTAAACCCTGTTACCTCTTTCTCGTTTTTGCAGCCATTTCAGTAAACTTCTATCAACACTCACACAACTAGCACTAGACCCTTTTAAGAAGATGCCATCCACTATTAACGCCCATTTGTTTACCAATCCATATCAAAAATAGGTCAATCGACTTTGTCACTTGGTTTGTGCCACCCCTCAGAATGACTATATAAGGAGGCTCGCTCCCACTTTTTCTCACCAAAACCACCCACTTTTCTTTCTGTGCAATTCTGCCAACACAACCAGCTATCGATGCTGCCAAGTCAAGAGAGTCTCTCTGGTGAAGCAGCCTCGAAACAAAGCCGATCCTGTCTGTTATGGAGCTTTTTGTGAAGGTGGCGTTGTCTTTGAGTCAAGCGTGGTTGGGCGTCTCAGGCGTCTTGAATTGGTACAGAGGGTGTCACATTTCTTATTCTCTCGACCACGGGTGGCCAGAGAATCTGAATCCGATGGTCTCTGTCTCTGGTTCAGTGTGTAAGCTCCATCCTTCTACTGGTTTCTACGGGTTGGTTCCTCAAAATTTGATGATCACACTTTTTGCGGTTTCCGTGGTGGCAAGGTTGGTGTGGGGTATGCCAAAGACACGGTAGCGCTACGTGTCCCTAACTGCCCTTGAGCTCCGCCAATCGAACCACCGCCTGTGGAGGTCTGGACAAGGTAGAGCTTACACATGGTCTTTTGTCAATCTCCCAGGAATCCCTCCACTGATTCGCATCCTAAGTTGTGGTGTCATGCAACGATGGATTAGACTGTCATGACACACTGGTGGATACCTCGGGCTTTTTGCCTGGGATGACCCGGATTGCCTCCGTTTCAGGGCTTGACGGGTAAGCCTCTTTGGTCTTGAAGCATTGACTCTTTTTCTCTCAGGGCTGTCAGCCAGTTCCTGCCTTGTGGATTTTTTCCCCACGTTGGAGTTATCATGCCGCGTGGGTAGTGTTGCAAATGATTATCTTTGGTGGATCGGAGTTTGCAGTCGGCTCTTTGATTGAACGTTGAAACAGCATCCACTGGCTGTTTTGGTCAGAGAAATCTGATTTTCTTTCTCGTGTGAAGCATCAATTGAGGTGTGGAACGCGAACCCTCGGAAATGCCTGACCAGCATTTCTGTTTTTTGCCTTGCTCCTCGGAAGTTGCATGGCTGCCGGTGGGTGACATGCGTGGAAGCATCTGTGCGTGCGTGGAAGCCTCCTCGTAGACCTCGGAACTCTGTGCAAATTCCGCTGGAGCCCCTTATCGGTTCTCTATCGTGGCCGACTAGCGGTACCGCTGACACGGTTTTCTTTCGTGGGGCAATGCAACTAGTACCCACACCATGTTCAAAAGAAAAACCCTCCGTGGTCTTTCTCCGGGTCTGGCGATCCGGTTTTTTTTTTTTCTTTTTTTTTTTTTTTCTCTTTTTCTTTTCTTCGCTTTTACATAATCAGCATTAATAGAAAATTACCCCACTTCCTCTGCATGTCGCTGTTGCTGAGTAGTCATAATCAACCGCTGTTTTGTGTTTTGCGTACCGTAACCTGCGTTATCTATATGTACGGCCTGTACATAAATATGTCAGTTGCAGCATCGGGGTTGATAGAGATTTTGTCTCAAATAACTAACTGCTCTTCTTTCAAGGAAACCCAAAAAGGACGTTGTGGTTATCTTAATTGAGATAGTAAGCTTCGGCCATCAGATACCCTGTTGAACATATACACACTAGCCCTCGATAAATGAAGGTCTCTCTGAACAGCTTTAGTGAAATGGCTTGAAATACTTGTTGGCGTTTGCACTACGGCACTATTGACATCTTGTCGAGCTCAGTCTGACCATTATAATTGCCATTAAGCCAACTTCAATGGCTCTTAGAAATCCTTCTCACGATTGAATTTGCTGATTGTTCCTGACTTATAAACGAAAGTAAGCATTGAATTTTTTTCCCAATAGGAAGTTAGTATTTACGAGTTTGCCAGTCCGAATTGTTTTAAAGGTCGCCCAAATAGCCTCCTGATTGCAGTCTACGTTGAAGGCTGTAGAAAGAATCGGGCGCAATTCATACTAAGCCGTACCACCTGTAATTGTTTAAATTTGGCAATCAACGAGGTACCATGGTGGCCAAAATAGCTTCTGATTTAAAACGACGGAGGGAAGCTCCCTTCTCAACTGTAATAAAGTCAGAATCAAATGGTTGCTTTCCAAAACTACAAATGGCTCAGTTGGCATTACCTTGAATTATTTTACCAGCCTAATCAAAGATTATGCAATATTCAAACATATACCCCAGTTGAACCCCAGTGCCTAGTACGCAACCCCGTACTTGTCTCCTCCTCACAGTCACCCCAATTCCTCCTCACAGTCACCCCAATTCCTCCTCACAGTCACCCCAATTCCTCCGACGGGTCAACCCCACAATCGCTATGGGGTTGAAGACCCCGAATTCTTTGAAAACAACAAGATATTTGTATGCAACGAATGGTCTATTTTTTGAACACAACCCGATTGCTTACTGTGATTTGTTCATCGTTACAGGTGGGCTGAGGCAAACAAGATGACGATATAACTTGATTGTTCATATATCGCCTGGAATCGCTGAACCTGTGAAATCCCCATAACCTCTTCCTCAGTCATATAGATTCTAGGTATTTTATGTCATAACTCATGAATTGCAGAGAATGGGCTTTATACTCTCCAGAGGTCTACCCGTGTTCCAATCACGACTACATGGTAATACTATAAATCTCCTGAACCAACAGTTGAAGCACTGGTCCCGTTAGTATATCATTGAATTGGTCTCGTCACAGCTCAAGAGCACAGTAGTGGTCAGAAAGACCCATTGATACCTCAATGGGCATAATATCGTCAAACTAGGACTATTTGAATCCGCCATAATTCACAGAGTTGTTGAAGGCCATTTACTGATTGCTCCTGACCCAACAACCTTCAAAGCATGCAAGTTATTCATAAACTTGGACCAGTAATGAGGCAGCAGGGTAGCCTTGATATTCAAATACACTAAAATCAAGTTGTTAGTATGAGGAATGCTACAATATACGACTAATCAGCGATTCATGGAGGCCCCTAGGGATGCTTAAACCTGTCATATTCATTGCATTTAAATTAAAAATCGCTAAATCAAAGAGATCTGGTCAATTTGTAGGTGGTTGTGTTGATGTTAAGGCACCATGTCAATGCAATAAATCTTCAAGTCCTCAATTGACACCACCAAGAAGAATACATGACGCGAATGAGGGCGCATATTGTAGCCCTCAATCGTGGCTTTCTTTTGATCCCAAAATTATTGTGCTATGGTAGTTTTAAAGGAAGATATTCTTCATTACAATTTCGATTTTTCATTTGTCCAAGGGGGACCCTTGGAAATCCGTAAATTTCGACATTTCTGAAAAATCGACTTGGGAGGTCCGGGTTTTATGACCAAAACCCCAGATTTTGAGGAGGATCGGGTTTTTTCCAACCACTTAATACCCTTGATCTGGTTGTTTCGAAGATAAAATTTCAATATTATCTGTGGCTCTTCCAATTGGTATGCTTATCAGAATTTCATATGATGCTTTGTACCGTTATGCAATGGTGTTAACCATCAAGTGAAGTATCTTCTGCGTGCTCACCATATTTTGTATACGTTCCTGGCATGAAACTCGACATCACCAGTATATCATCTATAACGCGTTCTTTAAGTAGGCAAGCTCTATATCTATTCTTGCAGTACAGCTAATCGGATTCGTCCTCGACAGATTCAACTTCAACCATTTGGTCTTGTATCAAATGACCAAGCTCGGTCTCAAGATCAGAAATATCGGAATCTTCGTCAGCGTCGGTGCTATCTTCAATCAAGAAAGTGTCGTCACTGTCATCGGTAGCATCACCAAACTCATACAACGTCTCCGTGGTGACAACTTCAACCTTGTCAGCTTCATCTTCCTTTTCGTTCTTCTCCTTCTTCGCCTTCTTCTCTTTCTCTGGCTCGTACTTGGCCAATTCCTCACGATAGTTCCAAAGCTCGCTCAAATCGCCCTTGATAAGCGCAGTCAGGGTGACAGCGATCAACATGCTAGGCACAATATAGAGCAATGCTGGTTGACCCTGCTCAAAAACAAACACAGCAACGACAGTGGCCACCAATGCAGCAATGTAACCCACAATCAGGGCCACAAAGTAGTTTGGAACACCGATGCTGCGAAGTCTGTGGAAGGCCAACTTGTTTCTGGAGTAGAACCTGTGGTAGTCAAATCTGAGGCACAAAGAGGCGAAAATGGCTGGTAACATAATGTCGCCAAGACCAAGCAAAGATGACTCAAGGCGCAAGTCCTTGTGAGTAAGGCCAGAGAGTTCGGCAAAAGACAAAAGAGTTTCGGGGCCCTTTGGAAAGACTAACTTGCCGGGCATATCGATACCTGTAGCCACGGACATCATCAAATGAGAGCGGAACACGAAATAGATGTCGTAGGCAAACATTCCAAGGAGAAGGATTCCAGCAACTTTGACGTTGCCGACTTTCACATACGTGATGTTGGAGAGTAAAGCGGAGGCGACGGCATTACTCACAATCCAGTTTGTTTGAGGCAACTCGTAGCTGGAGCTCAATGCTGGGTTGTAATTGAAGTAGACAGCCAGAAACAGGAGCGATCCCAAGAAAATCCAGAACCAGCGATTGTCGTAAACAAAAGCCGACTCCTGGTCCTTGGTTTTGAGCTTGGGAAGACGAACAATCTTAGCGTTGTTCTGCTCCCACATGAAGTCCTCTAGTTTTTCAAACTTCTCCTTGCTCAATTCCAAAGACTTGGCGTCGATGCGGTCGTAGAAGCCCAATGGCAACTCGTTTTCAGTGGAGTAGGTCAATCTAGTACGCTTGATGAAGAAAGCGGAATTGCCCTTCAAGCCCAACCAGTAGCCGATGTTTCTGGCGGCCGAAATCGTGACAATATGGAGAAGCAGAAGCGACGAGGCAAACAGCACAAGCAAAAAGTACCCGTTGATCAAGGTGCTTTTCAGCACGTTCCAGTTCCTGATAGCGTAGTCCAAAGCAAACAAGGCTCCAGCGCCAAAAACCGGCATCAGAGCAGCATACTGCCAGCTGATTGTCTGCTGATTGCCCGATTTGGCCTCGCCTGTTTCTCTCAAAAGAAAAGCACTTCCATCCCGGTCTGAAGGGTCCCACAAAGGAGATTCCTTATCGTCATTCGGATCAAGGGAAGATTTGGGTTGTTGGACTGTGGCGTATGAAAAGAAGATAAGGAGCAACGTGGCCCAGGCGCCTAGAATGGCAAAACCTGTCCATTGTTTATCGACACCGGTGGCGTAAAGGTAGTGAGGAAAGGCCACGGCAACTTTATCGAGGATAGGGAGATCCGTAAAAGTGGAATTTTGATTTACCATGGTGACTTCACTTTTGCAAGTTTAGCGGGTCAATGGGAAATTGTGTGGAATAGCAGTGGGTAGTAGGGAGGCGTGGTAGGAAGAAGTGTTGATGTTGTAGATTGAGAAAGTGAGGGTGAGCATTGATAAGAGCCCGTGCTGCCAGGGTGTATTGAACGATAGGGGTGGGATATTCTGGAAAGTGGAGATTTTCGGGAAAGTGATAATGAATTAATAATTTTGTTTGAGCCTGGTGATTTTGGTGGATCTAGATCATTGTGATTGCATCTGGGTCCCTGGCTAGTTGTGTACTATACCTGGAGGTTCCGGAAGTTCCACGGTTTAGTGGTGTGAATTGCGGCATCTTTCAGATGTAGAGGAATGACGTCGAGAGATGACTTGAAATGTATGCTTTATGATCCATTTTCGTGGAAATCATATTGAATGATGCCATCAGATAAGGTTCATGATTTTTCAATAGGAACGCGTATTCTAGTATAAGCCACAAAGGCATATCTAACCCCACCTTTCCAATCCTCAAACTCCCGATCTTAAGAAAGGTAAACTTCGATAGTGATCTGATACCCTGAAACGGTCTGTGGGTGACGATATTTCAAAAGCCACTTCGACGCAAGATCGTGGAAAGTCTGTAGATGTGCTGCTTCTCCATCAATTGAGCAAGATTTTGAGCCAATAAAGTATCTCACGTCAAAGTCTATCAAATGACATCAAGAGCCTCCAAATTCGAAAATCGCAACATGGCCAGGCATGAAAGAAGCTTACCTGCTACCTTTGTTAAGTTCCTTCACAGACCTCATCTGAGTAATACTACCACTGACTCCTCTGCTCCAACAGTGTACCCAAATTTTAGCAAAACTTCAAGCTTTGTTGTCTTCTTTAGACCACCTCCATGCAACTGCCCCAGTCTCAGGACTCAGTTGCACATCTCCATCAAGTTCACCTCCACTATGGTAATACACCCACACCCAGCCTGCCAGTCAATCACACCAAATCACACCAAATCACAAAACGACCCCAATCGACTTAATTGACCAAATACCAACTCATCTTCTGCCCTCCCAAACCCTTTTCACCCATTTCTCCATAATCCCACCAATCAATCCACCACACTCATCTTCGCGGTTGCAAAATTTCTGGTTGCTACCACCACTTGCTATGCTGGCGTCTGAAAAAGCACGGTCTGTGGCGCTCAAAGCGACCAAACTCTTCCAACCGCTCAAAGTCGGAAAAAACACTTTAGCCCATCGAGCCGTTTTTGCACCCAGCACTCGGTTCAGAGCACTTCCAGACCACACTCCTCTGGACCTCCAGCTTGAGTACTACGATAAGAGGTCCAGGTTTCCCGGCACTTTGGTGATTACAGAGGGCACATTGCCTAGTCTAAGCACCGGCGTCGATGCAAAGGTGCCTGGAATCTATTCAGAAAAGCAGGTGGAGGAGTGGAAGAAGATCACAGATAAGATCCATGAAAACGGGTCGTTTGCGTCAGTCCAGCTATGGGGATTGGGCAGAGGCGCCGATCCGGTTCAGTCGAAAAAGGAGGGTCTTCAGTACAGAGGCGTTTCGGCGATTTACCATAGTCAAGAGCTGGAACAGGCTGCAAAGAAGGCTGGAAACGAATTGGAGGAGTATACCACCCAGGAGGTGGAGCAGGTTGTTCAGGATTTCGTGAAAGCCGGACAAAACGCAGTCAAGGCTGGCTTCGACTATGTAGAGCTCCACGGCGCCACAGGCTACCTCATCAACCAGTTTTTCGAATCCAGCGCCAACAAGCGAACCGATAAGTACGGTGGATCAATTGAGAATAGAGCCAGGTTTGCGTTGGAGCTTATAGACGGCCTCAGTGAGGCAATTGGGCCTGAAAAAGTGGCAATCAGGATTTCACCCTGGCTCAAGTACACGGGTATGAAGGCTGAACAGGATGAGATCCACCCGATCGCTACTTTTGGCTACTTTCTTGGTCAATTGCAGAAACGTGCTGATGCTGGAAGAGAGATTGCCTATGTTTCGCTTATAGAGCCTCGAATTCCAGGCATGCTGAGTAACGAGGACGCTTTTGGAAGCAACGCTTTTGCCAAATCAGTCTGGAAAGGCATTCTCATCAGATCCGGCAACTACACCTACGATGTGCCTGATTTCAAGCAGCTTCTTGAGGATATTGATGACGACCGTACTTTGGCAGGCTTCTCCCGTTTCTTTCTTTCCAATCCTGACTTGATCTATAAATTGCAAGATGGCGGAGAGTTGGAGAAGTATGATAGGAAGACTTTCTACACGTCGACCAATTGGGGCTACAATACGTGGAATGGCTGGGACGAGGCAAATGAGTTTGACATGAAGACAGAAAAGTCCAGGAGGCCCGCTCCAATTGGGGCCTGAGGTGGGCAAATAGACAATAGAGTACATTTAGAGAATTATAGAGGATAGGTAATAAAGTAAAGGGACGAAAGGAGAGCCGGTAGTGATTCGACAAAAGAAGCTACCGAGAAAGAGCTGTTGATACTCTGAAGAGTTGCCATACTTTACAGACGGCTTTAGCTGACAATCGGTAATCTGCAACGACATGCCTGGATATCCGAAACGCGTTGGTATCATCTGCGTTTCAGCGCCGGCCAAGCTGAAACACCACCCCCACGATCCTCAAACGAGTGGATGATATAAATATCGACGCCTCTAGCTCAAAAGTAGTGTTTCAGATAATTGACCTCCCTCGTCTCCTACTGAAGCTTGCCCTACCCCTTGGCAACCACCCTCCACAAGCCATATCCTCAAGCCAATCACAAATTTCTCACATTTATCGCCAAATCCATTGTTCAAATCACTAACCCTCCAAATAACTCCAAAACCACCCAAAACACCGCCTCACCCACCCACCGCAACTATCGTCGTCCTTGAGCCCTGGTCCACCGAGGCACTAGCCACAAGCCCATCCGCCAATCGGGAACCCCAAAATCGAAATTCCACCCTTCAGGCCAAATTGCAAACCTTAAATAAAATCCCAAAAGTCAATTAATTTCGCTCCCCCACCCATGCCGTGCACCTCTGACTACCCCAGTGTGCACCGGTCTGGACCCGATTTCGCAGCCAATTGTATCCACCAACCCGCCATGATTCTGCCCCCACGCTCCCCCAAATCGTCCTCCACCTCCTCCACGTCCATATCCTTCACCCAGGTCGTCCAAATCACCGTAAAAAATGAAAACCTCCAAAACGTGGCACCCCAATTTACCGTCCCTCTGGTAGGTCTCCCCAAACCACCTGCACAGACACCTACGCTCCATTGCTCGCCACAAACACTCAGAATAACTACACCTTCTTCCTCAATGTCGCTCCAGGATCTCATCCCGGTGGTCAATAAACTCCAGGATATCGTCACGTCCACACAGTTGGCCGACATCGATCTTCCTGTTTTGGCCGTGGTCGGCTCCCAATCATGCGGTAAGCTGTCTGTGTTGGAGAACATCGTGGGCAAGGATTTTCTTCCTAGAGGCACGGGAATCGTGACCAGACGGCCGTTGGTTTTGCAGTTGATCCACGTGAACAAGGACGATCCGGCGGTTTTGGAGTATCAGCCCCTGGACGTGCCTGCCACCTCGTCGGAGGTGAGTTTGGAGGAACACTTGAGACGCTCCAACGGGAGCACCAGATCCCACAGCAACGAGCCTCCTTCCGAGTGGGGCGAGTTTCTCCACATCCCCAACAAGCGCTTCTACGATTTCAACGACATCCGCAAGGAGATCGAGTCCGAGACGTTGCGGATCGCCGGCCAAAACAAGGGCATCTCCCGCTTGCCCATAAACCTCAAAGTCTACTCCCACAAGGTGCTCAACTTGACGTTGGTGGACTTGCCGGGCCTTACGAAGATCCCTATCGGCGATCAGCCCACCGACATCGAGAGACAGACCCGCTCGTTGATCTTGGAATACATCCAGAAACCCAACTCCATCATTTTGGCTGTTTCGCCCGCCAACGTCGACTTGGTCAACTCGGAGTCGCTCAAGTTGGCTCGCCAGGTCGACCCTACGGGTAAGCGTACCGTGGGCGTGTTGTCCAAGCTTGATTTGATGGACCAGGGCACAAACGCCTTGGACATCTTGAAGGGCAACGTTTACCCGCTCAAGCTCGGGTTTATTGGTGTGGTGAACCGTTCTCAGCAAGATATCCAGGACAACAAGCTGCTCGACGATTCGTTGCAGTCAGAACAGCAATTCTTCGCTAACCACCCGGCCTACCGCTCGTTCGCTAGCAAGTGCGGTACCCGCTACCTCTCATTGACCTTGAACAAGATCTTGATGAACCACATTCGCGATCGTCTTCCCGACATCAAGGCCAAATTGAACACTTTGATGGGTCAAACAGAGCAGGAGTTGGCTTCGTACGGCGACTACCCCTCCTTGGTCGACTCCAAGGAAGGCCGTGCAGCTTTGCTCCTCAACTTGATGACAAAGTTCGCCAACAGCGTGGTCAACTCGGTCGAGGGAACCTCATTTGATGATGTTTCCATCAAGGAGTTGTGTGGTGGTGCTCGTATTTATTACATCTACAACGAGGTGTTTGGCTCCTCCTTGGCGGCCATCAACCCCACGCAAAACTTGTCGGTCAAGGACATCCGCACGGCCATTCGCAACTCGCTGGGCCCTCGTCCATCGTTGTTCGTCCCAGAGTTGGCGTTTGACTTGCTCGTTAAACCTCAAATAAAGCTTTTAGAAGAACCCTCCCGCAGATGTGTGGAGCTCGTCTACGAGGAATTGATGAAAATCGTGCACCTGATATGCAATGCCGGAAGCAATCTTGATATGACCAGATACCCCAAGTTACAGGCTAAGCTCATGGAGACCGTCAGCGACTTGTTGCGCGAGAGATTGGGCCCTACCATCAAGTACGTGGAGTCCATGATCGAAATTCAGCAGGCCTACATCAACACCAACCACCCCAACTTTGTTGGTGCTGCCAAAGCTATGGCCACCGTGGTCGAGGAGAGACGCAGACAACGTGAGACGGAGCTGCAATCACGCATGAGGATCGCCACCCTGAAGATCTTGAGCAAGCACAAGGAGACGGAAGATTCCGATGATACCGAGACGGAGCTTCCTAACGGCCACTTAGACTCGAAGGACATTGACATTGACCAGGTGGACGACGAAATAAAACCACCAGTTGTCCACAAGCACAAGAGAAGCGACTCTACAAGAACACTGCACACTCATAAGTCGGACCTCGCCAGCCACGGTCACGAGTCGTACTTCAACTACTTCTTCGGTAAGGACCCCATCATGCATCAACAGCACTTGCAAGCGCAAGCTCAATTGAACCCTACTCCGTTCAAGTTCCCACTGCCACAGGAACCAACTTTGCAGTTCAACAATAACTTCATCAATAACGGCGGTAACGTCCACGCCGATGTGAAGAGCCTCAGTCTAGAGGACCGTGCTCCTTCTCAGAGCCCAGTCTCGGAGCAAGAGAACGGACATGTGCCACACCTTGAGCATGGAGAGGAGTCCAGTCTCAATGAGCTCAATGAGCGTGAGCAGCTAGAATGCGAGTTGATCAGACGGTTGATTGTGTCGTACTTTGGCATTGTGCGTGAGATTGTCCAGGACCAGGTGCCCAAGTCGATCATGTGTCTTCTTGTCAACTACATTAAGACACACATCCAGAACAGGCTTGTGGTGAAGTTGTACAACGAGAAGTACTTTGACGAATTGCTCCAGGAGGATGAGCTGATCCAGATGGAGAGGGAGAAGTGTATCAACTTGTTGAAGACCTACAGAGAGGCATCGAAGGTGATCAGCGATGTTGTGTAATGCCTTTCATGTTTGCTTTCCCATGTATATATATTAAGCTTTTTGCAGGTGCGGCCGGCTTGTCACGTAGAGATCTAGACTATCGACAATGCTGTTGTTGAGCAAGGCCAGCTTGTTCAACCGGTATGAAAGGGTCTTTTTGTCATCGAGGACATTGTCCTCGTCGTGGATAACTCCTTCATCTGGTTCCATGAAGGTGAACTTTAATTCCTTGGTTAAAAGGGCACTTCTATTTGGATCCTTCGAAGTAACATCCACCTTTCTCTCTTCTAAAAAATGTATATCGTCTTGGTCCCGGAGGTAGCCCAATTTGTACCGCAAGGATGCCAAATACCCTAGAGAAGCCACCACCTTGCATTTCCACCTTGTCCCTATATCCTTGGAAAGTTTGTCGGAACCGTGAACAAACTTCAGCGGAAAAAGGTACCTTAGAGGCTCCTGGAAAAGAATCTTTTGTAGCTCCTCCTTGACGTCCATGATGAGATTCGTCAAGTCGTTATTCAGAAGCCTGAGCAGGTTGATAGACGAAAGCTTGATTATCGAGCGGTCATTGATTGCCACGGTGTTGTTCAGTACGATGCGTCGCCTGTTGACAAAAACCCGAACCGGAATTGACTGTCCTGGCGAAACCTGGACGTATGTGGTTGTACCAGGCATTGAAAAGGAGTATCTGATCTTTTGGTGATAGTTGCGAAATGGTTGCGAAAATAGTGAGATGCAGACAGAGGAGGATGGGTTTTAGAGAAATACATAGGAAGTGAAAAAGTGAGGAATTGCGGTTTGGTGATTTTTGAAGAAGCAGATTAGAACTTGGAATTGGACGAGAAGAGAAACGGTTCTGTGAAAAGTGGGGAAGATACACCGTGTGGTAGTCTGAGGGGCGAGATAACACTATGATGGAACGATCAATGCATCATGGACTGAAATACGAGATAATGTTTTCTTCCCGCTGCCGATCTTTTGACAATCCCTAATTTACGCTTTCAACTTTTCTTAGAAAGCTGGTCTTCAAAGTCTTTTTTTTTTTTTTGATATTTGCTCATTATAAGACTACAAAGCTTGCCAGTGGGCGGTTTGATGTGGAGAAGCCTTCACGCCAAAGCATATTTTGAACAGCTCTTGGCGACAAACTCTCAAAACCTCTCCAACGGCCCAGTGCCAATGTACCAAGGATTCACCGTTCATCGAGTGACCCGACTTACTCCCCACCCTACAACTATCTTGGTGAAATCGCCGTCAAACTCCTTTCCACCTCCCGTCTACACATTCAACTTCCTCTCGTAATTCATAAGCATAGCGTCTACAATCTGTACACGAAGTAGGGGCTCTTGTCGCCCATCTTGACAAGCTCCTCGGACGAAGTGTCGTCGTACTTTCCAGCAGCAATGTCCTTCCGCTTCTTCCTGTTGCTAAGCAAGTATCCAGTAACAGCGATAAGAGAGGCAATGATTCCCATGCACCCGAATCCAAGCTCCAAAGCATGGCCAAGAGTGTAGTGGGGAGCATCCTGGTCTCTGTAGAAGTTGGAAGCAAAAGCACCGGAGAAATTGCCAAGTCCAATCTGAATAGCCATGCCAATGGCTCTCTTGAACGTTCCCCCTAGATTATTGGCAAGCCAGATAACCGTCATGGGGAACCCAGCAGCACCAATAGCCAAAACGAACATGGCACCGTAGATGGAGTTTGCCTGGGTGATTGGTGAAAAGACCAAACATACCATGAAACCCATGACGATACAGAGCAAGCTGAAAATCATGAACGGTGCTCTGTAGCCCACTCTATCGGAGAAGTAGGCCTGAACAACACAGATAATGGCACCGCAGATGAATGGAGGAGCCAGCATAAGCTGTGCTTGGGTGGAAGTATATCCCAAGGCGAAAATGACGGATGGGGCAAAAAGAGCAATTCCGTAAAGAGGCACCAAAATGCCCCAGCAGATGAAAAGCTGCACCCAGATCTGCCAGTCCTTGAATGCCTTCCAGATGTATTCTCTGCTTCCCAGAACATCCTCACCCACGGTCTTGGACAAGGACTCCTCGCCCGAACCAAGCATTTTCTTGCTTTCGGCGTTGGACGAGAATTTCACTCTCCATTGCACGAAACGGCGCTCTTTGTCCAGAAGGAAAGCACAGTCCTTGGGGTAGTTGGGGAAAACTGAGTAGGAGTAGACGCCAACGACAAAGGTGAGCAAACCTTCAAGGATGAAAATCCACCTCCATCCTTCGTAGCCTCCAACTCCGTCCATTTGGGCAATTGCAGCAGCCAAAAGTCCTGAAAATGCACCCGCCACAGAAGCAGCACTGAAGAAGATGGCCTGTCTCATGAGAATCTCCGACTTCTTGTAGTACATGGACAAAATGTAGGAGATGCCTGGGAACAAGGGGGCTTCGAAAATACCCAAAAGTGCACGGCAGGCCAAGAGGTCCTCGTATTTCTGAACGGTTCCCATAAGCGTCATCACAATTGACCACAACACCATGGTGGTTGGAATGAACCAGCGAGGCTTCACACGGTGCAAAAGCATGTTGGACGGAATCTCCAAGGAAGCGTAGAAAATGAAGAAAATCGTCAAGCACATGTTGTACTGGTGGTTCCGCAAGTTCAAGTCCTCAGCAAGACCCTCGATTTTGGCATTGGCAATGTTTCCTCTGTCCAAGAAACTAAGCAAGTACAAGATGGTGAAAAGGGGGAGAAGCCGCCAGTCCATGCGACGAAGCAACTTTTGTTCATCAATGTCCGAATAATCCTCTGCCTCAGCCGTGTCAATTGGCTCAACATCAGCAACAACACCTTGTTTCTTCTCGACATCATCGGAAAATTCCTCGTACGCCTTGCCTCCAAGCGAGGGGTCGCTAATATCGTCTTTTGCAGCCATTGCTTAGCTTAATGTAGCAGATCGTCCGTCTTTTATAGTAGTGAGTGCCATTAGTGCTCCACTTGGTGCTCCACCTGGACCTTTCAGGAAACCAGCCAAGGCGGTCCCCTCCATACTTGCCTCAAGACCCAAGAGCCGTGATGGCTGCGAAACTCGTCCTTACAATGTGGGGGTTTCTATGCTCCTTCACACACCTTGGCATTGTTCTCCAGATGCCCAGCCCACGCTATAGATACGAGGCGTTGGGCCAGAGATCTTTTTGAAATTGCATTGTGGAAAAAAGGTCAAAGCCCTCGACGCTAACAAGCGGGCTTTTCAAAATGCAACTTTAAACGTCCCATGGGGAAACCTGGGGTTCGAGCGGAGGAAAGCCAAGAAAGTGCTGGTTTGACATTGTAGATCGAAATACTTCTTGAGGAGGCGGCGGAGATAGCTGAACAAGCAAGCTCGTTCAAAGGTACATGCAAAGGAGAAGGCCGCTGTGTGCCCCACAGTGTGTCTTTTTTCTTGTCACATTTCGGACTTCTAAGACGAAGCCGTAATCTCGCCACGCGGCTGTGCTTTAAAAAGGCAATAAAAATGCTCAAATTTGAAGGTTTCGTCTTCCCGTTAAGTACGTCGATGTCACCTGCTGGTTATCTTCAATGACACCGAATCCCTAGAGCGGGGGAACGTTGTCGTACCATAGCAGATCGCCTACTCCCCTCCCGTAGCGGTGATACAATACAACTGCTGGGCTGCCAAGGTGGATCGCTTGGGTTCGTATTTGCCGGTTCTGACGAGTGGCTGACCATCTCGAATGAGGCGGGCTAGGCGATTTTGGGTGGCTCGGGGTGCACTATTGTGGTGATTTCTGAGGGAGTAGGGGAAGAAGGTAGTAGGGGAAGAAATGGATTTAAAGATTGGTCTAGTGGCTCTTTAGGTTATTTGGGTGGTAAGGGTGCTCTGGTGGTACCCGTAGGTAATTGGCTATGGCGTATGGTATTGCCTCTAGGGTAATTCAGGGTGTGGTTACCTAAGTCTCATACAAATTTCAAAGTGAAGAGATGCTAGATATTCGGAGAAACTCCTTTATCAAAGGTGAAACTCAATTATGCGTTATCAGACATGGACCTACACCTAGGGAGCCAGGCACGTCAATTAGGCTTTTAGGTTCTGACTCTACATCTGCCTACAACCATTTCTTCCCCTAGAACACAAGTGCTTCATGAATTGCAGATATTATATCTCTTCTGTTTTGATTCATGTGTGTCTTCACCATTACTCAGGTCTGTGTGTTTGGATAGCCTTCAGTTGCATACTCTAGCATGTAATTGCACCAGCAAGTCAAACTTTGACCAAATCCCTGAAATCCTCAAAACCTCATTCACTCTTCAATTCCACCTGAGATTCGCCGCCATGAGCCAAAATGCTTCACTATCATCACCAACCCATCTCTATAACCCAAAACAATGACTCACGATTGATCGCGGCTATACCTTATCGCTCCATAGTGAGCACCCGAAGGTGCACCAAAACACGAGCTCTATTCTTCAAACAAAATCAGATTTCAAAACCTCATTAATCAAATCATTTTAAACGCTTCCTTTTTTCCCCACACGTTCCACAAAAACAACACGCCAGATTGGATCTCTTGGTGGCTGCAAAAGATCGCGCCTCGATAACGTGGGCAAGGCGACTATCTGCAGTACCCGCAGTTACCCACTATAGATAACATAACCATCACGGACCCTGACCTCCCACCTACTTCTTCTTCTGATTCCCCCTTCCCTTGCGATAGCTTATTTATACTACTAGAAATGCCACTGTTGGTGAAAGTGTACGTGACGCCCCGGCCTTCCCAATCTGGAAGACCCTCCCAGACCCCTCCTTCCTCATACTAACCTCAGGCCAACAAACCCCAAGCGTGGTCACCGTCTTGGAACGTTTAAGGCCACCTGGAACAAACTCAAAGCGGCCACACTTGATAACTCCGGAAATGCCGAGAATGGCGCCGTCACAGACTCGGATCTGCCCAATCAGGAAGAGCCCCTGAACCTCAACGGCACAAACGGCTCAGCCAAACCAGAGACCAAGGCCCAGTCCAAGATCGTGGAGTTCGGGCCACGAGGTGAAATGTGCGTCTATTACCCGGATCAAGAGGTGCTTGAGCTTTGGGACTGGTGCTCGCCAAGTAGCCAGGCTTATCAAGGTGATTCTCTCAACTTGATACGAAGTGTCCCTTTGGACAAGCAAATGGTCGCCCTCAAGGTTGGTGACATTTTGGGGCTTCCAAGCGTTGTTTTCACGACAAATGACACTGTGCACTTGTACATTCATGGCTTCCAGGGGCTACACCTGGCCCTCCCCTCCTACTTCAAGGCACCGCATACAATCAAACTATCTCGTGAGTTGTTCACTATTGGCTCTGCAAACGGCTACATCTGTATCTTAAATGTCCGCCGAAACCAGAGTATCAGCTTCGGCACGTACGAGCTGCATAACATCCGTCAGAATATTACGAGGCCCGTCGCTGATAAGGAGAATATTACGACGGATTGGCTATTCCTCAAAGCATGTGTCTCCAATGATGCTCCCATCTATGATTTACAAGGTTCTTGGCTTGTATACTGTCCCACAAAGACGGAGATGGACCACCAGAGGCACCTCCTTCATTCACACAGTAGCTCGACCAAGAAGAAAGAGTCTCGCCTGGATTGTCTTTTTACGGACGTGAAGCTTCCTCCTTCAGGCCCACTTCTCATGCGTGTTGTTTCTTCCATATCCGGCTCAGCACTCGATAAGCTCTACGCCCTTTCTGAATCGGGGTCGAAGACAATTCGTGAGTACTGGCTGAAACCCAAGGGCTCCAAGAGCAATATCTTGGACAAGGATGTGTCGCTTCACTCAATCAGTAACAACATCAGTCAGACCCTATACTCCACGGCCAACAAGATCAAGAAACTGACGCAAGATTCCGGTGAGCACAAGTACATTCGTCTCATTAACCTTCACAGCGGACAGATGATTGCTACCTTCAAACCGCCTGGTGGGGTGTCACACTTATCGCTCAGTCCGTATGATCTTCAACTTGTTCAGGCTAGCGCCAAGGGGGATGCATTTTACCTCTGGGATCTTTACAGATTGCCAAAGGAAGCTTCCTTGGTGGGCAAGTTTGTTCGTGGTAATACGAGTGCAACCATCAATGATATTTGCTGGTTTGTGAATTCCGAAGGCCCAGGTTGCAGCGACGGTACCAACGCAGGTTTTGGCTGTATCTCCAAGAAGAGTGGCTCGCTTCACTGGTATAACATTAACTACTTGTCGCGTGGAATAGAGTCCAACAACCATCCAAACAAGCTTGGAGGTAAGTCTGGAGGGTTCTCGAGTGATCAATTCCTCGACTCGTGGGTATTGCCGTCCATTGGAGCATCTAGGTTTGTCAAGCTTCCTAAAGTGTCCAATCTTCCATCTCGCTTAAGTGAAGAGCTGACGTTGGACAAGAAATTGTTTGAGATGGATCAACTTGCATTCTACGACAAAGCTGGTCACTTGAGATTGGTGTCACCTTTGAATGGTAAGCACACATTTAAGTACGTGTTGCCAAAGGAATCGCTGCAAAAACCAGTGTCTCAAGATTTATCGGGTATCTTCCCATTCCCCGAGCAACTGGTCCAAACAAAGAGGACAAGAAGTTCGAGGCACCGTTGTCTCAGACGGAGATAGAAACATGTGCCCAATATCTCAGTGTTATCAATGATAAGCGATTCGAGCTTTCAACATTTGAGCTCGCTGGCGAGAAGGACATTTTCGACTACCTCGAGGACTTTGGGCTGGATATCCCAACAAGAAGAGTAGATTTCAGAGGTGCTCCACAGCCACAGCTGCCGATATTGAATGGAGACTCTGTCGCTGCGCTTGATAAAGGGTTGTTGATCAATCCTGAAATTTCTGGAGAAGAACTTAGTTGACGGTTTGATGCAAGTTATAATATTATTATACAATTTAACTGTCCCATAAGGCTTAGAAGAACAACCTGATTAATTCCAAGATTGCACCACCGCAAATCAAGAAGGTCAACACGAAAACCCACGTTTTTGACACTGGAAACTCGGTCTTCTTCTTAACGTCTCTAGGCTTGCCCTGCTTGTTAACGTTCTTTTTAGCAAACTTGATGTTGGCTTGCCTCTGTTTGGCGGTCTGTTGCGGCTATATGTTAGTGCATTCAAGAATTCGTTGCTATTTTGAACATACCATGACGAAGTTGGCGTTTGTTGATCAACTGGACACGTTAATATGCGGGTTCAATGGAGTATCATGGAGGTGGGTGATCTGTGCAGGAATTGCTTATTTTGGCTCGCTAGATCGTTTTTTGTGATTTGACTCGGCTGTTGATACCGAAAGTCGTCCTACAATATCATTTTGCAAATTGGTGAAAGAGAAATCATCGCGTTTATACTAAGAACACGCTCGACGGAGCTGGTCTCGTTGAGGAGCGTGTACATATTTATCAAAAAAAAAAATACTTATAGAATGCGCTCGAGGTGTGGTGTTCCACCTCCAGACGTGTAGAAAAAAAACTAGCGCAGCCAGGTTTCGATCCTGGGACATCAGGGTTATGAGCCCTGCGCGCTTCCACTGCGCCACTGCGCTCTTCGAGCAGGGAAAAGTATCGCAGAGTGCAATATGCATCTTTAGTTTTATCTTATATGCAGAGCCTTTTGCTAAGTTATATGCAGGTGGCTGTGATTTTGCAACCAGTCCCCCGCCATCAAACTCAAAGCTCACTTATGTCAAGTCTTGAGGGTTTCTTCTCATAGTCGTGAAAAATGATTTCCCGAGGCTCGGGGAAGTTCCAATTCCAGGTAATAAAACACGTTTCTTTCAGTCAAAGTACTTCCCTTATTAGCCGCCAGCGACTCCGTACTTTCATTAACCTCCAGAATCGACACTGCGCGTATCTCTTATCTGACTTCTCCTGTTACAAATCAACTCCACTAGCATATACCTCTCGTGGAAGA